GTTATATTTCCTCTTATTTATATTTGCAAATATATTTTGTTGTAAATCCCTTAAATTAAAATAATGAAACTTTATTGAAAGAATGTGTTTATGGCTGTTTGTATTTTAAAAAATTACTTTTTGATAAAACTGCAAAGCGTGGCAAATTGCTCAATGATATTGTTCTCGAGGCTATAAGCGTTGGTTTTTATTCAAGTTGAGTGACAAGACATTTCCTACTTTTCGAGAAACGTGACTGAAATGAAACGTAGACCGAAAGATTTCTTGAAAGTTTCAGGTCTCTAAGCTGAAGTATTTAAAATCGAAAGCGACTAATTTCTCTCAGTATTTTTGAGCTTTAGTAAATCGTAATTCATACAATATCAAAAAACAATATTATGTAATGAAAGAAAATTATAGTCAGGAACACAACTGCTGTAGAATATTAATAATTGAAATGTCAGCTCCAGACTGGACTCGAACCCATAATAGTCGGGCGATAGTTTAACAGCTGAGATAGTAAAACAACTGTGAGGAAATGATCTGTATGGCAGTTTTCGCAATACGCGCGTGAAGGGTGAATACAGCAAAAGTTAAATTATATATTTGAATTGCGGAATAAAGATACTTGTAGACAGTTATCGTTTAGCTGAAGTTGGAAACAGAATTGGAGTAGCTGTGAAAATGAAGGAAACGTCATTCAGGCTTGGACAGAATTCGAACGAACAACCCTCCTGCGATATCGACAGTGTGATATAACGAAAGATTTTGTGGATATTTTATTTTTTTCTTCCTCAGAGTTTTTACACTCCGATGCGACATCATGATCGTTTGATAAAAATTATGAAACAAACTGAAAATTACAATTTGAGACGGTACATCTGCTTTTCTGATAATAATCTTGATGACTTACCATAGCAAATAGCAAGTACTCAATCTTCCATTTGACGGAAAGAAAGTCGACTCTCGCCCTGATAATATTGCGATAAGTACATAACTACTTGCCAATCTCGCAATACGCTCGTGAAGAGCGAATACAACAAAACTTAATCAATCGAAATCATATATTTGAATTGCGGAATAGAGATGCTCTCAGAGAGATACCGTTTCGCTGAAGCTAAAAACTAAATCGATGTAGATAGAAATAGTAGGGATGGTAAGTTTTGAGCTCGCTAAAGAATTAAGAAGGTCTGAGGTTCGATTCCTCATGGGGACTCAGAAATTTTTCTTTGTCCCACGCTCGTGACAAGACGAAAAAACATCTTTCTTAAAACAGATGTAGTTGTGAAAATGAATGAACAAACGACCCTCCTCCGATATCGACAGTGTGATATTAACCAAGAGCTGACAAGTCAACTGGGAGCTTGTTACGATAAAAACTCTTTACTTCATTTAACGAAAGATTTCGTGGGTATTCTTTTTTCTCGTTTGGAGTTTTTACACTCCGAAGCAACATCATAATTACTCGAGAAAAACTGTTAGACGTACTGACAGTTACAATTTGAGGCGGTACATCTGCTATTAGTGACGCACTTTTGATGATCGAATAAGTACTCAATTTTCCATTTGACGGAAAGAAAGACGAACTTTGTCTTGATGATATTTCGATAAACGCATAATTATTTGCCAGTTAAGTGGCAAATAACTGGAGTTCTCGTTGTTTCGAGTTACCTTCCTGACAACAACTCGAAAATGAAAGAAAATGGCGGAAAGTTGTTTTATTTTACGGCCGATATTGGACGATAATACACGAAAACAGCAGATTTTTACGCTAAGGAGTCTCCATAGAGATATTAATTGCTCCAAAAACACAAATTTTGTGCGCGTGAGCCGGAAAATCCGAAAAACTGATTTTGACCGAATTCAGAAAACGGAAACCTGAATCCCTCTCTCTTATTTTTGTAAGATGTTTGTACATGGAGATCTTTCTTCTTTTCAAGGGAATTATCCAACGAACAATTCCATACTTAGGCACATTTCTAACCGACCTTATGATGTTAGATGTCGCCTATCCAGATTTCACCGAGGTGAGAGGAACTGGGCATCATCATCCTCCATATTACATAAGCCACCATATTACTTAAGTCATCATTTTACATAGTAAATGCTGGAGTGGACTCTGGACTCTAGATTTAAGGTCAGAGTGGGTGTTAGGCGAGAAACACAGCGCTCGAAGTAGTCATCCCCAAACTAGCAACTGTTAGGGAAATCTGGGAAATTGCAGTGCGGGGGAGGGTGGGAGTTTGGTGGAATGGAGTTTGTGTTGTACCAGTGTCTTTCACTCGGACTCGTACTCCGTCGTCACTTTTTTCTCCGTCGTCACTCTTTTCTTCCCTCCTTGCCTAGACGCAGCTTGAGCTCGCTAAATTCTTCCCATCAATCAGTTCGCAAATAAGAAGCGACTAGATACGAGTCTGCCTCTCACTTGAATTAACAATTTCAGTCAAAGGCAATTCATTCGTACACAAATTTCCGGCTAATCGTCCACCGAGCGGCAACATCTTCAGAACAATATGATGCAAGAACGCAGTGTTATTGGCTAATCAAATGTGCACCTGATTTTTACTAATATTCGCTGGGTTAGCATTTTATGTGCATGTGTTCTAATGCTCTGTTGATAATACACAATTTTTGTAAATAGATTTTAAAATCAAATGATATTACATCAGCCCAGAAATGTATTTTGAGGGTTTAGTTGAATCTCATCATCTGATCAGGTTAAAATTTCGTCGCAAAAGTTTTATTTGCCTGTTGAGATTTGCCAACTGATCAATGATGAGGACCTTGAAAAAATAAATTTGACTAATGGAACCTGAAACATTGAAGAAAATTCACGAGAAAAACAACACTGGAAGTAGGAAAGTTATCGCGCAATGTTCCCGTTTCTAAGTGCTCTTTCTCAGCAACTGGTTTAACGATCTTCTTCTTCGTCTACAATTTTCTCGGTACAAAATTTTTTTTGTTGAAGAGTGAAGTGTTGGACCGATTGCTGAATCAAGCGTTAAAATATATATCTATTACGGCAACTGTACAAGTTCAATATCACTAGTTTCTTTATTATTTTTTTTTAATAGACAAATGAAAACTTAACCTTTTAATACAAATGCCTGGGTTGCTTTCTGATATGTTAATTATTATTGTTGTCATTATTATTTAAGTCTTTATTATTATTATCTTTATTTTTATAATTATCATTATCATCGTTACTATTTTTATTTTTGTTATAATACAACCTTTGTGAAAATCCAAATCCTACCTACTTACTACATTGCTAAAAGAAAAATTATTTTTTAAATTTTGATTTAATTATATTTAAAAAAAATTATATCATGTTTATCTCCATACATCCTGGACTTAAAACAAGAGAGAAAATATAAAATGCTACATAAATAAAAATTGTTACTATTTTAAATCTCATCATCGTTATTATTACAACTACTTTACTCTTAGTACTATTATTGTTGTTATTTTTATTATTTGCAGTAAATACTTTTTTTGAACTTGAATCCTTCTTCAGGAATTTTGGTCAGCTGGTGATCTGTGATTTTATTGGCTGAACCATTTCTACAAATATAAACTTTGTTTTCAGAGGCTAATTCCTTTTATCTGGTAGTTATGGAGAAGCTACGGCAATTGACACCCTATTAAATATTGTAATATCTTCACAGATCTCTTTGCAGTTGCAAAAAAAAATTACACCATCAGTGCAGTTTTTTTGAGGATTTCCTATTTTCCTATTTTGTCTCTTTAAGACTCCTATTTGCCTCATTCTCAGTATTGCATGAGCACCTTTTTTAAATGAGATCAAGGCAGTTGCATGCATAGATACCCATAAATGGCAGTTTTTTGTATATCGCCGGAGCTCACCAGAAAAATTATGTCTTATTTGTCGTTTTGGTGTGTAATATCGCTGAGTATTTTTACGAGTTGTGTCATATTGTGAAGAGCCCGCAGCGTATTTCAAAATAAAAACGGCGATTGAAATTATCATTATTCCACTCTCTCCCAGTGACGCAACCTCCCTCTGTCCAGTCTCTCTAAGCGACCCACCCTCCCTCTCTCCAGTCCCTCTCAGTCACGTCACCTCCCTCTCTCCACTCCCTCTCAGTGACCCAACCTCCTTCTCTCCACTCCCTCTCAGTGACGCAAACTCCCTTTATTCACCTGTAATTTCCAGTCCCAATAACCCAACCTCCCTCTCTTCACTCCCTCCCTTAGTCTTAATGACGCAGCCTCCCTCACCGCCCCCTTCCCTCTCAATAACCCAAACCCCCCCTCTGCACCCCCTCCCCTCCCTCTCGTCACGTCCTATCAGGGCCTGCCATTGTTGTTTAGTCGCGCCCTTTACAGTCCGTTTAGCTGAAACGGTAATGTTAAGCATTCGATATTGAAGCTATCTGGCCACTGTCCAATGTTCTTGGTCGACCGTCTTAGGGTCCACTTCAAGAGTTAGTCTAATATCAAAAACTATATACCCAAATGTATCCTCAAAGACTCTCCCGAAAGCATCCGATGCATCTGCGAATTGGTTTGAAAAGTCAAAATTAGAACAAAAATGCGAACAGCGCCTAAGAGCATTGGAGACTTGTACTCAGCATAGCCGTCAAAACAAGATATCCAGTATTACTGTCACTCTTAAAATTAGTTTTTTCCGCGTACTTACGGAAATATCATATGGGATCTGTCACTGTGTGACAAACAACATTCTTTGAGGCCGTCACGGTTGGTCAGCTTTAAAATTATCTGTTTATCGTCAAGCTTTTCAGTGAAAGTTGATAAAAGTTTCCTCATAGGACCTGATTTTCGAAAGAATAAAAAATTCTGTGATTGCCATTTTCCCGTTCATTTTACCTCCTTGAAAATTGCGTGACTTTGTCACGTTTCCTTTTGACCAATCAAGTGAAGGGAATTTTTGTTGTACGTTGGTAAATCGCTATTGGTCGGTGTGAATTTTATTATTTGTAAAGTAAAACGTGACTAGCACACTTTCAGCAGTTAAGCAGACATTTTGGAGAGCAGTAATGGTGAATCTTGGAGATGTGTTCCCCGACTTCAAAGTCGACACAAGCAAAGGAACTATCCAATTCCACACATTTATAGAGGGCACGTGAGTAGAGCGAAACTTTCACGTACCTACAGCATGTATGTGCAGAGGTGTACTGAATAGTGATTGATGTTCTTCGTTCTCGTTTTCGATGTAGCTGCGTAACTAAAATTAAATCTTGTGTCACGCGGAAATCAAGTCTCGAAGCCTTTTAAAATTGTGGTTTTCTTTTCAGTCATTCGGAATTAACATTACATACTGGGTGGTAATTAAACATCTTTCCGCAAAGTGCTGACTCACTTTAACAAAGCAAATGTTAAAATGGCATAGAACGTCAAGGAAGTTTTTTTTTCTGATTCCTTTGAAAAATATATTGGCACTTGGACATTTCCTTTACCTACAATTCAACCTAAACGACCAATACTTTGGGGGTTTGCCCGTTAAGTTAATTCGATCGTGTCAATCACAGCGCGTATCGGTCAGAATGTTGCATCATAATTAGAATACATACGACAGGATTTATATTCAAACATCATGAACTGTTACCTTAACGGTAAAATTTACGATGTACGAATTATGATAACGGTGCGATTAGCGGCACGTCTGTTGTAGGCTATAATTTAATTAGATGCTGTTATGGGAAACACACCCGACCTCCTCGATTGAACGCATGCTGGTTATTTCTCTTGTTCGTGAAAGAAATGAATTGACAACAGTGTAAATGGCAACAGAATTAGATGATTCCTTTTGACTGGTTTGAAGTGGGCCTTTCGCTATGACTTAAAGGAATTGGCTCGTTTGAATCACCAGACATTTAATTTGAATTTGCCTCATGGTCTGGTGTAGATGAACAAAGGAATTGCTACACGTAATTTGCATCTCAATAACGTCTCCTTGATGACTGAATTAATTTTTCCGCCACTAAGCTCCTCATTAGAATTTTGTTTAGCAAATGATACACATGAACACCTGTATTCAACACACCTCATATTTAAGCTTACACCCTGTTTTCAGTGGACTTCAATTTCATCAATAGCACCCTAACATCAGTATGTATATTCTCCTTCCTAATGCACTGAGGAGGAGAATCTGTTTAACAATCAAGAGTGTCTTCTTTGGTGATCTTTTCCTTTATTCTTGTAACTGTAATGTGTGATTCAGGAGTAATGTTGTTGGGAGAAATTAGATGGTTGTTACTCTTTGGTAAAGGACTAACCCTCATAATAACATTTATCATATAAACTGTAGTTTTATGCATGGTTTTCTAGCCTTGAGAAAAGCCACAACAACAAATATGAAAAATATAATTTTTCAATAGTTATTGAACAAATGTGTGGCAACATGTGATGTGAGAATGGAAAATAATGGAATTAGGCTTCTACAAGGAAAGCAAGATTTGTCTAAATTTGATTAATTTTGCGAATCGAAATTCGATTAACACAGGATACTATTTTGTGCTGTTTTTGTAGACTATAAATTGTGTATTTATTATTCTGTGGAGTTGGATGGTCACCATAATTGTGGATCTCTCTGTAACTTCCTGGAGGCTTGGTTTTTGAGATAAGATCGAGCAACCTTGCATTGCTTTAAGACCATTAATTACAAGTTCAAAACCATGTTTCATCCCTAGGTGAAGTACTTTATGCACAATTTGGCCATAGGTATCTCTGATTGTATTTTCTGTCTTCCTCTTGTATATTATTAGTTAGTAAAGGAAATTACCACCAACTGAAGAAGCTCTTGATCGTTAAACAAACTCTCCTTGTCAGCAACTTATGAAATGTGTACAGAGCAGTATTGAAAATATGGATACTGATGCTGAGGCGTAAAGGGTTAAAGAAACTATGGTGTTGTGGAATTGGGTTCAACTGGCCCTTTGTTAAAATTGGTGATAGAGAATTTAAAACTCTATGGCATGCAAAGATGATGTTTTAAGCTCTAGTTTTCTTTGAAACATGGCTTTTCTGGAAATTACATGACTCTTAGGACCATTATTCACATTGCAATCCTTAAAATCACAAATCTGAATTCTGAAAATTTCAGTCAGTGATGATAAGAAATTGTATTCATTTTGTTAGGTGGGCTATCCTGTTCTCACATCCCGCAGACTACACACCTGTATGTACCACTGAGTTGGGACGTGTTGCTAATTTAACCTCTGAGTTTGAAAGACGCGGTGTTAAACTTATTGCCTTGTCATGTGATGGAGTTGAGTCTCACAAAGGTTGGATCAAAGACATACAAGGTTACAGCGGGCTTAGTGGGGATTTTCCTTATCCTATCATTGCTGATGAAAAGCGTGAACTTGCCGTCAAACTTGGCATGATTGATCCAGAAGAGAAGGATGCTGAAGGTCTGCCTCTGACTGCCCGCGCTGTAAGTTCATTTTGTTAATATCTGTGGGTAAAGTGATGTTTATTTTGACAGAGGTGTGACACCAAAAATTTGCCTTACCCACCCTGAGAGGGAATAATAATTATTTAGCATCTGAAAAAAACCCGTTGATTAAAGAGACTAGAAAGAAAAACACATTATCAACTTACATATGATGTCTGGGAATCAAACCTTTTACAGTTTTTGCATGACTGTGAGATCATGCCAGGTCTCTGGTTTGGTCTTAAATCACCACAGGCTTTTCTAAATGACTGAAATTTTTGAAAAACTAAGATTTTATCATAACATTATCAAAATTTTAAGGTTGGAATCAAAACTGTGGATAATAATAATGGAGTGCTTCTAAAGCTTACAACTCAAATAAAAATTGTCTTTGGCACTTTACAATAGCAGTAAAAAAAAATTCAAAAAGTTCATTTATTTAACAAACTTCTTTAACTTTGACAACTTGCAAGACTAGGAATTTGAACTTGCCTTGGTTTTTTTTTTTTTTTATATGATGACTTTCTTTGAGGAGATCAAGTCTTGATTATTTTTTTCCATCAGAGATAACTATAGTTTGTACATGAATGGATTTTTGCCTTTTTTCCTTCATTTAGGTGTTCATCATCGGACCAGACAAGAAGCTCAAGTTGTCTCTTCTTTACCCAGCTACCACTGGACGTAACTTTGAGTAAGTAAACAAATTAATCAATTGATGTGCCCTTCATAGAAACTTGTAAATAACAAAAATCAACGTTTGTCATGCAACTGAGTTTTATGTTGCTCTCAATGATATCTCACTTCACTAGTTAGCAAATCAAGAAGCCTTGACCGTGGCTCTGTTCTGTTATAAGTAAAGCACATAGGAAGTGGCCAGAGCACTAAAGAAGTGTAGGGAGAAACATGAGACATAGTCAAGTTTGTACAGTCATATGTAACTAAGTGCGAAAACCTTCAATACTTGGACTGTTCATTTCATTTTCTCTTTGAGGATTTTTGTCTCTGCTCAAGTTACAATAATGTCAATTATGGGGCTTGGCATGTCTACAAACCTTTCTTTGGTTCTTCTGTTGCTACTTGCTGGCCTGCTTTGTTCCAAAATTTTACTTTCAATTAATGAAAAAAGATCAGAGAGAAGACTGGGAAATAGTCAGACATAGGTACAAATCGGCGTGACAGCTTTCAACCAGTAGCAGCGTACACTAAATCTGAACTTTATTACAAATTGAGGTATTCAAGAAGACTTGGAACGAGGTTCAAAGTTGTCAAAAATTAAGTCAAACTTTTGAAGGAGCAAGGCATCACACAAATGTGATCATGTTCTTAAAAACATGTTTATTTATTTATTTAGCATTTGTAGTAATTTCACACTTGCTATGTAATCCCTGAGTTTTCATTATGATGTTGGGTTTCTTCTCTCTCTGATTTCAGTTTCTAGGGTCACCAGTTGTGAAATGTTTTTAGTATTTAATTTAATATATACTTGTAGTAATACTGTATTCATTGCGTGAACTTTGAATTTCATAGATCTCAGTTGCATTAATCAAATGCCCCTCAAGTAAATTGTTTTTTACTCAAAGATTTTTTATCCCACATCCCTTCCAGAATTTCATTACACTCCTATGCTTCACATTGAGTGGCTTAAATGAAACTTATTTTTTTTATTGTAGTGAAATTCTGCGTGTGATAGACTCATTGCAGTTGACTGCCATAAAGAAAGTTGCTACTCCAGCTGATTGGAAGGTAACTATCCCTTATACTTCAGGGTTTGTGCTTGTTGAGTTATAAGGAAACAGGAATAACCTAACTTCAATTGTCCCATCAAGATCTGAAACTTTACTAGCCACAGTAGATTCACTAACTGTTTTAATTCATCAAATATTTTACCTAACTCTTAGAACAGATATTATTTGTGAACAAATATCAGAGAATGAGTTTCCTCAAAGTGAAGGCTATTACTTGCCTTGTCTTAATTTGTCTATATTTATCTTGAATTTCTGTTTTTCCCATTCATTGAATTGAAATGATTCTTTAGTGGTGGTATTTGATCTATCTACTATAATTTTTCAAGCATGTTTCCACTGAAATTTGGGGCATTTTCATATGTCAATGAAGCAAAAAGGTAATTGAAATAAGCCTTAAAGCAATGTGTACATCAGTGGTGATGTAATATAAACAGGTTGATAGTTCTGGTTTTGAACTTTTTGCTACTTGTTACAACATTAAGCTTTAAGGGGGCTCTGGTTTGTTAGATGTATCATGAGGTGAGCCATCAGTTCCCCTTTATACATTTTCAACATAGCTAGAGTGCAACTTTTTGTTGTTGATAAAACAGCTTTGATGTATGATTTTTACCTTATAGAATGGTGGAGATTGTATGGTTCTTCCTACTGTTAAATCAGAGGATGTGCCTAGACTATTTCCAAGAGGTGTTGTAGTCAAGGACATGCCATCAGGCAAAGGATACATGCGTATCACCCCTCAGCCAGAGTGATGAACAGGGGTAATGGTGTACCCAACACATCCTTACCATTTATCTGATGATAACACAACCTAGCTATAGCTAGAATAATGTATAGTGAAGGAAATAGTGGGTTATCTTGATTATTGCAAAGTCCTTACTCATATTCCAAGCATTGGGGTTAATTGGTGAATTTTCCCAAGCTTGAGTAGTAGGTGATGTGGTAGGGGTCACTTGACTATTATTACAAAATGTAATAACTTAGCTGTTAAAATAAAGACGTCTAAGTAATTTTTCGTAAACCAAAATGATTGCCTTTTACTCCTAACATCTTTGTTTTCCATGATTGGAGCTACCTTCAACTCGAACAGAAGCTCTTTTGTGGCGCTGTTATTGGTTATTCCATTTAGAGGATGGAAGGAAGGGGAGGAAGGCTAGTGTATCTGCTTCTCATTCTTTTCTTTGCATTCGTTTCTGCCCTTGTGTGGTGCAGTGCTTCCTCTTTTGTGTTTTGACCTTTTCTCATCAGTTCATCCTTGTACCATTTCTTTGCCGAGTTCTTTCTGTCCTTCTCCCCTCCCTCTTCTCCTCCCCCCTCCCCTCCCCCTCTCCCTCCCCCTCCCCCTCTCCCTCTCCCTCCCCCTCTCAATTTCGATTGCTGGAAAAAGTACTGTGATGAGGGACCAGGAATAAAAAAGCTTCACATCGCTTATATGGTGATTCTGGATATCGAACTTTACTCGGTCTCAGTGAGCGTAACTAGCCAGAACAATTTGCTCTTGGCGAATCTTGTTTTAATAATTTTTCAGTCGTGCAAGACAGTTGTGCATAACACTTGGTCTTCTATTTGTGCAGAGCAATATTTGGTCATAATATAAACTGTGAGGAAAATGAAAAAAAAAAATTTTTAACAAGTTAACGACGAACAGTTTTTAGAATCGGGTTCATCTTTATTTTACTAACATCTAAGTTTCACAACGTTACGGGTGGAAAACAAGTTCCAGGTACTTAAGGTTTAGAAATTTATTTCCTACGTCCAGCGGCTTCAAAAAGTGAGTCAAATCGTTCAAATTACCGATCTCCTTGACAAGCTGGAACATTTCACAAAGGCTGAAAAATCCTGTGAACGTGATCGAACGTCTTCGGATACTGAAATAATCCTGGTAGTTACAAAAACGTATTGCCCCCAAACTATGTACTTACAATGAAGGCAATTTAAAAGAACAGTTGTTTAGAATGTGCACCACTCTTGAAGAAAATTCACCGTATGTATTCGATTAAACGCCCACCTGGAATAAGCGCCAGTCGTGTAGGTAGGAAGAGCTAATAAGCGCCTACCTCGACTGACAAGCGCTGACGGCCTGTTTTGTGGCAGATTATCGAAACCTTGCAGTCGAGATAAGTGAACCAGCCAATGCTGTTAAATTTATATTTTCTTTTCGCATTCATTCTTTTTCAATTCCATTGAAAGCATTTGCAATATGGTTAAATCCCATTAAAAATTGTCATTTTTTTTTATTGAGCAATGCTAATAACTTTCTAAGCATTTTAGTCTTCTGTTCGAGAACATCATTGTTGATGAGAAGTTTACATTTTAAGAACTTGAGCCATATGATTCAAAAGAGTCACAACCATAAATGAATAAAAAACCGTCCAATTAGACTGACAGGAAACGCTAAACAAATGGGGAAATTGCATACGAATGATTCTGAACTCTATTTAACTTATGGTGTATTCATCTGTTCGTTGCCGCTACAATAGCTAAAAGATCTTTTCATTGAACACAAGCACAGGTAGAATTTTCATCTTTTCCTCTCTTTTTCAGGAATTTTATAATTTTTCTCGCCCACTTTGTATTGTTAGTATTTTGCAACTATTACATGCATTTGTGAGAGATCTTAGCGAGCTCTATTGAGCTTTCCAAAGTCAAGCATTATAGCTAGACCGAGTTGCAGTGAATTTCTTATCAAGAGTAATTACAAATTTATGAGCCTTTTTAAACCATGAAATATTATTGTTTTATGAATTTCAATGGCAAATAATGAAGTGTACAGGTCTTCATTTCGTTTAATAGAGCACTGGTTGGTTGGATTTACTTGTAGACTGTTCCTTTCTCCGTATTTAATGATTTGGTCCTAAATAATCCGGCTCTTTTTCCCACCTGGCTTATTGCGATAAGCTTTTGTATAGCACCAAATTCAACATTCATCTGCCATTATACTTTACAGATATAATGGTCTTCTTTTCAAGGAATTAAGTTTGGACTTGTCACAATTGGATCGGTTCATTCCGTCGTAGATCCCATTTCCAATGTGGTATTTCCTTCATGATCGTGAAAATAATAGTTTTCTAGGAGAATACAATGAGTTTGCTTGACGATTCAGAACCCTTTGTAGCAAATGGAAATCCCTTCTTTTGGCAGAATTAAGGAATACGGAAGCTGGTAAGAGTTCATTCTCTGCTCTATGTGTATATATAAGATATTTTACTCCGCTGTCGGGACATGTTTTAAACTGAGCAAACAGAGAAGCTAACATTGATAAACAAGCGTTCTGCTCTTAGGAGAGTGATACCGACACCAACATGGTTTTGAACGATACAGAAACGTGGACAAATTCCACTACCGTGGTGAACCAAGAAAGCTCATTGTATGCTTGCCCCAAATCACCAGACTTGACGTTTGATCTGGATGCAACCACCTTCCCTTGGATTTTAGTGAGTGTCAAATCGTTCGCTTGTCTTTCGATTTCTTTTCTCAACTCACTTGTATTCACAGCGGTGAGAGTAAGAAAGGAGCTGTCCAAACATTCCTACGTGCTGTTGTCCAGCCTAGCCGGTGCAGACTTCCTGGTGGGAACTCTCACGATGCCCTTCTCCGCTAGTCTCGATGTATTGCTCGCCATCCGTAGAGTGACATACTTCTGCACGTTAGACATTGTCAATGTGTACTTGATGTACTGCGCCTCCTGGTGTGCACTTTATCACATGACAGCGATTGCTTGGGAGAGGTTCGTAGCCATAACAAAGACAGTGCTCTACCCAGTGAAAGTTACAAGAGGCCGCCTCAGAACGCTGGCCACAGTAGTTTGGATGGGGGCAATATTGACGACTTTACCGCCCTTTGGGTTGGAAGCTGCTGGTTTGGACCTCATGTTCGTTGAAATGTGGATATTTTTCGCGAGCATCTGCGGTGCAGTTTCCTTAATAGCAACCGGCTATTTTTACGTCAAGATATACATCGAAGTGCGCAAACGCAAGATCGAACAAATAACTCAAGTGACAGTTCTGGCTCAAGCAAAGCTCGAGACCAAAGTTGCCAAGACAGCTGCCTTGTTAACCCTCGCTTTGGTAATTTCGTTCGTACCAGGTATAGTTGTCAGCAGTTCCCCAACCCTACGCACAAGCACTAGCATTCGAGTGTCAGAACTTATTATGCAGATGGGCTCTATCGTGAATCCGCTGCTATATTGCTACAGAGACCGTCGCTTTAGAAACGCCTTGCTGGAGATGTTAAGGATGAAAAAGCCGCAAGTTATCCAGCGGCCAGCAAATGCAGCCATGCCAGTGCATCGTGTCCAAGAAAAAGTCCCCGTGAACTCCAAGAATGCGTTGCCGAAGGAAACCTCCCGAGAAACTCGAACTGATGGCTTTACACGTTCAGCATCCTGTGCATCACTAAACACAGAATTAAATCGGCTATCCCATCAGACTACTTGCCACAAGACGCTGACGAGATCCATGTCAGCTCCATCGTTTGCTCAGTTCAACGCCGCCTTCGAATCCAATCAAATGCCGCTTCCGTCTACTTTGACTAGGACAGAGACATTCCATGGGGAAATTAAACCTGCATCTAAGCCTGAAAACTAGTGGCGATTAGATGCGGGGTAGATGAAATGATGGCTATCGAGTAATTAATTGATTGGATACGAATCGTATGTATATATATATATTTTTTTTTTTTTTTTTGATTCGATCTGTAAGAGACAATACATGATTCATAAGAAATCTAACAGCCAGCGATTCACGAAAGTACATGCGGAAAGTAAATAATTACAATACTGAAAATCAAACTGATTACAAAAAAAATTATTTACTTCTGTGGTGTTATCCAGTCAGAAATTACTGCAGAACAGGTCAGCGAAACGGGAAACAAACAGGTCAGCAGAAAAACTACAGGCTAGCTAACGTGGAATAGAACTTTCTCTTTCACAACTGAGATCCCAAGGTAAACTTACTTGAATGATTGCGCCATCGACTGCCCTCGTGTAGTTTAGTACTGGCAATATTTGATTTTCAACAAACCCAAGTGTTATGGGAAATAAGGGTATGTGCCTTTTGAAACAAAAGGGTTAGGTCTATGTCGTAGTGAAGTGATAATGAAGTTCTATATACTCTTAATGGAAAAGTTCCAACCAGCCCAAAAGTGAAGATTGTTTAACAACTGAAAGAACAAGACAGTTGAAAAGGACTAACTCAAACGTTTTCTGCGTTAGTTCGTTCGTTGCAAAGTAAAGAAAGAGTTTTCGATTTAAACTCTTTTTTTCTACCTTATGACAGAAAGTTTGGGTGTCTCTCTCGCTTTTTCATTCGATTAGCTCTGTAAAGATAATTCGTCAGTAACGATATCAAAGCGCAGTATTCATGCATCAGTTAAGCAAGGAGTAAGGCAAAAGTTTGTGATCACTTACCAAAGTATTAAATGATAATAAAACAGAGGAAAAGTATTGATGCTTTGCAGTTCAAAAAAAAAATTCGTTCATCATTGGTGTCAAATAGCTCTCAAGGCACGTCGCTTTTCTGTAATTTGTAGCTAAATCTAACTCACCATAGTAGCAAGGTATTGAGGTTAAAAAGAGGTGTGTACATTTAATGATAATGATACTAAAAACAACCATAATAATAACAGTAATGATAATGATTTATTCAGGCTTTCCAAACCGTGAGTTTGGCTCTTCATCCAGAATTTACGTCTACAAACATAATATAAATCTATAGTTGAAAAACCACACCAGCTTCTATAAATATTCGAAGGGTAAGCTTAAATAATGACATTATGAAATATTGGAGTCAATAAAACTTATTTGCGTGTGTTACATCCTTGAACAGGATTAAGCAAATTATTTAAGGGCCACAAACAGACGAGAATTTTAAATTATTTTGACGCGCTTGATTAGCCCACGTCGTAGAGCGCCGGATTCTTGTATGAGAGATCAAGGGTTTAAATCCCAGACTGGACCAACATTCAGGGTCTCAAAATAACTGAAGAGAATGTGCTGCCATTGCTATGACGTCTGCAAATGGAGAGAAATTCAAGTCTTCTCGGATGAGGATGAGAAATTATAAGTTCCGTCTCGAGCATGTCCTGAACCTCCTCCCCGCCCTCCCCCTCCCACCAAAAAAAAAAAAAAAAAAGGGGAACGCCCTCAGGCGTCCATTAACCTAACCGGAAAAACTATTGGCCTCATAGTTTTCTTTTTTAAGTATTTTATCTTTCAAATTATGTCCAGGGAAACTACAACGATGACATCCAGCATGGATACCGTGGATTTTAACCAAATTAAATTAATTTTTTTTCTCTTTTCTTGTCTTGTCTGTTTTTGGGAATTAAAGGGTAAAACAACTGGAGTATCATTGTTCACAATCGAATCGCGCAGTTGACAGCTCGGAAGTGAGATTGTTCCCTTATTCTTCGGAAGGAACGAGTCAAGTTTCGCCATCCAGAACACAACTGCAGCATGGTTACGTGCTGGAAAACCGTATATATAATAAGAGATATTTATATCAATCGCGCTGTATCTTAGCAAATGAGTCAGTAAAAGACACGAGACTTTGACAACTGACAAGCTTTAATTCACATTCAGTTCTACTCTGTTTGTTCATGAGGAGTGTACCGCATGTACCCTTTACCTGAGGGCATTTCTCTGACTTTGACACCCTTTGGAAATAGTTTCTCAAGATCTTCATCTTTCACCGTGGGAAGAACCATACAGTCTTTGCCAGGCTGAAAAAGGTCAAATGATAAAATAATAAATTCACTTCAATGCAAACATCATAGTAACTGACAAGGAGCCCAGTTTATTTAGGCGGATGCCTTGCCGTCGTGGCAGAAAAGCCATCGTTGTTAAATAAATTATGGATTTTGGAAACGAGGTTGTCAGGAAAATTTCAGTGGGCAGATCTAGGAGAGGGGTACAGGGGATGTGCATCCCCTCCCCTCTGAGGTGACCTGAGGCTTTCTGATATAACTACACGGTTATAGAAAACCTGCCGTAGCGTTCATCTAAGTTGTTCACTTTACCTTTTTGTCTAGTCTTAGGTCTTACTCTTCGTCGTTCGTTTTCATAATATGTTTGCGATCAGTTACGCCATTCATTAGAGGCGTACCCCCTTCTGAGAAAAAAATGTTGGATCCACCCCTGATGTATTGCTGTTGTTGTTGTTGTTGTTGTTGTTTTTATTTTGGTACTTATAAACTACGAAGATTATCAATCCAAGTGATAAATTGTTCTTTGCATCTAAACCGTATTCAATGGCGTCCAAGAACATTTTAGTTTTTGCTTTAGAATTCAACCCGTGCCTCCCAGATATCGGTTGAGTGTTACAAACTAGCAAGCTACAAACTTTAGGGAACAAGTAAGGAGAGACGTAAATTGTAACTTTTTTTCGTTGTCCGCATATGCATCTAACGCCAAATAATGTATACGAACTCATCAAGCCTCTCAACTACCTCAAGTGCTCTACTTTTTCAATAAAGACAACCTACCTCCCAGTCTGCAGGAGTGGCCACTTGTTTTGTGGCAGTCAACTGCAATGAGTCTATCACACGTAATAGTTCACTGCAAGCGAAGTAAAATAGCCAGTTACTCTCGGGTGATTTCCCAAATGATCCGGTAAGGAGTGCTTGTCGGAAATCGTGAATCAAAGACCACTCTGGGCGTGGCTTAGACTTAATTTTTAACCCTTTGACCCCAACGACTGATCAGCATCTAATTTCTTATCACAATATCACCTCTAAATCACACATTAAGGTCACGAGATTAAAGGGAAAGGTCACCAACTAAGGAAGTTCTTGATTTTTAAACAAATTCTCTTTGTCAGCTTCTTAGAATTGTCTAGAGAAAGTATGGAGAATATGCACATTGATATAAGGGTGTAAAGGATTAATGACTTGACTTACTGCAAGTTCCGTCCACACGAGGCGGGATACAGGAATGACAACTTAAGTTTCTTGTCTGGTCCGATAACGAACACCTTTAACATTATGAAAAGCATCTATAAATATTCGATAAATTTGTGGAAATCAACATCTCCCATAATGCCATTAGGTCTCATCGTTCATGGTTTATGCTTTTTAGGTTTCAATGTTTTTTCAGTGGAGTGTCTGTTAGACTGATTCGAAAGACAGCCGGAGTTTAACCAAGTTTCTGGCAACATGAAACAACTAGGAGTATAATTTCTTTCTCCCGCCCCAAGGGTTTGTTTTACTGAGATTTTACTGATATCTACTTATACTTCTTGTGAAGTTGATGAGGAGCGCTTTGAGGGAAAAGTGTCTCAATTTTCTTGAACAGGTCTCTATTTCGGATCTTTCTATCATACGCGCATTGCAAAAACCGCTCTGCCATCGCGTATTTATTTGGAAACACGGTCAAAACGCCTACCGCACGGCAAGTAAGTGGCATTCCTTGAGCATCCTTTTCGTCAGGATCGACCATTCCCAGTTTCACAGCCAGTTCACGCCCTTGGTCGGCAATAATCGGATAAGGGAAGTCCATTAGGTCTGTCTTGATGAAGGCCTTGATATCTTCCATCCATCCTTTGTGTGTGTCAACATCATCACATGACAAAGCAATGAGCTTAACACCGCGCTTGGTGAATTCTGGGATCATTCCAACCAAGCAGCCCAACTCAGTGGTACACACGGGTGTGTAGTCGGCGGGGTGAGCGAATAAAATGGCCCATCTATAGAGAGTAACAACAGTGCACTACAATGATGCATCGTACTAATAAGGAATTCGCAGCTTGATATGATGTTGTACTTCTTATTATAAAATCAGTTTTTCCCGTATAACCTTGAGCTTCTGCAACCTACTTTTACTCATGACTTCTTCGGCACGTGGCCATGGAAGAAGAGATTTATCACATGCAAATTTCCTATTTCGCGGATTGTAAAGCCACGAACAAGCTGCACGGGCACTTGAGGTTCGCTTTTTTTCGCCAAACCGCGTAAGTTTAGTTTCAGTTTTGTCGTATTATTTGACGTGAGGGCTGAAGGAAATTGGATTTCCGGAAGGGAGCTAACTTGAACCCTCAAGCTCTGAGGAAGGGAATGGGCTCAGTCATGACAAAGAGAAATTCACAAAATTGCTGAAATTATGCGAGATAATGAAAAAGAAAAGATTTACAGGGAAAAAACCATCAACATCAGTTGCGACTAACGCGACAGACACATCTCTAAAAGGAGTAACTTTTTTCCCGTCTCATTCAAGCCCCGTTCATGGGAGGGATCGGTCATTATTTATCGCTTGAGGGGAAGGAGGGTGGGATTTTGGTTGTGGCACGAAATAATTTTATGATCCCACCCTGAAATATTCTTATGATAACCCTTCCCCCCCCTCGCCTCACTGGCAGTTAATTGGCGGTCAATTAGTCCCTATAGTCCCCCCCCATCATCGTATTCTGTTGGCGACGATTAACCCGCCCCCCCTTCTTTTCCTCTGAAAACCATGTGACTCCCCCAAAACCCTCCCATCTCCCCCCCCCCCCGACAATAGATACTCACTGGTCTCCAAGTAGGCTATTACATACCATTGCATAACTCTCGGAGGCCAGGGCCTGTGTAAGCACGGGTTCTTTAACAACTCACTAAAGAGCATACAAGTGGGCCGCCCTTCCTGTTTTTGTCTCAATTTCAAATCTTTTAATATTGTTAAGGGCTCAGAAACACATGTAATCCCTTGAAAAAACATAGCCCGGATTGTTACATACTGAACAAGTTCTTTTTTTTTTTTTGTAGACCTTCATCCACCTAAAAGGTCACCGTTTGTTTGCCTTAATTAGTTACTTGTCAGTAATTGATAATTCATCATCTGTTTGACTGATGGCTTAATTTAGTTGAATTCATAACATTGTGCAAGTAATTGACATTTTCTTATTTATCTTTCGCTGTCCTTATAAATCCTTAACACACCTCGCTTCTGCTTGGCTCATTCTGACGTCGAGCGTTCGTTTTTCCACGGGAAATGACATTGCAAATATTTCCTATCACGAAAATAGGTCAAATTGACGTAACAGAGCCCCCCTTAATTAATGGAACACTATCCTTACAACACACCCCATAACTAACACGGATTGTAAGAGTGGCATGTCAAGACAGTTTAAATCATTTCTTTCTCTCTATCTTTCGTGCATGTGCTGACATCTTTCGTGCAAAAGTCGAAATGGGTTTGATTAAACTGAAATATATAACCCGCGTTCGATGTAAACAACGCAAACGGTATTGCGCAGGCCAGAGCCAACAAAAGATCATGAATGACTAGAACGAACAGCCAGTTGAAATTGTTTTGTCAGTTCTGCAAGATGAAACGTCAAATTAGATCTCGGTAGATCGGAGAATAAAAGATAACAGAAAAACTTTAGGCACTAGACTTGTGGACCACCACAGACAACAAAAATTCAAAAAGGTTTACAGTGCGCAAAAATTATTTCAAACTTCTACTTACGATCCTTCGATAAATTTGTGGAAATCAAGCTCGCCTTCGCTGGTGCGGACATGGAAATCAGGAAAAATCTCCCCTAGGTTCACCATTTTGGTCGTCAGTTCAGCTGCGCTTGTCCCGACTCAATAAAGAGAACTGCCTGTGTCCTTGTGTCAGGAAATGCAACTATCAAAATGTTCCTAAAGAGGGGATTGTAAATTGGGTCTATTTTAGGTCAGTAGTCCAAATACCGACACGTAAAATGACATGATTCGGCTAAGCGCCAAACACGCGATGCCAACCCTGAGCTGGACAGTGTCCAATTTTTTGAGAGTAACGAACTGACAGTTCAACATCCGATTGTTATTTTTATTGACCTTCTATTGATTTATCTACGCAAATATCTCTCTATTAAGTTGTTTAGTTGGTTGTTTCTATGATTTGATTAGTTGATTTCCACGCTTAAGTCTGTTTTAGTCGGCCTCTTGTTTTATTTTTATTTAAATTTCTGTACGAAGCCTTTCTTTAAACAGCCACACCTAGCGAGTGGCAGTGTCCACCACTATAATTTTCCTACTGTCTGCCATAAAATTCGTATGATATTATTTTTGAGAATTTCGTATTGGATCAACTGATAATCCCCTTAACTATATTTCTGTATTCCCCGACATCAGATGTCGGCTTGGTACTGTAACGAGAAACTCGACTTTGTCTTGGTCACTCACGGGAGTTAAAGGGTTAAGCTATTCAGATGACCTAATGAAGAGAATCTGACAAAAACAGCAAAGTTTAAATTTTCAACCTTGAAAAGTGAAGCACACGCCGTGATATCGCTCCATCAAATTTAATATGTGAAGGTTTACTCGTGCCAGGCCCGCTTCTTTGGAGATAAGTTGGAACTGTTTGCTTCATTTTAAAAGCTAATTCACAGCTAAAATGACAATGTTTAATCTTTGCCGGAAATCCGAGTGCAAAAAGCTTCTCCATTTTCTACAGCAACCGGTGTAAACCTGAAAGAGAAGGTCGTTGATCTTTTAGCCTTATCGTCCAAGTCGGAATGGCTCTGAAAAGGATTGCTGCCGAGAAAGCGACAGACGGTTTTTAAGTGCTCATGACCTCTTTATTTTATTGAGAACGTGATGTTAAGGTATGGGAATTTGAAACTTCGATGAACTCTGTCATTAGTGTCTGTCTCTTCATTTGGGAACAATGAGGACGGATGTTATACCGCATGCCCAGGGAACACCGATTAGTTTGCAACTTGTCTGCGCATTTCCGTCCGCACGGAACGTGATATCCGATATCTAGGTCGAAAGGTCTGAGTATGAACCCTCGCCGCGTAACATTATTTCTTCTTGACAAGACTCAAGTACTCCTGTCCACCCATATGTAAAAATGTATAGCCACGAATTGTCCAGGGAAACTCGTATCATGCTGAGGGAGGGTTGCGACTCAATTTCCTTTCATAACTTTGCTCTTTTAGAAATGGAACCTTCATATAAGTGGAGGGTTTTTATCTTAGGAACCGGTCCCTATTTATCTCGGGTAGGGGGGGGGGAGAGGCTTGTAGGATTTCAGTTGTGTCAATATGAAATTTACCTGATTCCCCCACGGGTTCTTTAGTATTTAGTAATCCCCCCTCATTGGGAATCAATTTTGTATAGTCCCCTCTTAATACTCTGTTAGCGATGACTGATTCCCAAAATCCTCCAACACCCACTCGTCGGGCAATAAATAATAACTTTTCCTTTTAGGGGATTAAACCTCTCCACACCTCTTTTAGATATTTTCACAATTATTATGTGCCCACAACATTACTCTACTTGACATAACTCGTTTATCAATCCTTAAACCGCTGAATTTTGCTTCATGTGGTTATCCTACAAAAGAGGAGATAAAGCCGTGGTGAATAGAACTGCTTCCCGACTAAACTATTTGTACCCTATCGTTTAGACTCAAATAACCATGTTCACTCAATATTACGTCTTTGCCGTGGTTTAAATAAAGAGGCGCCGTCGAGGGAATGGGATAATTTCTCGCCGCATCTTTACATGCACGCCGTACAAACTGCTTGGTGTTTTTTCAATCTTTCGCGTGTTTCGAGCGTTTCACCATCTAATTTTATAAAATAATTCAAATAGTACGCGCGCTCTGATTGGCCATAAAACCATTTTACATGAGCGTATGTAAACACGGAAACCATTTTACACTTCTTCAATAGTAAAGAAACATTAATACAAAGATTCGGTACTTTGAACGTGGGATGGTAACTAAATAGCATTTTTCTTTTTCATATCCCGCCCGGACTTTTCATTTTCTGAAAAATTTACAACCTTAAGTCTATCATGTTAGTCTAAATAACGAAAGTGTCCTAATTCTGCACATAGACTAACCTCGTTCGCAGGCTCCTCTTTTTCTTGTCTCATGAAGCGCGAGGAAAAGAAGAGAATGACTCGAATTGGATCTGCTTTTGTGCGTGCCTCACGGTCATTGCTGCACAACCTGGTCAGTGCAGTCAGAACCCTCTTCCTTCCCTCCCTCCTCTCCCTCTATCAACACCGAAGATGATGATAAGTGAACTTTCAGAGCGAACATAATGACCATTGGGAAATACAGCATGGAGCAAACTCAGCTTCCTTCCCGAAACTGATTAAATTCAAATCAGAAATAGAAACGTAAACTTTTGCTGTGATTTTATTATTTCGACTGCCATACGGCAAGGAGCATGATCATGTTGAAGGGAGTCAACCATAATGTGACGGAGGTGCTTTCCTACTGATTATCATTTGGAAAATTTCCCACCGGTGACAAACGCGCGACAATAATGTTAATGATATGTTATACTTACTGCAGATTTCAGAAATGATATTGTCGAACAGATAAGATATTTCGCTAAAATTTTGTTTCAGCTGACTCTTAAATTTCTTATATTATCTGGTGCCAACAGCCAAAATTTTAACGTCTTTAGCCTGCAAAACATTATTATTGATTGCAATGGAAATTCTGATGGAATGGGACCGAGGAGAGGAGATTGGGTCGGTAGGATTTTGGTTGTCTTACTATCGAGTAACTTGATCCCCCCTAAGGCTTATGACCCCCCCCCTCCCTTATTGGCAATTAATTGGCAGTCAGAGGTTTTTAAGAGGCTCTCAAATACTTGAGATTAAGCATAAAAACAAAATTTTGAGCATCATTTTTGGCATTATTCTTTTTTTCAGGGGTGACGCCTAAAGCATAATGCTCAAATTTTAATCTTTTGATTTTGATCCAGATAGCTTTTGAGACCAACAAAATAATGTCGCTCTTGAAGGAAATAAAAAACAACGCTTAGATCGTTCAGTGCGGCCATTTTGGACAAATTTTTTGCTCCGTATTACTTCCCGATTTTACAGTGTGACACCGTTGCATATTTGCATATTAGCGATCCCCTCCAGCAGCACATTCTATTCTCATTAGCCTCTTACTAGAAGGTACCTCCCCCCTCCGCCTCTTCGCGAAAAGCAAAGTGACAAGTACGCTTCGGATTGAATAGTATTGGAAGATTTTTCGAAAGACAACAGCAAACTGAATAAGTCTCCATTTAGAAAAATTTTATGGTCTTATCAAAATGCGCGAATTTGTAAAAGCACCGATCACATGAGCAAAGTCAACAGTCGCATGTTTCAAGATAGGGCAATTAGAACGACTTTTCTTTTATTAGCTTTTTCCTGAGGCACAAGCGATAGGAACACCTGAGCAGTAAATAAACAGCGGTTACAACGATGATTAACAGAAAAATAAAAAGAGTGAATACGTCCATAAGGTAAAGCTGATAAAATGGTAGATCCAGGCTTCGTGGTCTGAGGAACGATAAGTCACCTTGAGCCTGTGCGTACTCCACCCATTCAGCGGCCTCCTCGATGGCAGAACGTGGGCGCAACTTGATAGACTTGGAAATTCTAGCAGCATTCTCGCGGTAGCTAAAAACGCAAAAAACGCCATTAATTGACACAAATGCTTCTAAGATAAAGAGACAACAGCTTTTAAAATCCACCATAGATGAATCATGACCAGCTTTTAGCCGTTGTATAATCTGAGTTACCTTGGATTGTTAAGAACAGTGCTTATTAACGTCACAAGACTCTCCTCAGTTATTGACTCCTTATGCAAAATCTCCGCCATCCCAAAGTGCTTTGCGGCCACAGAGTTATCAAACTGGTCGGCAAAAAAGGGAACACAAATCATAGGGACTCCATGGTAAGCAGCCTCCAACATTCCATTCATTCCAGCATGGCCAATGAACAAACGTGTCTTTGGATGACCGAGAATGTCGTTTTGTGGAAGCCAGGAAGACACTTTGACGTTGTCGCCAAGGTGCAAACTTTTACCCTCTGTTCCAAATAAGAAAAGCACAATATTGTACATTTGGTAAATTAAACAGCAAAACAGCATGGACGTGACTAGTACAGTTCCCAGCAATACAATTGTGCGTTAGAACAACTTTGATATTCGAACACAGCCTCGTAAGTTCGAATTTAAGATCGAGACCATAATCTTTTTTTTTTATCATCGCTAAGAGAATCAAAAGTTAATGGCTGGGTACTTCGTTCTAGCACGGGAAAAAGGTTGATAAACAACTTTGGCTTATGCATATACAGTAAATCTAATAAAATGGCAGGTTACCTGTATCAAGTTTCCAGACAACTCTCTGTGGTAAGTTGGAAAACACAGCTGCCATTCTTTCAATTGTCCGATCGTCTATCTCTGACAAAATCGATCCAAACGATACAAGTATGACACCTTCTTCCCCAGACCCCATGACAAACCGTTGAAGATCATCTGGGAGAGGTTTGGGTGGGCTTGAGAGCAATGGGCCAACAAGTTTAGTATCTGGAAATAAGTACAGGGGTACAGAATAGTTAGGACAAAAATTAATGATACATAATGCTCTTACTCTCCCCCCCCTCCCCTCCCCCCCTTTTGTGGGGCCTCATTCGTATGTAACTCGATTTTCAATTAGTAAAATAGACTTTAAACACGTGATTCTTACTCGGTAAAAGAGGCCTTGGATAATCGAGGGGACCTGATTGAACAAGGATAAGGTCAACTTTCTGGTAAGTCTCCTGGAGAGTTTTCTCTGGTGTGATGTTGTGCTTCTTCTTCAGTGTCTCATAGACTCCGTCAATATTGAAAGGAGCTATCGTTTGAATAAGGCATAGCGCAGTGTTCTTTACTCTCTGTAGAAAATTCATGTGGTCGGTGAAACCTGAGGTGAACTGGGGTTGGTAAGAAGGGAGGTTTTCAAAGTTCAACGGTAAAATTGAACCGGAACTAAGTGGACTCATCAAGACTGTAACATGAGGTAAGGAGAATTTATCGGCGATCAAAAACGAACACAAGAACAGCGCATCTCCAATAACAGCATCGGAGGATTTGATTTGGTTCATGACATCAGGGTTGCTGAGTATTGCATCACAATTGTACAACCATAACTTCATTAGGTCGTCTATCTTGGTCACGTCAAGTTTGTTGATATCATCCGGGGAACTGAATGTTAGAACACGTGGGTCTTTTGCAGCATACGTCTCACGTTCTCCAACAACAATCAGCACCTTGTAAGGAAAGAATACAGTAAGAGAGGCAATAAAGTGGGGTCCGGTTTTGATTGTCTTAGCCGTCATCAGATACCGCAACTGCGAAAACACACATCACACCTAGCCTGTGCAACTAGCACTGAGACATTTTTTGAGTTGTAGAGGAGTGCATTAAGACGAATACACGCGAAACAATAGCGTGACTCGTGACTGGCCAAGTGTTTTCTAAGCGGTCTAAGAAATGAAATAAAGACAAACAAAAAACAAGGCATTGGGAAGGGTAATAAGTCCTGGTTTAGTAAGATAACATTCACTGAAATGATTAGTTTGGAAGGAATGAGTCATATTTCATGTTTTTGAGTGGACGTTCTGCTTACGGGAAGAAAGAAATTGCTTCAGCTTATCCTGACACTCAGCCTTCTGAGAATAAATTAAACTTGTGGGCCTTAAACCCCATTAGCTACAACCAGGGTAGCCTGCGTTTGAAACACTGCACTTTACGTCGTATTACGGCGTCATTTCCTGTCAGGAGCATTTTTTTGGATGTTGAAAACGTATGAGCTTACTCAACTCGCCAGTATATCGATCAAGTTGTTTTTGGTTTCCCTGGCAGTTCGAGTTTGTAGGGTCAAGAGAGGATGACGTGATTCATTCTTAACTACCTATTATTTGAGATGAGTTCGGTTTTAAATTGTGTGAACAGTGTCGGTCAGTGCCTTTAAATAATGTGCAGTTGAAGTGGGTAACAAATTCTGCAGCTTACATGACACACTTTACATTTCAACCGCTGTCTTATCATGAAACTCTAAAAAGGCCTTTGATGTAAGATAATATTGGCTGAAATCATTATCAAATATTTTAAAACTCACATGTTACAAGTAAAAGTAATCACATGATTTCGAGTGCAATTTTTGGATAAATCACCACAAGTAAATTTTTCAAACGCTTAGCAAATTGCACAACCCTATAGGACGAGTGCAGTTTGTTGTCTTTGTTAACTCTCGGAGAATTTTGTTCAGGGCCTCCGGTTCCTACGAATCAATACTTTTGTCATAGCCGATTTTGGAACCTCAAGACTTCTCGACTTTTAGCCAGTCGTTTTGCACTTCGTTAGGAGTTTTTGTGCTGAATTAAAACGTTGTTACTTTCTCGTAGTTAACCTGTCCGCTATTTTGTTTTGTTGTGCTTTTGCGACTCTCCAGTCAATCAATTTAATTTCAGCTTTCTGCACTCAGTTTCAACTTTCTGAACTGTTTAGGTTAAATTGACGAATTCTCAACCAATGAATATCGATAATTTTTGGCATGCATTTTATCAAACGGGCAGAAGGTCAGATGAAAACTGTGCCCGAGGTCTCATGAATGACCCGAAGGCGGGGTAACGGATGAACTGGTCCATTTCTGACATAAAGCTTTACCCTTTGGAACATAGTGCATTGATATGCCCAGTTATGTGAGTAATTCATGCCGCTAACATAATTTGGAGCCCCAAAAATGTAATAAGTCTCTTCTTTATTTTTCCTTTCGATCTCCACCGTTGAATTTGCTCCATCACTACTAAATATGCAGATGCAATGTAATTGTTCGTGTCGTTGGCTTAGTGGTACGAGTTTTTGGCCGCCAAATCGGAATTATTGGTCACAGACAGGTCGCAAGGCACTCGGGCCGCTTATCCCAAATTTGAAATGCAACTATAAAAAAAAAAACACGCCAAAAATTTTCGCTTTAAAGGCACAGTAGTATATGTGTAGAAATCCCTACGCTTCGATTTCCTTCAGTGACAAGCCACAGATTCTTGAACTGCGATTCCTAAATGCACTAAATTTACCTCGTGTCCTCTGTTTTCCAGCTCTTGCCCAAGCCTTGCATGAACCAAGTAGTGACTCTTACCAGCCATTGGAATCATCGCAAATTTTGCAGCAAAGCTAATAGTTTGATATGCAAACAACAATACGATGCTGCACGTAAGCGGTTGACTGAGCATCAAAGTCATGATCCAGAGATGCTGGTTTCAAAATGTCGTAAGTATAGGCTTCTCGAAAAGCACTATGCGTTTAGCGAAAAGCAGCTCGTTCTGTGGTGCGTGGTTTCTTTTTGGATACTCAGTTATGTGAATGTTTGCATTTGACTTGTACATGTACAAAATACATGTTGCGTGACATTACTGAAGGATATAAAAAAGGTATTAACCCAATATCAAGTTCTTTGTTTTTAAATCTTTTAAATACGAACTGACGTATTATATTCAGACCACGACCTATTCAGTTTTTCTCGAAGTTAGGTGAAGCTTACTTTTAAGACCTTGACCTAAGACCTTTTAAGAACAATAATTACTGATTGTTTTCAAACAATGCGTTAGTTCCCGCTGATGTAGGCTTTAAAAATTAACCGAAGGTGAACACAGTTAGCTTCGCACTTCTTCACTGAGGAAAGGTTGATAACTTTGAGATATTAAACAGCTATGGAAAAGCATAGCTATGTTCGATATTAGGCAACAAACGGCTCATTTTCTTAAATAACCTCAAAATTAAGAAGATATCATGCCACAGTAACATTAAATCTATACCTTTGGGCTTGTTTTGTGTTTCTTTTATTTTAAGAAAAAGTAGCATAGTCTTTGAAAATAAGCATAATTTTAGTGTTGGTTAACCATCAAAATCAAAAGACTAAAAATATAACTGTCAACCGTCAAACCCTCATCCTAACATCTCTATAAACCATTTGTGAAGAGGGACGTTCTACAGTGATTTATTTACAATTAATCAGAGCTTACATTTAATCTGCTTTTTGCAGTGTTTATTTCAATCCCCACATAACTACATGCACAGCCGATTATATCAAAACTGAGAACACTTTCGTGATTTAGAGTTTCCATGTATTTTCTCTCCTCACATAAACCTACGGTAACTGAAGGGAACCAGGCTTCATTAAAACCTGTAATTCATAAGATCAGCTTGTTAATTCTCCCCTCCAGCTGCTGCCGATTTCCTTCCAAATTAGTCGCAAAACTTTGGTGCCAGGTCGAGATAACAACTTTATTTGATAAGTTTGGGTATTCTCATTACTTGTTTGTTGGATGATGTTTAGGTGTTATAGGAAGAATTTACAAGTTAATCGCTTCTGGGAGCCAGAGGTAAGGGGGAGCTCAGTATCTGATCGATAACAATCAGAAACAGAAAGAGAAAGTAGGATGAGGAGGAAAACATCACCGATTGTAATCTCAGCTCCTTGTTGTTGTCAGAGGGACGATGGAAATACATGATGATAAAGTTGTCTCAGTTTATTTTTGTGACAAAAACATTGCGATCTGTTAGTTCGGCTTTTCTTTCGTCGGCTTCTTGTTGCAGCAAAAACGATACAAACACCTGAGCACTATATAAACAGCGGCTACAATGATGATTGACAGCAAAAGAAACAGAGCTAATACATCTAAAAGGTAAAGCTGATAAAATGGTAGATCCAGGCTTCGTGGTCTGAGGAACGACAAGTCACCTAGAGCTTGCGCGTACTCCACCCAGTCAGCGGCTGCCTCTATAGCAGAACGCGGGCGCAGTTTGATAGACCTGGAAATTCTGACAGCATTCTCGCGGTAACTGAAAGTAAACAAATGTTGGTTTGTCTTTGGTCTTTTTGATTTTCAAAGTGGACTCAAATACCCTTTTGCGATAAAGAAAGACAAAGGCATGGACAAATCCACCATAGAAGTCTTATGACCAGCTATGGGCCGTCACGTGATTTCGCTTACCTTGGTTTGTTAAGAACAGTGTTTATTAACTTTACAAGACTCCCCTCAGTTATTGACTCCTTGTACAAAAATTCCGCCATCCCAAAGTGCTTTGCCGCCACAGAGTTGTCAAACTGGTCTCCAAAGAAAGGCACACAAATCATAGGGACTCCATGGTAAGCAGCCTCCAACATTCCATTCATTCCAGCATGGCCAATGAACAGACGTGTCTTTGGATGACCGAGAATGTCGTTCTGTGGAAGCCAGGAAGACACTTTGACGTTGTCGCCAAGGTGCAAACTTTTGCCCTCTGTATCACGGAAGGAAAGAAAAACATCAGAATTCCCAGGAGTGACACAACTACGTACGCACGGTTTCAAATTTTGATATTCTGATTGAAGCCTTGTTGTCGTTATGACAACTAGATCAAGGCTTTAGTCTTCAAAGTAGACAGCAAAACAATCGCTCTTTAGAAGCCAATAATGAAAGCAGAGTGTTGAGATTCCTTCTCAAACAGTACTTGTAGTCAAATACCAGCTTCTCACACGGGAGCAAAGGAAGGTAAACTTTATTTTAATAGTCCACCTTGGCTTGTGTACACTGAATTTAATAAACAACAACAGCACCAACAACAACACATCGACCAAACTCATAACTCAGTTACCTGTATCAAGTTTCCAGATAACTCTCTGTGGTAAGCTAGAAAACACAGCTGCCATTCTTTCAATTGTTTGATCGTCTATCTGAGACAGAATCGATCCAAACGACACAAGTATAACACCTTCGTCCCCGGACCCCATGACAAACTGTTGAAGATCACCTGGAAGGGGTTTGGCCGGACTTGATAGCAATGGACCAACCAGTTTAGTATCTGCAAATAAACAATAGAAAGGAAATAAAATTACACACATGAAGTTCTGATGATAACGTTCCCTTAGAGAGAAGCCTACCACTTGTTACTTTTGAGGAAAACATGGAGATTGCTTGTCTAAAAGCATGAGTGGTAGTTTTACTGTTGTAAACGTAAAAAGTGATGTTGAGTTTTCACAGAAAAGGAGGGAAAACTAGAGAATAGAAGAAAAAAGGGAGAGTAAGGATTGAAATTTATTGGGTTTGTTAACTGCCTCGGTGTCTTCCCTTTCCTATCTCATTTAAACGGTTAGCCTAAAGATACATTTTGGATAAGCATTACCGGTAAGTTAGCTACAAAAGTGTGATTCTCACTCGGTAAATGAAACCTTGGATAATCGAGGGGATCCGATTGAACAAGGACAAGGTCAATTTTTTGGTAAGTCTCTCGGAGGGATTTCTCTGGTGTGATGTTATGCTTCTTCTTTAGCGGTCCGTAGACGTTGTCTATTTTCGGAAGAACCATCAGTTGATGAAATAAGTGTTGCATGGTATTCTTCACTCTCTGAAGAAAATTCATGTGGTCGGTGAATCCGGAGGTGAACTGGGGTATGTAGGACGGAAGTTGTGCAAAGTTTAACTGCAACACCGAACCGGTACTGAGAGGACTCATCAAGACTGTAACATGTGGTAAGGAGAATTTATCGGCGATCAAATACGAGCACTGGAACGCAGCATCTCCAATAACAGCATCGGAAGATTTGACTCGGTTCATGATCTCAGGGTTGCTGAGTATTGCATCGCAGTTGTCAAACCAAAATTTCATCAAGTGATCTATCTTGGTTGGGTCAAGTTTGGTGAGATCTTCTGAGCACTTGAATGTTCGTACACGAGGGTCCTTCGCAGCAAACTTTTCACAATCCCCCACAATAATCAACACCTTATTTGGGAAAATACAAAGGGCAAAAAGCAAGTGAGCGAGTTTTTGAAAAGTAAAGAGAGTAAAAATATCTTACCACTGAGACTTTTTAAAGGGATCGTCCATCGAGTATGCGAGCTATCGTGGCGTGCAAAAGTATGAAAGCACTCGAGGAAAAACCATGACTCCTCGTTCGCACACGTCGCTTCCTAAGGCTCCATTTGATTATTTGTGCATCCATTAAGTTCTATGTGTAGCGTACCACATAAACCTTTCAGTTTATCTGATAAGCTGCTTTGAAGGATAACAATTATATTTTGTGTATCTGTTGCTTACTTTATATATTTAATGTGTAATATGTTTGCGTAGAAAGAGACAAACGGCGCTTCAGTCACATCCGACGAACCGGCTGTCACGGTTGCCCGGTTTTATCTTCTCTGATTGACTTGCATTACTGCTTCTTATCATCCAATCAGAGAGCGGAAACAGCGTGACAGCTTCAATTACTCAAGCCTAAGGTAGCGATTCGTCACACTAAATCGCTCATTTCTCCATTTTTTTCTTTAGACTCGGCTTGTAGAGGCTTAGAATAATTTTTAAAAAAATGACGAGATAAAAAAATCTCAGTGTTTAAACTGGACGGGTGCGCGGTTTGGGAACCGTGGAACGGTAATTTTTGGTTGATTCCGGCGCCGAATTAACAACTGTGGGCCACTTACCCTAACTAAGCGGAGTAAGTTGGATATCGAACCAAAAAATTTACTAAACTGTGATCTCCACGAACATTTATACTTCACCTCATGACCTCTGCTTTCCAATTCTTCTCCTATCTTTGCAAGAACTAAGTAGTGACTCCGACCCACCATAGGAAACATCGTAAACTTTGCAGCAAAGCAGCTAGTCTGAAGTACGAGCAAATATACTAAGCTGCAGAGGAGCGAGAGAATTAATAACCTCATCTTGGCCTAATAAATACTGCTTTTGTGTACCGTAGAATTTCACAACTGAAATCGCTTGGTTGAAGTTAGATGGTCAATATGGCGTGGGTGCTCCAAATAGTGTTACTTTACGTAACCTATTTGGTCGCGGTTAAAAGGGATGAACCGAAAGGACCTAATTAAATATTCAAAACACTGACGTCAGACGAAGTGTAGTTCAGTGCTGAGTAATCAGTGCAAATTGCATTACATCAATCATGCGTAACAAGGGACGAACAGGAGCCCATTATTGCTCCTGGGGACGAATAAACCTTCAAAGTTGAACTTTTATGAGGATCCTCCTTTTTAATCGATACACAAAAGGCAAAACCGATCACGTTGAAGGATCGATGTTAGCTTAAATCAAAGTGCTCTGTGAGCAAACTCGTGAATTGACACATGATTTTTTGGATTATGTTTAATGTTATCTGGTTTAGGGAATTTTGTGGTTGATTGACATATCTAGAGTACGAGTAGTAGTTCAGTGTTCGCTAATGTAGCAAAGAAACAAAGTAACGTTGGGATAAGAAGGCATTACAATTGAAATGATCATGCTATTACATTTGACAAGGGTGGATGATGTCATGTGTTTTAAACGTATATCATTTTTGTTTCTGGTTCAAAAGAAAAGGTTGGAAGTAAATGTGGGTGAAAAGTGAAATTTACTGTCTATCATTGTAAATATTAGAAAATCAAGGCAATACTGTCTTAATGAAAACATTAACGATTCCCTCTTTATCAAATGAGACAAACGGGAACGAGTTTTGAGTGATAACTAAGCCAAGACTGCCACCGTCATTTTGGATCTCCGCCTGGGTAGATTTTAGTCACGTGCTTGGCAACGTATAATCAATAACAAGATAGAATTTCATTTCACGCCTATTTATCAATTGTGTGGTGTATCACTTTCGCATTTTAGTACGTAATATGTATTTTGAATCTTCAAATTGTCGAAACGTAATGATCGATTTTGTCCTCAATCTCACGCCATAACAGAAAAGGCTTTTGAACATCTGTAAACTCCGAGCGCTTCGCAGTAAGTGATATTTTCAATGAATCTTCGGATTGTTTTCAAGTTCAAGGATTGTAAATTACAATTTTATGAAAAACGAAGATTGTTCTGTTATTTCAGTGTGAATCCTTGCATGCCTGCCAGTCGCTGGCGCCGCTTGTTGAAACTAAAACGAAAAAATAAACTCTTTTAAGATTATCATTGGCTTCTTTTTCACCCCGCCACTATTCTTAGCAACAAAGGTCGCCATTTCGTTTGTTTATTGATCGCCAAAAACTATCAAATGCACTCAAAAGCCTAAAATTGAAAAAAAGTTTACAGGAATCGACCAATCGAGCGAGCGAGTGCCATTCCCCACATCGTATCTACAACTCGCTCTTGCACATGCGCGCAATTCACGAGTTAAAAACAAACAGCCAAAACAAACATCCAAAAAAACAACAAAACGATTAAAATCTACTTCGTGGTGTCATCCGCACTCTCCTTGATTCACCTTTCTAGCACCCTCCCCTCCCCCTTTTGACAGTAAAAGCTGAATCTTTCGGGCCCAGTCCGTTCTTTGAAAAAAACAATTGCTCTACTGAACCGTCTACGGCTTTCCCCTATATGGTGATCAATAAAAGTGTCGAGGGAAGGGGGAAGGGGGAACAATAGCCTCGTATAGATGCTCGGAACACATAACTAAACGAAAACAAGACAAACTGTTCATAGCTATGTACAACTGATAACTAGACAGGAAATTATCACTAATTTGCCAAAATATTTTATTTATTTGAACTTCAAAAACGTTATCAGTAGGAACATGATTATACGAGGGAAACTCACGCAAACCTTATAAAAATAATTCAGTGAAGCTTATATCAAACTTCGTCAGACTGTAACGGGCTCCTGATTCCCGACTCCTCTCGTATTCTGAAGATAGATAAAATCTTCACCTAATTAGTGAACCTTAGTCAAATATTCTTAACCAAGTATTCTAAATATTCATATTTTTCTAACAACTTCTGACTATTAGACTCTGAGATGAATTCTTAGATTTTATCAGTGTTATCACTTTGGATAAGTCGTTATTGCTCAATCAGTTCTGACAGAAAAAGTATCAAATTTACTAAAGGATAAAGTAGAATTTACCGAGAAACTTGTACGATTTCCTTCAAAACGACAAAACATGATGACAAAATCTCAGTCTCAGGTTACAAGATAAAACATTTTGCAGACATCAATTGTTTGATTACTTTTCTGACGGATGTTGATATTTTTAGTCATAGTTTATATCTCTCTTCTAAAGAAAAAAAATAACTTAAGAAACTAAAACATTTTTTAATCATCAGCTCTACGTCTAACGCACTACTGCAAATCTTTTACACCATTTGGTTGGCAAATTTTCAAGAAAAAAAAAACTCTGAATGACCCTTTGCTACGTCTTTGGCGGATCATCATCGGCGACTCTCCACCCCCTCCCTAATTTTTAAAAGCGTAACATTTTCACTATAAAATTATAAGAGAAGAAACGATCGCTTAACTACTCTAGAAAGGAACTCTTGAGGACGTTGCCAACGTAGACGTAACATCTGTCACTCATCGTAAGTCTTCATCATCGCTCCAGGCTCTCTTTCTCCTTCTACCACCTACCTCCCACCCGTCGTCTGCCCCAGACCCAGACCCAGACCCAGACCCCGCAGAGCCGGATCCTGATCCATCACCACTTTCCCAGCCATCTCCTGAACCGGATCCTGAGAATTCTGTAAAACATTAAAAACCAAGTTTGAGAACCGAAGAGGTAAGGACTTGTAAGCACCACCACCAACACAATACAGGAAGTACTCCATCTTGCCGGACACATCCTAATGGCAATGAGGTACTGGTCTTTATTTCTTGCTTGGGGAGGGGGAGGGGAGGGGAAGGCTGTCGAAGGAGTTTGCTTGCGTCATAAGAAAACTTACCAGATTTCCAGATCCCTCCATAATGGTCTGAGGTATTCTGACGATGCCCTCCTCATTGGCAGTCAATAATCCAAAGTGACCCATAACTTAGGTTCATCAATAAATTAAATAAATAAACAAATAAACTAGGACTAACATTTATCATAATGTAATCTTCAAACAAACCTTCTCGGCATTTTTGTTCCCTGCAATGTTTTATATCAAGTCTTTCACTTTCTTTACACATTTGGCCACCATACTGAGGTTTTGGTGAGTCACACTTTCGCTCACGTTGTCTTGTTCCAATCCCACACGTCAAACTACATCCTGACCATGCGCTCCAATCGCCCCAGCCCCCGTCAACTTAAAAACATAATCGATATAGTTCATTTAGATCTTAAGTTTTACCATTGATTTGCTGGTTCTCGAACTTAGATCTAGTCCCCAGGCCCTCGATACTACTCACTACAATCTCAGGGGCTCCCCCTACCTCATTGCAGTTGCCTTTACCTGTGACCGAATACCTAACAAAACAAATTTTCTAATAGTGGTCCTAAACTACGGAACTCACGCCCTGAAGACATCCGATTATACGAAACTTAGTCATCACTTCAAACAAAAATTAACACTTACACCTTCTCACCATCTTAGATTCACGTGATTATTTAATTGTGATATTTTAAATTTATTTCTTAAACGTAGTGATTTGGATTTTAAATTCAGTATTTCTAACCATAGGTCCCTAACTGTGGAAATCAGCTCAGTTGACAGGGCAAGCGTGTTTTACTTACTTACTGTATTGTTTGATATGTTATCTACTGCGCTAGCTAATTAAGGCCACAATTTTCAATTAATTATTACTAATCGCATAACGTGATGACGTCATAAACGGAATTCACTGTCTTACGACTTGCTAGTCAGAAGAACTGTGAGACACCTCTGGATTTTGAACGCGACTACTCCAAGCGATGATTCAATAAAGGAGCTGTTTAAAACCGTGGACTGAGTTAATCTTCGACTAGCAAAATACTCACTAAGCGTTGACTCTTTCTTGTTTTTCACAGTCAATTAAACCTTCAAACCTTATCCCTGTAGCATCCAAAACCATGTGCTTGTTCTCAGTAGTTAACAAAACGACAAAATCAAAATCATTGAAACTCACTCGGGCATTTCTCTTGTTCCATACAAGGTCTTCCATCTTCCAGTTTCCCCTGACACTCTTTGCCATTAAACTGCGGAGGAGGATTGGTACAGGTCCTAGTTCGTATTTGTGTGCCATTCCTACAAGTCACCGAGCACCTTGTCCAGTTACCCCAGTCAGACCAACCACCATCGACTAAGGATGAAATAACAAAGGAAGGAAACCTGTGAACTCCCTTAAATATTAGTGAAGGAAGTCAGAAAAAAAGAAAAACATCTAAAAAGGAAGGTGATCATGTGAAATTTCATCAGGGACCTCCATTGCTAGCCAGGAGGGTCGGGCGTCTTTGGAGGTGGTACGGATCAGTGTTGGTTTTGGTACCAATCGCTGCGCCATCATCTTTGATTTGCGACAAATTAAATTATTCACAACCCTTTTTCTGCGAAATCAAATATTGTGGCGAAGAGATAAAAAAACTTTCGCGCAAATGGCTATTTCATCATTACAATTACAAAGTATTACCTGATTAGCGATGGAGTGATGTTTTTGCACGAAATACTGAAAATATCACTGGTGAAATCGAATCCTCATAAACAAGCTCTGCGTCTCGGATAGAATTGATTGATCTTGAAAATAATTTTAATCGCAACGGAAACTTGAATACCGTGTCGATGGTTTGGTCGGTTCTTGTTGTAAACATAAACGATATGTCTGTCTGTCTATTGGGCAGTTGATGTGTCTTTTTGTAGGTGTGCTTGTCAGCAGTGCCTAACACATATATTAAGGGTGACATTTTGAGGTTTTCATTGCAAATTGATTAGTTGTCAACATCAAACGAAGTGACAAAATTGTGATATCACCTGTCTCTCCCCTTCCCTAATAAATACTTGGAACCCTCCCACCCCTCCCTCAATACATACTTGGACAGGGTGGTGTATTGCAGCGTTTCCATTCCTCTCCAGATCCCTTGCAGTTTGGCTTTCCCTTAGAGATGCATGTTCTGTTACGGACTTCAAATGAAGGACCACACGTCGCGTTGCATTTACTCCACGCATTCCAGGGTCCCCAGTAACTTGTTACTAAGAAAAATGATTTTAAACAATTCAAATTCATTCCTAAGAGATGACATTACTACCTTTACTCATTTTATGATCGTAAACTTCAGTTATCCAGTAAAAAGGCTAAGTACCGTATTTCCTCGAATAAGCGCCCGTGTGTCAATTTGAAATTTCGGCTAAATTGGGGGGCGCATGTCGGAAGGAGGGTGCTTAATCGAGAGGGGCACTTATTTAGAAATTATTAACCCACGCTGATTATGTTTGGTTGAAGCTTAAAAAGTTACAGATAAAGTGGCAATAGACACAGTTTTTCCTTGTATCCTTACTATTTAAGAAAGTAAGGGAATAGGGAGGGGAGCACCTATTCGAAGGGGGTGCTTGTTTGATATAATGGCCTTAGCAGTGGGTGCTTATTCGAGGGAGGGCGCTGATTAGAGCGTGGGCGCTTATTCGAGGAAATACGGTATTCATTAGAGTCCACCCGAGCGTGGCGAGCTGTTACATATTTTTTCAGTGGCCTAAATGTTCTTAATTTTAAACCTGGATTTCTGTAAAAAGTTTGCATGACAAAGTTTGTATTTGTACATCGACGAAACATGCACGAACCATGGTACAGCTCCGCTGCGCACCTTTGGTGCCAGTGTTGATGGTGACAAAAAACATTTCCAGAAACAGGACAAGAAGATTTGACAACAGCTGATGCAATCACACGTCACGAACTAGTCGCCTTCTCCATCAACGCTTTATTTTTGTTCCTCATCATATCTTTTTGGTTCCTCATCGTATTTCTTCGTTACTACACTCGCTAAAACTAGTCGTGATTATCGACCGTATAGTACCGCAACGTCCATTAAAATTAAAAACTGTTTTTTTTTTTTTAAAAAATCCCTTGTTATTGTCGCCAATTGTTTTTTTTTTCTTAAATGGTGTGTCAAAACGTGTTAACGTCATAAAATGCCTGAAAAACAATTTCGAATTAAATCGTTTGCCGTTGGACGTTCGTCAGATAAAACCGGCCGTTCCGCGTGAAAAGAAAGCGTTTCCCCAATTAATTCATTAAATACACGCAGTTACAGCCTGTATTACATCCAGTCGCAAATATAGTTCTCAACCGAAGCCCAATTTACCTTTATTAGAAGTCTTACAAGGCTCACATCTTGTTCTGCCCTTTTTTTTAGAGCTCCATCCTCCGCCGCCATTTGAGCAACAATCGCCTTTCAGTTGCTTGAATACTTTCATTCTTTTCTTGCATTCTCCAGTTTTTTGGTTGTACCTCTGGAAACAAAATCCTTGCCCGGCAGGACGTTTTGCTTCTGCAATAAAGGGAAGTGAAACTTAATATATCGCATAACAACGGGATTAACTGAAGAGATTTTTATGGCAACAGTTTCATTTATTCTAACACTTGACTCAATCTACTCGGAAAATGCTCTCATTCAACAGAAATGCAAACATCACTAAATTAGCCAATTATCAAGAGGATATCAACACATCCTCTTGCCAATTATCTAATGCGGAGTTTGTTTTCTTCCAAATTTACAATTTTACGCCCCGTTCCTTTTTTTTTTTTTAAGAGGGTAAGTGGCGATTGTGAACGGGCTAATTTGCAAGTAGCAATCACAACCCAAACTGTGTTCTGCTCCATTTCCGTTTGCTCTTCATTTCTCCTTCCCCTTAATTGCAACTATTAGACTGAATGCAACTGAACATAGGATAAATTAATGAAGGGGGTAAGTATCTAAAGAAACTGTGGTGCTACGTCGGTAGGAGAGTGTAGCAGGTAATTTAGTGTTAACAACTAGGTTGAAAACGTAAATTGGCCACCGTAAAGAGTAAAAAAGCTGACGTTTCGATCAATCACAACCCAAACTGTGTTCTGCTCCATTTCCGTTTGCTCTTCATTTCTCCTTCCCCTTAATTGCAACTATTAGACTGAATGCAACTGAACATAGGATAAATTAATGAAGGGGGTAAGTATCTAAAGAAACTGTGGTGCTACGTCGGTAGGAGAGTGTAGCAGGTAATTTAGTGTTAACAACTAGGTTGAAAACGTAAATTGGCCACCGTAAAGAGTAAAAAAGCTGACGTTTCGAGTGTTAGCCCTTCGTTAACCCTTTCAAGCGTTGCCCTTCAGCAATTGCTCTGACGAAGGGCTAACGCTCGAAAGTGAGCTTTTTTGCTCTTTACGGTGACCAATTTACGTTTTCAAACTAGTTGTTAACACTAAATTACCTGAATATAGGATAGTAAAGGAACTGCTCATTTGTTTGAGGGTCTTGGGGAAGTTTATCTTCTTTTGCGTAGAGTCTCTGCTTGAAAAGTAGGTAACGAACTCGAGAGACACAAAACGTTTCTTCTGCCCTTAGCGCATTTTAAAACAAAAGAGCGCGAATTTAGAAAAGAGTATTTCGCCATCTTTTTTCGAGCCACCATGTTTAATTTGAATTTGTATGATAAGCTGAGTTACCCGGGCATTTTAAGTGACTTATTGGAAGAAAGACGCATTGATGACGTCATGATTCACACTTTTTTTGCTTCTTTCTCATATAAAACAAATCGATTCCATGTTGCCGTGGGTCTGTAAAGTGATAGATCACAGAAAACATCAAAACGTAACAAAAACCTTGCAGGTAGGAGCTTGGGGAGGAGTGTCGAGAAGGCTCCCTTCCCTCCCACCCATACTCTGGCCTATCCATCGTCATCCCCCTAAAGAATTTTATTTGTCTCCAAAGATTTCTGATAGCTATAGAGCTTTTAATGGTAAGAGTAATACGCCTGCAATCTCGATTAACTATAAGTGAGCTGAGATCAATCATCCAAAGATTACGTTTGAAATTTAAAAATAACTATGAGCGAATGAAAAATTGTATTATCTTGCAGCAATTTTCAATGTTAACTGCAGTTTTAGCCCGTCATAGTTAATGTTAAGTGTCTCAACTAAATTTTAAAGCCTTTGTATACCTTTTCAAGAGATCTACAAGCATTAAAACTATTTTGATAAGGTCGTCAGGCATTGTCAAGATTTCCGCGGATTACAAAATTGATCATCTTAATGATTTTAGGTCAAACAGGCACTGGCTTAACCTGAATTCCTAAATTTAACCATCCATGGCATTCCTACTTTAATCAATTGCTTTTTTGTTCACTTCCTCAGCTTTTGAGGCCGTGGTTGCGGCTGTAAAGTAACCGCTCGTGTTTTTAATTTCATTGGTCTTTTTTAACCGGGCGACTGTATAATAGCAAAGGGAAAGAGCAATTTAATACAAGGAAATGTAATAAAAGCACAAGTTATGTTTTTGCTGAAACGTGCCTCTGGCGTTAAGTCTTTTAAGGACTTATAAGTTCCTCTTTGCAATACAGGAACTTATCACTGTGTTTGCTGAATCAACAATGGCAAGAGAGAAGACAGCAGACATTCAATATTTTTGGCAAGAAACGTTGAAACTAAAAATATGTTAAAAATAGATGCTTTGCTTCTTAATTCGTCCAGAAATTGATTTAAAATTTTCAACACAGTTTTTATTTATTGGTGACATGGTCGAAGGAGGTATGTCACGAGGCATTTAGAGTCCGAGAGAATTGGCCAAGAATGAAATGGAATCATTATGTTGACACACAAATTACTGTGGAAAAACAGCAACGAAGTGGATTGAATCAATAATAAAAACAATAATTGCAAAGACGAAAAACGAGATTCCTTAGATCCTCAAGAAGGACAAGCCATTGGCATTGTTACTTTAAGGTCGAGACCTCAATTCCTGAGTTAAATCGTTCCGGTTTGTTCCATGGCTACACAATTTTTGATGTGATACGCCAGCGTTCACCTTCAATTCTCCGATTTGGTAGTCGATGACAAGTAGTTACATGCACGGTGCATTAGGAAAAGCCAAAAATATGCTTCGTGTTCCGCGGTAAAAATAAGCAGTTCAATGTACTATGATTATGAGGCAAAGCAGGTGTCCATTAAGTTTGTTTTAGCTACGAAATGCCCCAATTAAAAATACTAACTGATGACTCTCGCAAAAGGATCCAGTCCCTGTCAGGTACAGTGATCCCTGATGAGTAGAAAATTACTGAAAAAGGAGTTCAAGTTTTTCTGGAACCTTGCCGGTTGCTTGGGATGAATTTGATACCAAGGAATCTTTCTGGCAGAATAATACAATTGGCTAGCGGCCACGAATCGGTCCATTTGTGGACTTTATAATTGTTTAAGTCCCAGATCATCTTTTCTTCCTTTTGAGAAGGATATTTTATATAGCTAAATGAGCGAACGAAATAGATTTATCTGCTTCATGAAAAACGTTTGTCGTTTGAAGAAAGCTTCGAAAAGAAGACAGAATATGAACCTTTCTGTGAGTGAGGAGGGGGGGCTATTTGGCCTATATCTTGATACGGGAGAGTGGGTGACAGTTTGAAAAAAATCAGTGTGCAATCCATTTTAGGACGAAGAAAAAAACTTAGGGACCACAAACCCTGCAATAAGTCTGATGTGATAATAGGAAACCAGTTATAATGCTCAGAATTGAGAGCAAAGGGAAGGTGTCGGAACGCGACGACAGAATGAGATCCTATTGAGGTTGGTGAAAGCAATCTTTATTCTAATATCGGCCCTCCAGAACCGGTATTATTTTTTGCGTTTTTCAGGCAAACAGAGGCAATCGCAAGGCGAGCGCGAAGTGCAAGTCACACATAGATGAAAGGAAGAATTTTCATCGTTTCAACCGTCCGTCGGAAAAGGTCATTATGTACACCGTCCGATACAGGACTGTCGTCTAAACCCCCCCCCCCCGGAAAATACCTTGCTCGAGGCGAAATTGAGACGACCCAGATTTATTAATTACATTAAAGTTACATACCTGAAGTTTGGAGAAAGAAGCAGATACTCAGAGCTACCGCCGTCACCAAAACTACCAACTTGACCATTTTTTAAGATAGCTTTGTCGCTTGTGGTGTAAATGTTCTTGAGAGATTTGAGGGGCGAGCTGCAAACAGTTGCAGGGGAGATGAATCGATGAACCAAATCTGCAGCAAATTCAATTAAATGTTGACCCTTAGTGTTGAAATAAAGCTAATGAAATCTTAAACCTGATGATATGATGATAAGGGCCTTTACTGATTCAGTTGAATCGACAAATATCGGTACAGATACGCTGGATCGTTCAGTTCTTTGGCGAGCTGAACTTCGGTTATAAGTGTTTCCTTTTTTTTTTCCCTTCTGTTGTTCGGCTGGACCATTATGCAATGCATTTTATTAATTGCACAATCAAGGTATAGTCCTAGGAGCAGGGAAAAATCTTAGTCTTCTACTTTTTATTGCCTTCAACTTTGATATCGGGCGATGGTAAAGCAGGAAAAAATGAAATTGGATATAGAGGAAATTATAGTTCAAGTTCTAATCTTGCTGAAACCGGGCTCCAGTTTAAGTTCCTCTTTGCCCTACAGGAACTCAAGTGCCTGTTAACGTAATTTGGTATGTTTACTGAACCAATAACGGAACTGAGAAGAAGGGCATGCTTAGAATGACTCAAGTTTTGGTCATGCTAAAACCAAGCTCTTGTTCTAAGTTCCTCTTTGCCATACAGGAACTCAATTGCTTGTTAATGTAATTTACTATGTTTACTGAACCAACAACGTCACTGAGAAGATGGGCAGAATCTGAATACGCGCGAAAGAATCGTTAAAGACGCTAGCTGGATTGCCTTTTCGCCTAATAGGGGATTTGACTGCAAATTCTACCATATCTTTGTGTGCAGCAAAGCGAAAGATCATTGAATACATCATTAAGTGAAATAAGTGTGCGTTAAAAGAGATAAAAGATTTCTGATGTTTTCTCGCGTGCTCCAGTGCTGGCAAAGACAAAACAAAGGGTGATCTTTTTATGATGCCGAAGAAAATCTTCGCAGACATTACTGATTATTGTTGGAACTTTATGTGGCACGCGGTGAAAACGCCAAACAGACATAGAAACGGCGCAGCTAGAAAAAAATTTCATGCTTATGACTTGAAATAACGGAAATAACAACGCTACCAACGGTGTACCGGTTACTTGTTAGCTAAATCGAACACAAGCTATTAGAATAATCAGGAGAAAGAGATTGACTACTCACTAAATTTCCCTTTGTGAGAGCGTTTCAGTCATAACAGATTTTCCTCAACAACTGAGCCTTCTATGATCCTTCAAAACGATTCATAGAGTGAGCGACGTCATTTTTACATCACATCCCGCTGTGCTGAAGCGTGTGAAGGGTCGAGATTTACATCCAATTGGACGATACCGAGGTCAGAAGCATGAAAGGAAATTCAATCTATTGTTTCCTACTCATCACCTCACTAACTAAGCAGAACCTACGCTTCAGCCGATCCGGGAAAAAAACCCTTGAACGTTTCTGAGATAGTAACGGAGTAATTCCTCAGTACGGCGGATATTTTGATCACGTCTCTCTGGGGCCACGCACGCTCATTGGTCGATGTCAGACTGTGAATTAGTCTATCCAGAGATAACAGGTTTATTTTGAAGTAATTCTAAAAATATCAATGAAAACAGACTTCAGTGCTAACCGATAAATCGAGAAGTACTAATACTTGACAGACGGACTTTAAAGACGTGCGCACTGCTACTCAGAGCTCGCTGCAAAAAAACATTTCACTCATGTTAGTAGCCTTAAAAAATTTCCTCCTTCAGGCAATTCACCACGGGATAAAACATGTACTGAAAAAGGTCAAATAATAAAAATTTCTATTGTTTAAATACCGTGACCAAGTGTCAACTTCCTTCGGTTTTATCTATCAATTAAAAATGGCATTTAAATCTTTCACCACTAAATCGCTTAGGATTCCTCTTTAGTATTCCCCTGAGGAACTCAGCAAGGATTAAAGGAATAGAAATGTGTTAAATTTTATCTACAAAAGTTCAGTCTCCTTCAATCAGAGTAATTGTTTCAAGGCGTTCAATTTTACTTTGGGTTAACTGGATCTAATCGTTAGTGGTTGAATTCCGAGTAAAAAAAAAAAATTTCTTCAACTCTTGTCAGATCCTTGCTAGACCGTGGGACCATCTGCTTAACTCATCGACTACAACCATTGTTCGATACATTTTTCATCGGAATCTTTCAAAACACACTTCATTCGATAATGTGGACGATACTCGCACAAACAGTTTCCAGACGTGGGAAGGCGGGCACTCCAACTAAATTTGTGGCCATAGCCGGTGTCGGAAATAACAAACGAGCTATCAAAAAGATTTGTGCACAGTTTTACGGGGCATGTAGTAAAACATGTAAATAAAAGACTTCATGTCAAGCAAACATTAGGCCAAGTTTCAAGTTTTCATCCTCTTATTTACTGCAAGAATAACCTGCCCAGTCGTGCCTTAGACATCTCTACCAAGCGGATCCCAAATTAAAATTAGACTGATTTGTTGCATGAAACCTATATTGAGCTGAATACTTTAAAGGAGAAAATCAAGTTTCGTTTCATCCGATTTAAGTTTAAATTGACGTATCGTCTTCATCTTTAAAGCGTTTATTCGGAGAAATAAGCTAATGTTATTTCATTTACCTGAAAGGGGAAAATTCCTAAGGTTTCCGATTACTCGTTCCGTTCTTAACTTAGACATTAAACTACCATGAAACAATTTTGTGGAACTGTTTAAAGCGGACGCTAGCAAGAGTTCTGTTGTTGTTTAATAAGAACATGAACCATTGGAGCTTGTTACAGCTTTAGACCATGGGAGAAAATCTTACTCCACTCCCAATGGTCACCCCGTCGTTTTCAAAATTTGTCTCTCTTTCCACTCCTTCCCTTCCCGTTCGTCCGCCAAGCGAAAGAAGAACTTTCCTCAGTACGCACGTTTTAGGCCTCGAGGTCAAGTATCAACTGAAGTTCCTAGAAGTATGATTTACGTGTCAGCAATTAGGGTTCTTCTTGTCTTGGCCCTCAGCCAAATCTTTTGAAGGATTTAGTTCCTCATCCCCAGTCTAAAAACCTTCAAATAAGGTGTAATGAGCTGAACAATAAAACTGCCTTCCATTCAGGCACATAAATGGATAACTGCCATATATGTTACTTTTTATTTAAAATCTTTCCATCGCATATGATGTAAACAGTCGTGAATATCTGATAACTGCACTTTTCATCGTTTAATTATGTTCGTACGCATGCGATTAGGTTAAGCGTGTTGTGTTACCGAATATGCCTAGCTCATGTGAAATGAAATCGGCCAGTACACTGTGGGTACCTTTATGAGTGAATTTCCCATTTAGATTAGATATTTAAATCGAATTAAAACAGTAATTAATTTAGTGTTATGGCAACGGTAACAACCCTGAGTCACAGGAAGGGCAAAAATGAAAACATTTCCTTTAACGCTTGTTTTTCCTATATATACCTAAATATACCTTTGTACATAATAAAATGGGGAATTTTTTATCAAGAAGAAGGCCGTAGTTATGCGATCATTTTATCAATTCGAAGCTTCAACGATTTCCCCACGGGGAACCCCCCGGGCATTTGAAGTTTTGAAGATTGGTTAAATCAGATTCCCTTCCTCCCCGGGTAAAAATTCCGTTCAAATGCCCGCTCAAGCACAATTTTTGTGCGATCAACGAATGTTGTAGAATTTAGCGAAATCGTGTATTAGTTTTTGATGCCGCTGTTTGCTATGTGAAAATCTTTTTGGAAGCCATTTTCTCACGAAAGCGGACTCTTCTTTTTAACTCCTTCCTACTTGAAATTAAAATTTGTGTATTGCGCTGATTCAAATTCCTTAACCCTGGGGCACGAACGACAGTCAAATGCCCGTAAGTCAGACCGGGAGGAACTCTGAAGCTTCGAATTGATCAGCGCATAAATTTAGATCAACTTTCAGACGTAGGAATAAACGTAAAGAACTGCCTAACGTACATATCGATTCAGTATATTAATATTTATGCTTCCCGTTATTTCTAGTTTGCCAAGTAAGCTTTTAGTATGATCGGATTATTATGATCTTCTTTGCATAGTTCTTAGAATTTAGCCGGCCGGCGCCAAGGGAATTAAAGTATTTAGTACCTTGAGCTATGAACGTCATTGCTCGATTTTGTATCATTAACCAAAAGATTCTATATTTCCGCGCGTCTGTTCAAGAATAGATCACAGAGATGACGTCAAAATGTGATAAGAACAAAAAAAGTGGCACGCGAGGCGCAGCAACATGAGTGCTGGGGGACCTACCTTCCTAAAGGGTCTTTTTTCGTATCGTGGCCTCATTGCTTCATGCGTCGAAACTGAGACGAGCCCCAGCACGTTTTTTGGTAGCAAATGTTTTGCTATCCGATGACAACTTTTAAAGAAAGTAAATTATAAAATAGAATCCCGTCTAGTAGTCCTTGTGCGTCAGCATGGAGTGTACGTCTGAGGAGAATTGCAGCAGGAAGCATAAATAGTGTGAGTGGAATTTATATTAAATTGAAACATAAGCAGAGGTATCATATCAATTTTTACCCCTGAGTGACATGTGCGTCTGGTGTAGAAGGGAATTTCGTCAGTGACATGATGTTGCCAAGGTGTTGCTTGATGGTCTTAGCCCTTTAAATCCTAAGATCAGTATCCATATTCTCCATACTGTTCTCTATACATTTCCCTTGGTACTGACCAGGAGAATTTGTTTAACAATCATTTCCTTCATTACTACCATCAATTACCATGATCTTTATTAAAGATTCAAAAGTGATTACTGTAAAGAGAAATTAGATGTTGGTCACTCTTACGATTTTAAGGGTTAAAACAGGTTTGCAGCCAAGAAAAGGTAGAATCATACAGGCACAGCTCTGCTACTACCTATGAATTAATATACTTGCATGGAGAGTTCCACTGTGGAGTATTTTAGCCTCTAAAATTGAGATAGAACCTAAACTACTTCAAACAAAATTATTCAGCATGGGTCCTAGTCATCCATTTCAAATTTTACAAACTTAGAATAACAAAAAGATCGAAAAATTGCTGTCAATTCGAGCTGTAGATCTTTCAAAAAGGACTTCAGAAAACCACGATGGTGACGGCAACGAGAACGCAGCCAAACATAAGATCTTATGTCCAAAACCACAACGAAACACCTGCGTTTTAGAACTTTGCACATTTCTTAACCGTCCTGTGCAGAACAAAAAAAGTAAAATTATCAACTTTTACGTCCTATCAGCGAAAAACCTCGACAGCAACCCAGTCACGTTTTTATTTTGAACTCAACACTACATTCAATAGTTATGCTAAGTGAAGATGTCGTACCGTTAGAAACAGTTAACGCATCGAGCTATTGGTGATACTAATGCTCGAGGAAAACAAATAACGTTTTTCAAAAACAACATGTACGTCCAAATGGTTAGTTACATCGCCCCAGGTATACCGAAATGAAAACAGCTCATTATTGTTCGAGTCTCACTAATTCTTCGTGGAAGGTAATAGCCCATAGTTATTATTCCACCAACAGTTCATCGAAGAAACATCTAAATATCCGTAAGACTTAATCGATGCAGAACAGACTGAAAATGCCGAGTCTTCGTCGCGATGTCTTTAGTCAGCTTTGTGCTCAGGGCTGTGCTACAAGTAGTTAGACATGACTTTCTTCATCCAAGACGGTCAGTTGAGCAACAAGTGTGGAGGAGCCATAGAGACTTAGGCAAGCCCTAATTAAGCTCCAACACTCATCACGAAGAAAGAAAACTTTTAAAATTTTTTTATTTAATGAATAAACCTTTGAAAAGAGCAGAATTTATGAGTCGATTTAGAAGTCTTCTTTGGCCGTAATAACGGCCGCCATACTCACGTGCCCGCAAATATGTATGAGACATGTCATATTCGATTTTTTTTATATCCAATGACAGTAGAACCCTTGGGTAGGACAAGTGTACGAAATAAAACCACTTAGCAGGGAAATTAAATTCGTATGTACGGTAATAAGTCCAGTACGATTTTAGCATGAGCAGTAACATTCAATACTATTCAGCTATTGTACTATTGACATAAAAGCGTTCTCTTTCTATGAGAAGCGGGGAAGGGGGCTTGATGGGGTCGCATTTTCGCGTCTGGATTGAGAAGAATGTGCCTGTATTTTCAACAGAGTTAACTTGAATGGGATCGTTCATTTTCAGGATTTTGGGGGTATATCCTGGAAAGTGAAGTGTTCTGCATTCAGTTTAAGAAATGTGTCAATGAATTTAAAGATGACCTACTTAGAAGGCTCTACAAGGTAGATGCATCGCCAAAAATGAAATTTTCCCAAAATTGATTATGATGGGGTACAAATTGGCTGTTGAATGGACTGTAAAAGGTCAGGAGTGCTGAAAGACCAAGGCACATACACAACAAAAAGTGACCCAAGTAATCCACCCCGGAGCAACCGGAATGAAAGTAAACTTCAATGGGCTGTTGCGAGGAGTTAATATTTATTCAGCTTGAATACACCAGCTAAACATGGTACCTAAGATCATTCCGCGCCCTTTGCGTGACATTTACACATGCAGAAACCGTTGTGTTATAAAATATGACGACGATTAGGCTCCCATAGATGGGAGTGCCCTTGGAAGGTATTTATTTGGTAGTAAGATCAGATTGCTATGACGTGATCAAGAAAATGATTGGGGGGAAATAGGGATCAAGACTGGGTTACATGTCAGGTAAAAAAAAACTAATAACAAGAAACATAGAGAAGAAATAAAAGAGAACGCGAAAAGTGGAATTATTGACAAGAAGACATACCTCGTTCCAGGTTTGTTGTGCGTATACGCAGAAAATCGCATTTCAACCCTGACCGCAAGAGACGCCTCTTAGGTTAACTTCAACAGGACATTTTTAAAGAATTTGAACGCTCGAAACGAACATAACTTAGTCTCCTGACATCCATAAAGACTGGTTTTTAGGAGCTGTACATTCTATGCAGTGAGAGCACTTCTTCAGAAAACTGGTGAAAATTCTTTTTTTCATCTTTATCTCTTTCTTATCTGTTTTTTCCCCTTGTTTTTTAAGGAGCTTTTTTCTTGTAACCGTTTTTCGTCCATTGTCATGCTGTCAATAAGTGAAACACGATCTCCGCTTATCATGTGTTAGGGAAGCAAAGGGTTAAGAATCCCCAGCAGGCAAACGCTGGAAAATAAATCATAACCATTTGAGTAAATGAATGACATCTTTGTTTTCTAAAGTCCGTCACAGCTTTGGGGCGACGCTACACTGGGCAGAATTGAAACAGAACCGATTTCCACGGGATAAATTGGTACAGATCTTCATTGTTATCTCGAGAGCGCTGTGCCGAGGATTAGACAGGAAATTATCGAGGCTATGAATTCCCTAATAATTGTGTTTGTCGTCGTCGTTTTCTGTGGCATAGGCCTGAGTCAGGTTATAACATCATGTCCAAAGCAGTGCTTCTGCGAGGAACAATTTTTTCCCGAAACGCAAGGCTATGGAGTGAAAGTGAACTGCTCAGGGAGAAGACTGAAGAAGTTTCCTCGGCCCCTTCCACATGTCACTACGACATTGTAAGTAAATGCGTCAATGTTTCTGTACTGCAGTGTTCGTCATGAAAGGTTTACGTAAAAAGGCGAAATATCAGAGCACGTTCGCAAAATGGATGCCTTAGTCAGTTTGCATGATTGAGTAATCAGGTAAACAGAGTTTGATCAATTAGTTAATTACTCAATCTGTTGTCACGAGTGCAGCTGCGTGTATAAGGAGTCACAATGAATATCATCGATGAAGAGATCTATTAACAAACAAAAGGATTCGTGTATATTTAGAAACAATAAATTATTACATGACAAAAGGTTCCTTTGTAATGCTGTTCTCTCTGGCTATCAAAGGAAAATAACAAAACATGATGACAGCAGTTCAGACGTTGCGAATTAAGACAATTAACAAATCGATCATTAGCCAATCCAATTACAAAATCTTTAGCGTCAATTTTGTTCGCGAAGTTTCCAACTTTATTGATTGTTCGGACTCAATTTCGTCGAGACTGGAATTCAAATACAAAGCCATCTACCATGCAGTGTAAAATCGATGTTTATCAAGAATGGAAACATCTCGAGGTTAGATTGGAAAAGATCGAGAGAAAGGAGTACACGATTTTAATCAAGACGGTTGATCAGTCGCTATCGATTGGCAATTTGTTGTGTGGGATAAGGGATATCACCAAAGTAAAGCACTTTCTTTCTACATTCATCCCTATCAAAGGAAACAACCCACATCCTGAAGAACCGAAGTATCAATTTCCCGTTAAGTCTCTGGTATGATAAAAATTAAACAAACTTGCAGCAATTTGTTTTGTTACGAGATAAAAATAAATCCGCCAGCTTCACGCTGATTTTGGTAGGATGCTGCACTGTTAGTAGTTCTCCTTCGCAATTGTTTGGTATCGTCAAAAGACGCGATCTCTCTCTCTCTCTCGGGTTGAAGGTCGAGACATGTTTCCCCTAAAAAATTTATAACATAACCAGTACTCTTAAAAAAAAAAAAGGCAGCACTTAGCGAACGATTATGAAGAATTTGTACAAACCATGTAAAGATAACACAAAGAACTCAGGCATGTGCGTGGACTCTGGCTGACAAGGCTCGTTATTATTTGAAGCTATTTTGGAGATTTCATGTAACAACCTCATCCAATTTAGGGACTGTCACGAAACAAATAGTGTTCATTAGCACTGTCGTAAGAACAAGGCTGAACGGTTTCTAAATTAAGCAGCTATATTCTATTTTCTGACATATACCAGGCTACTACAGAACAACAGAATATCCAAGCTGGAAGGATGGCACTTCTCTGGAATGATCTATCTCAGGATCTTGTAAGTGTCTGTGGGTGATTAAGCTCGTTTTCATGTTATTACGCAACGCGCACAACTCTGGGTAAGCATTGCGTGACGTCTTGCAAACATCTTGTAACGCAACGCTCACCCGCTGTTAGATCGCGCCATGATTCTGCAAACATCTTAAACGTTCTTGGCGAGATCGCGCCAAGATATATGCATTCTAGACATATGATGATTGTGATAAACAAAGTTAAGCTTGACAATCTCGTGCGCGCATTGATTGCTCCGTGATTCCCCCAACTTCTTGCCAAGGTTCAGCCGAGCGACCACAGCGAGATCGCGCCAAGATCTCATTTGTCTTTCATTGGGCGACGCACTTAAAAACTGGACAATGGACAGAGAAGGTCGATAACTTTTTTCACAATCATCAAGTTTCGAAGTTGATTTAATTTTCCTGTTAATTGATAATTTATTTCTACGCAGGCATCTCGAAGGGAATCGAATAAAAAAGATTGCAACAACTTCCTTGGGATATCTTCCTTCTCTTCAAACTTTGTAAGTTGTCTGAAGATTACGAATCATAGTAGATAAATCATTGTACATAAATTATTGTACATAAATAAGAGGTTTCTTGGATGCACTGGTTTTGTCTATTAGGTAACTCATATGAAAAAGGAAGGCGACACTTTTTAAAAACGTTTTTCTTGGAATAGAATGAACGTTCGATATTATGCGCATAAAGTGATACACAAAACAGCTTACCCCTCAGGTGTTAGTTAGAAAATGATCGGACCGGTGTGACCTGTGACTCGAATAATGGGCCTAGATTTGAGTGATCCACTCAAACTTTTTCGCCCTGCGTCTTACCGTCTTTTTTCCCACCAGGTATTTGCAGAACAATCGTATCGAAGAACTGGCTTTCGGAGCATTCAGAAATTGTTCAAGACTTCAAACTTTGTAAGTAAGGCATACTGATGAAGTTTGTTTTTAGTTGGTAAGATAATAACTGATTGCATAATAATCACATGAACCAATAAGATAGTGTCTCTTTAAATTAGAACGTTTGCCAAACTCAATTTCTCTTCTAGAATTTTTGATACCGCTTTAAAATATTTCTGAACTATAACATGAATTCGTAATCGTTGTTAAATGCTTTTAAGATGGTTTTTTGTTGAGTGAATTTCATTGTGCTCTGTTATGAACAACCTGATATTACAGTGAAAGCAGATTGAAATACCTTAATTTTTACCATCGCAAAGGAATCTTGCTAAGAACAAGCTTACTACCCTTCAGTATGCTGCGTTTGATGGACTGAATCAACTGGATGCATTGTAAGTGAGCTTGTTGAGCCTTCATTCATGTCACCACTTCTGTTGTCTTTTTATGTATTCATGTGACATATTATTGTTATCGTTCTATGAAGCTAGTTAACATGGCATTCGCACAGTTTTTTACCTAGAATTCAGTGAAGATTATAATTCAAGTAACAAGAGAAAACAATTCCTGAGAGAATTTAAGGCTGCGACGTGGCTTGGAACTGTGCCTCTGTGATAATGATTGCTTTCAGTATAGATATCTCATAAATAATATTTGAGATTAATTTTGGTTATGAAAACATGATAGGTATTTATCTTGGTAATATTACGGATCACTTCCTCTTTCAATCTACTTATGTGAACCTGTCAGAACAAAAATCGTTTACTCTCTTTTTGTTGAAGGGATCTGAGTGCAAATTTGATCGGTTCTATAGAAGATGGGGCATTTCTTGGTTTACATCGTCTTAGATCATTGTAAGTATATTACCGACCCAGCCATTGATAAAGAAAGTCATGGTCGAGAGTATTATGATAAAGAATCGACGTAATGTGTCTTTTAACAAGCGAGTTTCATGATAACTGAACGAGTTTTTGCAGTTAGTGAGGTGATCCGGAAATTTCTTCGCGTAGTAATATTAAACCGCTGAAAATGGAAAGACCACCGCGGGCGCAAAACTTTTGTCCTTAACCACCATGTTTTCGAGGGGCTTTGTAGCGATAACCTAAGTGAACGTGCTTTATCGATATCTAAATGCTAAACTAGTAGTCTAAGAAGCTATTATTTTGGACAAAATTATTCGCGTATTCAATTAATTCCATATTCACTTCATCATGAAGATGTGATGGTCTTTTTGGAGTCAGGGAAAGAAAGAAGCCTCTAAGGCAGGGTCTCTAGGGTAAGCTGACGGGGGAACCCCTGACTCCCTCTCTCCCCTCCCCCCAACAACTGCAAACTACTTGAGAAAGTAGGAAATGTTCCTCAATAAACTTGTAATCCGAAAAAATAATTCTTAATGTTGATTACTTGGTCGACCTGTAATGTCAAATGTTTTTACTCAGTATTTGTTATTCTAACTGCCAAATTCCTTTTTAGGTCCCTAAGCCAAAACCAGATTACAAAGATTGGAGCGTACCTCTTTGCTGATGTCTACTCTCTTACTTCACTGTAAGCCATACAATCTTAACTTTACTAATCACTCACGTTTGGGTTTGACAAGATGGAGGTCTCCTCCTAATAGCGAGAAAGTTTTTCAAAAAACAAGAAGAAGTCTTTCCATGAATTTGAAGTTTCTCTTATAACCCTTTACACCAAAGCTACTTCTCCAATGTCTCAAAAAAGAGTATGAGTGGCTACGATTTAAATTGACATAACCTTGTTGCTAATTCATTGGTTCTCTCCCCAATCTTGCAGATACCTTTTTAGAAATCAGATTTCAGTTATTGAAAATGGTGCCTTTTCACGACTGCTGTATCTCAAAATTCTGTAAGTACTTCGGCTCTGTGGTGAGAGTTGAGATATCGAAACTACCAAGATGAGTTTCAGAAAATGATTGACACCCTAACATCAGTATGTGCATTCTCCATACTGTTCTCTATACATTTACTAAGGTGCTGAAATGGAGAATTTGTTTAACAATCAAGAGCTTGTTTAGTTGGTGATCATTTCTTTTATTCTTGCGATCTTAATGCTTGATTCAGGATTGATATTGAAAGGAGAATTTAGATGCTAGTCACTCCAAGGGGTCAATGAGTTAAGATTTTCTTTTGACATCAATAAAATAATTGTTCCATAGAAACACTGATAGGCTGATAGTGTGGTGTATTTTCTTATACCATCATGTAGAATTGTACTGAGCTATCGCTGCGTTAAGACACCACGACTTTCTTTTAATTTCCGTAGGTCACTTTTTGACAACAAGATTTCCGCAATTCTTCAGAAAACTATTGTTGGACTTGAGAACCTCGAGGAACTGTAAGTCATGAACACCAAATGATCAGCTAAATGATATGAAAAAACTTCTCTTTAAGACGGAAATTTTTCAAACTTGAGAAAGGCGAAAGATAGACCGTGGAGGAAAATTCTCAAGGTTGAATGATTAATTCCGTCAAATTTTTATCAAGAGGTCTTTTTGGCAAAATCTCTTTCAATAATTTTTTTCTTTCGCATGAATTTTTTTTTCGGTTTCGATTTTTGTGCCTCAGCGCCAGTATTTTTAGTGACTAGCTATCACTAACTCGCGATTATATTTTCTTCCATAGCTATCTACAACGAAACCGAATCTCTAAAATTGAGCCATGGTCTTTCTCAGCCACCAAGAAATTACGATTATTGTAAGTACTTCGCTCAATTTAACTTCAGGTATTGCATCGCGCTCAAACACGAAGTTCTGTCACATTCCGCGGTAGAACAAATTTGAATGGTCAGTCTCTTTCGAAGGTCGTCCTTTGCGACGTGTTCAAACATTTGGGACCAAACCTAAGTATGCGCCGACAAATCGAATCAACGTTACTGTTTGGTTCTCAGAAATTTTGTTTGACTTTTTCGATATTAAGAGTTTTGGATTTGCCAGTTTGTATTTGAATCTGAACCAGAGTAAAGAGCTCTTTTCGATTGAGTGTCATAAAACCAAACCAAAGTTATCACAACGACCAACCAGAAGAGTCACTGGAAATTCAAAGTAACTACAACCAAACTGCCTAAAGCGCGGGAAAACGCTGGCGACCATGTCGTGGTTGGTTTTAGTTTTGCATCTGACTGGTTGAGAGAAATTTTCTAAGGTTGATAGAGTGGCGCGTGTTTTTTTTGACCAATCACAGAATGAAGTTAAGCAAAATCTATGCAGTCCCGGATTATTTTCGAGATTTAGTTAATTCCAAGGGTGTGGTTAATATGCTTAAAAGAGGGTTTGGTAGAGTTTGAAAAACTTAGTGATATTTTGACACCCTCCAAATGAAGTGCAATGAATTTTGTTTCCCAGGTATCTGTACTCCAATCTCCTCTCCGTTATTCCTGACAACATGTTTGAGGATCTGAGACATCTGAGTGTCCTGTAAGTCGAATAATTGCTTGTTTCATTTGACGTTTTAATTGTACTTTGTGACCTTCTTACGAATTAAACATTACTATAAAAGTAAAAAAGTACACGAAACCGATCTTACATGAAGAATGACGACTTTAAGAACTTAGGTGGCCGCGTAGGATTGACAAGTAAGATTACCCTTCATGGAAATGATTAGATTGTGATATTTTGTCAGTCGAGTTGAGTATTTCGCGGACTGTAGTCAGGTGTAGAAAGAATCAGAAAGGAAAACTATTATGAGACGTTTCAGATGATATTTCATGAGTGGACTTTGCACAATTTTTTAATGTACTCCTCCAATTTAAGTTGCACTGGCTTAGAACCTAATTTTCTAAGGAGAATACATTTATTTTTTGGTAAAAACATGACAAAGCACTTTTCCAGATGGCAAACAGTCAGTCTGATCTGAGGTTGTCGTTTCCTTTTCTTTTTCTGCAGCCACCTTGGTATCAACACCATCTCCTACGTCGCAGACGAAGCATTCCGCCATCTTGGACGTCTGAACGTGTTGTAAGTTTAGAAGGCAACTCAATTATTGGGTGTTGTTGTTGTTTTTAAATATTGTTTTGTTCGGGTATGTCTCTGTTTGCTTTTCTTTTGTCTTTGATTTGACCACAATTATTGTGTGACAGACTTCCCACGATAAGTTCTTTCATATTAGAAATAAAAACTTGTAAGTTAAGGTATTGTGCAGATGAAAGATTTCCGCCATTATTTACATCCACTCAATTTTGTGACGGTGTAAGGAATGTCCTCATCCTAATGGATACAGACAGGACCACGAATCAGCCTCTTCAGGGTCGTTCCTTTGGCGAAGATTGGCAAGGAAAGAGATTTAATCACAATTTAAATACAATACAGTAGAAAAATGAACGCAGAACGGGAATATAACGGAATTTTGTTCAAGACTTGTCCTCTAATTTTTCTCACAGAACCAAAAATGCATTTTTCCTTTTTTTCAGTTTAAGAGAGTAAAAGAATTTCACACTTCTACTTTATTCTTTTCTAGAAATCTCGATGCAAATCGTCTCACTCTTCTTAATCACAAGACATTTTATGGCCTTTCAAATCTCAAAGATATGTAAGTGTACTTGGTACTTCCTCTCCCCCCCTTTCATCCCAAGGGGTGCCCTGCATTTCTTGTCATGAAGCACCTGAAACAGCTGTAAAAGTAAAGGGGTGACTCGATTGAGGCCTTGAGGGAATTCCCTGACGATGCGGTAGATCGGCAGCAGTAGAACCCAATAGTTTTTGTCGCTGGACTGAAAGTCTTAAGATCCCATGTTCAAATCCGCCGCTAAGCGACTTAATTAGATTTGCCTCTTCCATTCTCGCACCCAGACCCCCGGTTTCGCTGTGTTTGGTCCAAAGGGCCAGTCATGCGCAATAGTGGAAAGCACTGGAGTCGAGATTGAGTTTCTTCGCAGTCTCCTCTCAGTTTGGAGTCTTAACAATTCACACCCATTTTACTGGCTTGATTAAACGAATTTAAATTGAATTTTCCTCACTGGCTTAGAGGTACTAAATGGATTGGGAATTCAAGGCACAAAGTCATGTCCTATAATTAACTGTGACGTAACCTTCCCAACCAACTTTGCACGCCCCTCTTGATCTCATCACGCCATCCCTCGTTTCAAGAAAAGTAACGCTTGTGTAGGAAGCTACACAAGCCCAACCCACCTTTAAAAATTTATGAAAAGTAAACATTGCCTTAGCGGTAGTTTCCTTGTCTTTGTGAGATATTCTTGTTTTCCCCTCCGTTTAGACATCTTTACTTCAACAATATTTCGTATGTCGGAAAAGGAACATTCGATCATTTCAAGGGAATAACAAGACTGTAAGTATGATTTATCTAGTTATGAACTTTGTCCTTTAGTCTAAAGAACGATATACTTAAAATTCTTTTTATATTTGCCCTTGACAATAAGTTTTTTTTTAAGAACACGCCTCAAGAATGTCAAAATTCAGGAAACAAATTAATCATGTCGATATTAATTCCCGCTCACTTGTTTATATAAGGTTAGGAGTTTAAGAGGGAGTCTTATTCAATGAAACGCTTAAAGAGCCCCAGGTACTTGCGCTTCTTACGTGATTGTTTAAACAAAAGAACCGATCATGTACAATATTTCCTTGTTCTTACGGAACTCATCTCCAATTCCCACCTTCTTGTTGATCCCACACTGGTTAGAGTTTTTCCACCCATGTATCATCGAGGATAGCCAATGTCTGTTTTACCCATTAGGTTGTGGGATGTCCCAGAGGCTTACCGCGTGTCTCTGAAACCCAGTGCGGCTAAGACGAGAGGGAGTGGTCTCCGCTGTGATTGCAACGCACGTTGGTTGAAGGCCTGGTTATTTGAAAGAAAATTAGATGACATTACATGTGCCACTCCTGCCCACTTGACGGGGGCCACGGTGACAAAACTGAGGGATAGCGACTTCGTATGCGGTGAGTGCCCATAGCTAAGGAATAAACACAGGCTATCTATCATACATACAACACACGGGTATTTCAATTGAAAAGTCTCTAAATTTGGAACGAGTTTATTTTGCGAAGAACTTTCTGTGAAACAATCTAGCCTATCGCGATGGAAAAAGGCTGTCGCTGTTTCACCTTAGTGAACAATAGTAACTTCTAAAGTTGCTAGCAATTAAATCAAACTCATCATATATATGGAGCCACGTGGCTCACTTGGCCGGGGCTTCTCCCGGTTTCCAAAACATGATGCAATTAGGGGTGTTGCCATTTCCCTAAAATAGGATGCTGTTAACCCACCGTAGGTTACTCCCTTACCCCCTTCCCCCACCCCTCCCCGCGTCAGGTTTTTCCTGACAGTTTTCCGGTACTCTTTTTTTCTCCTGGGTGGAGACTGGAGAGAGGCACGGCGAGAATCAAGTGACAACATATGACCTAGTCAGGTCATCGTGTATTAACCAAATAGTAAGCTGAAAATAAAGTAAGTTGCACGAGTCTGAGTGCCATTAATTATTTTGCAGGTACTTTCAAAGTTGCAGTGTACCCGAAGCAAATCCTCGCCATTCTCGGACAAAATGTTGAAATTCATTGCCATGCAAATATGGGCGCCACATATCACTGGATGTTGAGGGGTGTTAAACTGGAAGCTGATCAGTATCGTGTCCCTAACCCCCTCGGTCTACTGACGATCTACGGCTTGGCCGAGGAGGACTTGGGGGAGTACGTCTGCGTTGCTCAGAACGAGGCTGGATTAGGAGCCAGTTACGCTACGGTTATCAATGGAGGTAAGATTATAATACAATAAAATGCTGTAAGTGTAATTGTAATGCTTTTATTTGCCAATTGCTGTTACTCTCTTTTACTTTCCTTCATCATTAAGTAAATGAAGTTGCTATCTCTGGCCCGTGACTGTCAGAACCCTTCCTGCCTCTTAGTCTCTCATGCCCCTTTTGTCACTCGCTCGTCTTCTTTCTTTGGTGCCCTATCGACCCCCAGCGGTCTTTAAAAAAATAGCACTTTGACTTGTTCACAGTTCGTCCCCAGTTTACCGTGTATCCGTCAGCAGTTGACGCCACGGAGCCGCTAAAACCAGTGGTGCTAAAATGCCGAGCGAAGGGAACACCAACACCTGAAATCAATTGGTACAAAGATGGTTTGTTGATTAAGGGTAGCCCTGAGGAGTCAGGCTTCCAAGTTACCTTGGAAGGCTCCCTGGTGCTCGTGGGAAAGAGGTTCCACATCACGAGGGAGGGGTCTCTTATAATATTTGATCCTCGCATGGAGGACGAGGGGAAATTCACATGTGCCGCTGAGAACAAGTTGGGGAAAATATCGTATGATGTCAGCCTTTACGTTGAAACAAGTGAGTGTTTATTTTCTTTTTCAATACGGAGCCCACCCGCTCGGGAATTCCGTAGTATCTTATTCGAGTATATTCAATCCTCCTCATTTCGCACGTACTTCCAACTCCCTGAAATCTTCATACTGGATATTTTCCATCCCCTGCAATCTCGGAACCGGGGATCTCCACCTACCCATGACCTTCAACTTTTTCGTCCCCAATTCTGTATCTTCGAATTTAAAGCCGCATTCTTTCGTGTAGGGAAAACTTTGTCATCTAACATCTCTGGTTATCTGGGAGCTAGAAATAGAGTTAAGATTCACATTCCGTTGTTCACTCCCCTGCCTCCATAGGAAGTAAGATTTATCTGTGTGTCGTGCCAAAATTCTGTGAAATTAACTTTCGCAAACCAATTAACGGCTTTACAAATTAAAAATGCTGATTACTGTAGCCATTACTAAAAGATTCCAAGATTTTCCTCGACTTATATACATAGTTGGACCTTACCTGAAAAAAATGTTTTAATTGTTTTGTTTGTTTTTAAACTAAGAGCCTCATACGTTTCCCCACAGATAGTAAGTGCGCTCGTGGTTGTAGGGGTGGAGGAGTTTGTACCGCAGTGAAGTATGACTGTATATGTACTCAAGGATCTCACAAAGAAGGAGACAAATGTGTTCAAGGTAGTCAAGTGCCAAGAACTTTAATTGTAGGGTAGTTAAAATAGTTGACTCACATGAAAAGTTTATGAGCACTTTCTGGTCGCCATGGAACAGACTAGTAGACTCGATCACCAGCCGCTCTTGGAGAAAGGAGCGCGAGCTTCTTACGAGGGGTGTGTAAGGACGTAAATACGCTTCTTCAAGAAGGGGGGGAGCAGGTTCGAATTTCTGCGCCCTTACATGAAGTATCCCAAACCGCTGTTTAATTTCGTGTACCAGCAGGTTCGCAACCAGTGGATTCTTCGCATTCACGCGTTTTTTTGCGAATTGAACCTGCATCGTAGCGATTTTTTGCGATATACTGAAAAACCTCAAAACACACGCTCAGCGGGCCGCAAAGATTTGCTAATATTATCAGCCCTACAGCTTACATGATGATTTGAAGTGACTTTGAATTCGTCATTCTTAGCTTGTATTATTAAAACTCGCATTCTTGATATCATTTGGCCTTTTTTATTGATAATAATGATAATGACATGACTTTTTTCGGGAATATTGTTTATTTGCGCCCTTGTAGTGTCATTTGCGCAAATGACACTACGCGGGCGCAAATAAACAATATTCCCTCAAAAAGTCATGTTATTCCCTTAATAACGTGAACAGCTGCAAACTCCTTTATCCCCTCATCAGATAAAAAGGTCAAGAATGAGAAAACAATCGAAACAGGTTCCGGTTCGGGATCAGGACCTGACGGAGAATCTGGCTCGGGGGAGGCGGAATCAGAAGTTGGATCTGGATCGGGCGATGTGTCACCAACCAAACCAACTTCTCACAAAACAGACGGGCCGGGAATTGATCAGGAGACTGGAAGCGGAAGCGGGGAGGGTGAAAGGCCATCTTCAGCCTCCAGGGGAGCTGGGGTAGATCAAGAGGAGTCTGGTGACCTTACATCGTCGACTCCCTCAACTGAGGCTGGTAGCGGAAGTGGCGATGGAAATGCCGGAGGAGAAAGTGAAGATGGAAGTTTGGAGACCTGGATCCCAGGTAGCTTTAGGTCTTAATACTGTTTTTTTTAACACCATCAATTCAGAAAGTGACAGACTCGGGAAAATATGAACTTCTCGTGCAAGGTTTTTTCTGATTAACGCCAAGTGCTCTTATTATTATTTTTTTTTTTTTCCAGTGGAAGAGAGATCCCGTTCATCCGAGGCGAAGCCAATGAATCCTTTAAAAGCTCCACCATTGTGAGAACATTCCAAATGTCTCCTTTTTTCAGCGGCGGTTATGTCAGAGACTAACAAAATAAGCCAGTTATGGTATTGAATTAAGCCAGACAGCCTAAAAATCATATTGTAAACCTAATGCCAGCTTTATCAACTGAGTAGTTGTAACTTCACAATTGTCACTAACTCGTCTAAAATTGGTGTGTTATGCTAATATCAATCAAAACACCCTTACCAAAATAAATACAGTGATACTCATGAAGTTATGAATGGGATTTTTCATTTTCAGAGGGGATGGGATTGGAGGTTCTACACTAACACCTTACAGGAACCAGTAGCATGCTATGTGTTAATCTTGTTAGATGGTCACTTTTTTTATTAGAAAAAGGGGACAGGGGGTCATATGCTCCCTACTACCCTCCTTAGATACACCCTTGCACACTCGAATATGTAACGTTATATGAGTGGTAAATATCCTCAATTTACACATCTTAGTATATTTCTCTCCCTCTTCATATATTCATGTACTCACATGAATTTGAAACTGAATGTGAAGGCACTCAATGGTACGACAGAATGAGCAATCATTCTGATCATTTGCCATTACAAACAAGGAAACTACAAAAAATGAAATTGTTGAACATTCATGTTCTTTTCTCCTCTACTGCTGCATTATTTTAAGTTTCTGTAATGAGGCTCCACAATATCACCTTGTTTTGGAAGTATGATTTTACCATTTCACTCCCATGATCTCATTAGTAATTCTCCTTTCTGTCTACCATACAATTCTTATGAAATAAGTTCAGAGAATTTGTAATCAGATCAACAAATATTCCCTTAATTGACATTTTTCTCAATTCTCATCACTTTTTTCTCTTTGTTGTATTGATATTGCAAGGAAAAATTATGTCTTGATCACTCATGGGAGTTAATGGTTAAGAAGAAATGGTGAATTTGTACCAAGGTTTGGGAAAAAACCTGTTGTTTTTGCCTGTCCCCATGTTAGTGGGAATTTTACAAACTCAAGAAGCCTCCATGGGGCAAAAGTCCCCTGTAATGAGAGCTTTTCAATAATCATTAACATTTTTAAGCTACCAAGAGTTTATACTGTCCAAAGACCACCCCCTTCTATTGTTGTATCCAATCACAAGGTAGGTAAGGCAAATTGCACAAAACTGATAGGAGTGACAAGGTGTGTGAAAAATCAGTCAATCACTGCGGGTCATTGGAGCTAGCTTGTCTAGGGACTCTTTATCAACCTTTGTGACCAAAGAAATTGATGGTTATCATCATGGGTCATGGCTCATGGGTTATTAATATTAAACCAACCATCTTCCAAAATCACTTTGACAAGAAAGTTGTTCCATTGTACATTTAATCTACATACACCCTAGGTGGTCTTATCACAGTTTACATCAAACTCTATTTTAAAAAAAAAAGTATCAAGTCATCAAGTGATGCAAAAATTTCAAAATTACATAGCCAAGTTTTATGTCATGTCAAAATATTATAACACAATATGAGATAATCCAGTTAAAAAACTTCTCATCAAAGTCAGTACATGCATCCAGCACCACTTCAAACACAAGATCTGAAATAAACAAGAAATGAAGGGATTACTCATAGCTCAAATTGGAAATAAAAGGAGTGAAATTTGTAGCAGTTACAAGAACATGTATCTGGAGGAAGATAAGAACAATCAAATTTTCTCACATCTAATTGACAAAATTTGTTATCTTCAAGTGCAGTGAACACAAGCCGCAAATTATTATGTAACATTTACAAAAAAAAAAAACCACACACACTGCACTGCAAAGAAACATTGAATTTTCTTTAGAAATCATTATGCAATTGTGTGTAACAGGGCTGATTATTCAAACAAAGTTTTAACAACGTTTGGGAATCATAAATGCATGCAGAGAACCTAGAAGTTATATTCAAGGGTGATTATTTTAATAAAGTTTTAGTTGAGTTCATGAAAGAAGCCACAAACCCTTAAACCAAATGACCACCATCTTTTAAATATTTTCCTCCTTAACCCTGTTATGGGGAACAACTGGTAGGAAGCTGGCTGTGCTCAAAGATGGGTTTTAACACTGCTTACACAAGCAGTTTTTGTTGTATATCCCGCTTTGACCTTTTGCTTTCATGAACTAAAACTATAACATCATGAAAAAATAGGACTTGGCCATGAATATCCTCTGACATTCCTTTAACCCTCACCACTCTATTTCCAGCTCTTCCTTAATGCGCAGTTGTGAAAGGCAACTTTTTTTAGCATGATCTTTGTCATATTACATCTACATAAAATGTATAAAAAGCTAAGTGACAACAATTACCAATTTTAATAAATCTAGGGAAAGTCTACAGGTCAATTTTAAAATCAACACAAGCTTCCATTCTCTGACCCCTTTGATTTGGAAAAATAGAAAATTGTGAATGCCTTTATTACACCATGCATGTTAAAAATTGCAGGAGGCAAACTGCTTCCCAATACTGTGCTAGAAACTGCAAAAATAAACAAAACCAACAATATAAAACCATTAAGTATACCTTGCAATAGGCATCATTTGGCCAAACCAAGCTCTTCAGGGGTGGAAAGTCCTAATTCTTCCATGGTGGGTTTGATTTCACCCAGAATGTAGTTATAGATTTCATTGCTTCCAGCACCTTTATCGTAAACTGCTTCAAGAACCCTGACAGTCATGGGAAAGTCATTAAGTCGACGGCAGGCATGGAGCATTGCAATAATGATCTTGGGTTCTGGAACTAAGTCATGTCCATAGATTTCATTCAGTCCTTTACGCAACTCCCAAGCATCAAGGTCTGGTCTAATAGACAAATATAATTAAAAAGAAACAAATTTCAAATTCCTTAGCAAAACATAAAATCATTAATCCCAGCAAGAACTTTGAAGTTTTAAATATTAAACAAACTAAAAAAATTTGGATCAATATCAGCATCTGGGCAACTGCCCACCTACCCCTCCCTTAACCCAACAACAGTCAATTGATAACAATTTAGGGTTAATGTTGGATTAGGGGAGGGGTAGGTAGGCAATTTCCCAGATACTGATATTGATCCAAAAATTTCAAGTGGATTTAAAGGATTGAATACTAAGTACAATTGTTAACCTTTCTCTTTAATAGTAATTTTGCACAAATCTTCTTTTGTATCTTTTTTTCAATTTTCATGTAAAACAGCTCCAATGAGATGCATGCATAACAACAATTTAATGTACCACAAAAGTTTTAGTAATCATAATAAGGTTATCTAAAAGAACATTTCAGGCAAAAAAAAAAAGGAAACATGTTCAGCAGGTGGAGAAACGTGACCTTTATGATTTCAGCACAACCCTATACCATTGTAAAACAAATCGGCAGTCCTGAAGGCAACTGATTCCATTCACTTTTTCTTTTATTAATCAGAGAACCGTACATTAAATGAAGTATAGGGCGGTGTGGAAATCTTACCAAGTGGTCTTCTAACTGTTTATTGTACACAACAAGTACTAATTTTCTACTTAAAGATTTTCCTGGAATCAAATTGGTAACTGAGGCAATATAAGACGAAAATTTATCGAGATATAACTTTCAAACTACTCCTTTTAAAATGTTGTTTAAAACAATGTTTACATATTGTTCATGTACAAGTAAGACAATGCAAATTGAACTGTGAACTTAAAGAAAAAAACCTGCCTTGAAAAGTAAGCGTGCCACCGGTTGTCAAACGCTTCATCTGATTCTTTGGGTTTGCTGCTCATCTTTCGTGATGTAACACCTGGTTTTAAGCAAATTGTTTTAATATCAATTGCAGCATGTCATTTTCAGTAAAAATTCACTTTCTTGAAAAATTCACGCAGGAAACCCAATATCCTTCTTCGTCGCAAACCTGTGATCTCAAAACTTAGGTTGCTACCGCTCCTGAAAATATGACCCTAATTTGAATATAAGTCAGTTATTCAGAAACCTCGTACATCTTTAGACGCTTGAAGTCCTGTATCGTAAAATTCAACACCACTAAACTATTTGATTTAGGAATGAGAAGTCACTAATCGGACTATGTTGAGTATTCTGGAATTACTGCGTCGATTAGTGTTGCTCAGTCACTTAGCTTCCCTCGCAAATTCTAGAGTCATAAAGGAACCTTACCCAGCATCGAGGCAGCACCTCTCATGGAGGGAACCACAAGGCGGCTGGCAACACAACGGAGCATCTCGCAGAACTACCGCTACTCAAGTAATCCAAAATGGCGACTAGGTACCGATACCCGGTAGTCTGTGCGAAACGTGCGTGACCGCTGAAGGAGGAGGTGTGCTTTGCAGGCGCAGAGGGGTATGATTAGGTGACCGAGGTGACCGGTGAAGGTGTCAAGTTATTTCCATTCGAAACCGATTACTTGTGGGACTTTTGTGAAGGATCTTAACTTTCCATCGTTGGACACGATGTAAAAGAGCTAAAAAGAGGAGGTTAGCCAGTTAAATGAGCATCATCGATGAAGATAATGGCTTCGAGGGCAATGACAAAAAGGGTGAATCCGAAGTGAGTACTTTGATTAACTATGCATAACATTTTGACAATAGCCTTAACAAATGAATTTGTTTCCAAAGTTATTGCACTTATTTTGATTTTTATCGAGCTAAATTTAGATGATTTTATGTCGTATTATGATAAGTACCTCACAAGTTCTCACAGCTGGTGGGTTTAATATGAAAAGCACATTCGAAAGACAATCTACGGACCACAATAAAGTAGCCTGTAAACAACAGAGAGCTGCAATTTAATATGGAAATCCCATGTCAGGAGGAGGTAGCAAAGAGGATTGCTCCAAACTTCATCAGAAGACAACTTCACCCGGCTTCTTTTTCACAACAACGAAATTTTTCCTGAAATTTTCACTTTCTCATTACAATGTCATCCGAAGGTGTCAAATTAAGAAGGTAATTATGTTTAAACGGTTTGGGATGTAAACAAAAATTTCAGTGATATTCAGTTATCCAGGGCCATGCTTGCTCAGATTAGTTTTACAGGATTTGATAAACAACATTGAAATAACCACTTCCCCTCAGGCTGTAAATATCCTATCCAACTCTGATTCAAGATTACTTGAGGCTTGTACCACTTAAAATAATAGTGGAGCTCGTAGAGCGTAACCTCATAATTATACAAAATAGTAGTAACCCTTCAAGCCAAAAAAATTTGGATATACGACTGTACGACCGTATGACTGTACAAGGTGTTACTTTAAACATGTGTGGTCAACTGTACTGCAGGCACGCCAACGCCACGGCTTTATCCAGTAGTCCAGTGTAGGTTCTAGTCCTGGCCGGGGCAAGGCATTGTGCCCTTGAGATGTGCGGAAAAAAAAAATGCGAGCTCCGCTTTTAGCCTTGGCTAAATCTATGTATTAAAGTGGCTCTAAATGGTTTTGTCAGTTCTAAACACCAATTCCTTGATGCATTGCAGCTTTAACACTTTTTCATTTGTATCCTCAGAAATTGTGTCTAAAAAATGCCTAATTATTATTTCTTATTTCTTTGACTTACAGGGTTACCATAACAACACTACATCTTCTTCAAAATGCCCTTAATTTAGGCTTTATGATCCTGTACCTAAAAATTTAGTTCATTGATACCCCCTTTTTATTGCTGAATTGCATCCAGTGTACCAAGATTGATCCTCCTTCAAAAGTTACAAAATTCTGCATTTACTGGTAGTTCAGAGCTACCTTAGTTTTTTGATAGTTTTCATTTAGCACAATTGATATAGCTTTTCTAGAAGGAGGCTAAAATCTTTGATGTGTTAAGTCGAAAGAACTATCCAATGTCAAGTGTTTTTGTTTCTCTAGTTTAAAAGTGGAAATAAGGAAAGCTGCAACATAGATTGTAAGTTGTTGCACAACCGATCCTTGAAAGTCAAGGAGGAATCATTATGATCAGCACACTAATTAGAGATCTGTGACTCTGTATTACCTAACACTTTTAACTAGTGCATGTCCTATCAGTAAATGAGTTTTAAGTACAGTATGTTAAGATTGTTCTGTGTACTATTTTAACCAAAATTTTGTTTCTTCAGCCAAACCTTCAGTGGTCTCCATTCAAGCAATATGATCAGCTTAACAGAAAAACTACAAGAATTGATATCAACCTAGTTAAATCTGTGATTGATAGTACTTTCCCCGATAATGAACTTAAAGATGAAAGAGAGTGCAAGGACCTTGAAGCACTTGTTAATGTCCCTTGCTTGGCAAAACTTGTTTGTAGCGATAAACCTCTTTCTTTGGGAAACAATCCTTCTATATCTGAATGTGCTTGTGGAAGTCTAGCAAAGAGGGAAAGTGTTTGTTTATGGGAAAGCTTGCAAAACAGCTTCTTTCGAAAGACAACTATTCAAGCTACTGAGGTGACTTGGCGGAGGAACTTTTTACATCTATTTAGCCTGGGAACAGAGGTAGAATCAAGGTTTGGGAAAGATTTTGCATTGGATGTCTCAGAAGATCTGAATGATAAGCATCCTATTTATAGTGGTTCAGGAAAGCTCCGAAATGGATTTTATGTTTCTTCAAATGGACTTGTGTTCTCAAGTGGGATTAAGGTACGAAACTCACCGGTTTTATTATGCAAAGTTGTATCTGCAAAAACCCCTCGTTAGTGACTAATTTGCAAAAATACCAAAATTTCCTGTTGAAGTTGAATCCGTTATCACTTATATACAATACAGTAAGACCCTTAGCTTTTATCCAATAATGATCTCTCTAATTAAAGCTGGCTGTTTAGAATCTTCCATTTAAACACCCACATGGCAATCTGCTTTTAATGTCACCAAGACAAGAAGTATATAATTTATTTCTTAATATTTTACACCCTCACATCAGTGTGCATTTTCTCCCTACTGTTGTTGATACATTTCCTAAGGTGCTGACAAGGAGAATTCTCTCAGCAATCGAAAGCTTCTTAAGTTGGTAATCATTTCTTTTATTCTCCTGACATAAATGTGTGATTCAGGGGTGATATTGTGAGGAGAAATTGGATGCTAGTCAGAGGTCAAAGGGTGAAACAAGTATTGGGATTATAATCAAAACAAACATTTCAACTCACAATAGAAATTACGAGAGAGGTTTATTGATTGAATTAGACTTACCAAAGCTATAAACCAAACTTGAATACACTGTCTCTGATAACATGGACTTTATTCAACTATTTTATTCAACTAATTTGTTGTTGTGTTTTTTAACATTACCATATCCCACCAGCATAGCTTCTTCTTTCTGTATATGTATAGAGACCATATGCAACCCACAGATCCTTTATTTGCACTGACTTAGGGCTAACACTTGAACTGTCAGCTTTAGAAACTCTTTACTGTGGCAGATTTACATCATCAACTCAATTGATTAAACTAAATGATCTTTTTATACCTCCTACTGATGCATGTGCAACACCACATTTTCACAAGAAACTTACCCTTGGTACGCTGAATTTTGCTTTGCAATTTATCACTACCTCCAACTCTCTGATTTGCACAATATGCCTAATGGTATGGTTTACTGCTGCATTAGTGTTGAAATGTTTTTAAAACCCAGGTATGGTACTTTTGATACTTGGAACCATTACAGTGACTTAACACTTCTTATTAGTATAATAATTATTGTAATTTTTAATCTTAAAATTATGATTGATATTTCTTACTAATGCTTCAAACCTCAAATTGATACATGTATGTGGTGTCTTGACTTCTTGAGAAATCTTGCCATATCCTGTAGCCTTAGGTGTCTACAATCCTCTCCAAGATTTTTGCCATATCCAATAAGAAAATTTTTCTGATGAACAACTGATTTTAGAAACTCCAATCTTGCTAAATGCTTGATCACTCTTCCAAGTGCTGTGATCATGTTTATGTTCCTATAGTTCCTACATAATATTGTGTGTCATCATCTTGCCCAGTTTTCCTTACAGAGTGGAAGCTTTGAATTGATGGGCCCATTACATGTAAATATGGTTGTTCTAAGCTTTCCAAGCTTTAACCCTTCAAAACCTAAGAGGGACCAGCATCTAGTTTCTCCACACAGTAATACTGCTGAGTCATTCATTGAGATCATGTGAATAAAGTAAATGATCACCAACCTAAGAAGCTTTTACTGTGAACTGAATTCTCCTTATCAGCACTAAAGGAAATGTGTAAGGAACAGTATGGAGAAAATGGATACTCATGTTGGCGTGTATAGGGTTAATTGAAAATTTTGAAACCAATGTTGACTGCATGAGGACTTTGTGATGATCTATTCCTGGGAAGAGTCTCAAAAAAGCTTTGTTTTTCAGTTGCATTGCAAGTTTGCACTGTTTTTGGTTACATTTGGCATCAAAGGAATGTTTAAGAAATTAATTATAGCTCATGCATTCCTAATCAGATGGAACAGTTCTTTTTATCCTGTTCACATTGCCATTTATTGCAAAATATTTACGTTTGGTTCCCACATGCCAGTAATTGATATTATTACATGTACCTTCAGACCACTGAAAACATGTTTCACAGACTCTAGTTTTTAACTGTATTTTGATCAATACTATCTTCAGTTGTGGCCAACAAAGATAAAATACCCACAATTTTTACTGTAAGTGTTCTCCATCATTATCAATATGTTTACACTGTTTGTAGTATGAATCATAAATTCACAATGAAACATGTGGCTTTTCCAATTTGTAAGACATATGATAAGACTTACATACATTTATGTTTTGGTGATTGAATGGCTTGCTTCTGTGTGATTCTTGTAATGAACCAGATATGTTTGAAGATTATTTACAACTTATTTTGCTTGACCGTGAAGGCAGCAGCACAGAGATTTTGTGCCTCTGTTGAATACTGAAATAAAGCACAAAGAAAAATTAAGTTTGATTATTATATTGAAGAAAGCAACCAACCAAAAGAAGGTTGTCATTACCAATTGCAAAACGATAAAATGTACCTTTTCTTTGTGGGTTTTTTTTTGGCTTTGAGCCTTTGAATACAAGGGTCTACTTTTTCCACTGATGTGAGATTTTAGTGAGTCACTGTGATACCATTTTTCTTTTTCAACATGCGTTCACGTTGCCATTCATAGCTATGTTCAATTTCATGGACAATTCCAAATTTATGACCATTTTGCATCGATGTTTTCTTCCAAGTAAGACTTTCTATTTTAATTATAATTAAAACTGGTAAATATTTTGATTTTGTTTTTCTCAAGCTGATACAGAGTTACTTTACAAAGATTACATATAGATATTTATTTTCAACTCGTCATTTATTGGAGGTGTATGCGTTTGTTTTTTGTCAATTTTTCTTGACATGAATAAATTTTTGATGAATTTTTGATGAATTTTTTATGATGTTTACTTTAAATTTTGAATATTGATGGAATCACTAAAAATATTAAAGTCACTTTGAAACTGGAAAATGGAAGTGCATATGAGAACACAATCTAGGAAACTTTTTAAGGCAAGGATGTGAGTTTGGAGATTAGTATTTAGGACACCAAAAATGGATGAATTATTGTAATTGTTCCTTTAAATTCTAGGAATGTTAAGACATACACACGCTTTTAAGCCGAATATTGTTGAATGAATGTCGTCTTCTACAATTTTAATTATTTGTGGTTTTAATATGTGGGTTTTGTCCCAAATTATTCATGAAATTATTACTGACATTATTTGTCACAGTGATTTTTTTTTAGAATCAGTAAGATCAACAAAATTGGTCTTATGGTTGCAGGTAATGAATTGGGTGTTAAAGTATTTCACACTGGCCCCACATTTGATTTTTTTTTTCTCACATTTGGCAAAAAAAAGTGAGAAAAATTATTTTAAGATGAACTCAATATGTAAGGAAAATTACAGCCTAGAGATTGTACAATATTAAAGCAAAGATTATTATGTAAATTCAGATGTTACTACTGTGTAATGGAAATTCTTGTAAGCCATTATTGACATTTAATCAAATGGAAGTGTAAAGTTTGCTGTATTTTGATTGGTTTGTTGTTTTCTTGTCAAAAACATAGTGACTTTTAAACAAATATTGCATGATTTGCCAACTTTATTTCTTTTTCACTAAATGAAAATCTCCATATTACATAGAGTGTGTCTGTCAAGTTGTCAGAAAAATATTTATCCTCCTGAACAATTATTTATGCATCAGCTTGAATATGAATCATATTTTGTTTTGACCAGGTGGACAATGTGTCTACTGTAGAGTTTTTTTTCACCAAAGCTGATTTGGTCATTAAATAGCTCAAGGTTAAAAATATTTCCCTTGTGAGGGCCATTGGGAATCAATATAATGAATATTATTGTCATATGCCATTGAAAAATAGTCTCAATCACTGAGAGAAGATTTCAGTTACTATTGGATCCTTCATTTTCTGATAAGAAACAATGTCATCCCGACTGGTGGGTTAAATTTAAGAATCAACCATTTTGTGTTTTTCTTTGTGTTTTTTTCCCTTTTGTTTCCTTTTTATCGATAAGCACTCGTAAACCCTTAGTGTTTTCTTCCCTTCATGTATCAAATTTCTTTTTGTAAGACATACCGTTTTGAATTACCAAGATCAATCTGTTTAGAATTAGTTTTCACATTATTTTGATAGTAAACAGTATAGTGTTTGTTAAGCATCTGATTCTATATCTCAGATATATTTTGAATCAGTGAAGTAGAATTTTTCAAACATTTTAATTCATCCTTATTGTGGGCTAATACAAAAACATAATAGTGAAATGAAATATATATTGAAAAATTGAATTACCAAAAGATTCTAATTCTACCTCAATTAAGGGAAAAAATACAAAGCAGAAAGTTATCTGCTTTATTCATTTGTGCAATCTAAAAAGATGTTGATGTCTTTGTTCATTTGAGAAATAAAAAAAGATATATAATGTCTAGTAGTTTTCACTCAATGACCTTTGTGGAACTCAAACCAAATGGGAAAAAGGAATTATTTGCTGTTGATATTTTTGATCTGTAAAATGATGTAATTTACTTGTTGGTGGCTTTCATTAAGTTAAGGTGGTTTTGATAATTTAATGTAGATCTTTGTTGCAGTATTTGTGAAGTCTGATATTACAATTCTTGTTTTTAGTAATATTCAATGCCTTCATGTTTATTTTGAAGAACCCCACATTGTGTGTACTTTCACGGATAAGTGATTGACTAGAAGCAACAGTTTTATAGATTCATGGGTATGTTGTGGTTCAATTTTATCCTTGGTTCGAAGTTTATTTTCCTTTGTTTCAAATTCATTATCATACATTACAAGTTACACCCAAAAACAATTTGAACCAAGGATGAAATTGAGCTACAACAGATATACTGGACAATGTTGGTCGGCTATTTTTTCCAAATCTACCATGGTCCCATATGTTATCTGTTAGGGTGTTCCAAATCATTTATTCTAATCTATGTTAGGATGATAAAACCATAACTAATTGAATTAAGAGAGATATTGTTTATTTTTTACAAGCATGGGAGAAATAAAATAGTCTGGATTTCCCATGATAAGTCAAACCTAGAACCTTCCTGTCTGGCCATCAGGTGGTCAGAATACTGCTAAGCTTTCTACATTGTACTGTAATATAAGGGTTTTATGATCAAAATCAGAAGGTTTAAAGGCTTGATGAATTGTGGCTGATACAGATCCTGACAGGTGAATTCCAGCTTTAATTCTTCTTTTTCCTGAGTTGTAAGCATCTTTGATTCCACCTAAATCAGTACAGGTATCCCCCATCCACCTAATCCATTCCTTGAATGCCATTCTGTGCTCATTTTTCCTTTTGCATACTGTGATGTCTAAAAAAAGTTGCTGCAGTTACTATTCTTTTTTCTCTTTGCCAGACGAAAGCAGAAGAAAGGAAGCTTCTTTCTCATAGGATGGAAAGTGTTGAGTCTGATCTGGATGAAACACCTAACGAAAATCAACTGCTAAACAAAGAAAACAAAGCTAAGGATAAAACAGAACGGTTAGATATATTACTCATATTGCATTTTAAAGTTATTTGCAGATAGAAAATTTAAACTGATAATTTTCCCAAAATATATGTGAAACTGTTAATGACTAGTAACTGAACTTATTTCTTAATAAAAGGAAGAATTGGATATAGACTCTGGCATTATATGCTGTTATTTGATTTTTGTTTATGTATTTTCATAGAAAATCAGGATTGTTTGCATCATTGAGTGCCTCCTTGTGTGCAGCAAGGTCTGGGATTCAAGGACTTTTGGAAAGGTGGGTCATTTAGTGCATTTCCCTGAGCCAATGTGGACTACAATCTGGGGAAAGCTGTGTTGAATAATACATGAAAACATCAAATTCTGAGTTAAGACCTATGAAATAAGTCTTGGAACCTCATTGCCACCTTTCGATGTTGGATGTTATAAGGGCACAAGCTTCTCTGAGTTAAAATTGTTCATTCAACCCTGTACAGTGAATAAACCAGTGACCAAATGATACTTTGATTTAATAATTTTTTTAGATCCTCACCAAAGGAGCAAAGGCGCTCAACCAGTGTTGTCCCCACAGGAGACAGTGATGGTGAAGATGATACAGAAAAGTTGACACAGAAACCAAATATGCCAAATCCTGATGTAGATGGCTTTGATAATCATGACGAATTTACAAGGTGATTGATTGGTTGAAGATGTTTGACTGCATATTAAGGTTGACATCAAATCAGTGAGTAATGCTCTCAGGAATATGGCAACTGACTCTTTAAAAATGTGTCTCAGAACAAAATTTTAAATCTATTTGTTTGGGGGGGGGGGGGGGGGAATAGGGGGAACCTAAAGTTGTGTTCCCTTGGGAAAAGTTTCACCAGAATTGTGGTATCCTCATTCCTGTCATTCAGAGTGACCCAGACAGGATTTCACTTGACAGCATTTGTATATTTATTTAATTATTTTGCAAGAAGAAATATAACAAGAAGAAAAAAAAAGTGTCAAGGGGCTAATGTTTGATCCATAACTTAATTCTAATAGCAAAAGAAGTATGTGGTGGACATAATTATTAATAGTTATTGCATTGTGAAAATAGTTCCAAATCACTGAATTATTGCCTTGTTAGTGAGTAACTGGGAGAGATAATTATTTGAAAAAAGCTTTGAATGTCCACATTGCCCTCTTTTTGAAATTACTAAGCACACAACTGTAAAATGGCTCATTAGGTTTCCTTTAAATGTTCTCTCTCAAAAACCTATGTGAAGTCTAAATGAGACATAATCTGTTACATGTTGAAATCAGTTTTTTCTATTGGACGGCAATGAAAGCCTAAAGCTGTTTGTTTATTTGTGTATTCGTACTTATATTCTCAGACAAATGGAAGCAAAGGGAGGTTTAACTTACCAGAGTGCAGACAGAACAGTTCACCAATTGTCCCATGATTCTTTGCCTCCTCCACTCTCTCTTCAGTCATTTCAAGCTGAAAATCAAGCTGGCAAATAGAATTTACAATATATGTTTATTGATTAAAATAATTACTTTGTTACTGGCCCAAGTTATTCAACTAGTACAATACCTTTTTGTCTCATCTTGCTTATGGTATCATGCTCAAGGATGCAACATCTATGGTGAAATTCAGAAAAACCTTGAGGGCTGGCAATACAGATTAATTATCAGGCATGATATATCTTTACTGAACACAATATGGATGAGTAGTTTGTTATGTTGATATATGCTCACATGTCCTTATCATCCACACAGTTAGTCACTTGTGGGAGCTCTTTTGTCACGACAGGATAAACAATTTTGGGGTGTCTTTCAGGTGTTCATGGTTTTCTGAGTTTGACAAGAACCCTTTAATTCCCAGAGATGATTGGTACAGAGATTCTCTACACACTATCAGTACATTATCAGCAAATAGGTAACAAGAATAAACAAACCTATCATAAGGAGGATGAAATTTTGATATAACATAATTTACAAAGAGGAGCTCAGAATAGACAAAGTTTGCACCCTTAGAAGGCGTGATCATGATGCAACAAAAATATTCTTCCCAAATCTGAAGAAGAGAATTACTCATTAGATCTCAAGTCTAAAGGGTTAAATATCAATAATATATGTTTTCGGTTAGTAATTAATTGTAGGGCTCTGCACTTGATTTCATTCTGACAGTTTCTTATGTTCAAGAAATAAGGAATTTTGAAATCAAATGATTAACATTAATTGAAGTCAATTAAATCTTTTAACTTCCAAGATCTGATTAGTAATTATTCTATCTGTAATATATATCAGAATAAGATATGACAATATGGTTCTTTATCAGCAAATTATCTCACAAATTATTTAAAACAGTGTTTGGGACAATTCACATTAAAGAGACTTGGTTACTCCAAATGGTGCTGTCAAAATTTTTGCTGAAATGCGACACAAGCAAGAATTTAAGTGGTAAGCTATTTCGGGGAACAATTCTGCTGGCTCCACTTTTTTGACATCATATGAAACAGTTTTCAGTTTCTGCTTGTGAGAGATTTTGGAAACAAGCATCTCTAAAAGTGGTCACTTACAAGAGGTGGTCACTTATGAGAGGTGGTGGATTACAAGAGGTTCTATTTATAGTGATTTGACTCAGAAACTTTTGGTATTTTGAAGAGGTGGTCTCTAACAAGAGGTGGTCCCTTATAAGGGGTGGTTGCAAAGGAAAGTTTGACTGTTGTAACATGATTGAATACCACTATGAATGAAGTTAAATACTTAGATTTATGAAATAATTGTTTTTTCATTTTATTTGAGAGAAATGTATGAAAGATTGTGAGTTTTGTGAATTGCATAGTAAAGTGATTATTAAGTTTCATTGTATATGTTTTGGTAAAAAGTCAAAGCGGTTTCAAACTAGTTTGATATCTATTTCTCTAGTATGTTCCTAATACATTACCAGAATCCTTGAGAAAATGTAATGGAAATCAAACTATTTTGAATTCATTTTAACTTGAAATTATTCCAAACCACAGCATATGTAGGTCAATCTAACTAACTTTAAAATTACTATCACATGGCATGAAGGTTATTGTAATTTTTATGATTATTATTACTATTATTATACTATTAAAAATGATTGTAAAGTATCAGATTTTTTCTTCACAAATTGTTTGACAAAATTGGTTAGAATCTGTTTTTGTGTTACCATGAAAGAGATGTTTCATATTTTCATTTGTGTTTTTTAATTTTTTACTATTATCTTGTAATTCATGTCAGAGCACAAAAACACTCTATTATTTCTAAGAAATGTTATAAATGAAATATGAAAGAGAATGACTCGAATGTAATATATGTGATAGAATTAATAATTTTTAAATATTTAGTGTAGTGAGAGATGTCATGCTGCACATTTAGCTGACCACAGATAAAAATTTTCATGATGGATTTCAATAAAAGTATTGTTTCCTCTGTTGTAAGGAAGTTCCAGGTAATTGATGTTTTGTCAGCCAAAGTAAATGCATAAGGTACCCTTATCTGTGTTGGAGTCAAATGAGCCTCCATGACACACACAGGTGGGTGAAGGCCATTCCTCACTACTCTTTTGTTCTTTTCCCTCTCCCTTTTGTCCAATAGCTGCAAAGCAGGATGAAATATGAGCCTGTCTTGTTGGACTCTGCCACTGACCAGTTTCCAATCTTGCCAGCTTATTCAGCATTTATCCTAATTCTCTATGCTAAGAGGGGAAACTCTTCAGTGGCATTATAAGGTGCATCTTAAAGTGATGAGTGTTGAATCTGTGAAATTAAGTTCTGAAGTGGTTAGGTGTTTGAGATGGAAATGAATTCGAAGGGTCTAGCTTACTGTTAACCATCTGGCTCTCATAAGCCTTCAACTTTCAAATCTTAATGACTATGGGAGAATCATTTTCCACCTTGAGCAACAACATGGATTCATGGATTCTGTTGAAAGTCAAGGTAAATAAATATCCCATTTCATTTCCCCACCCAGGTTTCAAGAGAGTTGGAGGAATAGAGATATCAGAAACATGGTTGCCCTTCCCCACCAAAACTTACCATCCACTCAGGGAGTTTTATCTACATGTAACTAAATACGGAGACAAGCATGCTCATCTCTACTGAATTGTTAATTATCATGGTTACACAGGATACCCAAGTCTGCATTCAGAATCAAACTCTGCCAATTTAATCCAAACCCGTTAACCCCCTACTACCACCTTCACAATTAATCAATCTGTGAGCACAGAAAATAAAACTCTAAGCATTTTAATTTGATTTCAAACAGTAATAAAACAGTAGCAAATCTTCTTTGAAGCTAGTCTTATTGTGGTGCTATCAAAACACTCAGTGTCTCATGCTTCCTGTTCTAACTCTGCAAGTTCCTTTTCAATCTCTTCCCTTCTCGAAAGCTTTTCTAACTGTGTAGCTTCTGGATTTACTAACTCTCCTGAGTCAATTTTTTCTTGTAATTCTTCAATCTGTCGCAATTTCTTTCTGAGATTCTTGACACGTTTTAATTTTAGATCGTCCGGGTTGCTAGTGTATACTGTGCCCGCTGCAGTCGCGGTTCTAGAAACTGTAGCACTTTGCAATTTTTCCGTAACTTCCTCGACTTCACATCTTTGATGTTCACTCTCCTCTTTCTTTTTATTCTTACGTTTTTTCTGGTTTTTCGTGAGCTGTTTGTTTTCTTCCTCGTGTACACCAGGCGGTAATTTCGAAAAACTATTGGCCCATTGTTTTCCTTTACTTTCGTACTTTGCCACTTCATCTGGTGGGACATAACCCTCCTTCACTCTACGAGCCTTACGCCATGTGCCATCAGGTCTTCTAGAAGCTGGAATCCACGTCTCTCCAGCTGCATCACCAGAACTTACACTATCGTCCGCCATGTTGGAAACTTTTCAGACATGTTCGGTGATTTTCCGTACTCTAGAGTTACAATCGGCATATATTCGATAACTTTCGAGACTACGAATCCCAGAACACCCTGCATAGGTTTCGGACCCAAAATGGCGTCCGCTACCGGTAGAATTTTTCAAACTGTGAAAAAACATATACCAAGTATAAGATTTCCAAACAGAGCAAAACAAAAAATGGAACGTAAGTAAATGAGAATTATATCTCTTTTTATTAACAAGAGAAACAAACCTAGAGATTCTCTTTCCGTTTTGCATACCACTAGCCGGTTCATCACACAGACCACCGGAGATTTCGTCAGTTTTATCTGCGATCACTAGTAAAGCAACACCAGCAGAATCAGCGACTCGACCGACAAGTTCCAATTCTATGACCGCCGATGAGTCGTTCGGTTATCAAAGTTTACCGGCAAGATACAGAAGAAGACTTCTAACCCAAGAGGAAATTGATTATATTGAGGTGAGCCTGATCATATCAAGCTGAAATTTTTACGATGCGATATTGTGATAGTTTCACTTTACTATCTACATGTTTGATCTTAAAATCCTGGCAGACAAGAACAAGGGGACTTCTTCACAAAAATTGGCACATTAGGACAATGACTTTATTTTCCATTTATCCACAGAAACAATAACCTTTCGAAATGACACTGCAGCAGGATCTCCTTTTCATGACCTCATTGTTCATTATAATTACAGTTCTCGTTTAAAAGAATGGCTAAAAGAAAAGATCGCCTTTAGGGCTACGCTTTTGTTTTAGGATAGTGTAAGATTATGCAGACATGTTTCTCACTTCCCTATGTCCCTGAGAGATTCCATATACAAAGTATTTGTGTCAACTATTACAAATCTCATGCAAAGTTTACCAAATCTCCCAAATAAATTAAGTTTTATAAACTTTTCTGTAGAAGAGGGCTAATCAAGTATTTTAATCTACTATAGGGCAAAATATTGAGGCTAATTGTCTCAAGGTTAATTGTATTTTGTATTTGCATTTATCATCTGTTTTATTGTTTTGGAATCATCTACATCCCATGAAACAATTTTGAATTTTGAATTGGTGGGTGGAGACTGAAACAGAGCATTCAATTAGAAAATTCAGGGGGAGGAAGGATGTCAGGACTCACATATCTGTGAGATAACAAAGCTGTTAGAAAATTTGCAGCACAAGGAATGTTAAAGGGTGTACAATGTCTTTCTGAAATGTTGTCATGAAAATAAATAACCATCTTGAACCCACTCATGAACCTATAGTCCCTTATTAATGCTTACAGTCTTGAGCTGATGCAGAAAGAAACTGACAATAGGGAAATCACATACATTTACTAAGTAAGAAACCCCTCTGAAAAGTACACCCTGTAAGACCCTGCAAATGGCTTATTGGAACTTGCTAACAGCCATAGTAAACAAGTATTCACCAAAGTGGAAGTGAAAAGTGGTGGATTTTTATCAAGTTGTGAAACGGAGTGGAAAAATATCCACTACTTTCACTGACACTGAGGTGAATAACAGTTTTTAGTTTATACCACACAGTTATAAAAAAATTAGTTTATTTATCTCAACATACTGAATGATGGTTGGAAATTAAACTCTGGAGGCACAATTTTGTCTTTTGGTTGCTTGAAGGTGAATAGTACTCACTATTCACCTCTGAACTAGCCAGTCAACAGGCAGGAAAAGAACTATTCACCTGTGTGGTATATGCTGATATGTCAAACTGTTGCTGACAACCCTTGCGACTGTGACAGAACAGCCTTTGAAGTTTTTGTCGACAAGCATGCACATGTAGAGTAGATTAAAGTAGGGGTCATAATAATATTATTCAGCAGAGGATGATATTTAATGGACTGCAAGGTCCTTCGTCCTGGAAATAAGGGACTGAAAAGAAATCAGACCAGTAACAAGATAAGTGTGTGAAAAATGTTGGGGATTACTTGATCATAGACTAAGGGACAAGTCTGGTTGAGACTTTTAGTTGATGCATGTTATCCACCCATGCACTGATCACTTCAAATACCCAAATTCCATCTCCCCTTCCCCCCCTCCCCCCCTTTTCATCAACCCATGGTTAATTGATTGTCAAGCATATCTGGGGGATTAGGGATTGGGAGTTTGAACCTAGCCTGGGTGGGGTGGCAAATTTGAACTTGAACTTGGAAGTCTTTTTCAATGGAATAAACTTGTTTTATCCTTTGATATGGAGGTGTTCAAAGGTAAAAAGTTCTCTTTTGTGAGCACATAGCTAAGAAGAAAAGGTCTTTAAGAAAGTCATGATCACTAATCTCACCTTATACAGAAACATTGAGGGTGGTGGTGGGGGATTTAAACAAATGTTTTGCCTAGGGGGCTTGAATTTGAAAAACTAATCTTCAATAGTTTTAGTGCTAAAGGGGAGATTTTGAAGCTTCAAGTTAATCAACCCATTAGGATGGGCATGAGTTAGTTTCATGGGCCATCATGACTAATTTTCAATTTTTTTCCCCTTCAAACATAGAGAGGTGGTCCAGAATGAAACCTCCCAGGTGGCTGGAAGTATTTTACACTGTCTGTTAATTATTTAACTTGTGTGGAGACTGTTGGAATCATTTTCAAGAGAAAGAAATGTAGTGAATGTGGAAGTATCATTCACTTCTTGGTCATTTGATTTCAGACCAGTCATTTGTGACATGAAAAATGATTCACTTTTAAAATAGTGAATAAGCATTCATCTAAAGATGGTGTTTAGCAGAACTGAGTGACTCCTAGTAAAGATGGCTTTTTACACATGTATTACAGATTTATGAGTAATTAAACTTAACTTTCTATAAAATGGCAATGGTGTGCATTTATTAATCATATTTTTGAAAACTCAACAAAATGTAGGGTTTTAAATTGATTAGGCTAGAGGTTTAAGGAGTGTCTCAACCAGGTTAGTAGGACCTCCAGCACAAAGAGTAATCACAGACCCAAAATGATTAGGTTGTGTGACAACTCCTTCAGATGGAGAAGTATCATCTATTGAACATTGTATGGTTGTTTAAATCAAGTATTTCACAGTCTGAAGTCACAGTAAGCCTAGACAACTGAATCTGATGCATATGGCTCAGAATTTCTGTATTCTTACTCCTGCTTAAGAAGTATGGGTTTGTTTAAAAGAAGGCCTCTACTTCATTCTCTTGACTTAGTTTTCCTGACTTAATCATCATGTCCATGTCTATTTACTTTGGGCTTCTGCATATTAGTTTACAAGTTCTATTTCAAAGTTTACTTTGCAGGATCTGAAGATCTTCTCTAAAGATATCTGATAGGAACTTCACAAAATTGGCTATCCCTTTGTCACCCGGTTTAAATTCCTTTGTCCAGATGTTGTAATTGGGTAAATTATCTCCAAGGCTATTCATTCTTGTTACAGCTACTTCTTTGAAAAGGTCTAATGCTCTGGTATAGCCTTCATTGGATACGAAGCATTTACGGGGGTTTAATAGTATTAACTTCTCTTTTGAAGCAACTTTTTTAACTAAGGCTTGAATGTAAATTTCACAGAAACAGATTTGGTTCAGTGTAAATGAAAGCAAAAACTGATTTCGATTAGTTGAAAATGGTCCATTTCTTTGCCTTGTTTTATTTCGATCTAGGGGTTCTATTCCAGTTGCTTTACTTATCACTAGTTCCAGCTCTCGCCTAAAAGTATTGCTAAGTGTCAGACATGACAAATTTGTAAACGTTATTTTATGAGATGCAAGTCTTGAATCTTCTGTAACACTTTGGAGGCAGTCATTGAAATTGTAATCAGTGTCATTTCTTTTTGATGTCATCCAGTGCTGCAGGATGGTTATTGAGTTGATGGCTGTAGCCTGCCCCCCTGACATCTCCTCGTCGAAATCTCCGGGTAAAACATTATAATCTGAATAAAAAAAACTTCGCATACCCCCATGCTTTACACAAAGAAGAAGCTGATCTAGTAATCGAGAAACACGATCACTCATACAGCTTCCAGACCAATATTTCTTTTCTGGGTATCGACTCCATTCAGCTAACACTAAAGTTTTTAGCGCATATGAAGAAAAATAACCGTTGCTTCCCTCTGGAAGATCAAGACCGAGATAATCCTGAAATTCGGTGTTTGGCAAGCGAGTATTAGCATTCAGTAGAAATTCGTGCGGAGCAAGGTCAACGATAGTGGATATGTCACGCAACATCTTGAGTATCCTTAAACACACGGTTGGTCCTCCTTCAGGGCCAAAATGTTGGAACAGCGCCTGTTCAAGACACGACTGGGAACAACGAAGACGAAAAAAATACTCATTAGGATGCGAATCTCCCAGATGATCTTTCAACAAATTTGAAGAAGGGCAATTAGTTCCCTTATAGTCACTAACAGCAAAGAAATAGGGCACAGAGTCAGAAATAATCTTCTGCATGACATCAGCTGGAATCTCTGTGCAGTGCTTTAAGTTCATGGTGGAAGAAGAAAAGTTAATCTTTACTGCTAATGACAAATCAACCCCGATTTTTAACCCACTGTAGCGTTCTCCGCCAATCCATTGAAGCTTCAAACTGCACGCGGGGCCGTGCTTGGTTAGGCCTTCTATGACACGCAATCCATATCCCTCGTACCCACTCTCCTTTTCACGAAGTATTTCATAAAACGGTCCCTTGACATGCGTTTTCCATTGGAAATGAGAAATACTTCGTGGGACATCCTTGTAAGTTGATAGATTTCGTAGTTTATCAAAACTCGACTGGCTGGGAATCACAATAACTGAAGCCCCGGCTAATTCTTCGTACTGAATGTCTCTCGGCTCAGAGAAATTATCGAGCTGAACGAGATAATCAAACTCATTCGGTTTTTCGACTTTTGTGTCTTCATAGAAACTGCCACTATTGATAAGTGTTGTTTTGAGGAAGGGATTTTCCTGTTCTACTTCCAGGAGAAGATCTTTTAGAAGGTTTTCGACTCCCATTTGGATGTCGATGACCTCTTGGCAGCGAGGTATCAATGCAGTGTTTTTATCCAAGTCCAGTAGAAACAGATCTAGTGGGGTGAGCGAAGAGATTGCCTCATCTTTATGAATGGATCCTCCTGAAAGGACTGAATCATCTTTATCCCCGTCACTTTTAGATTGGCTTAAGTCGTCGAGGTTCATGTTTCATTTTCTGCAAACTTTGTCGATCGAGGGCTCATAAGTATTCCTTCACTTCCGCTTTCACAATTTGTATCCCACAATGCACCTAAACACTTAGGGACAGGCGAGTACCCAGATCTCCCACCATAAGCGGCCAACAGCGAGAAGATGTGAAGGAAACTGAGTTAATCGACACTCTTAATCCTCACGGTATCAACGAGCGCTTTTCATTCAACTAATTTTTTCTTGTTTTCTTGTCACCATATTCCCACCAACAGCGTAGCTCCATTTTCTGCATATATAAACCCACACACAACCACAATTCTTTCAATCGCTCTGACGAAGGCCTAACGCTCGAAACGTCAGCTTTTAAAATTTTTACTGGGGCCAATTTACGTTATCGACTGAGTTGATAATACTAAATTACCCAGATTATCAAACTGTTCGCTTCCATAGGCGGGCCCTCTTTCTATTGAGCACCGGCTCCGTTGTTAAGGAGCATGGTTCCTTTTCAAAGGAAGTCTGCGAAGTAAATGTCAAAAAGGAGTTAAAGGGATTGAGAAGGGCTACATCTTTTCCACTTTATTGATAAGCAGTGAAATTTATCCGTTTAAGTCACCAATGGACACGAGCACTCTGGAAGCGAGGATGCTCTTGATGCCATGTGACCACACTTACGACATGTAACAAGACGTGCACCAGTTTGCACTCATTTCCGAACATCAGAATGACATTTTCGTTTTCCTCCCAATTACGCAATGTACAGATACACTGTCTTCTTGCTAATTAGGTGTGGAACTGAACAAAAATTCTTTAGTCATCCCACTATTGCCAAAGCACGAATTTTCAGGCGTTAAGGGAACAACAGTATATGATTCACACTTGATTCAACATACGGTAGATGCGAACAAAGAGCAAACTACATTTATAACTAAATTCCTATCGAAAGTAAATTGCTGTAATTACATGTTAATCACCAGTAGACTCCATTAGATGAACCAATGGTTTACAGGGCTAGATAGATTATTGACCTTATTTCGTGTTATGTCACAAAGTTGTGTTAATCTCAGTCGAGCTATTCAAAACGTGAGTGAGCTAACCCTGAATGAAAACAAATTTTCACTCCTGTTTTCATTTTTGTGCCTTCAGTTTTGCTTTTAAAGATACGATCCTTTCGAACAAGCAGGCCTTAGTGGAAGAAAATGAGTTTTATGCGCCGGAATATGTTGAATATGATGGCTTACCTCTCCTGTAGACTGAGGTAACGATACTAACGGAGGCGCTAGGAATGAAATTTTGCTGCCGGAGTAGGGACTAAGTACTACATCGGAAAGAATAGAACTCCGTCATTTTAGACGAGCTAGTGGTTATTACTAAAACCAAATGAGGTTAAAATGACGGATAATGGTCATTTAAATCTCTTTTTGCAAGACTTAGACGAAAGAAAAGGCAGAATCCCATGCTGCCAAGAGGTCAGTCTTATTCAAAGCCGCATCAGAAGGGTTATAAGGAGCATTCTGCTAGAAGTGAGAAGAGAGAATCCGTTCTTCAGGACGACGCTGATCAACAGCGGAAGCTTTTATGAGGGAACCAAGGTCGGACAGCCAGATGAGTTTGACTTCCTTATTCAACTCGACAGTTTTTCTGGCCCTGAGAGATATTGCTTTCACGAACTTCCTTGTTCTACAGTGATGGTGTTCCCTGCAGACGAATCAGCTTGGGAAGACCTTTGCTTCTTTTTCCCTCACTCCAAACTGGATTTGAGGTATGGCGATTTTGAGTGGAAGAAGACTATCAAGACACCATTTTATAAGATCTTCAACAAGAAAGCAAAAGATTTTGAGGCATTCGGAATGAAGGTAGTGCTGTGGGATTATTACTCTGACGTGTCTACGGAATCACCTTTAACAAAACATGGACCGGCATATACCCTGTTACTCGAATGGAACGGCGGAGAATGGTACAAAGGCTTAAGAATCAGTGTTGACTTGGCTCTAGCCGTGAGAATAAATAATCGACCTGATAACATTGACATTGAATTTGAAACCCCAACAGGAAGGGTGCTTCGATCTCTATTTGATAAATTACCATTTTACTATGCAGTTGGTACGTACAGGAACATGCTCACGGAAGTTCAGCCAAATTTCTTTGCTGATTGGGATGCCGTTTCAGGACCAGAAAATTTCTGTCTACGTTGCTCGCACTCGTGCCTCGAGCAGGGATTATTTCGCCAGACATTTGGCTTCGACAGCGGTCAAGCCAAGTGTCTTAGGTTACTGAAAGTATTGCGTGACATCGTATTTCCTGATACTACCGAATTCAAAGGAAGATCAAACGATAGTGGTTTTTTGTTTTTTTACGTCGAATCAGCGGCTGATCCTTTGAAAAACACCGGCAGATTGCTTTCTTCTTATGTCCTCAAAACGCTGGTGTTGTTTGAATGGAAGCTGTACCCTGAAAAAGAGCAGTGGTCTGGAAACAATCTAAGCCAGCGATTCCTCAACATTCTTCGTAGTCTTGTCGATCACTTGAAAGAAAGAAAAATGCGAAGCTTTTTCTCCGCAGATTACAACATTTTCCCTTCCTCAGTTACTCGTGAAATGGATTTTTTTAAATGTTGCTAGTATAATCGCCATTCTCCTTGATGGTTTATCTCTCGTCGACAACATGAACGTTTATAACTTCGAAGAATGTTTGACAAAACTGAAAGAGGACTTTATTGATATAATTTATCGCAAAAAATCTCTTACCGACCTACTTTTAAGTGGCGTTTGGGACACTTTCTTCCAAGATCCTTCTGTGGAAGAAGTCGTTCAGAAATCCTTAAGAAAGGAAGGTAAGGCAACAGTTTGTCAATATTCAGATGCCTTGGCACATGGACTGGTATACAAGGAGACTGACGAGAAAATAAGTTTAGGGAACATCTACGTTCAAGCTTTGCTTAATTCAATAGCTCCAAATGAGAGTTTAATATTGACAGATGTTAATGTGAAAGATACGACGTCCCTGAGTCAAGCCGGACAACAATTCGAGAAAATAGCGCGTCGGAGAATGGAGACGAGTGCAAACGATCTTCCCAGCTACAGTCTTTGGTCCCAGGAACACTGGAGACTAGAAGGGTCAAGTTACAAGTACAAAACTGACGAACCAAGGAAGCTGTTGGAATTTCTGTTCAGTGCATTTCGAGAAGACATTGCCATATTGCTTAATGAAATGAAAGACTGGTGAATAAGATTTAGGTATTTCTTAATTGTTAGGGCTGTTCTAAAACAATTTCTGATTAAAGAAAGTTTTGATTGTTACTGTCAGTTTGCTCGAAGGAAACCCAACTTGGGACTCCACAAGCATCTACTCCACTCCCCCACCTCCCCCTCCCTTCCACTCAGGCTCGGAAAAAATGTAAAATGTACCTTTCTTTTCATTCCCAGCGGTAAGGTATTTTACCTTAAAGTATTCCTTTTTGAATTTACTTTCTTTTTAATTTTTACGACAAATCTAATCTGCAAGCACATAATTTTCCACAGAATAGTTACAATTCAGCAATATGGAATTATTTTTGAGATACAAGCTAAATGGCAATTTTTTCAAGATATTTCAGCGAAGCTTATCGGTAAAAGCTGCTCACTTAGCGAATACTTATCCACCTGGTAACTTACTTAGGTACAATCTAGTAGTAGTCACCAAAAATCCCATATTTATGATTAAACGCATAGCCGGATCATGCCATCCAGTGAAGCGTTAAGAATTTTAGTAACAGAATAATGAACCAGAAGAGTGGATCATTGAACCAGAACCGAGTATATACAAACTGACAAAGGGATCTCATGTGAACTGAATTCATCTAAACTGAAGTACAATTTCAGTAAATAAGCTAGGTGGGGATTACTTTTGGAAAATTGAAAGTGAACTTGCAAAACTGGTAGTCTTTAGTCTTTTTTTTTTTCATTCAAAATCACCATAAATTACGAAGACAAATCAAACAACCATCAGGTGAACGGCAGATCGATAAGAAAATGAGTTGTTGTCTTCGATCGCTGGATTTGTCCATACACGATATTGATGAAAATAAAGGAAACGTACTAAAAGGGCCATACCACTAGGAGGTCATTGATATTAAACCAGTGTTGAAAACTTTCTGCTTCTAAAGTTAAAAAATGAGGCCTTCCTACAAGACAGCACTTATCGACAAGGGTAGTTTCTACAAAGGAACCGAGGCCTAATTTTGATTGGAAAATCAGCGTTAAGACTCTGTTTGTCAGAGCCAACCGGGAAGTTAAAGAGATAGCTATAGGTGAACGAAATTGAAGTCCTGTCTTCAGCATCTAAAACAAACGGACCTTCTTACAGTGTAGGGCTTAAATGGACTAGTGGAGAACATTATGCACGATTGGTAATCAGCAATCAGCGTTGAATTGTCTCCTGCTGTAAAGATTCACTCTTGTTCATTAACCATTTATCCATTTGAAGCAGAAACCCCGGCTGGCCGAGTGATAACCTCCTTACTTGACAACTTACCGTATTTCTTTGCCGTCAGTGGATACTCGAATTGAGCCCTCGTCATCTGATTTGTTTTAGGAATTCAAGAAATCAGTTAGAAGTAACCGGCCCGTTGACATAAATCACTTTTCTTTGCGATGTTTGCAATCATGCCTTGAACAGGCGCTATTCCTCCATTCGGCCCCACAGGTGAGCCAACGGTGTGTTTAATACTGTTGAAGGCGTTGCGTGACATGTTGTTTCCTGTCATAGAAGTGGAGAATTATGCATTTTGGAATGAAGCCGTCCAAAATTCTCACTGGAAATTTATTCGTGATCCTGGAGTCAGTGTAATCTCTGAGGTGGCCAATACAGTAATACAGTTGGATGAAACCAGCTAATTATGACGAAGGTTCTTTCATTGATCAGTACAGTGGCAGCAAGAGGATTTCTTCGTGCACGCTTTATCAAACCTTGGTGTTACTTGAATGGGAGCAACACCCCACGAATGAAGAATGGTCTGGCAGCAATATGAGCAAACGCCTCTTAAACATAATAAAACGCCTCCAACTTTCTTTAAAAAAACAAATAGTGCAGCTTTTTCCACAGAGATTACCAAATATTCCCAAATAATTAATTTATAGTGCTATGGAAAAAGGCTTTCTCTGACAGGATAAACATCCTTCAATGCTTACTCTTATTAGTTAAAGATCGCCCGGTCAATGAATTCAGATTTGATGAATGCCTCAAAGAAGATGTGATGTGGAGTTACCAAAGAGTGAAATTGTATTATTTCCTTTTAGATTCACTTAGGGCTCTTTGTGATTATCAATTAAACGAGTGAGAAGAATCATCAAATCTTCATGGTGGCTGCATTGGAGACTTAAAACAGGAGAAAACTCTTCTCTGTAGCGACTACATTTAATCCCGCTTGCTAAGGGAAATTGCTCCAGAAGTCAATTTAATCCTCCCTGAACATAAACATGTTACCAATGTGAAACAAAAGAAAGTTATAGAAACGTTTGAGGAAATTACCTCTTCAAGAATGAGAGACTTTGTAAACATGCTGAGTCACACCCTTTCGCTACACAAGTTTGAATCTCAGTCTGAGTTGGCAGAGTTGTTGAAATTTCTTTTCATTACCTTAACAAATGATATAAAAGTGCTATATTAGGAGAAGTGTAAAACATTCCATGAAAAGATCTCTATGATGATTATTAACCACATTGATGTAAACTAGAAGAATATATCCAGGTTGTATGCTCTTGAGTAAACTGATATTAGGTTCATTTCTTTGTCGCCTCAAAGGCACCATTTCGACGTATCTTTGACGCCTTTTTTTAATCTATTAACATTCTTAGCCACCTCTTAGACAATAGTTTCAGTGACCAATTCTTTAAAGTTAAAATGCACCCGAAACTGTTCTTGTTTGCTAGGAACTGATAAATCTTATCCTTTTCTGTCTTGTATAATTTTGAGTTGGATCTTTCCTTATTTCATTTGTTAACCGTCTGGTGAGGTTTCCTTTTTGGGTAGTTCATAAAGGGTGAAAAAAAATTAGAAGGGGTCTGGAACAGGAGCCCATGGGCTCCTGTCTGGAACTAGAACGCTTAGTAGAGACTGGAAATAACAAAATCTGACTTAAAACCGATGGGAATGGAGGGCGAGTGAACCACTTAATTTCCTCTCCGATGTTGTTCTCTCTTTTTGATTGGCCTTGAAAATGAAATCAGAAGAAAACATAAGGTAGAAACTTAAAAACTGGTTTCGCCACAATCCTACATGCACTTATGGTTCGCGGGTCGTTCACCGGATCGCCGCTTGTCATTGACGCCCGCAAGCACAACTGGCCAGCTACTTTCCGTTGAAGCACTTCGCTGTTACATTATGGCGGTTCCAGCGGATAGCGAATTTCTACTCGGAAACGATCTTCCACATAATCGTCGGCGTAAATATTCTTAGAGATTCCTGAGAGCTTTAGTTTTAGTTTTGGAAATGGAAGAAGAACATATGGGTAATGAAGAAATGCTTTCTTGATTTTATTTGCGATGATCGAGGTGAAAGTGCGCCTACTCCGTGGTTCTGTCTTCTTCGCTGGCGAATGTATCGAGTGTGAAATTATTTTTACAAACGTCGCAGATGGCAAGAAAGAGACCTGCAGTCATCCATGTAATCACGTTAATAACGATTTTTCAAATGGGAGCAATGAAACGGACAGACTTGCTTGGGCGAGCGCTCAAATACATTGCCAGTGTACGGTAAACGAATCGCGGGTTGTTCTTCCAACTACGAATTCAAGAATGGATCGAACTCTAAACCAAATTTCTTCGGATGCAAATGCATCTTGTACAAGCTTCGTTCCCTCAAGAGGTTAGAGCACAAACGCTTCTTTGGTGCATGTATGATTTATGGTTGGATTTTGCTGGTATACTATTATCGATCGGAAAATGGTGAATTATTGATCGTGATGTCGTGTTTTGTTTTTTAAATGTCTGTCGCAGGAGAACAAGGTCGCTGTTTATTGTCTACGCAACCGAAGATATTGTTTTGTGATCTGGAGCTTGCTCCTGGAGAATCTAGAAATTGTAAGTTTACTTTTACCTGTGAAGTGAAGTAGTTTCGGGATTGCGTGAATGATAATTTGAAAAGTAAGCAAGTTGTATTGCAAATGTGTTGGTAATATCCATTTCTTAAACTCCTGAGCGATTCCTAACCCACGATTCGTTCGAATTTCTTGGTATTGCTTTGTTCCTTGTACGTTCTGGCGGACCTTTTTGTTTTGTAAAACAAAGGAAAAGCTTATCTTAATTCATTACTTGAAAGTGCTTGTTTACGGTATCGTTCGTTCATCCATGAATTGGTTCCCTATTGAAAGTAATTATGTAAAAGGTATCTACCTTCTGCACATAATTAAATCGTAGTTGTTCTCTCTTTTAAGGCTACTGCGTTTGAATTTTGGGATCAATCGAAGTTAAAATTTGTTTAGAGTTGTCCACCGAGACTGCATATTTACAGTGAAGAATTCCTACAGATTGACTTTCAGCTTGGAAGAAATTTTATCTGAGTATTATTCTCCGACTTTCAATCATCTTTTCGTGAAACAAGATCACTGACTGTGTGTGGGACTCTAGTACTGTAATGAAATCATATTATGCCCCGAAGGTTTATGATACTAATAAACTAATTTAGCTAATACTGATACTGGTATGACTGCAATGTATTAATGTCTCGGAATATAGAGTAAGCTTAGTCTGCTTTATCTGTCATTTCAATGATTCCTGAGTAAAGCGAGTTAAATTTTAGTCCAACATACCAGTATTCACTTGATGACAGACTTTTCACTTGTTACTTTATTAGTTGATAGCTTTCTTGGCTTCTATAAAAATACAAAAGTCAGATTGCAAATCAGAGAAAGGGAAATTCCAGTCAGCAGGGATTTTTTTTTTGTAATTGAGTTTGAGTAAGCTAATGGTTAATAGTAAAGTTTCCTAACAGGCCCAAAACATGAAATGATTAACAGCATTGCATTACATATTTTGCATGATGCATTTTGAATTCCAAGGTCATACTATTTGAAGGGGTAGTGCCTTTTTTTTTTGTTTTTCTTCATTTTGATCACGAAACCTTAATATTATATCACTGAATACATGATATCTTGACTGTTTCAGATTTTTATAGTGACACAATTCCGTTTGATGGAGTGCCCTCATATAAAGGACATACAGTGAAATATTCTTACAAGATCACTGTTGGCACCAGTAGAGTTCAAGGACATTCCAAACTTTTAAAATTGCCTGTTAGAATATTGTCTTTACAAGGTGAGTGTGTGATGAATATAGGCAATCCTCTATAATGGCAAACTGATGTAGAGATCTCTTGTAGTAAAATAAAGAGAGGAAAGGTTTTGCCAAAAGTTTATTTTTATTTCTTTCTGATCATATTTTCTGCTAAATAACTGAACGTAACCTGCTTTTCCTATGCTTTCAATACATGAGTTAAAATACAAGTTTTCAATATTTCCACTATTGACCTCAAATTTACAATTTTCACACAAGATGAAAGCACAAGTTTGGTTCACTAATATTGTAGAGCGCTGCATTGCCATATGGGAGGTCAAGGTTTCAAGCCCCAGATCCAACCAACATTTAGGGTTTTAAAACAGTTCAGAAGATGGTACTGCCTGCCATATAACATGGGCAAATGGTTAAACATTCTAGCAGGGCGTGAAGTTGCGCCTAATACAGGCGCCAATGCGACTACATTTTTTACTTTGGCAACCAAATCCTGAAAATTAGTCGGAAAATTGGTGACTAGAATGTTTCATCATAACCTTACTTAGAGATATAGGGAATTAAAAAGATTTGCAAAGATAAATCCGCGGCAAACTTCCTCGTTAAGTTTGTTTCCAAAACGTAGCACATGCATCTTGATCAATAACTAGACGTCATCTTGGATTTAGGTGAGCTTGAACGTTGCATATCATCCATCCTAGTGTCCACTTTGTAGCACTTTAAAGATCTTTTCCCTGACTTAATTTCTAGATCAATTACAGCGTAAAAAAAAGGCCTTGTTTGTCTTTGAAAATGGCAACCAATTTTGTTTGAATTGGCTACCACTTTGAAGAATTTAGGAGCCAAGTGGCTATCAGAAAAAAAAAAATTTCACGCCTTGTCTAGTCTTCTTGGATAAGGACAATAAACCGCAGGTCATGTCTCTTGCATCTTCTCGGAATCATACTTAGCAAGGGATGTTAAAGAACCTACAAACTTCTCCTAAATAGTAGAGAACTTAACTCCTTAATTTTTTAAATATATTCCTCTAATTTCTTTTTTAACAGGACTTGGTAGGATTGAACAATTTTTATGCAAGCAAGAAAATTCTCATAATCCATTTTTAGATGATTCGAATCCAGAAACATCTTTATTAGATTTAGCAGTGGACATTTTAACTACAGTCACCTCTAAAAGAAATTCTCGTAAGTACAGAACCACTGTTTATACATGATTGAAATATGAATAAGACAAGTGACGATTAATCTCTGATCATCCGCTTAATAGTTTGATCATTATCCCACTGTTTGGTATTCAGAAAGATTCAAATCTTTTGCAAGGATTTGCATCTTATTTCTCCTAAACATAATGCTGTTGAATCAAACATTATAAGGCCATGAGAATAAGGAGAATGATCCCCTACCAGAAAACCTCTCGATTGTTCAACAAATTCTCCATGTCAGTGCCACGAGAAGCGTATTGAGAACAGTATTGAAAATGTACATACCAATCCCCAATCTTATGGTTTAAAGGGTTAGTTACATTATTTTTTCAATGTTTGGACCTTGAGAAAGGTGCTTATTCAAGGCTGCATGGTTATTCAAATTTTTACCCTTTTCAGTGAGTAGTTAATTTAATTTGCAACAAAACAATTAATAATAAAATGTGAAGATGTACCCTACATGGTAAATTTCAAGATTGTAAGCCAGTAAATGAAAAATGATCTATACTCCCCTTGTGTACTTTAGTTTTTTGGTGCTGGCTTTTCTCACCAACAGGGTGGGTGCTCATTCAAGGTTGTGCCCCAAATCAAATAAGTAAAGTTACAATTTGATCTATGGGTAATTTGTATTAACTTACTCCAATCCAATTTTTTTGTGAAATCTAATAACATGAGCTTAACTTGACAGGGAGTCTTGGATGGTAGTTCTAAATGACTGAGTAGAACTTAATTCTTGAACTTTGCTTTTTTTGTTTTTTTTTTCAACAGATGTATATAACATTGTCAGTGGCAGAGGATCTATAGGAAAGTTTTGTCTCTTTAAGTCAGCATATCGCATAGGTGAAGAAATCGTTGGATCTTTTGACTTTTCAGAATCTCTCATTCTTTGTCTCAAGGTAATTAAGGCGTATATATGACTTGATTTTCCAATAGTGGTGCATTTTAAAACTCTGTTAACTCAATAGTTTTTTAAAAAAGCTTTTGATTTTAAAATAATTTCTGCAGTTAATCCCCTTTGAGGAGGCCATCTCTAGAGAATCTTTGATTAAAACCACTCCTAAAACTCCTGATGAGCATATTTTGATGTAATATTGTTGAACAAAAATTAAAGAAAGAGTTAAAAATGGCCCATCAGACAGAACTAAGTGAAAGAAGCCACCATGAACTCAACGTAGCAACAGGCAAACTTCCCAAAATATGGGAAAACATAATATACTAAATTGCATTTGGTTTATGTTTTACAGAGGAAAATGTACAGTTTGAGTTTTAAAACCAATCACAGTTTATTGCTTTAGATAGCCTTGTCACTGTGGATTACTTTAGTTACACTCAACTTGAAATTGCATTCAGCAGCCAAATTTTATCAGCAGGAAACATCCAACCTGATGATATTTCAACTGTTGTTTTTACCTAGTCTTGAGTGGCTTTCAAGTTTGTTGAAAGTAAATGAAATTATGTAGAGAATTTGTAGGTCTGCTTGCAGTTTTTAAGGAGTTGTGTACATGTAGTTGTGGTAAATCTTAGAAATTTTAGCTGTTTGTATTATTTACACTTAACCAAGTACTGATTTTTTTTTCTTAATCTAGTTTTCAGTTGTCCTGCAAAGTGAAGAACACATTCCTGAGAATTCACGCAATCCTTCAAAGCAATCTTCAGATGTGACATACTCTTCTTTCACTTCTGTTCAAGAAAATTGTTTGCACACTAAAAAGACTCATCTAGTTTTACCTATACCTTACACTGCTTGTCCAGAATTCGTCTCAGATTTAGGTAAGACAGATATTTCAGTATTTAATGTATAGATAACAGTATGGAGAATGTGCATACTGATGTTAGTCTCCTGAACAGTTCCACAAATACAAATGTTTGAGTTTGTGTCTTATGGAATCAAGAAAATGCACTAGGGCAGGTTGGTATGGAAGGAAAAAGCATTATCTGTTTCAAAGACTTGTTGCACTTACTTGTTACCTAATGTGCCATGTCCTCTGGTTTTTTCTTAAAAATAATTATAAGTGCAAAGTAAATTTAGAACCACACAGCCCGGCTATTAAGTTTGATGAGATATTGTTCTCATTTTTTTCACAGTTTGTTTGAAATGGAGACTTCATTTTGAGTTTACAATAGCTCTGTCACCATTACCTGGAGGAGATAGTCCTGTTCAGCAAACAACTCCTTTTACAGACAATGCCTCTTGGCAGGGCCCCTCTGATATTCAGGCTGAAACTATGTCATGGGATCTACCTGTCAAAATTATAGCTACAAATCCACTTCATGCTTCTTCTATTTCAATGCACAGGACAAGTAGTACAATGGTTTTTTAAGGTTTGGGAGAAGTGGAGGCTGTGATTTATGCTTTTAGTGTCAATCTATGTAATGTTCTTACTACTTCACGTGTATGACAATGGTTCTGCTGTACTCAGAGTGGATAAGAGTATACATGCAAGGCTGTCTCCCCAGGATAGTGCACTTGTTGTGTACGGGAAACCCAGACACCACCAGCTCTTGGCAAGACTACTGTGCTACATGGACAAACAGCTTTTTCTCATAACTAAAGAAAGAACAGACTTGTTTATTTTTTAACTTTCTATTTTGTCAAAGAATCTGCCAACAGAAATTGTAGTAAACGGTTTTGACTACCTGAAAAGGACAAAATTCTCTAAATAACCAGAGGAAGCCACTAATATTTGCCTCCACCTCAATTTAAGAGGGTGAATATATATTCAGCTATTACTTAAAAGTGCTGAAATTCTTGTTAAAGGTCCCCAATAGCATTCAGTTAGGAAATCAATCCCCTTAAATTTACCAAAAACTCACACTAATACCATAAAACGTTTTGAATTCATTTACTGTGATCTTAGACTCTCAAACAGTGCCTTCATTTCCCATTCCTTTTGGCTGTTTGTGAAGCAAGCTTTAGCTGTACCACAAGGTTTTAATGCAGACATGTGACTGGGTATGGTTCAGTGTCTGTGATACAAAAAGTTTTGATAAGACAAGGGTGACCAAAAGTAATATATGAATTTTGAATTGAGTGATTATTTGGAACAAAATGTTTATTATAACAAGTATCCTGTTACATCATTTTATGGCAGTACATTGGCCTGCTTTAGAATGTCAAGCACAGGAGGAAAGTGTTGTTACCTTCAGGCCTTCAACTCCAAAGATCTGATGGTTAATTCTCCCCTCTAGTTGATCCACATCTCTTTTTAAATTAGGTATGAGAATTTGTGAATAGTTGATGAGAGTATTCTCACCACCTGTTTGCTGGATAATTTATTGATATTGTAGGAAGATGTTACAATGCAAATTTTGTTGAAGGAAATGTTGTTTTGTTGGGGTGAGGATATTATGAAAGTCATATTTAACTTATATTTTTTTGGCAACATTTCAACTTTTTTTACTTTCTTATTGTCAAACTCAGAAATCTGCAAATACCAAATATATTTTTGGAGTTGTACTGTTTTAAGGTAAACAATACGCCAAGCTAGAGTTAAGGAACTATTGAATGAAATAATAACTATCCTGTGATTTTCTTGCTTGTCCTGATCTCCAGTGTGAACATAACGTAAATGACATACCTTATCTCCTTGAATAAGTACCTGGCACTTATTAAGAACGTCATCTCAAAGGAGGGGCACTTATTGGAATGAGGGTGCTATGTTAAGGGGGGTGCATATTATTCTCCTGTACTGATTCCATTGCAGTCAAAGCTTATAAAGTTATAAATTAATTGGCATAAGGAACAGGTTCTCTTTGCATCCCCACTATTTAAGAAAGTGAGAGAGGAAGGGGTGCTTGTTTGAAATTATGGTTTAGGAGGTGGGTGTTTATTCAGGAGAGGGTGCTTAATAGAGGAGATATGGTATTTGCAAAATATCCCAGGTGTTTGTCAGTAATTTTTTGCTTTGCTCAATCGTATATTTCTTGTTTATTGTAATAATCATCACAGTTTCCTCATAGTGGAATGACAATGCACTTAGTTGGTTTTGCAGCTGTTCTAACTTCAAAGTTGTGGCCTTTCCCTTTACAAATCTTTATGAAAATGTTCTATATTTACAGGAGCAAATTCTCTGAAAACACAATTGTACATATGGGTGTGTTTGTAAGTGAATGCATTATAAACAACTTAGCGCACACATACAGAAACTGACATGCAGACCTGACATCAACTGAAATTCTTGGTCTCTGTTTTCATTTTATTTATCATAGAAATTACTTGTAAAAAGCTATTATATATATTCAAGATTAAAAGACAATATTTTATGAAGTCTATATTGGTATTAAAATATGAGGTACTTAAATGGTAAAGAAAGAGAAACCGGTCTTACTGTTGTTGGGCATAATGTACCGATATTTTCTTGCAACCTGGTCAATAAGATGTTATTGGATACCACCTTTGAAATTTTAAAATTTCACATCTTCAAACTAAATTTCTTTCCCTTACATTTGAAAAATTGAGATTTGACTGTAAAACCAAAGTTTTAAAATAAATTGGTCAACTCTACAACCTAACATCAGTATGCATATTCTCCATACTGTTTCTCTATACATTTCCTAAGGTGCTGACAAGGAGAATTTGTTTTTCAATCAAGATAATATATAGTTGGTTATCATTTTCTTTATTCCCATGACCTTATTGTATGATGTAGGGGTTATACTGTTGGGAGAAATTAGATGCCAGTCACCCTCAGGGGTTAAAGAATTAACAAACAGATTCCATGGGGCCATGCATTTGTTTGGCAGTCAAAATGTGGTAAGAACAAGAAAGAGGAACAAGATGCAAAGCTAATTGGGTTACTGAAGTTTTCAGTGACCTATTACTGTGCTAACATGGCATCCATTTGTTCTATATAATAAAGAGGCCAAAAACTGTCAATCATGAAATCATATGCATCTGTCCTCTTATAGCTCATAACTAGGACCAATCGAAAAGTGTGAATAATTCAGCTCACTCTATGGTGACAACTATGAGCTCATAGAGATAGGTAACACAATTTATCACTAACAGAGGATTGCTCCACATTAAAGAAAAGGCCAAACCATATTTTTTTTCTGGAAATTCCTATTTCCACAAATATTCTCATGCCCTGTTGGAAATCAGTACAAAAAGTCAGCTCCTTCCTGTACAATTTCACCCAGTGAAGAAAGTTCATCAACTTTTGAGAAGTTTAAGACAACAAATTTCACGCAAACGTGAGATGTTTCTTTCTGTATGACCACTACCGAGTTTACATCTGCCATTGTCACATAAACCCCTTCCTGCCGATGAGTTATTAAAAAAGAATAACAGCGTTAAGTGGAAAGCAAAGCTAACTTGTTCACCCATTATAGTTAGAGTAACACGAGATAAATAATTTATAATCATCGTGAAATGCCTAAATCTTAATCAATCGTTATAGGCAAGAGTATCGAACGTTTAAGTTTAAGTATGGATATGCTCATAAGCACAGAAACCTACAAAAATGTTTTGCGTCACATCACCACACCGCATGAGCTCACAATAACGTGGACAGAGATGCCATGTACAGAAAAAAGCTTTATAACACAAAGTAATTGCGCAGAAACACATATCGACTCAGACTAAACCGAAGAAAAATTTAAAGGATCTTAAAATGAGAACGAGTTAGCGTTGTGACGATTTTGTTCCAAGTTTCTTCAGGACGGAAGATTTTTCAGCTCACGAAGACTATAAAAAAGACTGGAGCTAACTTTGTACCTGATAAATACTACGATAACACATCATTTGAAAGATATCCTGGGTTGAGCACAATTTAGCGAGGCGCTCAAACAAGAAACGCAGTAAGGTAGAGGAGCTTGACTTTCGCTCGGATCGAAGGCAGCCAATCACAAATAAGTAGCATGGAAATTTTCGACCAATCATAAGTTACGAAAGCTGACCAATCAGATACGTAAAATCTGCATTTATATCATTCAATCATTTGTTACGTCGCCATTTGTGTGTTGCAACCGTTTGTGATCTTCTACTTGGAATAATACTGTAGTTAAGGCAAAGAAAATGGCTCGTACGAAGCAAACAGCCCGTAAATCGACCGGAGGAAAGGCCCCAAGGAAACAGCTAGCAACCAAAGCTGCCCGTAAAAGCGCCCCATCCACTGGTGGAGTGAAAAAGCCTCATCGTTACAGGCCGGGAACTGTCGCCCTTCGAGAAATCCGTCGTTATCAAAAGTCGACAGAACTGTTGATCAGAAAGCTTCCATTTCAGCGTCTTGTACGTGAAATTGCCCAGGACTTCAAGACGGATCTTCGTTTCCAAAGTGCCGCTATTGGTGCCCTTCAAGAAGCCGCAGAAGCTTACCTGGTTGGTCTATTTGAAGACACAAACTTGTGTGCCATCCACGCTAAGCGCGTGACCATTATGCCAAAGGATATTCAACTCGCTCGCCGGATCAGGGGAGAACGTGCTTAAATTAGCTCATTATCGCTGTACATATTGAAACTTTAATGGAACATATCTAAATGTAAGGAACCGAACTTGATATCTATGATGCATGCACTAGTCGTCAGTAACTAAACTACTTTTCATGTCGGTTAAAGTTCTCCTTTGCGTTCACTTTTCTCTCTGTAATAGTTGCATGATTTTAGAATTTTTTTGTTACCAAAATCGTAAATACAAATCATAAGTCAGTCAATTTTAAGTTTTATTACATGTTGGCGCCGTCTTCGCTGTTGTATGTCAGTCACTGGTTGGAACAATAATGGCGGGCGAATAAGGAGTCTTTGTTCACTGATATTTCGTATTTTCGCCGAATCCACGGTGATTGGGGATTAACGGAAGACCGTGTTCTTTGGATCTCTTTGTAAGATAAGATCTGGTAGCCGTTCGTTTTTATTGACACTCTTGAGTAACGATCTTGTATGTAATATATCCATTTTTAACCTAACTTTATTTAAGAGACAATAAACTGGCTTTAAAAAGCTGTGTTCTACTCTTCTGTATCACAAGTTGGCTTCTAGTAATGTAGTGTGATTTTACATAGGGTTAACACAGGTTATTTTTTTTTACTGAAACGTAACGAGATGGAATTTAATGGACGGGCTTAAGTACACCAGCTGTACAAAGTACATTTCAATGGCAAAATTTAGAAGCTATGCTTTCTCCAAGTTAATCAAATCAAATGTAAAGAGAATTCCCTACCAAGTTTAGTTTTGAATGCAAATGGGACAAATGTGCTTTAATGTGTCTAAAACAACTCAATGGGGAAGAACCACAGCTGGTATCATTCTTCCTGTGAACTTTATCAACAGTAATTCCCTATCAGATCAGTAAAGGACATGCTCTTTGTTACCTTGTTCTGATAACTTTTGACAATTGATGCCTTAGGCAATGAACACTTTCCTCTCTTCTAGCTCCTAGGAGTGATTCACTTGTAACTTCTTATGATATCCTTCCAAAATTTAGCTGGTAGGTGAAAGGGAACTCCAATGTATCAGGTACAGGTTATCCTGAGTTAGCACCAAATTATTGCCACTAACTTACAAGGAAATTTGGAGCAGCTATAGGGGAGAATAAACAATTTGATCCTGGGAGTTAAGGGTTAAGTTCTGACGATTTCTTTTAAAGATGTGGGTTAGACATTCCTCGAATGTGTTCGTAATTATTCGTCATTCCTTCGGAATGCTTCGGTTTTTCGATACCAGGCTTCTTTGCGTACATAGCAGAAACAAACATGGCGTCCTCCAGGTTGAGTAAATTCTGGTGTTCAACCTCTAATCCAGTCTGTAATGCCATCAGTACTTTACGTAAAGTAAGAATTCTTATATTTATAGAGGCTACTTGATGAGAGGATCTCGCGAAAACTGTTCGGTTGTTATTGAATAAGTGTTAAAATATTGTTTGACCTTCTCTCTTTGCATGCAGGTTACCGGTGTACCAAGCCGATTTTACTCATCAGAGGTAAAACAGACTGCCAACCTTTCTAAAATCGCTAAAGCTGGTAGCTAAGGAAAAAACTGTTAATCTTCCTGTTTATGTTAGCTCTCTGTTTCCTCTACGGGTTCACTTGTTTCAGGTGCTTTTCATTATTGTGTTAGGTATTTAAACATGTTGTGCCGGGCAGTCTGATATTAAAAATATAGTCCTAGAGGAACACGCCAACCACCTCTCAAAAAAAATGCATTTGAAATTCGTTATAAGACATTTTCATTAAAGGAAAAGAAATATGTTTATTTTTATAATTGTTTGGTGTTCAGGTCGTAGTTCTGTTCCACCCGAATTTTTCCAGAAGATTAATGAACTGTGCAGTGAGTGATCTCTGAGCTTCTTCGCTTGTGTTTCTTGTCATTTAACTTTGCTATTTCTCTACTAATTTACACTAGATGCAAAAGGTAACGCTTATCCCTGGAGATGGTATAGGACCAGAAATCTCTGATGCTGTGAAAACTGTGTTTGCTGCTGCAAAGGTTGGATAGGTTCTATGTCAAAGAACCTTTCTATTAAATAAGTTAGCATGAAAATATTAGATAATTCATTTTATTTAAATGCAAATATCTTTTGATGATTTTATCATTTCAAGAGATATACCAGTTGCATGATGCCCCCTATGTGTTAACCCTTAACTCCTAGATGTGATTAACATCTAACTTCTCCCAACAATATCCATACATAGTCCAGCAAACAGGTAATGAGAATATTCAAACATATCAAGTAGAAATTGTTGTCTTGATCTAACACCAAATTCTTGTAACTAATTTAAAAGGAAATATTAATAGCTGAAGGGGAGAATTGACCATCAGATCATGGGAGTTAAAGGGTTAAAAAGAGGAAGGGGATAATACCAACACGTATTTCAGGATTTAAAAAATCACATGATGGCTTGTGTAAAGAAGATGGAAATTAGGAGTTGTGCATACTCAATATACTGCTTGGGGCCTGTGACATCCTATTAGATTGAATTTTTCTGCCTGAAAAACTCTCTTTTCAATTGCTTCCCCACCCTCTTCTTTGTGCATCAAATGTTAGTTACAAATTCTGTAAACTTAAGATGGCATGACAAGATAACCACCCTTTCCTAGAAATTTTTTATCATAATTTTAAATTTAAGGTAAAATTACTTTCTTGAGCTTCATTCATATAAATTATTTACATACTTGACAAGTCAAACCATTCAGTTCAATTTGAAGCCAAATCACTTGGTGCCAGTAGGTTCCTGTCTCACTCTTTTGGGTAGCTTAGCTCTAAACCTTTTCACTCCTAAATGTCACTGAAAAGAAATTTCTCCTAACAGTATCAATACATTTCAAGCAGAAAGGTGAGGAGAAGAAAAATATATCAAATTCCAAATTCTTATAGCTAAAATTTAAGAAATGTCTGGCAGGTAGTGCAGAGCTTTTGTAAGATCAAAGTTAGGCATAAAGTTAGTCACCTCGTGGCACCCAAGTTGAAGTAGGACACAGCCCTGCAATTTATCTTTTTTTACGTATAATTCTAATCAAATTAGCATCAAGGTTGATGAACTATTTTTCAGGTTCCCATTGAATGGGAAGAAGTCACAGTCACCCCAATACTTCTCCCTGATGGGAAGACTACAATTCCAACAGTGGCAATCAACTCTATGAATAAGAACAAGATTGGTCTTAAAGGTTTGACTTCTTATTAATGACATTTTGACTTCTTATCAATGAAGATGTCACCCCAAACTCATCCACTGTTATAATTAAATGATATTGTCAGGATTTATTATCACATTGGATTATTAGGTGATAGGTTTTTTAGTTTATTACTCTCCAATTCAGATTTATTTTTCTGTGTTTTAGAATATAATAATTAGTAGAAATCAAGGTAAATTGAAGATATAAGAGACTTGAAAAGCAAGCCCTTGATTGAAGAATGTTTACAGGATCCTTTACATCTTCATCTTCTTAATAAGTGTGCAATGCCTGATAACAGCCAGATTTTATGAGAATCTGTATTGTAAGTGGAGTTGGGTGCTAGTTTTGCATGGGATCCAATGCTGTTGGAATAACAGATCAGGCCAACAAGTTCTTACAGTCTATAATGCTCATTGAACATGAGTCTATTTGAGAAATTACCTTAACGTATTAGAATAAGTTTGGACATAAGCCAGGATAATTATGTTCAGTACATATAATTGAAGTGTTACTGCCAATCTTTCTATGTGCAATAACTAAATATAAATTAAAGTAAACACATTTTTACTTGTACTCCTTGCTTTAGCATGGTCAGTGTGGCTTTTCTTTTCTGTTAAAAGTTCCTTTTAGGAAAGGTTTTGTAATGGTGCAATAAGGCTTTGTAAAAACAGTAGTTGCTAAAGACAAGTTTGTCTTTCCAAAATTGTAACCTGGGAGGCTTATTTGTATGCCACAGCATTACAGGATACATTTTTCACAGCTCAACGTCCAAAAATATATAGATGGGCCATTATTATAGATATGTTTAACTTAATAACAATGTGTTTGTTTGTAACAGGGCCATTGGAGACAAAGATTGGTAAAGGACATGTGTCCATGAATCTTACTCTCAGAAAGTAAGCAACTAGAAAGTTTCATTGAAAAAATGTTCATAACATTCTGCTTTAAAACTTGAGTAATCTTTAAACTTTATTGGTTGGTTATTTAACGATAGTTAAACCACTGTTTAACAAAACTGCATCCCAAAAACAATCCCCAGTTTAGTTGGACCTCTTATCGGAACATTTATGTTTGTGAACAGTGTCAAGAAGCTCTAAAACTAACAATGGAAAGAGATTTATTAGATTAAACCAAACCTCTTACAAAGAAAGCCTGAGGTCCACTGATTGTGTAAAACCATGGTTTGGGTTAGGCCTTGTGTAAATAACTGGCTTTTATGACTAATATGTCATTCTGCACTATTGAGTGGAGTTTTGAAAAAAGGATTCTACTTTCATTCATGGAGAAATTCCAAAAAAAATTTAATAGCTGAACAATCACATTAGAAGAGGAGTCAACAGTTTTACAACATTTTTTGGCATCAACTAATTGCTGACTGTTGTTTTTGTATTTGTATATTGTAGAGACATGTTTGATGTAATGACCAATCTTTTTACTTTACCCAGAACATTCAGCCTGTATGCCAATGTTCGACCATGCAGATCTATAGAGGGTTATCCTACAGCATATGATGATGTTGATCTAGTCACCATTAGAGAAAATACAGAGGGAGAATATAGTGGTATAGAACATGTGGTAAGTTGGAGGAGCTTAACTCTTAAACCCCTAAGAGTGACTAATGTCCAATTTCTCCTCACAATACTGCCCCTGAATCAAACATTGAGGTCACAAGAATAGAGGAAATGATCACCAGTAAAAGAAGATCTTGATTGTTAAACAAATTCTCCTTGTCAGTGCCCTAGAAAATGGAAGCAAGGAAAAAGTGAAGAAGTTTTGGTGTTCCTAAAGTTCCAGTTACAAGCATTCAATTTTGAATACCTGATAACTCAAACTTTCCACTAACGTAGATAACTTTTTTCCTTTCCCATATGTTGTAATACTTTTTTTATTATGAAAAATTATGAAGTGGATGATTAAAAAGTGGATTTCTTTTAATTTATAGGTTGTTGATGGTGTAGTACAGAGTATCAAGCTGATCACAAGAGAGGCTTCCCAAAGAGTTGCAGACTTTGCATTCCAATATGCAAAAGCAAATAACAGACACACTGTGACTGCTGTACATAAGGCAAATATCATGTAAGTTCAAGAAAGAGCTGCAAAGATTACTGGTACTATTGATTGTTTGTGTGGAGTAAATCTGAGTAAAATATTCATTCAAAAGAAGTCTTGCCTCAGGCAAAATGTTCTTTCCCATATGGACCCCTCACCCAGTAAATAACATCTTTATATTCTTAGAATGAAGAGCAGCTAAGTCCATCCAGATTTAGCCAACTAATTTGTTTTAGTACATGGAGAAGTCTTGGATCTTTGACGGGTGATGATTATTTATTTGCATGATCTGTCCAGATTACCTAATTGGTTATATGTGAATAAGTAGTGAGCAGGGATAATAAAATGAAAGTGGTTAGTGCTGTTAGTGAGGAACAGAAAACATATTGATGGAAAATTTTAGCTCAGTTTTCATTTGAAATTTTATTGTGTTCCACAACCATTTTTTCACATTTGGAAAAGTCTGTTGGTTAAATCTTGCAAAGGGCTAAGGAAGGGTCATGAATAAGTCAGGGGGAAGGGAGGTGGAAGCTCTCTGCTATGTTTTAGGTTAAATGTGATACTGACGCGCTAACCTTTTATACTCTGCTCTCCTATGTAATTTCTTTTATGCTGAAAAACCATTTATTAACCCTCTGGCCCCTGAGAATGACCAGCATCTAATTTCTTGTAACACTATTACCCCTGAATCACACTTTAAGGTCATGAGAATAAAGGAAATTATCACCAACTATAGAAAAGATAAAGCCCGACATCATTGCAAGAACACCCTAGTTGAGATACAGCCCCTCGACAGACACCCTCTACTGTTGTTACTGTTTATTATTCATCACCCATGATTGTTCTTTCCATACTCGTGATTGGGGATTGGTCCAATATTTCTAAACTAGTGAAGAAGCATGTCTGAGAAAAAAGTGCTCATCACACTGCAGTAGCTCGTGGGGAAGCATTTCTGCACACACAGCGAGGTGGTGCACCAAACATCTGTCAACAGCTTCACTCTCCAAAGGAATAGAATTATTCTCAAGTGTATAACAGAGGTCCTAGTTATGATGAGGAAGCAAAACATAGCTATCAGAGGTCACCAAGACGAAGATAGCAATTTCATGGTGATGCTGTCTCAATAGAAATTCTTGATTGTTAAACAAATTCTCTTTGTCAGCACCTTAGGAAATGTTTAAAGAACAGTACGGAGAATATGCATACTGATGCTAGGGTGTAAAGGGTTAAAGTTGTATCCTTTTTCATGCAGGCGACGTTCTGATGGTCTTTTTCTGCAATGCTGTCGAGAGGCTGCTGAGAAAAATAAAGATATCAGATACAATGAGATGTATCTAGACACCACTTGTCTCAACGTAAGTTTGAAAATATAAGCAAACCAAAGGGAGCGATTTAAATGATGATGATGAAAGTGAAATAACTGAAAACTTCTCCAGCCAATTGAAATTAAATGGTTAAGGTGTTGTATGAGTGGTTTATTTGGTTAAAGGTTGTTGGTTGCTTTTTCTGTTCCAGATTGTTTCAGATCCATCAAGTTTTGATGTGATGGTAATGCCCAACTTATATGGAGACATTTTAAGGTGAAACATTAATAAGAACAACAAGCTATTTAATTAAATGATGTGGTTCACCATGGGAACACTTAGATACACAGAACCTAGAAGACAGCCAAATTTAAAGCTGATCTGCTATCCAAAGCATTCTTCAAATCCTCAAATCTGCTCATTTGTTTTGAAAAATCTGGAATTTTTGAGGTTTAGAAGGGTACATCTGTTAATTGGCAAAACTTTAATTTTTTTAAAAATCACACATATGGTTCAGAATTGTATGCAGTTAATCAAGATGCACTAGCTGACCTTGTGTCTTCTTTTTTTGCTGAAGTATCCAATGCTACAATCAGTCGGCAAAAACTCTACCTTAAAACTTGTCTGAATAGAGTTGGATTTTATGTTTAGTGGTTAACTGTGGCATGTGTCCTTATTTTAAGTGATTTGTGTGCTGGCTTGATTGGTGGCCTAGGTGTAACACCTAGCGGGAACATTGGCGCTGATGGAGTGGCCATATTTGAATCAGTAAGTACTTGAAGACTGTATAATAATGATTATAAATAAACCTGTAACTTTGATTTGTGTGATCCAAAGCAATAATTTATTTGATAAGCCTTGGAATCATCTTTTTTATCAATGTGAACTTTGACTTTCTTTAATGATGTTCACAGAAGACAATGGGGTCAGTTCTAGCGGTCATGCATACCACAATAAAAAAACTTAGTGTTTTGAGTATCACACTTGTGTTTATTTCAATTCTTGTCTTTCAACTGTCGGCACTGGTCAATGCTCTTATGCCTTGTTGGGGAGGGTAGGAGTTTGGTTGTTCAGCTATTTCCACTAATTGGGAAAAAACTTGTTATGTATGCATTAAACAAGCTATTGTAAAGGTATGATTGTAGACCAACTCGAGAAATAAATTGACGTGGTGTAGCATGGGATTTTATTTTTAATGCAATTTCTCTCATATGCTCTAGATTTGAGACAACCTTTTACCCTTCTTTTTTTTTTTTTTTTTCTTCGGAGAGTACATTGTATGGTGGAGATCTTAAATTGCCTAAATGATTTACAGCATGTTATATGTGAGTAATTTGCCAATATTGTCTCTTGCAGGTTCATGGTACAGCTCCTGATATCGCAGGTCAGGACAAAGCAAACCCCACAGCACTCCTCCTCAGTGCTGTGATGATGCTTAGACACATGAAATTACACTCACATGCAGACGATGTGGAGAGAGCTGTGCTTGCAACTATCAGGGATGGAAATGTAAGGATGTCTTAGAATTTGGCCCTCGTTATCTAAACATAATAAGAATGGCATTTCTCTTTTCAGTGTTGAGCATAGAATTGTTTACTGTAGACTACTGCTCGTAGTCTGTTGGTTGTTAAACAAATTCTCCTTGTCAGCACCGTAGGAAATGTGTAGAGAACAGTATGGAGAATATGCATACTGATGTTAGGGTATGACCAGTTAAGGGAATCGTGGAAGTTGTTCTGTTGGGTGGTGGAATGTCTTTGATCTCAGTGGAATATGAAACAACAATTTTTTTATCTGGGCAACTGCCCACCTTAACATGTTGTCAATTTACTGTTGTTGAGTTAGGGGAGGGGTAGGTGGGCAGTTGCCCAGATACTGATATTGATCCATTTTTTTAACCACCCGTCCACATTGTCCCAAGGCAAAGGGCAGTCATGTTGTTAATAGAAGTTGGATGTGTGTCATTGATTTGCGGTCGCTACACAAGAAGACTGCATGGCTAATTTGTTCAATGTTATTGGGATGTTACCTGATACAACACCAAATTCTTCATATGCATGGAAACTGAAAATGAAGTGTGATGATCAGCTAGGAAGAGAGTCAATTTATGTTTGTGTATCAACAGGCACTGACAGGAGATTTGGGTGGAAGAAGCACTTGCTCTGAATTCACCAAGGAGATCTGCCGCCATCTTGAGTAGTGTAGTTCTCAAATGTTTAGTTCTTCCAGCTGGTTTTGGAATTCTTTTCAGTAACTGATCATTGTGGTTGTGCCATTTTGGCAGAAGGTTGGAGAAGATATCAAATTTATAGGTCGATGGTGCAGCTGAAAAAGTGATTTCTAATTATTTTTCTTGCACAGTATGGTCAATGTTTTAACGCTCTTCCGTTCACTTAGCTTTCTCTGCTTCCTCAAAACTGTAGAATTTTTTTCCGAGAATTATCCTTAAAACCGTGGCTATTCGATTTTTTGTTGTTTCAGTCTCTGTTTGGGGTTGATGATTGATTAAGAGGATTTTTCTGAAGTAATTCTCGGAAAACGATATCTGTGATCTTCTTGAAGAAGGCTTTGGACAGCCCAAATTCCTTTGATAGGTAAAAGTGTGATGTACATTTTGGAAACGAGAATATTTGGCCGTTGAATACATCTTAAGCTCGTTACCTTTATGGAAATGATTGCTGTAACAGATTATAAAAAGTTGTATATGAAATTAAAGCAATTCAGTAAAAATAAATACATTGCAATTTGGTTCGTCGTGCTCAAAACAATTTACATAAATCGAAGGATCAAAACTTTTACCCTGTCCTTCATCGCTTTTGGTGGGATTCAGTCTCCGCATTCGTGCTTTTCAATAGCAAAGTATGCGGTAATCGGTCAAAAGCCTTTTCGCCGCCCCTCTCGATTCTCGCCATTTTTTCACAACCTCTCGGAATGGGGTCACATTGATTTCTTTAATAAACACCCTCGAAACTGTATAGAACTTTTTTTAGGTCATTAAAATTTCAACCGAACATTAAGCTTTTTGAAAATCCTTCCTTTCTGGGCGGCGCATGTCTTTCGCTCCCAGGGGCCACTTGCAGGAATGAAATAACTGAACTGAGTTGTGGTTGATCTCTTGGGTAATGAAATAGTTTGACCCACTAATGTCAAAAAACTACTGTTTTAACTGATTTCTCAAACGACTGAGAAGCACTGGTAGAACCAACGGTTTGCTCGTGCGGAATTCTTGTCTGACTAACAAACGCGCAAATGTAGAGAATGATGTGAGCAATGGAGACACCAAGGAGTCACTGGTTATCTGTGGGACTGTTACCGCACAGAGAAGGATAAGTCGAGCGACAGTTGAGTTTACAGATTTATTTTGTAAGGGAAGCTTTCACGCGTGTTGGGGAGAAAGATTTATCATACCAGACTAACATCTGGTCTCCTCTAGCGTCTGAGATATTTTGCCAATATAGGCGCGATTTTGAGATGACCCAGCGATTAACCCTGAAAAACTGACCTCAAAAGAGTGACTCAAAGTAGGGGTACTGCTTCAAGACAGTATACAACCATGGTTCTCCGACGTTTTTATCAACTCTGAAGTTCTTGAGTGTACAGAATGCCAATTAACAACAAACTTTCGTCTGTGTTTAGTGCAAACGTTCATTTCCGTAGTGCGTGCGAATGGGTTGAACATATTATTTTTACCGTATTTCACACCTTGTGATAGTATCACTCACAAATCTTACTTGCTTATCTCTGCGGTTAGTAAATAAATAGAATACCGTCTTGTAGTAGACCTTGCGTGCATGCAATAACCCGCCTTGAGATACAACAAAGCTAGGGCGAATTCCAAAGGAACGCAATGAGTTTCTATTTTAGAAAAGTTTTCTGTTTCATTACCACAAACAACAACAACAAAAAAAAACTTAGACACACCTGATACGCTCAAGCTGTTGACCAGTATCAGTCTCATCGGCTTAAGTGGAGGGGGTGATATATCGGAACTTGAAATGATAAATCAAAATCTTGTTGATATGTTGACATTCTCGTCATTTTTCGCTTTTCCTACCACGCTCATCCTTTTCTCTGTCCTCGCTTTTGATCAGAATGAAATGGACGCATTCGACATCTTTTTCGAGTTTTTTTTTTAACTACTATTATCATCACTTTTATTTCATAAAGATTAAAAATCATTCAGACATTTTACCTAAACACGAGCAGTTGGTCAAAGACTATGAACTGTCGAGTGCCTTACAAGTACAATACAAACACATTTTGAGTAGACCTTTTGTCTGTATCTCACCGCGTTCAGCCAGACTTAAAGCTATTGGAAAACATTTCCATAACCACGCCCTACTATGGAATTGCACCATTTTGGGGAGCAAGTCACATGTATCTCAGCCTTTACGTCCTTGCCTTTTAAGACGTAATTCAAGACAGGACTAGCTCAGCTCACGACAACTAACCCATATGATGAAATCCATCTCTATTTAATTGAGTATAACAGTGACACTTTTACAGGTATCTTGGTGTCATTTTCTAGAAATTTCAATGAGCGCAATACTAAAATACGCAACCTGATTCGCTCCCCGCGCACTTCCCCCTCCCAAAAAAAAAAAAAAAAAATTGGGGATATCTTTGTTATAAAAAAAGAATTGGGACAGTTTAGGGTGAAATAAATAGACTAGATTAGCGAGACAAACATCCAATCGGCAAGAATTTTTTTAACGAGGCGCGATTTTTGTTTTTGTTTTTTCTTTTGTTTGTTTGCCTTTCGTCTGTTTTTATTACAAAGAAAAAGCCTATACGACACAAGAGAAGCCTGATAGACGCCAAGATGCGTAGAACTAACAGCTGTGTTCGTTTCAGGATTGGAGGGGAGATATGGATACAGCTCCAAGTTTCCCATATTTACTTAGCAACCTGGATGGCGACAGAAGTGAAGACAGGCGCGGTTATAAAATCCTTTCCCATCAAGAACGCCTCCATGACGCTCTTATCTTTGTGGAGTTATGTCATATTTTGTGGTTATTTACTTAATAAAGTTGGGCTGTGTTCGCTTTCATTTCGAGGTATCGGGAATCACAAAGAGAGGGAATGATTTATTGTAGTTTAAGAGATTTAAGGTTAATGTCAACCTGGGATTTCCCCGCGGCGGCTGATGATTTACTATATACCAACATGTCACTCTCATGATGCGCCCCTCTGTTTTCCACAGGAAATTAATGGAGTGCCAAAAATGTAATGATTTCCCCCTCTGGTTTACACATTCAGCGATTCTTTCATGGTATTCTTTGTCTGAATTATCCCTTGAAGGATACAAGTGAGCTGTAGCCGGACTTTTAAAGGCGCTGGGTACAAAGGAAAAACTCCTTTAACTGCAATATCATATCTCGCTTTTTATTTTGTTTCGCTTATTAAAAGGCTTTAAGCATTTTAGTGTGCTATGGCAATTTAATTGGTATTAAAAATTTGTCACAACAAGAGAATTTCGTAACCTTAGAACAAAAGACACCACTCTTTTCAATGTTGTAGTATTACTGACAGGTTATGTACGCTATTGAAAAATTAGCGCAAACTTAACTTCTGAACAGCATAGACACTTCTTCTCTGCTCGGCTGAGATGTTTTATATTATTGTTAACTGAGAAACCTGAAGATCTGCTTCACTAACAGTCCTTTTCTACAAAAGCACCTGCTTTGTTTCATAAATCTGCCTTTCTGGCAAATTGAAAATAATGAACTTTCAATTCTTGTTCCATTGAAATAAATCTCTGGGAGCGAAACAGCTGTGTAAAAAAAGATTCGTTTACAAACAGTGGTTCGGAAAACCGTTTATGGAACAGATTAAGTGAAGGTAGCGACAACGAAAAATGTAAATCAAATTGATTTATGAATTGAACTCCTTTATATCTGTATTCTCGGAAATTCAGGAAATTTTTAGTAATGTTCCTCACAGAGCTTACCAATTCAATCTATTAACTTTAAGCAAAAGCGAGTTTGTTTTTCTCCTCATCTTTTATGGCGCGTGGTGGCTGTGTTATCACAGCTTTCACTTCAGAGTAAACATTAAGTCCCACGCGCTCTGTATTCTTTCTTTTTCGCATACTATTTTTAGGTTGGGCTTATTCGAATGGTTGCAGCCAACTAGGAAGGTTTCTATTTCCGAGTATCAACCATAAATCTTATCCCTGAACCCTTTTCAGCAAATTGCGTCACGCGCGCGGTAAATCTAAAGGAAGTAGGAGTCTTCGTGTGACGTCACGAAGACAGATATTTAGTTTCGGCATATTATTGACATTGCACGTAAATCTGTATGGAAAAATTATGTGAACTTGTTCGTTCTCGATCGGTATAGGTATTCCGTGGTACCGATTATTCCTTTTGTATTTTAGTTAGCTCACTTTTGATTTATTCTGTGTACACTTTTGCGGCAAGATCGTTTCTTGAAGCGGCGATAATGCATACTAGTTATTACATGTTGGTTATCGCGGTGTTAAACTTGGCGACGTGTCGTACTCGGGAAGTGTATTCCAATACATGGGTTGCGAAGGTTGATGGTGGTCTTCGGGAGGCCGAAAGGATAGCAAGAGAAAAGGATCTTACACTGTTAGGCCAGGTAGGGGAGACATTGATTCATTAGCCTCCCGTGAGTGGCACAAGTGCCTCGAAGGATGCTATTTTTCATTTGAGGTTTTCTGCTGGAGGGAATTCAACTTATCCTCTTCATTTCACGCGTTTGTTTGATCAATGAATTGGAAGTGTTTTTTGTCTTCATTTATAGGTTGGAAGTCTGGAAGGATTTTATTTGTTCAAGCACAATTCACATCCCAAACGATCGAAACGCGATGCCATGGATATTACATCGGACCTTGGTGAACATCCTAATGTATGCATTGCGTTTTATAATCCATTCTTAACATCTACTCTAGCATTATCAGGAACATGCTAAATCCAGGAAGTTGGTTTCTTTTGTTACGGCAGTCTTGCACTTCCTCAACGACTTTAATGATATTTTTTCTTCTGTTTAAGGTGATTTGGGCAGATCAACAAATTGTGAAGAGACGCGTACGAAGAGATTATAATCCCAAGTTAAATGATCCAGATTATAGTAAACAGTGGTTTCTGGTAAGTTAGGAGTAAGTCAAATTCTATCGTTAGTTCGCCAGGGAGCTAGTTCTTGCTCTTACAGTCGTAGAAATGAGCTTAAGAGTATGTTAAACTTTCGTGTGATCAGAGAAAATTTTTGTCGAGTTGTAAATTTACACCAACAACGATTTTTGAAGTGCAAATGAAAAAAACATCTTAATGATAGATCTGAAGCGGATACGTTGCGGTGAAAGTTATGCCCAATTATAGAATTTAATTGAAGAGAGCATAAAGTCCATTTTTTTAGAGCGTCTTACAAAGTACCATGTGCAAGTTTACGTTTACCGGTAGTGCATTTAATTGTGCAAAGAGATTTCTGAGATTTGAAATAATCTTAGACACAAATCTGAAACAATTCTTTTGAAACATTTTGAAGACGATTACTCTCTATTTCCGTTTGTATAGTGTAATTTAAACGATTCACGAAAGCGGAGCAGGTGTAATTTATTATATAAAATATTCCTTTAGGGTTTCCCTTTACCTTCACTGTAATTATTATCATGAAAAAAAGTATTTTAATTTTTTTTTTCATTATGATTTTTACAATTTTTAAAATCGTTTTGACTCAAAAACTGTTCCAAGTGGAATATTTTATTTGCTTTTTTCATTCCACTCCACTTTTTATTTGCCACATAGATATTTTTTACTGATCTGGTAAATTATACATTTATACAAATCTGTCTGATTGGCGTGTGGGAGAAACCACTCTTGCACATCTGCTATTCATATTTTCTTGGTCTCCCAGAATATATTCAAAATACTTGATACAAGGAGGTATATAAAATAGTTGTTAGGTTATTGAGCTCAGCTATACTGGTAGTTTGCACTGCTTTTAAGAATGCCAGTTGGAAGTCAGATAAAAAAGGAAGTCAGAAAAAAAGAGCCTATTTCCAGCTGCGGGCTGTGGGATTGCATGGCAAGCTGGAGACAAATTAAAGATAAACTCAACATAACCAATAGCAGTAGCTTTTATTTTTTCCTTTTGTTAGATGGATATTTGTCATGTTTTCCTGCAAACTGAGAACCTAAAACAGGCACTTTTTTTGATCGATTCTAAAATGACACCTTTCCAGAGGCATTTGACAGCAGCACTAGGTAATGATTTGTACAACAAGTACATGAAGTGATAGAGAGCACCCATCCTTTTTACCAGTGTATGACTGTGATATCTCAAGGAAGAGATAGAGGGAGCAATGAATTTTCAAAAATTGGCTCTCATTTTCTTTCTTATTGATTGCAACAGTTATATATACCATCTAGATTTCATTCAGTGATAGTTTTAAGTGGGTTTTGGTTATCCATTTTTCCCCAGATGATGAAATGCATTTTGTTATGGTAAGGGAACGACATAAATGATATTGCACAGCTCTCTCACAAATGGAGGGCTGATATATAACATTTGCTTTTTTTTCACAATGAATTATTGCTTTTCTTTTACAGCATAATAGAGACAGTATATTTAGAGGATATGATCACAATGTCCTTCCCGTATGGGAACAGGGTGTTACTGGCAAGGGCATAGTTGTGTCCATCCTAGATGATGGTATGTGAATTTTAACCAGGATATCTTTTGCAAGTACACAGATATACGAATATTTGAATATTGAAGACCTCGAATATTGATTTGTCACAGATATTGCTAGGCTAAGTTGCTCACTATTGGTGAATACAGTTCCCCTAATATTGACAACAAGAGTGAGTACAAGAAAAAGAAATTTCTTTGTGTCAAATCTGATTGCTGTTAGAACTATCTCAATGGAGACACTTTCATAATATACAAACAATAATGAATTAATAATGATTACCGGTAGATACTGATTTAGGAGAGTTACTAGGTCATACAATCTTTCACTCTAGTTGATATCAAATGTCAGTATAATTCCCTGACTTTTCCCTGATAATGAAATAAACTCTGACCAAAAGAATACATTATATGTAATTTCTATAGTTAATCCTTTCAGCCCATGGTTTCACAGAGAAATTCAATAAAATAGATCACAATAAAGCAATCAATACTTCATTGTGATGTATTCGGTTCTTTGGCCATGGCAACAAGAGGAGTCAATATTTAGAGAATTAGGAGAATTGCTAACGAGATCTTGAGAGTGAAAGTGTTAAATAAGTAGAAGTATAACTACTCCTGCTAGTCTTTCACAGGCTACCCCCTGGTGTTTTATGAGGCCTCCCAGTTGCTTTGCCCATACTCATTTGAACTGGACCTCTTTACCTTGAGTCCAGTTCGCTCTGCATTAGGCCACTGTATCTGTACATGGAAAAGGCGAAAAATGGCTATGAAGGTCTTCATTATTAAGTTCAACATTGAGATCAAAGTGAACAAAAAAGCTTCTTCTGTCCATGAATGATTTGAAATCAACCATTAGTATTGTGAATATTTCAATTTCCTCCAGCATAATTTAGTTCCTAGACTTTCACTGACTATGGTTAATTTGATTGTCATCATTCTATTGCTTTCATCTCAGTCTGTCTGTCCTATTCTTTTGTAGGAATTGAGTATAAACATGGGGATTTAAAGGACAATTATGTAAGTTCTTATCAGTAATTGTTATAGCAATGTTAACCCTTTATTGCTTTTGGCCTTTTACAGCCACCTTGTTTTTATGACCCCCCCTTAATTTGGACCACATTTTCATAGCCTTGTGGGGGATGTATTAAGAAGGTTTTGCAGTAAATTAATAATAAATCAATTAATAGTAAAAGCACCCCCAAGTTGCCACTGTTTTGTACTGTTGCTCTGATGAGTTTGAGAAATTTTGGCAAGTGAATTTATATAAGAGTTTGCCATGAAGCAAGCTGTTATGTTGTTGCCACTTTAGGTGTTTATGGTTTTAAGTGAAACTGAGATTAAACATTGGCAGTCCTTTTATAGTACTTCATTATTTTCAGCATCTACCATTGAACAGAAGGATTGAGAAACTCAGTGATGCCTTTAAGATTTCTGAAAGCCCCTTCAACCCTTTAAACCCTGAGAGTGACCAGCATCTAACTTCTCCTTACAGTTATATGGCCAAATCATTCATTGAGATTATGAGAATATAGCAAATGATCACCACCCAAAGAAGCTCTGATTGTTAAACAAATTCTCCTTGTCAGTACTAAAGGAAACTTATAGAGAAGAGAATGGAGAATATGGATACTGATGTTAAGGTGTTAAGGGTTAATGATTACATCACATGTCTTTCAGGATTCTGAGGCTAGTTATGACTATAACAGCAATGATCCTGATCCTGCTCCAAGACCAACATGGAATGATGAAAACAGGTGAGTCATGTAAAAAGGCAAACAAATGCTTCAATATCAATGAGGTACATTAGTTTACACTTTGCCTCTTTAATTCTGTAAGCTCTGTTGCTGAGATCATTTGACAGCTTCAGGCATAGTAAGGAGTATAAAATTAGTGCAACCATAAGTGTAATTTCATGAAATCCAGAGGTTGGTTTTGCATCTGTCCAAAATCAACCACAATTTTCTAGTTGCTGTGAGTTGTCATTTGATTTTGAACATTTTGGATTTGATCTCTATGATTAAAGACCTACTTTTCATAATTTGATTGATGTTAACCCTATAACCCCCAAGATTGATTGCTAATACTCCCCTCGAGCTGCTACACTTTTCCTTGTAAATTAGTTGTGAGAATTTTATGTGAGATAAAGACAACAACTTCTACCTGAAAAGTTCTCATTACCTGTTTGCTGGATAATGTATGGATATTATAGGGAGTTACATGTTGATCACTTCTGGGAATTGAAGGATTAAGTTATTTGCTTCTCACATTACCTAGGCATGGTACAAGATGTGCAGGTGAAGTGGCTGCTGCATGGAACAACAGTGTCTGTGGTGTGGGCGTGGCACCAGGATCAAAAGTTGGAGGTAAGCTGGCTGTATAGGTATAAACATGCAAGTATACAAACAAAAAATACCATATGCAGTTGCAAGGAAATATCTACAGGCTAATGTCGGTATTGAGGGAAAATTTGAAGGTCTTCAAAGATTGCTTAATCAAGAATGCAATACCAGTTTTGACAGCTTTCCCTAGACCATGTTTTGCAACCAGCTGTCTTCTACTCAAAGGCGGCGACACACTTGGTGATTTTATGTGCCAATCGCTGTGATCAGAGCTTAAAATCGCCAATATCTGACATGCAATTTTGAACATTGTAATGGCAATAAAATCCCCAGGTGTTTTGCTTGCCTAAGACTCCAGGGCTGAGTTGTTTAAAGCCAGGTGAAGATGACTTAGGGTTAGTGTGAATTCTGATTTCAGATATGAAAGTCTTAAAAGAGAATTTAGTATAATTCTTTTTTTCTACAATTTGATGATTGAATGCTTCAAAAGAATAGAGGAAATTAGCCCAAAGGAGGCCTTAGAACAAAGGAATAAGGAAACCTGAATTAGTTTTGAAGCCTCTTTGGCCTCTTACATTCACAATCCTCTTCACTCAAGAGTGTAAATGGGCACCTGAAAATTGCCAGGGAGAGTTTAAAAAGTGCTTGAGGTGTATTTGTGATAGACTTACATCAAGTCTCTTTTTACCTGTAAGCCTACCAATACTAGGAGAGCTCTGATTGTAGAGTGCCACTGGGCACACTACAGTGAGCTTATTTCTCCAAGATCTGAGATTTTTTCACCACATGCCAAGGTGTCATCACTCTGGACCCGTTACTCTCTTTTGGGTGAATCAATTCAGATTGCAAAAATTTTTACATGTGTTTTTCTGTGGGTTTTAGGTGTACGCATGCTTGATGGTGATGTGACAGATGCAGTAGAGGCATCATCTCTGAGTCTTAATCCTCAGCATATTGATTTGTACAGTTCAAGCTGGGGACCAGATGATGATGGGAGAACAGTTGATGGACCAGCTACTTTGGCAAAAAAGGCATTTGCTGATGGTGTTCAAAAGGTAAACCTTTTTTATTATGGCCTCTTCTAATGCAAGGCTCAGTTCAAACATTGTGCTTCTACCTTTTCAAACTTAATTCAGTTCAGTTAAGTTCAAAAAAGCACAGCAGAAGCATGACGTCTGAATCAAACTTTTTAATTAAGTGTTCTATATTTGGTGAAAACACCATTGTATTATTAAGGGTAACATTGAAAGGAGAGCTGTAAAATAAAAGAAATCAAATGAAAAATGTGCATGACATTTAGCTTGTTTCATTCCCTTACAGGGCCGTGGTGGATTAGGTTCCATTTTTGTGTGGGCCTCTGGCAATGGGGGGAGAGGCCATGACAGTTGCAGTTGTGATGGCTACACAAATAGTATTTACACTTTGTCAATCAGCTCAGCAACAGAACATGGAACTTCTCCATGGTATTCCGAGTACTGTGCATCAACTCTGGCCACTACTTTTAGCAGTGGAAGCTATGATATGAGAAAAATTGTATGTACATTAAGTATAGATACTTTTTCCCTTACTGTATTTATTCAGTTATTTGTTACAAATATCATAAAAGTCGTTGTTGTAAGATTCAATGTTACCTTTACAAAATGGCATGAAGCTACTGGAGGAAAATTGTCGCTGAAAGAGCATTATGACCTCCAGGTTGTATCACTTGTTTTTAAATAAAAAATATTTGTAATTTAATGTTGTTATAAACAGAAGTCAAGTAACAACATGATGTTTGGTTATAGGTTACCACAGACCTGCATGGTAGATGTACAGATTCACATACAGGCACATCTGCTTCAGCACCTCTTGCTGCTGGAATATTAGCCCTTGCAATGGAAGTTAAGTAAGTACTGATCCCTCATTCCTTTTTGTACAGTACTGTGAAACACAGATAACAATGAACACCAGAGGCATGCATGGAATGTTATTATGTGTCAGGGAAATGCCAAATGGGTAAAGGCTTTGGATAACTGAACTCCAAATTAGTTTGTGTTTTTTGGAAGTTTTCTTGCATGTGCTGAACTTTGTTGTGATTGGTCAGGTCACCTGTGGAGGTAAAATGTTCACTTTTCTCAGTTTCACAGTAACAGCGTTGGTGTGACTTAATGATGAAGATATTTCGTGGTCACATCATTCAGGGTGTGCCTAATTTTAACATGCTCATTCTTCTCACCCAGTCGCAACCTGACCTGGAGGGACATGCAGCATCTTGTTGTTCGAACATCATCCAATGCTAAGTTGAAATCCGATGACTTTGTTGTCAATGCAGTTGGGAGGAAGGTCAGCCACAAGTTTGGTTATGGTTTACTTGATGCTTTAGCACTTGTCAACCTTGCAAGGAAGTGGAAAACTACACCAGCCCAGCATGTCTGTCGTGAAATACCTGAAGCACAGCAGAGGTGATCCTTAAATTTGAAATGTATAAATTTTTCAGAATGAATGACAATGCATCATGAAAGATCTGTTGTCCTTTTTTTCATTTAATTTACTACTCATCACTTAATATTTTCTCCTTTAGACCAATTCCTGGAACTGGCTCTTTAAAGGTGACTATTGATGCAACAGCTTGTTCAGGTAGTGACCGCTATGTGCGGTACTTGGAACATGTCCAAGTGGTCATAACCTTGACTTTTACACGACGTGGAGACCTCACTATTAAGCTGATTTCCCCTCGTGGAACAGCTTCAGTTTTATTGCCACAGCGAAGGGAAGACTACTCAGGTGCTGGCTTTACAGATTGGGAATTCATGTCAACTCATACATGGGGTGAAGATCCAAAAGGAACATGGACATTGGAGATTGAAAACCATGGTGAGGAAAGCTCTCTCTGACAAAAGACATTTGTATATTTTAATCTTCCTGTTTCTCACAAGTATTCATTGTGTCCATTATTTTTCAATGAAGGAAGACAGAAGACAAGAAGAAAAAAAATTTATCCTGAAATGGTGTTGTATGACTTTAGCCATTTCCGAAGGGTGTTCTAGTCTCTGAGAATAACAGAATTCTAATCCTTAATCATAATATAAAGGAAACTGCTTTCATCACAAGAAATGGATATGAATCGGTATGTGACCTTATGTAATTAACGTTTCATGATTCCATAAGAGGAAGGGAAAGAAGGTTTGGACAAAAAGGCATTGTTGATTAAGTATATTTTTTGGTTTTATCTTTTCCAGGTGCTTCTCGAAATAGTGGAACACTCAAGAATTGGTATTTGATTACTTATGGCACATCAGAACCGCCACAACCTACTGATTCCACAAAGGAACCAGTAGCTGCCTGCAACTTGGAATGCCAAAATGGCTGCACTGGACCAAGGGCAAACCAATGTAAAGAGTGCAAGCACTTCAGAAGTAGCACCAGCAATGTAAGAGTAATTCATTGGTAATGACTAATATTATGACCAACTTCAGTTGGAAAATTTTGTCGTAGTACTTGTTATCATTTTGACAGGTCTTCATATAATTATCTTCATGTGGACCTGTCCCTCACAACTTGAGTTTTGATATGTAGACCTGCAGCTCACAACTTGAGTATTGATATCATCCTTTAACTACAAGTGAAAGAATGTCTTGCCATTACAGCCTGATTTTTATAAGTTACATACAGCATGTTCCTTTATTTTTGGTGTTTTACCAGTGTTATAACCTCTAGCAAACCACCAACAATAATGGAAGTAAGCTTGAGATCACCTTGCTAAGACTATTATTCAATTTACAGTCACAAGTTCATGTTCTTGGATATTACCTCTAGTTAAAGAGACACCTATGGTTTATGTTGTACACTGTTACATTCAAGGATGAATCGAAATCGTGATTATTTTTTTGAAGGAGTGTGTTGCCGATTGCACCAAGACAGAATACAGAGATCTGGCTGCAAAACTCTGCGCCCCATGCAGTCCAACATGTGCAACTTGTTATGGACCTAACTCACCTAACTGTCTATCATGTCATTCACCTCTTATTCTGAACAATGGAAGTTGTGTGAACTTTTGCCCCGATGGTTGGTATAAACATGTCAATGGTTCTATTCTGATGTGCGGGAAGTGTGACAAGTCATGTTTGACTTGTGCCGGTAATGCAACGTCATGCACTTCCTGTAGGTTACAGTACAGGCATCATTTCAGCAGATGTGTAGCTAAATGTGCAGATGGACAGTACTTAGCAGAAGACGGACAGTGCAAGATTTGTCACCCTTCTTGTCGTAAATGTCATGCTGGTGGTGCAAGCTCTTGCACAGAATGTGGCACTAAAGAAACTCAGCAGCAACTGTTTCTGCATGGGGGAGAGTGTAAGGCATCTTGCCCAAGTGGATTCTATGGGGATACAGAAAGCCAGGAATGCAAACCTTGTTCTGCATCATGCAGCAGTTGTGTAGGATCTTCAGCATCCGATTGTCTGTCTTGCAGCAAGGGACACTTTAGGACTGGAACCCCAGTTGGGACATGTGTTGAAAGTTGTCCTGAGGGTACGTTGACTGATAGTACCATGTAGGCTTGAAAGTGAAGATCTCACTTTTAATTTCACTTTATAATAGGCTTGGCTCTGTCTGTCCATTAGTTCCGCTGTAGGAAGGGAAAATTCACCTGTGTTTGAACTGATCTACCGTCTTCATTTTTAACAAATGCCTGAAAAACAACCAACCACTCAGGTTACCTAGTAAGTGTAAAAAGAGTGGTCTTACTGCTCGCTTGAGAATTTTTCTCAACAACCCTGTCATAATTATGCAGCAATTATCATACTATTGGTACTTGATATTCATAAGATATGGATTGATTTGATCGATGTCATTTCTAGGTCAGTATGGGGAATCCTCAAATGGTACTTGTGTTGCTTGCCTGTCGTCATGTAAACATTGTGATGCTATCGAACCCACCAAATGCACCAGCTGTCGAGAAGGCAAATTTCTACACGTGCATCAATGTTTGTCTGCGGAACATTGTCCAACTGGCACATTTCCAAACAGTACCTCTTCGATATGTGAAAATTGCCAGGTTGGATGTGCTTCTTGCAGTCATTCCTCGAGTCTGGAGTGTCAGTCTTGTTCAGAAGGATTTGTTAAGTACAAATCTCAGTGTTTGATACGTTGTCCTGAAGGAACCTTCCCTAGGAATTCCAGGTAAGGCTTGGTATGTAATGTTGTGGGGATAGCTTATTAGCATATTATTCTCATTGATAATTTTCAAAACGTGTTGCAGCAGAAAACGTATGACAGACCACGCTGATTCTTGCGATTTAACTGATTAAAGAGCTATGTAATATTTGTACAACTAAAAAAGAATCGTCATTTACACTATCTTGTTTTGTTTTTTGCGCAGCTGTGTCCCTTGTAACTCAGCATGTCGCACATGCTTTGGTGAGGAAAGCAACCACTGTTTCTCTTGCTCCCCTTCGAATGTTTTGGCTGGATCAATGTGTGTCACCAAATGTCCGGATGGAACGTTCCACAGTCAAAATCCTCCTACCTGTAAATCTTGCCACACAAATTGTGAAACATGCCGTGGACCGTCTGCTAGCGACTGCCAGACTTGTAGAGGTATTTTGAACTCTATCATCATTTTTTTATGCAGAACTCAAGGAGGTCTATAATCATGAAAACGATGACAGAAATAGGAAAATAAAGTATTTTCTTCTGACCTTTCTCCTCGGAGCAATTCTTTTAATTGATCACCTTTGTAAAAGGACTAGTTTAGGAGGACTCGTTTAGCCTAATCGTATATTCAAGATTTACATTTCCCTTTTTTTTCTCTTTCCACAATTTTCACTTCCTGTGACCGCTTATTGCCACATTGTTACCAGAGAACAAACGGATAAAACTTTTGGGAGCAGGGAAGATTTTCTTTTGTTGTAACGCCTTTTTTTAAAACTTGTTTTCTTTACAGCTGGCTGGTCGCTTGATGGCTCTGAATGCAAACCAGTTTGTCCAAGAGGCAAGTTTAATAGTAGTGACGGCTGTCAGAGGTGCCATCCTGTGTGCCATTCATGCACTGGTCCAGATGAAAAAGACTGCCTAAGCTGCAGTGATATAAAGTTTCTGGATTTGCTAACAAAACAGTGTTCCTATGAGTGTCCAGACGGTTACTTCGGTGAGCTGGATACAACACGATGTAAGCCGTGCTCCCCTGGATGCACAAAATGCAAAAACGAAGTGGAATGTTTGTCCTGTCAGCCAGGTTTATTGTTTGTTGCTAATTCATGTCGAACACAGTGCCCAGCAGGCCAATATCGTAGCAAAACTAACTCATGTGAACCTTGTGATGGTATGTGCAAGGAATGTGTGAGGTCTTCCAACAACTGTGTCCGGTGCAAAGAACACGAGGTTCTGAATAATGGAATCTGTGTCAGTATCTGCCCGATTGGAACCTATCTACTGCCAGGAACAAAGAGTTGTGCGCCATGTCATTCATCATGCAAGTCTTGCACAGGACCCGGTGCGGATCAATGTACCAGATGTCATCCTGCATCTGTCATGGCGAACTCAAGATGTTTAGCATCTTGTCCGTCAGACTATTACTTTGACAGAGAAGTTAATAGTTGCCAGCGATGTGACTACTATTGTTCAACCTGTGAAGGAGGTAAGTTTTATGAGTAGTTTTTTTCCTTAGCTGTACAACTGTCGACATATAAAAATAATTAAGGTTGGAGTATCTCATCCTGCAATATTCAGTTACGTTTGTAAACCATTAAACTTGCCGTGCAAAATGAGAGAACAGTAGAAAATATCTCATAGATCGAAAGGTTCGGATAACGTCGGTACACCATTTATCCACGGTTAGATCAAAATATCCCTTTTGGCTTGTAAATTCGATATGCAATGATCTTGAGTCTACAGGTGTCGAAGTGCTTAAGAGTAAGCTTTAATCATTCTATCGTACTCACGTTGGCTATCTTTTATCCAATTCTTTTGCAGGGAATGGCCTCAGAAATTGCACAAGGTGTATACCACCATTTGTGCTCTATAAGCACTACTGTATCAGAGAGTGTCCCAAACATGGCTGGGTATTGGATACCAGTCGTCAGAAGTGTATCAAATGTCACCCTTCTTGTTCAAGGTGTATTGGGCCTACAGCGAATGACTGCATCGCATGCAGCAAACCAGATACAAGTCTAGTTGGCTTTTCGTGCAAAAAGGAATGTCCCCATGGAACATTTCCAAATCGGGACACAGGTCTCTGTGAGAAATGTCACCCAACCTGCCAGACATGTTCTGGTGCTGGCGCAGACACTTGCTTATCATGTGCAAAAGACCTAGTTCAAAGTCAAGACAAAGGAACGTGCGGCTCAGTATGCCCTGAAGGAAAATTTTCTCTTGTAGGAAAATGTGAGAAGTGTCATCCAAATTGCAGATCATGCAATGGCCCAGATAGTTTCAACTGTCTTAGTTGCTCACAAGGCAAAGTATTCTACAATTTTACTTGTGTCAGTAGCTGTCCCAGTGGATCGTTTCTTACGGAACAGTATGGTATTCATCAGTGTCAAACGTGTCATCCTGTCTGTCAATCTTGTTATGGTTTCTCTTCAGATAACTGTCGCTTATGTAAGAGCCCGCTTTATCTTGAGCGTGGAATGTGCGTTGTACAGTGTTCGCCCAATCATTCCATTGAGGAACAAACAAGATCTTGTCATCCATGTGGAAGAGAATGTAAATCATCAGTCATTGACAGGAATCGCTCAGTGCAGTATCCAAATGATAGTGCACTCAAATTTGTGCTTGAAGATCCCGGAAGGACTGGGCTATCGGCAATAGCCATTGCAGCTATGTCACTGGCAATTGTTACTTTTCTTGTTGTATTTGGGATTCTTCAGTTTCGATCCAAAAAGAGAATGAAATACTACACTAGTGTAGAATGTAACGGTAGAGCTGAATCTGATGATGAATGCAACTGGTCTCTTATCGAAGACGAAGACGAAGACGAGAGAATGTAAAATTCTACTTATGGTTAGTGTCGTTCTACACGACAATCGTGAACTGTTATTCGTTCAGAAAATAGACAGTTATTTAATTAATCGCCATTCTAACAGATATAAAAAAGGGGGAAAGACTTACTACACATACTCTTGTGTCAGGCGATCTGCTCAAAATAAAGTGCGAAGATTAACACGTATTTTCAATTTAAAAAGGCAAATTGATACGCAAAGTAAAATTATAATCGATCTTTGCGGTTCAGAATGTTATTTTTTGAAAACAAATGTTTGTAGTCCCGTCCTCATTGACCATGTTAACTGACATGTTTTCTAAGTATCGTATTCTTTACATTTCAGAACGAAACCTGTTCATATTCTTTTGTTGAGATAGTTAGTTTTTACAACAAAGTTTTTATCAAAGGCATTTAGTTTCCAAGCCTATATTTGACGTAAAAACCTTTGAAGAACAGTTACTATTTCACTCAAATCATTTGCTTGCAGAAAGTTGCATTTGTATTCGTTTATTTCCATAGCCCGGTATTAAGTACTATGAAAAGCATGCTCACATCTGAAAAAACTGCAGAGGGATATACATGTCGTGCTTTCTCATTATGGTCTCGGTTATGGAACCAAAATTAGTGAAAGATCTTTATCTTTAATTTAAAAAAATTCAGCGAAACATAGATAAAAATGATGAATTATTATTTTTGCATATAGCATTACTATTAATGCGGTTGGGTGTACAAAGCATACGAATTAAACAAGGTAAATTGTTATAAATTAATTTTTCAAACACCCAATAATGGAAGTTACCATCAAATTGATGTTACTTCAGTCACGAAGTAATAAAATTTTAAAGTTTTCTTGGATCCTTCAAGGGAAATAAAGATATATTTTTATATTTTATTGTGCAAGGCTGCTGTATAAATATACGATTAGACGTTTAGTGGAAAGTCAATTTTGCTCAATTCTGAGTGCACTAGGCGTAATCTTTCACTAGACATAGCGGGATGTAAGGCACGCGGTTATTAGTTTTTAAAGATACTGATGAACTGCGTCAGAAGCAAGTGAAACAAGCCACAGCGCTCAAACGTCTGCTCATGTGTTGACGTTGTAATGACTAGATGGCGTGCTTTCAGGCCGCCACAACCAAGCTATCTTCCACGAGTTACAAACAAACACAAAAGCCAGTAAGGCACGGTGTCTTAGAAGCGTATAACTTTTTTGGTAAAAGGTAAATCACCACAGTACGTAATTGAATAAGCTTTGTATTCGAGAAGTCTTAAGCTTCGCTTTTCCCTACTTTTGTTCCCTTTAACAAATTTCAATGAACGCCGTTTTAATTTTCCTTCGCCTAAAGTTGCGAGACAGCAGTTGTGTGTTATGTTTTTCGTTGAAATTTTGCATGGGAAATATTAATTGACGCGCGGGCGTCCAAAATTGATCCCCCAACGTATGCTCTATGTTTGACCGCTGTGTTGTGAGACACTAGGTTGACTGTTAGTTAGAATTTGGGAAAGGTAGATACACTGCAATAGAGAATTTTGGAAAGCGGACGTCTGGAGCGTTAGACCTCCGTTGGAGCAAAGCAAGTTTTCCACGATCCGCTCTCTCGATCAACTCTCACTGCTCACAACAGAGAAGTAGTTTAAAACTTGAAAACTTATTTAAAACATTGAAACAAGGAAACGATATAACCGCTATGGCATCATTTGTGGTTGACAACACGGATGTGACACGACGGATCTACACGGGGAACAGATTTCCGCTGTTAGTGATATCCAAGGGGCGAAACTTGAAGAAATGCCTGTGAGATATCTTTTTTGCGCAAATGCGAACGAAAGAGAAATAATTCTAAACAAGTCGATATAACTCTCCTTTCCTCACTTGTGACGCCATAAATATTGACCAAGTTTGCGCTAAACTTTGACCCCGGGTGACCCAATATCCCTGGGACCTCAAGGTAAGTACGAGATAAATAGCGCGCATCCCAATCCCGACGGCTCGGTGCTCCTCGCTAAATCTGTAGGTTCTTCGACAGGTGAACATTGAATCTTATAGACACAACACATGATTGTTTTTAAGGGTTTTATCCTCAATTCGTTTGCCAGTGGGATCAATTTATCAGATAGAAATGCTCAGATTTTCCTATTGAACCGAGAGCAGAATCCAGACGTGAAAAGAAGGGTACGTGTTTGGTCTTTGTAGAAAAAGTTTTGTAGTTTGCTACCCTCACTGACAACCAAGTTTCCCTTTTTTAGCGGATAACCGTACGTATTTTTTTTTCTCATCAATACCTTCAAATAATGATACCAAAAAAGGTCCCACTTGAGGAGCAGATTCTCGAAGGTTCCGGTAATTTATTGGGCCTCTAAAGCCATTCTGCTTTCACCCTAGATTGCGTTTTCAAAAGCTTTGAATATTATACAATTTAAAGTATCAGCTAATTAAAGAAAAAATATGGACTACTAAAAGTGACAGAGCCTGCTTTTCTGTCCCTCAAATTTTGGCCCTACCCTACCCTACCCTACGCCGCAACTTTTCTCAAATTTGAGATAAACGTATCAGACTAGATTAATGGAGACAGTGTTTAATTTATCACTAATATAGCTATGTAGCACCATATACAGATAAAAAAGAAAGCTTACAGCTACTTTTATACAAAAGCTTCTTAAATTACAACATCATTAAAATACTCTTCATTTCCATTTCTAACAAATAATCTTCACCTACTTTAGATGAAAGTGAAGCTGACTACATTGCCTTGCATAAATACATTTTGGAAGTAACTGTGATGTTACTGCTTTAAATAATCACCTCATTCAATCAGAATATTTTTCTCTTTCATTAAGCCCTTTACACCCTAACATCAACATCGATATTCTCCATACTCTTCTCTAGATTTCCCTTGGTACTGACTAGGAGAATTTGTCTAATAATCAAAGCTTCTTACATTGGTGATCGTTTTCTCATTTCTCATGATCTTCTTAAATGATTTGGCCGTATTACTGTATGGAGAAATTAGTTGCTGGTCATCTTTAGGGTTAAATGGGTTAAGAAGAGAGAAATCTTCTCTAGGACCTGTTATATTTTTTTTATGAGGTGATTGGTTGAGTTTATTACACATGTTCAAAGTAGAGTAAGCATATTCCTTCCTTCTTAGTGTGGTCCATCATGAGTCAAGAAAAATTGCCTCATTGAGTTGGCCCCTGCATGCACTTTCTGTGCACATTGCTCTGACACTTAACAAGATGTGGGGTGATTTCCACTGATTTCGAATGACTTGTATGATGGAGCACACACAAAGGACCACCTATCCTCTAACTTAAGAACAATAAAAAAATGAATGACTGAATTTCTAGACCAAAGCAGAGAGCATTGCACATTCCAGCAATTAAAATTTTTTTAGAACTCTTTCTATCACTGCACAAGATCAGAGGGTGGAGAGTTTGATGGGGAACCTCACTATTCAGTCAGAGCCCTGGCCCATTCAAATAGTTTCTAAAAACAGGCAGGATCTTAAAAATAAATTTATCATGGGATGTACAAAATTAACAAAATTATTGATTTACATTTGACTTTTTGAAAGTCTTTCATGGTCTTAGAAGGTGCCCATCCTTGTGTTACTCATTTGCTTGATTTCTGCTTGTATGAAAAACTCCAAACTCAACACATTTACCCAACTTACTATTTAATCTTATAATTAACATGCAATGATTATATGTAAACTGATATTTACAAGTAAAAAGTGATAAAACTTAGCAGCTATGTAAAGAGCCACTACAGTTACTGTCGTCACTTCAACAAAATTAACCAGTTATGTTATTACTTCAAACAGCCAATGAATGCAGCAAAGTTCTAAGTAATTAAGCAAAGATGTCTAAGGATTTAGATGGAACTCATTGCTTGTTTTCTGCAATAGGATTGGTCAGTTTTGTGTATGTGACATATGTAACAAAATATATCACACTGTATGTTTCCCTTAGGAGAAAAAAAATTCTGTTTTCTTTCAACTGATTCAATTATGCACAACTTGTGATCAGTTTCTGTTTATTCCAAAAACAAAAAATAAAAAAAAAAGATGAGGATTTCTCTTAAACAAATGTTTAAAACATGACCTTTTTTAATATTTCACAAAATTTCTGGGTGTGAACTTGCATTATTCCATGATGATAACATTCTACCTTCAAACCTCAGCATTTTTAAATTTTTCACTATTAGAGGTCAAATTGGAATCTCTTGAGTTTTTAAGTATTAAAAATTCCCAACCATTGGTTGAATAGGATTTCAACATATCATACACATGCTTTATAAATGTTTTGAACCCTCAGAGCTCTTGAAAGCCTGGTAGATTCCATGAGAATTTCTACAATGTTTACGCCTACAGAACTAGTTTGTCATCAAACAATTTGTAAATCTATATCTCTGGAAAGACCGCAATATACAGAAAAATCTAATTTGCTATTTACAATTAGGAATTTTTGACTTACTTGATACAAATTATCACTTTCTATGAACAGAAGCGCAATATCATTTTTGTTCCCAACCTCATGTCCAGATACACTTACACCCTTTTTTTCTGACGTCTGAAAAAATTCTGAACAATTGTGCTTGCCCTATGATGACGTTTCGTTTTCTTTTGAGCTAGCTTCATACCCAATCTTTCCCTTTTCCGTATCTGTCGAATTAAAGTGTGGAAAACATCATCCACAAAGTGCCTCAGGGCTGCAGATGTTTCAAAGAATGGACAGTCAAACTCCCTGGCTAATGCTTGGCCCTCTTCAGTAGTCACCTCCCTTTTGCTCTCTAAGTCCATTTTGTTTGCAACCAGGACCATTGGTGTTCCATCTCCTCTTCGAACTCGCTCAATTTGCGTCTTTGCTTGGGCTGCTTCAAGAAAGCTTTGTCTGTCTGTTATGGAATATATTATGACAAATCCTTCACCACTGCGCATATACTGCTCCCTCATGGCAGTGAACTCTTGCTATAAGTTAAACAAAAACAATTTTGTAATCTGCTACTGGTACTAGTGTAGCCTGTTCAGTAAAAAAAATTATTTCATGCTTAATATACAGCTGCTATTCAGTAAAAGAGCCTCTTATCTCTTATGACCTTCTAATTTCAGAGATGAATTAACTTTTCCCTTTTGGGTTTACACTTACATAATTTCATGGAAATCACCACACTCCAAACTCCAAATTTTTAAAAAATTAATTTGAGGACCCTTTGTCATTAAATTTTCATTCATCTGAGATATCCCATATACTTAAGAGTGATGCAATAGAGTATGTCTTCTTATATTCATTTGAAAAAGATACTGTTCATCTTCTTAACAAACATTGCATGAAATCTCAAAAAAAATAAATATATAAATTAAATTAAAAAACAAAGCATAATGCTTTGTTTTTCCTTCAGCTATCAGCTTTTTTTTTTCCTTTTGGGCAACATCATGGTTTTCATTGTTTGTACCCACCTGTCCAGCAGTGTCTAAAATATCTAACAATCCAGACTCTCCATCAATTACAGCTTGACGTTGGTATGCATCTTCTAGATTGGTAGTAATCAAAACAAATGAACAAATTTTAACAAATTGATTAAGCCTAGCACTTTCAGGATAATCATTATTGCTTGGGGAAAACAGATATTCCTTTTCTGTGCATTAAGGTTTAAGGCTGGTTTGCACTTACCACACAGTTGGAGTGAAAGTCTCAATAATACACACAGAGCAACACAAACTAATAAAAAATTTAGCTGACAGCATTGGAAGAAAAATGTCCATGCCCTCGACAAAACTGAAAACTGAATTGTCGCAGTCCTATGTGGAAGACTATACTGAAAGGGCCGGAGAATGAGAACTGACATTCTGTTTGGTTAATTCTTCCCTTTCTGTTTGCAACTCCAACAATCTAGTTTTCACTGGATCATAAACCTTGGATTCTGATTCTTCTGAGTCCAGTTCCATTTAGCTCATGACTCTACTTACAACTACAATTTTTAGAATTTTGCCAGGTCAGAAGTGCTCTTACGACTCTCACTCTTACTCTCTTGCGAGTGAAATTCCACCTTCAGTACCTAGTAATGTTTACTCACCAATAGTAGGATCATGATAATCCACAAAACAGTGGGATACAAACTGCATGGTTAGAGCTGCCAAAAAAAAAAAAGAAAAAATTTTATTTCCACATTATGTTTAACAAAAGCTTACTGAATAAAAGATGAAAAAAAAATACTATCAGTAACAAGAACTGAATAGATCAAATTATTTGTTCAGAACCAGTGGAGCCATGAGTTTTTTGTTAAAAAAAAATAGAAAGTAAATAAAAGAAAAGAAAAACTAAAACTACCATAACACTGTTCAAAATTTGGTTTCGGTATAAAGAAGATAATATTTTAAGAGAAAACTAATTTTTTTTTTTTAAATCTACCTTGACATCCAACCACTGAAAGCCCAAGCTCATGCAGTGGGCCTCTGTGAATATGCAAATATGTTTTCATCATACCATGAGTGAAATATAAGGATTTGCATGGAAATGAACAGTCATGCTCTAACCCTTTAAAAGATCTGGACTAGTTTTGAATAAGGACAAATTAACCCTATTCAAATGGATGTTCTTTTGCATCATTTGAATTTCTAGGGCTGATTTAAGGTAATTTAGCTTGGTTTTAGTTCATCTGCTTTTCCTGTTATTTAACCCTTTCCAAGATATGTCTGAGAGTAACACCAACTAAATGAGTCCAATGCATGCAAAATTCAGTAAATTCCCTCCTGAGGCCCTGGTCACCCTGGAATTCTACATGCGTCACAAGCAATGATGTTCCTTTACACTGATATTCCTCATTCCAGGATTATGTACAATGAAATGAAATTAAACGATGCTAAATCCAGCCTAAAGGTTTGCTGAGAGCCTTAAGATCCATTACTTGGATATCACAGTACCCAAACCATTGAAACTTCCAAATTATGGTTCAGTTATTGACATTCAGGGTAAGTGACACATACTCTTGTACAGTGAATGTCCCTACAACAATTGTAGTTGAATATCGAGGACAATTAAGACATATTTCTCTTTTAAAATATTCTTCCTTACACCCGAAAGTAAACTTTCCAACAGTATTAGGGTCTTTTTAGTTTTTCTTTAATTCCTTTATGGGTTCTGCGAGTTCCAGTGGTTACGGAGGTTCTGTGGTCCGCTGATCCACAGTTTAGTAACACCCACATTAAGAACTAGTACATCTTACTTGAAAGGTAAAAAAATAGAAATGAGATTTCATTTCTAGCTATAAATATGCGCCTATTTCATCCACAATTCGGACCTGTCTCGACAACAAAGTAAATAAAAATTTTGAGACAGTTACTGGCGTTAATTCGCTCTAAATGCCCCCAGCCCGAGCAACTATCTAAATTCAACATTGTTTACTGTTCACGCGCTACATCGACCTGATCTCGTAACTTCTATCAAAACAACGTGTATCAAAACAACTTCGATCGAAACAGTGGAGCGCGCGCACGATGAAGGCAAGTTGAAGTTTCAGCATCATTAGCGGTCTCTGGTTTACAATTTTCCGGTAATTAGGAAACAAAATTATGAATTTAAAAAATTCATAATTCAAAAACAATCGATTCAGAAAAATAAAGCAATAAAAGAGTACCTATGATATGGTTGTTTATCTTGGGATGTGAAGTCAATTACGTTACGGGTCACAAAACAAAGGCGCTGATATTGTTTCGCTGTCAAAGTGACAACTCCGTTCAAAACATCCGATGATGAGGCAGATTTTACTCAGTTCCATTAAATTTCCCTACGGCAATAATTTGTTGAGAAATAGCGTAATTCAAAATTGAACTGAAAAGCGAATGTTTGTGAAACGAACTACAAAACAATTTTAACATGCAAGAGATAACTTGTTTCGTTTCACTAAGCACAGCAAAGTATACATTTCACCAGAGCGAGTTGTTTGCGCGAGCAGAAAAATGTGGTCAGATCGAATGAGTTGAAATTCCAAGCGCACTAAATAACATAACTAGAATGAGAGATGGCAAAACAGACAACGTTTACCCGAGACAAACAGATGTTATAGCTTTGAGGTATTCCAAATATTTTATAATTAACCGAGCTAAAAGGCGCGTTAGAGCAAACAAATAACCTTTTCGCTTTTCACTTTCTGATTTTGTTCTTCACTAAAATAACTCCCGTAGAAAAACTTAGCAGGAGTTGTAGATCAATACTAAAATTCAGTCCACTAGGCAAACTCATCCAGGAAGCGATTTCGTTTCAACGATCAACACTGTTCCCTTTTACAAGTGTTTGCTCGCGAATTCCTTCAGTCAAGCGGGAAGTAAGCCCGTGCACAAACTTACCTGATTTTCCCACGCCGCCCTCTCCAAGAAGAACAATCTTGTACATACGGAGTCCACCTAGATAGCAAGCGCTAGGAGGATGCATCCTTGTTTTTGACAATGAGGATGTTGATTGCAATAAACCTTCGTTTCTGCTCGTTGGATGTAACAAATAACACGGATTGACATGTCACATTAAATCGCTGTAGCAGATCGAATCGAATAAATACGTACTGACTCCTATTTATAGAACGCTCCCTGATTGGCTGACCTCCCGAAACTCGCAGATTGACAAACAACTCCAGGATATCAATTAGGAAGTGGTTTGTTTTCCGCTTATTTGGCCGCAGGTTCAGTGGGAATATGTGGACAATGACAGTCACGTTACTATCGTTACACCTATCGGATTAACTGACAGCTATCAAAGTCCATGTTGGTTTGGAGTTAATTTCAAGGCGGATTGTTGCAATTAAGTCTTTTTCTTCTCTGATACGTGCATTAAATCATAGAATATCGAAATAATATACTAAGAACCTGAAAAATAAAAGAAACAGAGACGAATTGTCATTAAAGCATTTTGAAATTACTCTTTAGGTTTTGTTTAGGGGCTGGCTCGTGATCCAGTGATATCTAAAACGATGTATTTATCTTGCCATATTCAGTAATCGTTGGTGGTTTGATGTATATTATTTTTACGGATGAGCCCTACCTAAGGGTGATTATTATTATTGTACCTTGGTCCTCTTCAGCTGAAACTGAAACACTAAATTTGAAATATTACAAAAGCCAGAGATTTTGAGTAATTACAATTTGTTTCACTATTTGAAGCAGATATACTTCTCCCTAAGTTTCAACATCTATGGTCATGCTTTAAATGTACGGTCACGCAATCCTCACTTGACTGTAAGACTTAGAAACCATAGTTAGGAACAGTCCCTCTTTCCTGGTTCTGTTTTTTGGAGTGAACGAAAACAAGTTCTTCTCATTTCCGAGTTCAAGCCTGACTTATGCTTACGGTAAACAGCACAATGAACTACGATTTTAATCAAACTTTTTATCATGTGTTTCCTTCTCCAGAAGGCCAAGAGGAAAAACAAAAACAATGGCAAAGACAAACATACACACAAAGTAAAAAGGATGTTCCTCGTTCCTGCCTGATTCAATTTATGAGAGCCACCGCTTTTAAAATGTTATTTGTTATTGATAATGGATAATTTGTCTACTATACCTTGTCAGTTGATGAATTCAGAAAAAAATCTCACATATTTATTCAACTGTTTAGGGTTGAAAATTAAACAATTTCTAATAGCAAGAAATTGGCGAGGCTGAATAGATATTTTCACGTGATAAATGGTATATTTTCACTTTTCACAAATATTTTGATCGTCAAGAGTGTTTTTGTTATTTATTGAGGATATTTCATTCTATAATTTTGTATACCCAATAGATAGTATTATTATTCATCAAATATCAGTTGAATATGGTTGTTCTAATCACATCAAGAGACCAAAATCCCCCAACCTAAACTGCAGAATATCTTTTGATATTCCTCAGTGGTCAAACTTCAGTACAATACAATGGGAATAAAGAAAAATATCAGTCAGACAATGATTTGTTGATTCAATAACAAATTCTCCAAACAAACCTCATAAGAATTGTTTGGCAGACAGTAAGGAAACTCACTAATGAGATCTCTGGTGTGAAAGGGTCAAAGATATTTTCATTCAATCAACAGTGTATAAAAGACACAAACTCCTCTATGTAATTCATATAAATAGGATAAGAGAGATGGTAAGTTTTGAGCTTGGTAAAGAAATAGAGAAATATGTTTTTTCATCTCATCACAAGTGTAGGACAAAGGAAGAATTCCAAGTCTCTATGAGGAATCGAAGCTCAGACTTTCAGAGTCCACACTCTGATGCTCTACCACTGAGCCACAGAGACTCTATAGTGAGCAGAGCCTATTACTATGTTCATATGACACTCCTCCTGTATACTGCTAAAATTATGGTCGATCACACCATGGTTAGATTGCTCCCAGTTAGATTGCTCCAACCAAAGGTTAGATTGCTCCACTCAAAAGTTAGATTGCTCCATCAAATAAGTTATGTCACTCCTAACATAAGTTACTTCGCTCCATGTAGAAAACTAAGGTAAAGGTAGCAAAACTAAGCTATCTAAATTGATAATTCACTAAATGATATGTATATCTTATCTAACAATAAATTAATATTGCTCACGTGCTCTTGAAATAAATCCAAGCTACACAGAAAAAACAAATAAAACCTCATGTAATGGACTCACAAAGTGCAGCCACAATCATTTATTCCATCATCACTATACATCTAGCCACCTATATATCATTGTAAGACACATCATCACCTATGAACTTTAAAGATCATTGCTAAGAAATACTTCACATTACAACATGGAGTGAAGTAACTTGTGTTTGGAGAAAAGTAACTTATTTGATGGAGCAATCTAACTTTCGAGTGGAGCAATCTAACTTTTGGTCAGAGCAATCTAACCATGGTGCAATCTAACTGGATACCTACTGCTAGGATCAGCAATGTCGATAGTGTCATGTTTGTAAATAGAAAAAGAAAGATGGTAAGTTTTGAACTAATTCATATATTTGGCAAGTACTTGAAAACAAGAAAAAAAGTGACACTAGCTATTTAAGAAAACAGCCATAGTGTTAAAATAGTGACACTGTCCACTATCATTGTCCTACACATTTACATTAACACTACAGTCTATTGATATTACATTCTCTTCTTAGTTTATGTAATAGCCTTTTTTGTGATACCTTCCACTTCATTTTGTTGTTGCTGTGCTTTCAGTTTTAGCTCAGTAAATTTAATTTTCCAGTTATTTTGCATCTGTGGGTCTCGAATGAGTCTGAATGATTGTTCGAAAATTCCAAGGCAGTTGGAAAATCTATGGACTGTGCCTCCAACTGATATTTTGACAAGTCCATAAGCATCTATGTGGCCCCTTGCCCCACTTAAATTTGCATTAAAGAGTATTTTTTCTTTGCAAACAAGTTCTTGAAGTTTTGTACTAACTGCCATCGCTCCTTGGCACTCATCAAATACTTGTCCATTAGATACTACAAGCACTGATCCTTTTGCATCTTCCCAAAAATGCTGTGGACCCCATTCCTGTGAAGTGTTGTCAGAGAGGGTATTGAAAGAGTTCAAGATTTTGTAGAACCAGGGTATAAAATATTCAGCTAACTGCTGTCCATCAACACTGTTGTCAAAGGGAGGATTTGCACAGCTAGTATCACTGCGTGAAATTGCTGACTTAGGCTCTGATGCTGTCAGGTTTTCAGACTCATTTTCAATCTCCTCTTCGCTATCCTATAGAGAAAAAGAAAAGACAAATTCATGACAAACCTGTTCAAGTTCTTTTATCCAGCATACATGTCAGGATTTCTTCCATTGTACAGTTCTAGGAATAGATATAAGCTTTACTTTACAACACTGGGTCCTAACACAACATCTCACTGAATTTTTAGGGTATATCAAGAGGTATACCATGAGAAGTCACATACATCCTTGACACCTGTCATGTCTATTATGTCATTTATGCATAACTTATCTTTTGAAGGGCACCATGTCAGTACATGTGCTATTGAAGGATTTGGCTGTATGCGACTATTAGAAATCGTGTCTTATGGAATTTCTATTTTGAGACAGATTCTCAAATGTGAAGTTCACAACAAAGATATGGTTTGCTATGACATGCGTGTCTAGCAAAGTTTGCTTCTAAAGGCTCTCAGGAATTTCTAAGTTTAATTTGTACTACTGTAGTGTACTTTAAAATCTAAAGTTTAAAGAGGAAGTCTTTATAACACCTCTAAATGGTGGGTTTGCTAAGAAACATCCTCTCCACTCCATGGCGAATGAATTGAAAATCTTTGGAGAGGGTTCAAACATTTTAACATAATTAACCCTTTACAACCTAACATCAGTATGCATATTCTCCATACTGTTCTCTATACATTTCCTAACATGCTGATAAGGAGAATTTGTTTAACAATCAAGAGCCTCAGTCTTAAGTTGGTGATCATCTCCTCTTTACTCATGACCTTAATGTGACTCAGGGGTACTACTGTTGTTATGAGTAATTGTTGTTGTAGGTATAAGCTTCTAGAAATCTCCAGACTGCTTAGTCAAGCTGACATGCATACCACAGAACTTTCTGGAACATTTTGTCAGGTCACACAGTTATTACATAATACTACTAAAACAGTTCTTTTGTAAACTTCTGAAATGTTCCAAAACACTCTGTGAATGTATATAAGGACCCAGTTATATAGTAATTGTAGTTGTTGTTGTCTGGAGTGACCAGCTGTTTAGAAAGTGGGAGAGAACTACAGCAGAAGATTGCTAATTTCAAGAAACATTGGAGAAAACTGTGAGTTTGGCTCAGTGGTGAGCTAAGATATAAACTGTAGTGGGCTTAAGTGAGTTTATTGAGCATAAGTACTGTACTGCCTTAAGGAGTCACTCCCTATTAAGAATATCACTTGTTGTTTAACAAAGAAGTTGAGTTTGTAGGATTGCAGTGTTTTTCTGTCAGTTAGATTATAGCACAACACTGTAAGGAAAAATTTGATGTTAGTTACTCTTAGGGATCAAAAGGTTACAGAATGAAGCTTGGTAAAGCGGGTGAGGAATCAAATCACATATTTAATAGCACAAATCACCTTACTCAACTGAAACTTGCATTCAAATAAACCCTAGAAACTCACCTCTTTGCTAGAGCCCCAATACAATAATGCCCTTTTTATCAAGGTGGGCTTGTCAGATGCAACAGGTTCAATTATCCCTTTTTCTGCCAAGTACTGATAAATATGTTCTCTCTTTACTTTCTTCCTTTTCAGCAACTGTGAGGCTGTATGGCTGTAACTTAGAATGGCATTGACTGCCTCTGTAAGGGAGGGTGATCAACAGAATTAAGGAAGGTTTGAATTGTCCTGCTCTAGATCTGGTTTAATTTTATCCATGTTTCAAAAGTGGGCTAGTGGATGGTGAAATGAATAAACTGCCTTTGGGATTACAGCTTTCGTTTAGAATAGTATGAGGTTATATAGAAACCTTTCCCAAATGTTTAGTTACTAGTTATCAGCCGAAGTGAGAAATACAGGAAAACTAGAAGGTAAACTTAACCTAGGAATACACAAATGTACTTATTTTACTTAATCCTAAGGTTCAAAGAATGAGTTGAAAATCTACTGTAGCATACAAAGCAATGAAAATGGACGAGTTGGACGACGTAGAAACTTGACAAGAAGATAATTTATTTGTGGGGTTTCAAAACACTTGTGAAGTAGTTTCTAAGGCTGACCTTTGAGCATCTGATGAAGGGCTTATGGACAAAATGTCTTCTTTAGAAATTCTTTATGGTAGCCAGTCTACAGTATCAACTCAGTTGATGAAATCAAATTATCTTGTAATACCCCTCACTTTTTTCCCGCTTGATAAAAAATGGATGTAAAATAAAGAAGTGAAAGAAGAAATTACTTATTAGTCGTTTTGGTGTGTAGCATTGCTGAATATTCGTTCTCGTTGTTTGTATTTTCACTCATCCTCGTCAAAATACGGCACAACTCGTAAACATACTCTGTGATATTACACGCCAAAACATCCACTAAGATATATACAAAAAAGCGAAATACTTGTAAAACCTTACCACTAGTATTTTCTGGCGATACTACTCGGTTCGTTACTGTATCCGTGAGATTTATTAAATCCTGTTGAGGAAGTTTGTTCAAGATGGATTTACATCCTTCTCTCTCTTTGTGTGACAACATGTGTAAAGTTGGTTCCGTCAATAATAAAACATTTTTCTCATTTTCATGCAGTTTCTTTACTACAGACAGGAAGTTCCGTGACCCCGCGTGATTTCGGGCCAGTGAACAAGCCATTTGCTCATGCGTACTGTTAATCACAAAATGAAAACATGAATTATGGCGGACAATGTGGCGGGAATTTCAAATACTTCTGAAGGTAATGTAAAACGAAGGATTTACCTCGGTGTGAGAACCTGTGAATTTTTCTTTGTTTTTTTTCACCACAATTCTCCAAGGCTCTACTATTTGACTTCCTTTTTCGCACAACGCCACCCCTGAACATATTGAACTGTCTCTTCATCTGGCCTCTTGAACCGAGGTCGGGCCGAAACGAACATTTAATAACAGTCGTACCTGTATTACTTTACGCGGTCAACCACGGGGAATGGCGGGGTGACCGTTTGATAGAAGTCGACCGCTTAATGCAGGTTCCACAGATAAGGGGTTTCATAAAAAACGATACACAACTAAAACTGTTTACTTTGATTTTGGGAGAGCGACATGGATTGAAAATTATTTCAACGATTATCAGTTTTACTGGAGTGATCCGCTTTCAGTGACCATTCAATACAGGTGGAAAACAGTAAAAACAGGCCATTGTGTCAGTAAAGGGTGACAGCGACAGCATAATAGAGGTGAAAATTACAGTAATTAAGGGGAGACAAATTCACAACTTTGACAACCAATTGCTTAACACAGGGTGACAATATAATACAGTGCCACTTAATCCAGGTTCAGCTGTAGTCATCCTGTGGACAACAATTTCCATTTTCCAGGCCTGAATTGTGTTTGTAGCTGAGTTTTTACATAAAGCATTGGCCAGGTAGAACAATGGTACATTTACCTGGTTTCATATCATGCTCGTCAAAATGATCTCTTACTGAATTTGTGTGCAACATTTTGTTGTCATTTAATTTTCCTAATCAGAAAGAAAGTACAGATCAGACTTAGTAGATTAAAAGTAGTTTAACTTGACAGGGATTACAAATAGGCTATGAGAACTGAAAGAAAACTATGATCATCTTTTCTTCTACATGTTATTGATCAAGTAGGTCCTCAAAGTTTCCAAGACCACTCATAAAGCATTCAAGAAAATTTCATTTAAAAGTAATTCCAGACAATTTTTAAAAATTACACTGGGTCTCTGTCATCACAACATACTGCTGTGTGGCCAAAAGGTTAAAGGTGAAGGTAGCCAAAGGAAAACAAAAGCCCATCATGTGGGATATTTGGGACTGCAATCACACCATTATGGTAACAGCAACAAGGATATGGCCAAAAAAAAAGATCTAATCGGCAGAACAATAGCTTAGCCATGTCCTAATACAACAATGTGAAATCACAAAAATTTGTGTGTTTGAGAACAGAATGCTGCTAGCAATTTATTTATGTTTCAGCTATTTGCAAAATTTTATCTAACAATATAAATTCATTGTTTGATCAATATCTTCATCTGTGTTGCTATCCTGACTGTTTTACCAGTTTCAATAGAGTGAAGAATTAGGAGTATTGCTCTTCTCTCCTGAACTGGATATTAGTCCATCACAGACATTACAGGGTTTCAGTTTCTGTAACTGTTTTTCATTACCCATGTACATTACTTGATGAAGGTAGGCAATGTGAGAGCAGAGTATCCTGCCCAAGAACATAACACAAGGACCTCCTCAGGGCTTAAACTCAAACCTTTCAATCAGGACTCTAGGACACAAACCTCTCTACCACTGTATCTTGTACAGCTGTTTTTCCAAGCCTTATGATGAATGATCAATTGCACAGAATACAATATTATAATTTCATTGTTTGTTTTTTTTTTAATTAATATTGGAAGTTGTAGCATCATTGCAGCTTTAAAAGGGCTACATTATAAATTTTTCAAATTTCATAACATGAAGCAGTGCTGCTCTATTTCTACAGAGTCAGCACCACCACAGTCTAGAACACCATCCACAAGAAACATTGGGAGTTCTTCATGTGTAAATCAGAAGGTACTATTAACTGATTACAGCTATTATGATGCTTACAGTCATATTACTAAATATATTTGTATTTGGACTAAGTGGGCTTTGTCATCTCATTTAAAAGCTTCAAAAAGAAATTGTTGAACAGATGAGAAACACCCATAATGATAAATAATGCAATTCTATTACTTTGAACTCTGAATGTAAAGAAGAATTTGGTGAGCTGAGCTTGACTACTGTAATATAGAGGAAATTGTGATTCCCACCAGAAAGAGGAACCTGTCCTTTTGTTAATAATGTATCACTAAATTAAATGATATTTCATCTGACGAATTAGTTATGAGATAATTATTTATATGTGAGTGTACAATCAAATAAACACATTCTTATTTAAAACTTTTCATTTTCACTCAGTATACACCAGCATCATGTAAAAGATCATGTGGGCTGCGAAGAGTGTCATCACCATTTGTTTCTCCAGTAATAAAGCGCTGTTTTCTTTCTGACAATCAGGTAACATATAGCTAATTCATTGGTGATTTATGGTAAAGCAGTGACAGATTCATAATTAAAATGACTTAAGCCTTTGACCCCTAACAGTGACAAACATCTAATTTCCTGTTACAATATCACCTCCAAATCACACATAAAGGTACTGAGAATAACAAATATGATCACCTACAAAAGAAGCTCTTGATGGTTAAACAAATTCTTGTTGTCATTGCCCAAGGAAATGTATAGAGAATAGTAAGGAGAATATGCATACTGATGTTAGGGCGTAAAGGGTTAAAAACATGGTTTTTGCTCATTTTGGGTTGGAGAGTTTCTGTTTGTCATATATGTAGTTTTGAGTCACTTGCTTAAAACTCCCTGAAAATCTTGTGATATCTTTCTGAAATTTAATGGTAGAAAAATCATAAATCAGTTATATTTAGATTGATTTATCTTTTCTATTGCAGGAAAATTTTGATACACCAAAAAGATGTAGATATATTAACAGTCAAGATCACAATGAGATTCCCAGTCCTAAGGAAACTGGGTCAGCTTTACACCAGCTTCAGACTGAGAAAAAAGATTTAATCAAAATAATACAAGAGAGAGAAGACTCCCTGAGAAAGCTAAATCTTGTCAAAATGTACAGAAATAAGGTAAGCAAAGAATAAATTGATACTCACTGGCAAAATACATACAAAGAAATATAAAAAAAATGAAGCCTGACAAATTTACCTACCCAACATCTGGCTGGATGGGCTCTCTGTCTGTGACCACAGTTAGGATGCCTGTGGCCACTGTTTGGATACCTGTAACCATAGTTAGGATGCCTGTGGTTGTGATTTTATACTTTTGATAGTGACTCTTGGTTGTTCCTGATTTTTGTAGAATGACATCATGGAGCTGAAATGTTTAATAGACAAGTGGCGAAGAGTAAGCCAGGAAGCTGCAGAGAGTCTCCTCGAAAAAATACAACTTGATCCCAAGCCTACTATGGGTGAACTGTTGTCAAACTTGCAAATAGATAAGGAAATTATGCATTACTCTGAGGATAATGAAGCATTCTATTGATACTGATAGGTAGGTATTTGTAAATAAAAAATGACCATTCGTTCGAAATGATGACGCTGTTGATTGGCAGAAGCTCTGATTTATAACTCTGTAGAGTAACACTCTTTAAGGCCTTGCTCAAATTCTCACAATATTAAACTTGGATTGTTTTGGTTTTGCTTTAGATTTTCGCTCTTTGACCGTTCATTAATTAAAACTCGAGCTACTTTTTCAGTCAATCAGATTGGGGACTAAAATCAGTCATGACTTGAACACTTGCGTTACTCACGTTTGACCTGTTTACCTATGTTCAAAATGGTTGTTGTGAATACAGTCAGCTGGCTCTTGCAATGACCCTTTCAAGTAAGAGGTGATCACTTAAGAGACACCACAATACCAAAGTAAGAAAGTGATTTAATACACAAATTATTACTATTTCTTTTCTCATCAAGAGAACATGAGCTTATATGCTTTTGTTTCTCAGGAATACACAAAGTTCATCCAATAAAAATGTAATTCTGACCACACTCACATGAGACAAAAAGTTTATTTAGGATGAGTCAGTCAGTCTTCTAGTATATGCATCCTGATACAATCTTAACATGTGCACCCTTTAACTTGGGGTTCTAAAAAAAGAACCTGTACTGTGTCAGATACAAAAAATCACTAAAAACTCCACTCTGTAGATGTGGCCAAAAAATGAGTGGAAACATATTCCTCATCTAACAAAGCAGCACAACACCCTAAGAAAAATGTAAACTAACCTGGTTGCACCACTAATCACAAAGAAATATCAATGATTGTAAAGATATTTTACAAGGAGTTAGAATACCAAAATTATAACAAATACAAAAAAGAAAGTGGTCAAACATAGGACTGACTGACCTAGAATGACTTAATTTTCCCACAAAATGCTTAAATAATCCAAAATTTCCATGATGCCATGCAAAACTCTTCAATGTGCCATCAGAATATTAATTTCTGACTAATTAGTTCCCATGTCACTCAAACATCAGAAATTACATTTTTAAATCAAGCAATATGCTGTTCTTTTATTCATTAATAGTTTTAGGAAATGAAAGCTTGCAATTTCATTTTTTTCCCCATAAAATCACTGGAAATTATTTTCCCTTCAGTAGAGAACTTTTCATTAGAATACAGAACAGTTATTTTCTTCATTTTGATATCTGAGTAACGCAAGGTTTCTATATTATCTAGTGGTTAGACTCTTAGTGGAAACACAAACTAAAAGAGTTTGTCAAACTTTTGGTTTCTAAAGGGGTCACAGACCCCCTGGAAATTTGCATAGGGTCACTTAACCCTTTCGCTACTAATAGTGACCAGCATCTAATTTCTCCTTACAATATCACTCCTGAATCAAACATTGAGGTAATGGGAATAAAGGAAATGATCACCAACTAAAGAAGCTCTTGGTTGTTAAACAAATTCTCCTTGTCAGCACCTTGGGAATGTATTGCGAACAGTATGAAAAAAATTCATACTGATGTTAGGGTGTAAAGGGTTAAGATAATTATTAGAACAGAACTTGACTAGGGAACAAAACGGTTTTTGAGGGAAGTAGGTACGTAATGCAGTGTTCTTAATGAAAGTACTATCGTTACTTTGGTTTGGGTTTCCCGAAACCGGAAGGACTTCTCAGCGAAAGATACCTTTGTAACGTTTCAACTTGACTGACTCCTCTTTCAAAAGTGTAAAGGAAGAGGCTTGGTACGGCGAAATGTTTTCAACGCAGAGGGTACATTTCTTTTCTTCCCACTCATCTTTTTCATAGTCGTATTTCTCAACTGACCATATCTTTCTAGATAAATCATGTACAGCACCACCCACCGCGTACAAAGAATTACCAACTAACACCAAGTTTCCAAAAGGCCGGGAAACTGTTAAACGACACATCAAGTTCCACTCATCTGTGGACTTATTGTAAACTTCACACGTGTTGGTAATCTCATCAAAGTCCAGCCACCCTCCAGCGACGTAAATCTTTTCTTCTGTTCCAACTCCAAGGGCATCATACCTCGTCAGGTTTAAATCCGCTAACTTCTCCCATTTGTTTTCCGCGATGTCAAACTTCGAGCATTGTTTAATAATATTTATGTCTCTAACCCCACCGATAGCATAAATGTACTTCCCCACAGTTACGGCACAAATTCTTGTTCTTTCCAGCCAGTCTTTCGAGCAACTCGTGGAATTCGTGTCCAGGTTGAATTTCCAGAGACAGCTTGAGTCTTCCTCTAGATCTTCTTCTATGAAGCAAATTTCGTTCTGAACGACTACTACTTTGCGACGATGTCGTATACCCATTGCTCGCCAGTGCAGCCAGTTTATTTCTGAATCTGTTTTCGTCCAGGGTGCTGCACGCCAGCAGTTGAAGTCTGGGTCATAATATTGTGATTCATCCACTTCTTTGGAAACGAAAAACAGTTTCCCACGGCATGAGAAGACATGTTCCGGTTCACAGTTCGTTTTGGCCATGCCCTGCAAGTGATAAATATCATTCTTTTTGGGAAGGTAAAAGAGAGGGTTCTTAAAAGGCTTATCCTTTCTGTAAATTGCGATGACACTTTTCTCAAGAGCCTTTCGTGGAGAAAACGGTCTTGAAAGGTCATCGTCACCAGCACGATCTATCCAAGCTAAAGCGTTAGTCGCGCTACTGATACAATCTTCATTTTCTGTCACAAGTTCGTTTGTCACGACATCATTCTGTAAAAAGTCACGCGACAGAAATGTTAATCGAACGTGACAGAAGAGTTTACAGAATTCTTTGCTTCTTTCACTTTTCTTGTGAAGGGTCCACCTTAATATTGCCTTAAAAACGTCTTCCTCTGACTTGATAACTACATCGTCGCTGGAAACCAATTGTTCAACTTCATGCCTCGGTAAGTGTAGGAAATTTCCTGTTTGTGCGACGTTGACAAATTTTGATAGCATAAACTTCCGCGAGCTGTCTAACAGCTCGGAATGATCGAATTTTTCTGCCATGAAATAAGTTGAAACGCAGTTTGAAGAGGACATGGTCTGCTCGATAAACTTCCCAGCGAACGACTTGAGCTTGGATAGACACATGTAATCCGCTGCCGCAATGAGCTCCTCGGCATTTTCACGAGTCGAAATCTGAACGTTACCAGTGTGAATAAACTCGAGAACATCTTTCATCAGCGATTCATTAAAGACTTCCAATCGAACTACTCCTTCGTTATTCTCTTTCATGTTGCTGGTGAGGAGTTTTTCAAAGAAGGGACTTGCTTGAGAAAGAACATGTCTAAGTGTCTTCAATTCCTTCCCATCCTGAACAATCAGAGACACAGTTTTAGGCAATTCAGACTCGGCTTGATCGGACAAATTCATCTTCAGCTGTCAGCTCGTTTAGGAGTTGTGGAAAGAGTTAAGACTTGGCGAACCTAACAGCAAAGTTTATCGGGATATGTTTAAGCTCTCAAAACAATGGACAGTCGCTGTGTTAACGTTTTTTTTTTTTACGAAAGAGGGCTGTGGCGATCATAAGACTACTTCAGACAGCGACAGTGCAATATGATATTTGGTGATTTTTCGACTCGTCCCCAGTCGTTTTCAAAATATGCGCGGCGCTGAAATGGGGTAAAAAGGAGTGACAGGAAGGAGGAGAACTTCCTCTCTCGTTTTTTCCTTACCCATCACACTTCTTCCTTCTATCCCACTCACATTGGTTGCACCCATTTTGACTACTGGGGACGAGTCAAGGAATCCGCTGGATGCTCGACTGTTAAGAATTTGGGGTCGGATCATTCACAAATCGCCGTCAAGACTCCAACGCCAAGGCATGAGGGCAAGTTCTCAGTTGTCTGCCTCAAGAACTAATTGAAAAGCATGAGAAAACACTGTTCGAAAGGGACGATATTTACACATACTATTCAAATGCTTTCCACGTGCCTTTCAAACGCAAATGAAAATTACTGGTGACTAATTATGAAAATCGTCCACAGATTTTACCATTACTAGCCCCTGGGTATTCACAGACATGCGATTATCTGCTTGTTATGGAATATATCGAGCACGCGATAAGCGCGAAGGATAGGTCCCGCTTAGGCGGAATACCGTTAATTTCTTTCCGCGTGACGCGCCCTAAGCGCTCATTTCGCACTTGCATCCCCTTGACTAAAGATCCCAAGGACTATTGTGGGCTAAAAAGTGGAAGAATAAACTTCTTACCAGCAGGACACTAATAAGTTACATCAGTTGAAGCAAAGTGAAAGCAAATGCGTGCAACGCCAAGAAATTGTTGTGTCTCTATTGAAAGACATGTTCTTGTTTCTCTTTCTAATGTTGCAATTTATATCTACATGAAATACAGGCTGTGTTGTTCTGACGTTCTTAGTGCCTTCTTCAAATTAGCCGCCGACCAACTGGGTTTCATTAATAGGAGGCCCCAATCACTCATTCTAAAATGAACGTTTCTTTGGTTAAGAATATGTTAAAGTTTGAGTTATAAAACAGATTGGAATTACTGTTACATGCATGTTCGAGGCCATAACGGCAGACATTTTTTATTCACCGAAAATCTGCCATTCAATGGGCCATTTTACAGTTGTGTACTTAGTTGCCAAGCCTTTGATTTGGAGTGAGGCTGAAGGTGACCTTACTGTGATAGATGAATAAAGGAGGTTAGTGAAGAAACTGTGGTGCTGCGTCGGTGGCAGAGTATAGCAGGTAATTTAGTGTTAACAACTAGGTTGAAAACGTAAATTGGCCACCGTAAAGAGTAAAAAAGCTGACGTTTCGAGCGTTAGCCCTTCGTCAGAGCAATTGTTGTGATATAGACCAGTATCTAGTTAACATAATAACAAAGTAATTTACATTTGAAAAAGAGCAACGTTTGTATCATAACAAGGCCACATTTGCCTCACTCCTGTTCAAAGGCTTGGCAACCAAGCACGTAACTGTAAAATGGACTATTCTACGTAACCGGCTATATATTTTGTGTGGAAAGGTGGCTGTTTCTTTAAACTATTCTGTAGTGTATTGAGTACTATAGCAACATTAGTGAAATCACTGTAAGACTATTGAATGATGTAAAAGGACTGTAATCAAGTAACGTGATTGTACTGGATTGTTACATGGGTGATCATTGAAGAAATACAGGATGTAGAATGGAATGGAAGAGTATGTGCTCCTGACTGACCTACTTAGTGAAACCCAACAGTTTCCATGGACACGACCAGAAAATTTCCTTGGCACTCAACCCCAACAAAATGGGGTCTAACATATGGATATCATACCAATGCATGAGGCTTTGATATCGATGAACAGTTGCCATGGTGCTTCAGCTTGACTGACACGTCTTTCAACAGTCTAAGGGTACACGCTGTGAACGTCATGATTTTTTGAATGTCAAGGAAATGTCGGTTTTCTTTCCACTCATCTTTTTCGTGTTCGTAGCTTTCAACTGACCATATCTTTCCAAGAACGGGATGGCAAACTCCACCCAATACGTACAAAGATTCATCGATCGATAGCATGTTTCCAATGTCCCGGGGAACTGTTAAACGACCAATTAAATGCCACTCATCAGTCAATACACTGTAAACCTCACACGTGTTGGTAATCTCACCGCCGAAGTCGAGCCATCCTCCAGCGACGTAAATCTTTTCTTGTGTTCCAATTCCAAGGGCTCTAAATCTTGCAAAGCGTAAGTTTGCCAATTTCTGCCATTTTTTTTTCACGATGTCATACCTAGAGCAATGGGGGACGATATTTACGTCGGATTTTGTCCCTCCTATGACGTAGATGTACTGGCCCAAAGTAACGAGACAAGTCCTTATTGTTTTTAACCAGTCCTTCGAGCGAGTCGTGGATTTCTTGTCCAAGTTAAATTGGCAGAGACAGCTTGAATAAATTTGTAGATTTTCTTCAATAAAACAAATTTCGTTTTCGACAACTAACACTGCGCGAAGAAATAGTTTGCCTATCTCTCGACGGTTAGTTTTGCACCAATTTGGTTTTGAATCGGTCTTCGTCCATGGTGCTGGACGCCAGCCGTTGGAGTCTGGGTCATAATATTGCGATTTATTTACTTCCTGGGCAACAAAGAATAGTTTCCCTCGGCACGAGAAGACATGCTGTGGTACACAGTCCGGTTCGGCCATACCCGGTAGCTGATAAAAATCATTATTTTCAGGAACATAGAAAAGAGGGCGGAATGTCTTATCCTCTCCCCATATTGCAATGACACATGTCTCCATTGCCTTCCTTGGAGAATACGGCCGGGAAAGGTCGCAGTCGGTTTTTCGATTCATCCAAACTAACGCACTGTTCACGCGATCAATACAGTCTTCATTTTCTGTCACAATTTCGTTTGTCACGACATCCTTCAGTAAAAAGTCACGCGACAGAAAGGTCAATCGAACGTGACTGAAGAGTTTACAGAATTCTTTGCTTCTTTCACTTTTCTTGTGAAGGGTCCACTTGAAAATTGCATTGAAAACGTCTTCCTCTGAATTGATAACAATATCGTCGCTGGACACCAACTGTTCAACTTCGTGACTCGGTAAACGTGGGAAGTTTTCTGTTTGTGCGACGTTGGCAAAATTTAATAAGATGAACTTCCGCACGCTGTCTAACAGCTCGGAATGATCGAATTTTTCCGCCATGAAGTAAGCTGAAACGCAGTTTGAAGAGGACATGGTCTGCTCGATAAACTTCCCAGCGAACGACTTGAGCTTGGAGAGACATAGGTAATCCGCTGCTGCAATGAGCTCCTCGGCATTTTCACGAGTTGAAATCCGAACGTTACCAGTGTGAATAAACTCGAGAACATCTTTCATCAGCGACTCCGTGAAGACCTCCAATCGAATAACCCCCTCCTGATTCTCTTTCATGTTGCTGGAGAGAAGTTTTTCAAAGAAGGGACTTGCTGCGGAAAGAATATGTGAAAGCGTCTTGAATTCCTTCCCATCCTCAACAATCAGAGAGACAGTATGTGGAGTTTTGTGCCCTTGCTCGGGTATATTCATCTTGAGGAGTCTCGTTTCGGAATGTTGGAAGATGTAATAACTTTTGACAGCGATTCCTTGGATTTGTATTTCACTGGGCCATCATAATCGATGGTTGAGCGTTATACCAAAAACGCGAGGGTACCCAAAACACCGACAAGCGACTAAAAACAGGAATGGCTCCGACCTGTATTGGTTGATAAAAATAGTAAAAGTTAATAAGTTATAACTTAACTCCTTGCTCGTGAGTATTGTTTGACCGTGTGTCTCGAAGCGGAACGATGAAATATCAATGCGAGTGAAAAATACCGATGTGTGAAACAGGAAATGGTTACCTATATAACGAAGAGAAGGCCTTTCTTGTTCAGCAAGGTCGTTCAGCGATATTCCGGCGATAAAGTCATCCGCTGACTAGTTTCATTGACTAAACTAATTATTCAGTTCAGGCGGACGACCGGAGACTGGAGCCATTCCTGTATTTCGCCGCTGACAGGAATAGCTCCGACTCGTGCGCGTGCATTTATTAATTTTTTTCTCTTTTTTTTTCACCAATCGTTTTGGATTTTAGTGTTTTACTACGTTCTTCCTATGTTGAACTCTACCATGCTTTTAAATAAAGCCGGCCATGCACTTTTTCAGTGATAATGTCGATTTATCCTAAGACCAGTACGATCTCCCGGGCGCTTTTATCAAAACAATTAAAAGAAAATCCCCGCGCGAGGGCCTACAAGTATTATAAATTCGTATTCACTGACTAAGGTGGGGCCGGACAGGAAAATATTTGGCTCTAATTCATTCGCTGCGCTCGGTCGGTATCAGTTCCCGTCCGGCCCTCCTACTCAGTCAACTACTCTTTTGCAGCAGGTGCACACGCAGTGCCTTTCCAGTGTTGTGTGACGTTGCGATTGACATAAGTGCCATCTCGTACTTCTTATCAACATTTTTCCACCACCTCAACTTTAATTTTCACCACCTCAGTTTTTAGCTGGCAAGACCTCAACTTTAATTTTTACAGACCAGAGAAAGACGTTCCGGAAAATTAAAAGTCGTGCCGGAATGTTAAATTCGTGCCGGAAAGTTAAAGTCGCGCCGGAATGTTAAAGTCGCGCAGGAAAGTTGAAGTCGTGCTGAAATGTTTAAGTCGTGCCGGATAGTTGAAGTTGTACGCCGGAGAATTTTTGGCTTTCTTGTTTGACTTTTCGGATTACTATCGTCTTTGTCCCATTGCAGAAGGTATCAGTTTCACTTAATTTCATGTTTCTTGCGTGCAGAGTAACTTGCATGGTTTTTGTTGTGAAGTATTCATGTAAAGCCAAGGCATAACTTGGGTTATAATTTTTTTCTATAATTACAGATGTTTTTGGCTAAGCAAAAAAGCAAAGACCTGACCTCAGGAACTCTGAGTGAATTAACCAGATTTCAAGCTTTTGAATGCCGTTTTCCTCACCTAAAAAGGCACAGTGGGAAGGTAGAAGTTCACGACCAACCGAAACAACAATCGAATTTACTGAGTTTGCAGTATATTCCAGATAGGCATACGTTAGAGTCATGGAGGGATGAAATGAGGAGAGTTAAGGACTCGAATCTAAAAAGCTATTGCTTCGCGGAAAGTTCTTTGGGTTGTTTTGATGACGATGGAATCAAAGGCATGCTTCGGATTACCGAGGCAATATATATTAAGAGAGCTGTCGAGAAAGAACTCGACTGGTTTGCATCGACCTACCCTCGCCCACTTTCTGTGATAAGCCATCCTGCCACTAATTCTATCAAAAAGTTCCAAAATCTTATTTACGGAGAAAAATTTGATAAGCAGGTCGATGGTCTTCAAATGTCACCCAATGAAATGGCGAATGTTTGTTGCGATCGGTGGATCTCATCTGATCATGTACATTGGTTGCTTGATGATCTAAATATTTCACAGAAAAAAACTCTTTGAGTTCACATTAATCACGTGTTGGATGTAGAGGCGTTCGTGGCTCGCTCTCTTCCAGATGGCCAGTCAAAGCCAACGAGTTTGTTCTTTGCCCTTAATGTGGGTAAGGATTCAAGTGGCAATGTATTCATTGCAAGCGGATCCCGGAGTGGTTGTCACTGGACAATGCGCCATGTTGATCGGGAAAAAAAGAAAATAGTCTATGGTGACTCACTGGCTTGGAGCGTACCAGTCACCCTCTTGCCTAGATTAGAGCAATTCATCGAGCACATTTATGGAGAATGTTTATCCGACTACTCCGTTTTCGAGTGTCACACTTCAAGTAACGTTTCCACTGAACTGGAGCACAAATGTGGATTCAACTGTGCATCTCAATACCCCCTTCAGACATGCTCTAATATATGCGGCGTTGTGGTGTTGATTATGGCTGTGTACGCCTGTACAGCCCGATCATTTTTTTTTCTCACATTACCACTTCAGGTCAATCGCAGGCGGTGTCACCTTCAAATGTCTTCATAAGTGCCCCAACGCGCTATGCAAAGTATTTGCGTAGAGTGATCATGGGATGGATCGGTGAGAAATCAATTAAGCCTGAGCATATGGTTCCATCTTCTTTTCTTCGCCCCGAACTTAGTCACGAGAGCCAGTCAGACTCCGATTCGGACTTGGACACTCCTAGAGTACTATCATCAAAAGGAGACATAGATGAGAGAGACAACACCGCAGAGAACAATAAGAAGGGACTTTGTATTCAAGGAAAAGCGGAAAGGGCAGGCAGAACTGAGAGCACTCAAAGCAGCAGTGAAGCAGAGGATAAAATCCTGGACAACAAACAGTTACAAAAGATCAGTGATAACTAGGAAAAAAAAGTCAGCAAAAGTGAAAACAGAAATGACAAGGCCAGTCAAGAGAAATACCGTAATATTCCTGTTAAGAGAGTGGGTGGAGAGAAAGATGGAAAAAACAAGGGCGATCGTGACAGAGCAACTGACGACTAAGGAGTCACTTGTGATGAGAAGAGAAACTGTGATGACAGCCCAAAGCATAGGCCAGGTAGTGGAGAGCAGCATAGAGGTGAACGAGGAACCGGGAAGTCTCATCAATGTCCTGAATGTGAATATTCTTGTGTTAAACTATCAAACATGAAGAGACACATCAACCGAAAACATACTAGGGCTGTCGGGAAGAGAGCGTTCCAAAGTGGGAAGTGTCTATGTCTTGAGTGTGGCCATTGATGTTTCAGGATTAAGGACCTAAGGAAACATTTTTTTACAGAACACGGCGTGATATTCAGGACAGAAATTTTGCAAATGCAAAATGCTAAGGGTAAGGTTTACTCAGCCTCTTTTTTTTAAATTAACCCCTTAACTCCCAAGATCTCATTAGTAATTCTCCTTACTGTCTCCTATACAGTTCTTGTGATGTCAGTTTGGAGAATTTGGTATTGGATCAACTTATAATCTCCTAACTGATATTTATCTTTATTCTCATTACTTGTCTCCTTGATATTGCAAGGAGAAATTATGTCTTGGTCACTCATGGGAGTTAAAGGGTTAAACATCTCTTATAACTTTATATCTACTTATTTCAGACCATTAGACGAGTCCCAAATGACACGTAATATATCTTTATTTTTTAATTCGAGACGTGGAAAGCGGACGCTGAGGAGAAGAAAGGCTGCTCTTTTGTCAAGGCGACAGGTGCGTTACTTATAGAAAGCGGTAACCCTTGAAAATGCAATAAGGGCAGTCTCTGCAGGCAATTAACATGTCTCACTTTCAACCCGTAATTGTTAATTAATTAATTGATTAATTAGTTAATTCATTCATTCATTCACTTATTTGTTAACTTTTTATTTGCTTACTTATTTACTAATAAAGGTTCCAAGAAACAAAAAAACAGTGGGCTTAGGGTCGATTATTTCCAGTGCAACCGTTGTGGGAGTTAGAGGCCACGCAGAGCTGGAAAGAGAAGAGGAAAGTCTCAAGGTGCTAGTTCAGGTCAACGAAAGAAATCTCTACTTTGTAGGCATGTCATCTCAAGATCTTTGTTTCAAACTAAGAGAAATCTCGAAATTACTTATTATAAATATCATTTTAATTTATTAAATGCTATAGGAGATATTTATTTATCTGTCTTTCTGCATATCTTTCGGTCATCTGTCTTTTTTTTTAATAATGTTGCATCGTTACTTTATTGTACTAAATTTGCATAAACAATCGATCAGAAACGATTTTAATTCATTTAGTTTTAATGATGGAATACTCTGCATTTTTCTTTTCACAGGAACCTGCAAGATAGAGAGGAACTGTACTTCCACACTTAATGTATCTAATCTAGCGGAGAGCAAAGTAAAAAGGGAGATCTGCTATACCCACTATGGCCACACAAGAGACATCCAGCGTACGTGGCTGCCAAAAGGAAAAAGGCAAGAGCTTGCGGCAAAAATCCAACAGGGGGTTCCAAGGGAGACAATTCTTGACGACATCAGAGATAGTGAAACTTCTTTCGGCATCATCTGTTGGAAAAAAAGGATTTGTTGAACATTGAAAGAGCTTTCGGGCTGAAAGACTTTCAGCGTCACATCAATGATCAAGATAGTGTGTTGGCTTGGATTACGGAATGGGAACAATCAGCAGATACTAATCCCATACTCTTCTGCAAGTTTCAGGATGAAATGGTAGAAGGGTATGACTCATCTAAGGAGGACTTTGTGTTGATAATACAGAGTCCTTTTCAAAGGCACATGCTTCAGAAATTTGGGACCAAAGGTATTTGTTGTGTATTTGTTTGCACTCATGGTACCAACGCTTACGACTTCCTTCTCACTACATGCCTCGTGGTAGATGAGTATGGTGAAGTATTTCCTGCTGCATGGTGCCTTTCTAATCATGAAGATTTCACAACTATGTGTACGTTCTTTCGTGAAGTGAAAAAGAATTGCGCTGGTTCTATCACCAGCAAATGGTTTATGAGTGACATCACCCCACAGTATTACAACGCGTGGGTGGGTGTTATGAATGATGTCTCACGGCCCCAGAAGCTGTTATGCACGTGGCACGTGGATAGGGATAAAGAATAATCCAAAATACGGTCTGCTGGACACAAAATCAATCTTACGGTTTCCGCACCGTTTACTCAAATAAAATTTGGATATTTTATCAGTAAAAGAGGAGAAATAAATGAAATGTTTGGTTTTTTTTAATTCTGGTGTACTTGCGTCCACAGAGTTTTTTAGCGACTTCCTGTTTGAGGGCAAAAACTGAGACGAAGTAGGTGTGAGAGTTAAAAAAACGCAAAGAATCAAACATCTTGTAAAGTCGGTAAAGGTCAGATTTCCAGCAGACCTGGATTTCCAGTGCATATGAGAGCATTCCAAATTTGCAATTTTAATTTTTTTCAACATCCGGAAATTGTTGTGTCCCAAAGAATTTAATGATGAATTACTGAGAGAAAGGACATACATAGCTACATTTTCTCTTTATAGAGTGCATTTTGATTATTGTCATAAAACCAAGAACCAAAGCAATCTCAACGTCTAATAACGGTAAAGAAAATATCACCAGGAACAAATGAGAACTCCAGTGAAAACAAACAAACTTTCTAAAACGCGCGAGTGACCAAGTCGCGATTGGTGTTAGTTTTGAATCTGATTGGTTGAGAGAGTGGCACGAGTTTTCTGGACCAATCACATAACGAAAGTATACAATACCAAAGCAATCCCCAATTACTTTCGACGCTCAATTGAACTTTGCTTTTTTACCGAAGAGTTATATGTGTTCTATTTTCACGTTCCCGCGAGCATATTTACTGAAGGTTTCTTTTTTTCGACAAACTAACTCGTAGCGACGGCTTTCCTCGATTCTCTTCGAACTGTTTTCCAATCTAGGTGACCTAAGACGCATACTTAGACTTCAGTGTTCCAATGCACAAATCAACCTGAATTATTACCAACGTTTATGTACGCATTCGATGATTTTGGCATAAATATCTTATTTAGTGTCTTTGCGACAACGATTACGCAGGTTCTTGGCTATCGATGGTGAATTCCTCATCTACTGACGTCGACATTCAATAGCTAATGATGTTTAAGTTCCTGGCTCCTATGTCACACTGAAAAAGCGGCAGTTAACTTCCTTCATGGCTGTCACCACAAATAGTCTACTTGTTCGTTTCCAGAGTCGACTGCAAGCAGCTGAGAGTAAATTCTTAATTGAAAACCATTTCGTAGTGTGCATAATCAGGATTTAAGATCAAATCATCGGATGATGTAAGCCTGTTTGTATGGTTCAGTTCACAGAGTTGGCTCTTCATACTGTAGTTGAACGAGAAACAGTTTCTGGTGTTCAGACACGCTAACGCACATAGCAACTCATTATCTGAGTGCATAGCCTTGATCAGGTGACCTTGTAAAGCAGACCCTTCCATCCTCAAAGAAACGATTGCTTCTGGTTTTCTAGCAACTGAGACGAAAAACAGAAGGAGACAATAACGATTTGATAATGAGGTGATAGGATAAAATCCCTCGAACCGCTCATCATTGAGTGTTTTTGTGTTACTACCATTGAATTATTGAAGGATAAGATTTCAGATGAATGTACTGCCTAGAAAACCTTGTGAGTAGGCTCCTACTTCTAACTAACCCTGCGGTATGAAGAGCCCGTGAGACTCGATCAACACAGCGGTCAAACGTTGGGCATGCGCGAAGGAATCAACTCTGGCCTGCTGCGCGCCAAATTTCAAATGAAAACCAACTGTTATCTCGCAAAAGAAGCGAAAGAAAATTCATGGAAACGTTTATCGAAATCAGTAAAATAAGCGAAAGTGGGGAAAAGGAAAACTCCATTCTGTCTCGAGCTTTACTCAAACAGTTATGGGCTTTTACAACATAGTGACTTAATGGCTTGTGTGGTTGTTTACAACTCGTGTGAGAGTTGCAAATAACCACACAAGCTGACGGCCTGAAAAGCATGCCATCTAGCCATTACAACACCTACACGTGCGCAGACGTTAGGCCGCTGTGTTCATCGCTCGCCAACTCTAAACAGAAGAGCTTCGCCCCACGTATCGCAGCGAGTGTCGGCGGGAGCGGGTCATACCTAGAATTGTGGTCGGGAAACACCGCGAGCGACCCCCCTACTCCGTGTAAAGTTTTTTCTTACACTTGCATCACAACTTAGGCGCAATCAGCAAACTAACTAAGGCATAAAGCCAGTTAAATATCTTCAGAGCAACTCATATTCAGTAATTATAACCGAACAGTCATTTGAATAAAACTTACCTTCGCATATCATTAAAATAAGATCACCCGCGATATCTTTTTTAACAGGTGAGGCGCTGTGGGGAACCAGCAAAATCTGCTCCTCTGAGGAAGCAAGCGCTTTTAACATTATCGGTTTAACTTGGGAGCTGATTCCTAGGCCAATGATGATAATCCCATCATCTTTGACTTGTTTTGAAGAGTTCACAGCCAGCTTGAAATCGTTCTCTGGAAGGAAATGAAACAAATAATACAGAACTATCATCCTATTTGTTTTCATTTCGTTTCATGTCATCCAAACCTGCGCGGACAATTTCTCAATAAAAGTAACGTAGGCTACAGATGGGTAAAAATGTAGTACGTTGTTATTAGATTTCGACCGCCGGGAGGTCCTACCCAGAACTCGGTCACAACATTTTTACCACTGTGATGACGATTGCTGTTGTTGATAACAACACAGACCACTGTCGCTCTGTTAAATTCTCCATACTCTACGAATTTGTGATAATATATCCATTTTAAGTATAAAACAACAAACTGTAGTGAGTAGTTTCACCTAAAACAATTGAATCCTACCATAGAAGTCAGCATCAGTGGCAATGACAAGCACACGTGTAACGAAATCTCTTCCACCTGCAGCTTCTGAAAATAATTTGCGAGCCTCCTTAAAAGCCACAACCATCTTTGATCCTCCTCCGGGGTGAGATAAACCCTGTACAGCCTCTTGGATTGAAAAAATATTCTGTTTATCTTTAAAATAGTATTGATCATTGGGGGTATCTGCAAAAGTCATCAACGCCACGTGAGCCCCTGAAAAAAGTGAATAAATATGTACATTGAATTGACTACGGAGGATAGTTTTGTGACTAAATTCGTCCCCAGTCTTCTCATGTATAGGAACATGGGACGAAAGGAGTCGTTAGGTATCAAGTAAGAAGCTGGAAGCTAGTTAGACTTTGTAAGGATAAAAAGACAAACTTACGGGAATTTTCATTTGTTTTTGTTTTGTTTTTTTAATGTGCATGGTGATACAAGTGTAAGCACTTTACTTATTAAACGGGAGTTGCTAAGGAGGGGGGGGGAGAGGGTGGGGAAGTTGTAGCTTCAATTTGATTAACCCATTACATTAAAGCTTTAAGATGAAAAGACGAACCGAAAAAAAGTGACTAAATTTTGAACAACATTTAACTGCAAGAAAAAACTCACCATCAGCTGTTATTACAAATTGTGAGATAACTTTACTGATCAAGGTTTTCAAAGCAGCCAGGTCTGATTGGATAATGCTTCCTGACACGTCAATCATGAACGCTACATCCATGGCAACGGGGCATTCTGAATGAGAGATATGAGATGAGAGATATATAAGCTTAAAATTTCAATGTTAAGTGAACTCAGCAATGATTAAACGAAGGATACAATTGAGACCTTGAGCCTCTGTATTTCTACTTTTTACACCAAGCTTTGGCTGATCTACGGCATCGTTAGGGAATGTAAAGAAAATATTTCACTTTGCGTAATATAAAAGCGATGTAGGTGATACCATAACGGTTTTTTTTCTTTTGAGGTGAAACAAATGAAAGCATAAAGTTATAAAATTCTCTGCTTTGGTCCTAATAGGTATGATAGCGACGAGGCCAGCTTAAGGGAGAGTGTGGAGTGAGATGTATCAGCTTTTCAAAATGTGTGAAAATCATAACCAAAAGCATACTTGCGCAACTCCGTATGGGAAAACTTTAACCTTAAAAAGCTGGTGTGTGAACAATCAGATGTAACTCTCGACAGAAATAAGCTGTACGTTATCGGCCAATCTAATCAATCAAGCCCTCGACAAGCATAATAAGCCCTCTATTGTGGATAAGTAATAATATCTTGATCTGTTCATATAGTTTTGGTGCAGCGTCTTGATAAACTTTGAGCCACTCTAATACCGGCCAGTGTCAGAATTCATGAGCGATTCAGGCCTACCTGGAATGTGCCTCAAGGATCTGACGTTCAATATGGCCTGCAATGAGACATGAGATTTGGTTGACAGGATGAAAACGGCAGCTTCGAACGACCTACTTTTGACATTAAAGACTTATTCGCTTCGTGTACTGCAAAGTCAAAGAAAATTGAGAATTCGCATGTGGTGGCGCCTGAATGATAGGAAATCAAGAGGGAAATCATATTAAATCACACAATTTTTTTCAGTATTCGTCCAGCCTGGTCTTGACCGTTTACTCCCACCTCGATGCCTGCTGTCTCGGATTATAAAGTTCCGCACGATCAACTGGTCTAATACAAATTACAAACCTATTGCATGTAAACATTTACCTTCACTTAAATTTTCACTTACCAAGGACGTAAGCAGTAGGATCCAAAACATCTTAGTGTCTTTCTGCAAGAATCATTGACTTGTCTATCTCGTGGTGGTCCTTTAGAGTATAACATGTATAATGTTTCAAGTTATACTCGAATCCTTTTTATGTGGAGACAGTGATGTCAGTATTATCCATAGAGCTCAGGATGTACTCAGCTGACCGGAAAAGGAGAGAGAATAATAAGTAAAAACATTATTCAGCTTTGCTTTAATAAACAAGACAAGCAGATGATGTGTGAAGCTCAAATCTCGTGTTTTTATGATGCAAATGATCAAATGAGAGCAGTGTAATCAAATGAGAGAAAAAAAAAAAGCCAATTATAAATAATTTCCTCGAACGCAGTGAGGATTTTGGTTAAGATAAGATGTACCTGATTCCCTCATAGGGCTCTGTATTTCTTCCTATGTTCCCGACTCATTAGGGTTTGATTGGCAATAAATTTTATTCCCAATTTATACTCTGTTGGCGAAACTGCAGTAAAGAACGAAAAAGAAATAAAGAAGCAAAAAAAAAGTTACAGGAGATTTCGTCAATTCTCAATTGAAAAACTGACTTTTCTTGATGAGATTGCAGTTGAATCAAAGAATTCACAAACAAGGGAAGGAAAATGAGAAACGAATTACATTCTTATGTAAACCCGCCAAATAGTGTTTAGCGACGGATGGTCTCTTTGTCTGAAGATTGAAAAGATGGCTTTGCTTTCAACCGACGTAAGAGCGCTCTCACGTCTTGACCACGGTAGCAATATTTTTCTCGGCTATGAATATCGAGAGATAAAAGAAGTAAAGGACGCATCTTTTTTATTTCTTAAGTTTTTATTTTTCTTAAAACAGTTTATATATATGGCACAATAAAAAAAAAAATCAGTTCCTAAGATGAAAAACTAAAACTACTAGTATCAGACTATCGTGTCCAGATTGGGGGATACGATCCCGCTGCACGTCGAATTTTAGATTGCTTTTTAGCTGAACATGACCATACCCCTGGTGGGCACGCGGGCTTGGTTTCTATTTTGGTCACGTGACGTTTACTTTGCTTAGATCTCTTGACAGCTGTCCTTAGCATCTGCTTTGATATTAACATCTTCTTTTTACAAGCCCACATTCCTGGCGGACAATCTTCAGCCTTTCTTAAATTTTGTAAGCGAAAAGAGTCCTTGAGTGCCTTGTCCATAATGCCATGCCTTGTCCTAATTTTAAATATCTTTTGAGCTGAACATGACCAGACCCCTGGTGGGCACGCGCGGTTTGTGCCTCTTTTGGCCACGTGACGTTTACTTTGCTTAGATCTCTTGACAGCTTTCCTCAGCATCTGCTTTGATATGGTCATCTTCTTTTTACAAGCCCACATTCCTGGCGGACAATCTTCGGCCTTTATTGTATTTTCTAAACGTAAAGAGTTCCTGAACGCCTTGTCCATGATAAGAGGTTTCTTAACGAAGAATATTTCAGCACCAGAGGTATCCCAGGATGCTCTTCCCGCCATTTCTGATGGCCTTTTAGGTGGACCGCTCCAGACTCCCACAGGACGAACGTCATGCTCAGTTTTTGATACCTTCATTTTCTCACTGGTAAGGCCAGCACGGGCCAAGTGAATGGAATAAAGCAATAAAATTAGAACAATAACGGAAAAGTTCATTTTTAGATCAGATATCAAGGTCTCAATTGAAAAACTTGTAATGGTTCCTGTTTTGTCTTTCGATCGAAGTACTTGTGAGCCCATGGATCTCAGACCTTTATATTAGCGGTTCACAGCTGAGCCCTGAAATGAAACAGATTTTACACGTTTTGAAAGGGCTATTTCTGGTGACTCGGCTAAAAATAGCGCAAAGCATTTGCATAAAGTATATATCTGATTGATAATCTTGATTTTGCCTTGTGATTGCTCTTTTGGCGAAGGTTAAAAAGATTACTTTTTAGGTCAACTACCATGTAAAATAACCGTTTCTCTGCTTTTAAAAGTCTTCCATGAATTACATCTTGTGTTTAACCCTTTTACTCCTATGAGTGACCAAGACAGAATTTCTCCTTACAATATCAATACAATATTAAGCAGATAAGTGATGAGAATAAAGAAAAATACCAATTTGGGGATGATAAGTTGATCCAATACTAAGTTCTCTGAACTAACATTATAAGAAATGTATGGTCGATAGTAAGGAGAACAAATTTGATGCGGGAGTTAAAGGGTTAAACGGTATTTTCTCGATACAATTAGGTGTTGACTTGTCACTATAGAGTCTAGTCTTTCTTAGTGGAACACTATTTTCCAGTTCACATTTTACGAAATAATGCTGGCCCAATGAAACATTTGACTTGGAAGTAAATGCTACTTTTCGTAGAACACGTATGTGACTTGAAGGAGATATTATCGGCCATTAGAGGAGATATGAGGTTACAAGGGATCATCAAGTAAGTTTTAAATAACGTAGGGGGGGTCACTTGACATCTAAATGTCCCGGAAGGGAAAGGGGCTTGTAAAAAGTTCAATCTTTCCAACAGATACTTCCTGTACGGTCATTAAGAGCGACCGAACCTGGGTCCATATCGGCTATAGTAATGGTGTTTCTCCCGGTAACCACCACCAAAACGAGTGTTTTTGAGAAAAGCATGAACAACTTCTTGGAATTCTTCAGCACTAGTCGTGCTTACGACGCCATCTAAACTGAACACTTCTTGACACCGATGCTGCTGAGGGGAAATCCAAGTCAACATTCGAGCCTTTGTGCTCGCACGTGTTAAGATTACATAGGCCAGATTGTCACACCCGTCTTTTCTTAAAGTAGAATGTTTAGGCTATTTCATTATTAATATACCACGTTTCACAGGTGAACACAGCTTTTGATGATTTTTTTTTTTCGTCGTTTGAAATTGATCTCACGTTTGGGATCGCAGCTGTGGCTCGTCAATATAAAAATAACAAATCCACGGACTGGCAAGTATTTCATTGAGCAGACAGTCAAACCAACCATTACGGGATTATTAAAAACGTTTCTTTTTCGATAAATTTACCCAGTTCGCAAATGAAAGTTTCTGCTACTTTCGTGTTTGTTACTGTCAGGAGGAAATCGAGTTCTCAAAGATAACTGTAGTATGCAGCGCCCCCATATTGTTCTAGTTGCAAAGTGAAGACTATTTTCTTTTTGCTGCAAATTTCCTGACTGAGACTTGATATTTTTGAAATTTGTAGATTGTTTTCCGTTCCCGTGTCCTTTGGAAAATCGTTTATTTGATGTTCGGTCCTCAAGACAGACAAGTTGAAAATGTTTACAACAAGATACAAGAAGGCTGGGTGGAGCCAGAAAAGTTACCTGTCTTCTAGCTTCTGTTTCTCATTGAAAGTATTGTACATTCGCTCTTCGCTTTTGTGGATTGTTTACAGATCTTTATGCTTATGTCACATCTTTTTATACCTTCCAAGGAACTGCTGAGAAATGAGCCTACGGATCTTTTTTACTTATCAGCTGATAAAATTTTCTAAACGGGTACAAACTAATTTTTAACACCCAAGACCGTCGAAATGCCTCAAGCTCTAAGGATCCAGAAATCAAGTTCACAAAGGTATATTAAACCTTTAAAAAATTTTCGTATGAGTGTAGTTTTTGCAAGTAACAGCTTGATCGAGTATTCGATCCAAACGTTCGAATTGCCATACATATCATCCATGGAACTCAACTTATATAAAATCTGGAAGCTTTATTCTTCATAAATAGAGAAAGAGAATCTCATATTCAATGGTTTTTGTTTTCTGTATGTTTTGAAAGCTAAGACAAACAGTAGTAGATAAAAAGCCGCAAAAAGTCCTGTCAACCCTCAACAAATAATTCTCAACAGACATGTACTTTCAGATAGGGTATGTATAAAGGTATAAAGCAGCTGGGTCTTGTCGGACAATACTTTCTAATACGTCAATCATGAACGCTACATCCATGGCAACAGGGCAATGTAAACGAAGAGAAAAAAAATATGAGAGATATGTAAGCTTAGAATTTCAATGTTAAGCGAACTCAGCAATGATTAAACGGAGGATTCAATTGAGGCCTGGAGCCTCTGTATTTCTATTTTTTACAACAAACTTTCGCTGATCTACGGCATCGTCAGAGAATGTAAAGAAAATATTTCACTTTGCGTAATATAAAAGCGATGTAGTTGATACCATAACGGATTTTTTTTTTCGAGGTGAAACAAATGAAAGCATAAAGTTGTAAAATTCTCTGCTTTGGTCCTACTGGGCATGATACCGACGAGGCCAGCTTAAGGGAGAGTATGGAGTGAGAGATCAGCGTTTCAAAATGTAAGCAAAATCACAACCAAAAGCACCCTTGCGCAACTAAACGAAGCCGGGCAAACTTTAAAATGCTCGTGTGTAAACAGTCAGATGTAACTGACAGAAATGTGCTGTATGTTATCGGCCAGTCTTATCAATCAAGCCCTCGACAAGCATAATTAATGCTCTATTATGGACGAATAATAAAATACCTGTCAGTTTCAGAATTCACGAGCGATTCAGGCATATCTAGAACGTGTCTCGAAGATTTGACGTTCAATACGGCCTACAATTAGACATGGAATAATGAGATTGGTTTAAAAGGATGAAAACGGCAGCTTCAAACGGCTTTATAATATGATGTTTCGTTCATACTCGAATTCTTTGACAGTGATGTCAGTATTATCCATAGAGCTTAAATGTACTCAGCTGACCGGAAGAGGAGCGAGAATAATAAGTGAAAACCTTATTCAGCTTTGCTACAATAAACAAGACAAGCAGATGATGGGCGAATCTTAGATTTCGTGTTTTTATGATGCAAATGATCAAATGAAAGCAGTGTAATCAACGAGAGAGAAAAAAGACGATTAAATAGATAATTTTCCCAAACGCATTGATTTGATGAGTGATATTTGTTATTACTCCGTCTCTTAGTAGAGGAAATGAAATTGAAAACTGACGACCTCGTTTCGTTGGTAAAAATAAAATGAAAGAGTGTTTTGGTCTTTAATTAATCGTTACTTTTCGGCTCTGTTCACGATTGTAGCCGCTGGCTCCAGAAACCGCACAGAGGGGGTGAAAGTAAGGAACTGCATGCAGTAAAGAACAAAAAAGAAACAAGGCAGGGGTCGTTATTTATCACCTTGGAGGGGTGGGGTGGGCCCGGAGGATTTCGGTTTAGTCACGATAAGATGTACTTGATTTTTTCATAGGGCTCTGTATTTTTTCCTATGATCCAGACTCATTAATTGACGAATTATATTGTTATGTAAACCCGGCAAATAGTGTTTAGCGAAGGATCGTTCCTTCTGTCTGAAGATTGAAAACAATCGACGTAGGAGTGCTCAAACGTCTTCACCCTGGTATCAATATTTTTCTCGGCCTTAGCTATCGTGAGATATTTTGAGAACTGAAGCAAAAGACGCATTTTTTTTTTGTTTCTTAAGTTTTTATTTTCCTAAAACAGTTTATATACATGGCACAAGAAAAAAATAAAATCAATTCTCAAGATTAAAAACTAAAACTACTACTATCAGACTACCGTGTCCAGATTGGGGGATACGATCCCGCTGTTCGTCGAATTTTAGATTGCTTTTTAGCTGAACATGACCAGACCCCTGGTGGGCACGCGCGCTTGGTGTCTCTTTTGGTCACGTGACGTTTACTTTGCTTAGATCTCTTGACAGCTGTCCTTAGCATCTGCTTTGATATTAACATCTTCTTTTTACAAGCCCACATTCCTGGTGGACAATCTTCAGCCCTTCTTGAATCCTCTAAACGAAAAGAGTCCTTGGGTGCCTTGTCTATAATGCCATGCCTTGTCCTAATTTTAAATATCTTTTGAGCTAAACATGACCAGACCCCTGGTGGGCACGCGCGGTTTGTGTCTCTTTTGGCCACGTGACGTTTACTTTGTTTAGATTTCTTGAAAGCTGTCCTTAGCATCTGCTTTGATATTATCACCTTCTTTTTACAAGCCCACATTCCTGGCGGACAATCTTCGGCTTTTATTGTATTTTCTAAACGTAAAGAGTTCTTGAGTGCCTTGTCCAAAATAATAGGTTTGTCAACGAAGAATATTTCAGCACCAGAGGTATCCCAGGATGCTCTTCTCGCCATTTCTGATGGTTTTTTAGGTGGACCGCTCCAGACTCCCACAGGACGAACGTTGTGCTCAGTTGTTGATACCTTCATTTTCTCACTGATAAGGCCAGCACGGGCCAAGTGAATGGAATAACGCAATAAAATTAGAACAATGACGGAAAAGTTCATTTTTAGATCAGATATCAAGGTCTCAATTGAAAAACTTGTAATGGTTGCTGTTTTGTCTTGCGATCGAAGTACTTGTGAGCCCATGGATCTCAGACCTTTATATTAACAGTTCACAGCTGAGCCCCGAAACGGAACAGATTTTACACGTTTTGGAAGGGCTATTTCTGGTGACTGAGCTAAAAATAGCGCAAAGCATTTGCATGAAGCATATTTGATCCATAATCCTGATTTTGCCTTGTGATTGCTCTTTTGGCGAAGGTTAAAAAGGTTACTTTTTAGATCAACTACCATGTTGAACTGACCGCGTCTTGTGTTTAACCCTTTTACTCCTATGAGTGACCAAGAAAGAATTTCTCCTTACAATATCAATACAATATCAAGCAGATGAGTGATGAGAATAGAGAAAAATATCAATTTGGGGATAATTCGTTGATCCAATACTAGGTTCTCTGAGCTAACTTGATAAGAATTGTATGGTTGACAGTAAGGAGAATTACAAATTTGATGTGGGAGTTAAAGGGCTAAACGGTATTTTCCTGTTTCAATTCGGTGTTTTCTTGTCACTATAGACTAGTCTTTCTCAGTGGAATGCCATTTTCCCAGTACACAACCAAAATTTTTACAAAATAATGCTGGCCAAATGAAAACATTTGGCTTGGAAGTAAATGCTACTATTCGTAGAAAATTTATGTGACCTGAATTTTAATAATTACTAGGTATATTAGAGGAGATATGAGGTTACAGGGGGGTCATCACGTAAATATTAAGTAAAAAAGGGGGGTCACTTGATATCTAAATGTCCTGGAGGGGAGAGGGGCTTGTAAAAAGTTCGATCTTTCCAACATATCCTTTCTGCAAGGCTATTTAGAGCGACTGAACCTGGGTCCATATCAGCTATAGCAGTAGCGTTTCTCCCGATAACCCCCACCAAAACAAGTATATTTGAGAAAAGCATGAACCAACGTCTTGGAATTCTTCAGCGCTAGTCATGCTTACGACGCCATCTAAAACACTTCTTAAAACAGATGCTGCTCGGGGGAAATCCAAGTTAACATTCGAGTACTTTTTGGACTCGCACGTGCCAAGATTGCATGGGCTAGACTGTCACACCCGTCTTTTCTTAAAGTAGAATGTTCAGCCAATTTCATTGTTAATGTACCACGTTTCACAAGTGGACACAGCTTTTGATGATCTTTTTTGTCGTCGTTTGAAATTGATCTCACGTTTGGGATCGCAGCTGTGGTTCGTCAATATAAAAACCAAAAATCTACGGACTGGCAAGTGTTTCATTGAGCAGAAAGTCAAACCAGCCATTACAGGATTGTTCAAAAGGTTTCCTTGTCGATACATTTACCCAATTTGCAAATGGAAGTCTCCACTACTTTCGTTGTTTTTTACTGTCAGGAGGAAATCGAGTTCTCTAAGATAACTGTAGTATGCAGCGCCCCCATATTGTTCTGGTTGTAAATTGAAGACTATTTTTTTTTTCTTTTGCCACAGATTTCCTGAGTCTTGATATTTTGTAATTGGGATATTGTTTCCCGTTCCCGTCTCCGTTGGAAAATCGTTTCTTTGATGATCTGTCCTCAAAACAGACAGGCTAAAAATGTTTACAACATGGTACAAGAAGGCTGAGTGGAGCAGGAAAGGTTACCTGGCTTCTAGCTTTTGTCTCCTCCTAGTTCATAATTTTTGTAGGTAGATGAGCCAGGTGGGGAAGGGGGTGTCTCAGGTTTTCTTCCGTACGTTTTTGTGGATTGTTTACAGATCCCTATGCTTATATGACATCTTCTTCTACTTTCCAAGGAACCGCTGATCAATGAGCTTACGGGTTTTTTTTTCACTTATCAGCTGATAGAATTTTCTAAACGGGTACAAACTTATTTTTAACACTCACAACGGTCGAAATGCCTCAAGCTATGAGGAATCCAGAAATCAAGTTCACAAAGGTATGTTAAACCTTCGAGACGGCCGAAATTTTGAACATCATTTAACTGCAAGAAAAAACTCACCATCAGCTGTTTTTACCAATTGATAGATAACTTTACTGATCAAGGTTTTCAAAGCAGGAAGGTCTGGTGGGATAATACTTCCCGACGCGTCAATCATGAACGCTACATCCATGACAACGGGGCATTCTAAATAAAATAAAAAAGAGATGAAAGATATGAAAGCTTAAAATTTCAATGTTAAGCGAACTCAGCAATGTTTAAATGGAGGATTTAATTAAGGCCTTGAGCCTCTGTAGATCTATTTTTTATACCGAGCTTTCGTAGATCCACGGCATCGTCAGGGAATGTTAACAAAATATTTCATTCTGCGTAACATAAAAGCGATGTAGGTGATGCCATGATGGAATTTTTTTTTGAGGTGAAACAAAGAGAGCATAAAGTTATAAAATTCTCTGCTTTGACCCTAATAGGCATGATACCGACGAGGCCAGCTTAAGGGAGAGTACGGAGTGAGAGATCAGCGTTTCAAAATGTGAGAAAAATTATCAACAGAAGCACGCGTGCGCAACTAAATGAAGGCAAACTTTAAAATGCTCGTGTGTAAACAGTCAGATGTAACTGTTGACAGAAATGTGCTGTACGTCATCGGCCAATCTTATCAATCAGGCTCTCGACCTCTATTGTGGACGAGTAATAATGTGCCTCATTTTCGGGTTATAAAGATCCGCACGAACAACTAGTCTAATACAAACAACAAACCTACTGGATGCAAACATTAATCTTCACTTAAACTTTCACTTACCAACGATATAAGAACCAGGATCCAAAACATCTTAGTGATGTCTTTCTGCAAGAATTATAGAATTGCGTATCTCGCGGGGGTCTTTTAGAATATAATGTCTCAAGTCATACTCGAATTCTTTAATGCGAAGACAGTAATGTCAGTATTATCCATAGAGCTCAGGATGTACTCAGCTGACCGGAAAAGGAGAGAGAACAATAAGTAAAAACCTTATTCAGCTTTGCTACAATAAACAAGACTAGCAGATGACGGTCGAAGCTCAAATTTCGTGTTTTATTTGATTCAAATGATCAAATAAGAGCAGTGTAATCAAATGACACAATAAAAAGTAAAATCAATTCTCAAGATTAAAAACTAAAACTACTATTATCGGACTACCGTGTCCAGATTGGGGGATACGATCCCGCTGTTCGTCGAATTTTAGATTGCTTTTTAGCTGAACATGACCAGACCCCTGGTGGACACGCGCGCTTGGTGTCTCTTTTGGTCACGTGACGTTTACTTTGCTTCGATCTCTTGACAGCTGTCCTTAGCATCTGCTTTGATAACATCATCTTCTTTTTACAAGCCCACATTCCGGGCGGACAACCTTCAGCCTTTCTTGAATCCTCTAAACGAAAAGAGTCCCTGAGTGCCTTGTCCATAATGCCATGCCTTGTCCTAATTTTAAATATCTTTTGAGCTGAACATGACCAGACCCCTGGTGGGCACGCGCGGTTTGTGTCTCTTTTGGCCACGTGACGTTTACTTTGCTTAGATTTCTTGAAAGCTGTCCTTAGCATCTGCTTTGATATCATCATCTTCTGTTTACAAGCCCACTTTCCTGGCGGACAATCTTCGGCCTTTATTGTATTTTCTAAACGTAAAGAGTTCTTGAGTGCCTTGTCCATAATAAGAGGTTTCTTAACGCTGAATGTGTCAGCACCAGAGGTATCCCAGGATGCTCCTCTCGCCATTTTTGATGGCCTTTTAGGTTGACCGCTCCAGACCCCCACAGGAAGAAAATCGTGCTTAGTTGTTGATACCTTCATTTTCTCACTGATAAGGCCAGCACGGGCCAAGTGAATGGAATAACGCAATAAAATTAGAAAAATAACGGAAAAGTTCATTTTTAGATCAGATATCAAGGTCTCAATTGAGAAACTTGTAATGGTTGCTGTTTTGTCTTTCGATCGAAGTACTTGTGAGTCCATGGTTCTCAGACCTTTATATTAACGGTTCGCAGCTGAGCCACGAAACGAAACAGATTTTACACGTTTTGAAAGGGCTATTTTGGTGACAGATCTAAAAATAGCGCAAAGCATTTGCATGAAGCATATTTGATCCATAATCTTGATTTTGTCTGGTGATTGCTCTTTTGCCGAAGGTTAAAAAGATTTTTTTTAGGTCAACTACCATGTACAATAACCGCTTCTTTGCTTTTAAAAGTTCTCCATGAACTACATCTTGTGTTTAACCCTTTAACTCCCACGGGTGACCAAGACAGAATTTCTCGTTACATATATCAACACAATATCAGCCAGATTAGTGATGAGAATAAAGAAAAAAAAAACAATTTGGGGATGATAAGTTGATCCAATACTAAGTTCTCTGAACTAACATTATAAGAATCGTATGGTTGACAGTAAGGAGAATTACAAATTTGATGTGGGAGTTAAAGGGTTAAACGGTATTTTCCCGTACAATTAGGTGTTTACTTGTCACTATAGACTAGTCTTTCTCAGTGGAATGCCATTTTCCAGTACACAACCAATTTTACGAAATAATGCTGGCCCAATGAAAACATTTGGCTTGGAAGTAAATGCTACTATTCGTAGAAAATTTATGTGACCTGAATTTTAACAATTACTCGGTATAAAGGAGGAGATATGAGGTTACAGGGGGGTCATCACATAAAAATTAAATCACGAAGGGGGGTCACTTGCTATTTAAATGTCCCGGAGGGGAGGGAGGGGGTTTGTAAAAAGTTAGATCTTTCCAATATATTTTTCCCTCACCCCTCTGTACCTAAATAATGACCGATGCCTTAGCAAGCTACGTTAAAAAACACATGCACTTCTCCCAAGAGAAGGGAAAGTAGCTCCCATTGTTGTGCTCTAACCTTGTTATTGAACATTCATCTGAAAGATCCTCTTCAAGTATTTTCTCCATAGAAAGAGGTGGGGAAAGAAATGAAGAAAAAGAAGAGGCCTTCCTGCAAGGCCATTTAGAGCGACTGAACTTGGGTCCATATCGGCTATAGCAGTGGTTTTTCTCCAGACAACCACCACCAAAACAAATGTATTTCTGAAGAGCACGAACAAAATCCTTGGAATTCTTTAGCACTAGTCATGCTTACGACGTCATCTGAAACACTTCTTAAAAACCGATGCTGCTAAGGGGAAATCTAAGTTAAAATTCGAGCCTTTGTAACCGCACGTGTCAAGATTGCATAGGCCAGATTGTTACACCCGTCTTTTCGTAGTAGAACGTTCAGCTAACTCATTGTTAACGTACCACGTTTTTGTCTATCATTATTAACAAGTGGACACAGCTTTTGATGATCTTTTTTTTTTTGTCGTTTGAAACTGATCTCTCGTTTCGTATCCCAGCTGTGGTTTGTCAATATAAAAATAAAAAATCCACGGAATGGCAAGTATTTCATCGAGAAGACAGTCAAACCAACGATTACTGCTTTGTCGATACGTTTACCCAATTTGCAAATTACTTTCTATCCCGTTCGTGGTTTTTCGATCATTTCTGCCACTCTGGTGAGACTATTCTAACGTGTAGCCGTAATTTTCCCAAACAGTTCATATAAGCGATAATGCGGCGGTTAGGGATTCGTTCAAAGCTGTTTCTCGTTTTTGCAACCTCGTTCCCATGGCCTTTTCCCTTGCTCAAGAAAGCGAAAAGGCCGGTTTTGTGGACTGTTTACAGATTCGTGTACTTATATGAATGCTTCTTTTACTTTCCAAGGAACCGCTGAGAAATGAGCCACCCGATTTTTTTTTTCACTTATCAGCTGATAAAATTTCTTAAACGGGTACGAACTAATTTCTAACACCCAAAACGGTCGAAATGCCTCAAGCTATAAGGAATCCAGAAATCAAGTTCACAAAGGTATGTTAAACCTTTGAAAAAATTTTCATATGCGTGTAGTTTTTGCAAGTAACGGCTTGATCGATCATTCGATCCAAACGTTCGAATTTCCATGCATATAATTCATAGAACTCAACCTATATAAAATCTGGAAGCTTTATTCTTTATAAACTGATAGGAGAATCTCATATGCATTGGTTTTTGTTTTCTTTACGTTTTGAAAGCTAAGGCAAACAGTAGTAGGTGAAAAGTCGCATGAAGTTCTTTCAACCCTCAACAAATAATTCTCTAATTGGGTCTTGAAATAATTTTTTACTTACATGAATGTAGGGTATGTCCTTTTTAAGAGCGTAATTCAAATCTGACCAGTCGTATTGTGTTAACATTCAACACTTTGGTGTGAATACTCTACCTTCAGACAAGGAAGTTAAACAATAGATTGAAACTGTTAAATTGCGCTGAGAATTTTGTAGATGGAAACTACCGTTTGACAGGTGTTTTACTAGTATCATTTTGAAAATAAATTCATATATGCACACAACAGGGATAAAAGAGCATGTTTCCGAACAAAGGATTTTACTATTTTAACCCCCCTCCCCTGTGCAAGGGTCTCTTCTCTTTTTATTTTCAAGTCAGTGAAATATAACAGAACCATTTTTGGTCTCATGCACCAGATTCAATATGACTGAAGGTCAAGAATTCACATGTGTGTGCCAAGTTTAGTACATCTTTTAAGTAGTTAACTTGCAAGATCTGATTGTTTATTCTCCCCTCTAGTTTTTATACATTTCCCTGTAAATCAATTATAAGAATTTGGTTTTAGATTAAGATGGCATCTTCCTGATAAGTTTGAGTATTCTCATTACCTGTTTGTTGGATTGTGTAAGGTTAATGTAGGGAGAAGTTACATGTTAATCACCTCAGGGAGTTAAGGGTTAAGAAGAAGGATTCAGAGGTACACCTGCCATACTCTACAGATCATCTGATCACTAAAAATACACCTGAGTTCCAAAATTCCAGGAATAAACTCAGAAAATTAAAACAAGAATAAATTGTTGATTATCACTGAACATGGTTGAAAAATTGCTCAAAAAATTCAAGTATGTCACAAACATTATTGACAGCAATATCAAACTGCTAAATTTTTTTAACATGACTGACTTATATGAATTTGAAAGTTGTATATTTAGTCGGTGAACAACATAACTGGGCCTTGGGATTGCGATAAACAGAATATAATTTGTTTCACACTCCTTTATTTAAGGCTGAATTTACTTTATTAAATGTTGTATGTAATGTTGTTATCTAAAAAGCACCTGACATTTCAATGGACTTCTTTCTTATTTACTGACAGCTTTTTATCAATAATGAATATGTGGACTCAGTCAGCAAGAAAACTTTTGCTACTATTGATCCAGTGACGGAGGAAAAGATATGTGAGGTTGCAGAGGGTGAGAAGGTACTGGAGCATATTGATTCATGTATATTCATTTGACTTTTTTTTTTTTTTCTTGATTAAAGATGCATTTTTGTTAAACATTTTTATGTCTTTTACTTATGATTATACATTTACCTTCTTACTCCCAAGAGCTGGTTATATATTCTCCCCCCCATCAGCTGATACGCATTTCCTTGTAAATAAGTTTCAAGAATTTGGTGTTAGGTGAAGATAACAACTTCTACCTGATAAGTTTGTGTATTCTCATTACCAGTTTGCTGGATAATGTGAGGGATATTATAGGAAGAAGTTACATAAAGAAAGATTTTTTTTTTTCATCTTATTGTGAGCATGGGACAAAAAAAAAATTCTGAGTCCCCATGAGGAATCGAACCCCAGAGCTTCAGATTCCATGCTCTTATGCTCTACCACTTAGCCACAGAGACTCCACAGTGAGCGAGGTCTATTATGAAGTTCATATGACACACATCCTGCATACTGCTAGGGTCAGCAATGTTGATAGCATAATTTTTGTTGATAGAAATAAGAGAGATGGTAAGTTTTGAGCTCAGTAAAGAAATAAATAAAGATGGTTTTTTGTCTTGTCTTGAGTGTGGGACAATAAAAAAATTCTTAGTCCCCATGAGGAATCAAACCCCAGACCTTCGGATTCCATGCTCCAATGCTTTACCACTGAGCAACAGATGTTAATCACATGTTAATCACTTCTAATTTGTTTAGTAGCATATCATGCTAAAAATACACCTGAAAAAGCATTACTCTGCAACTCTGTACTGTTGAGACAATTCAGTTGAGACAGATTGGAGAGGGGAATGTATTGAAATAGTCATGCAGCAAAACTTTGCTATCCTATCTCTTCTGATCTCTTCATCTCCCAAGATCTGACAAGTAATTGTCACTAGATGCTGCTATATAATGCCATATCAGTTAGTCAGGAGAATTTGGATTTTAGTCATGTTACAACCTGTAGCCAATTACTTTGTTGGATACATTTTAAAGTGAAATATCTTTCTTGCTTCAGGCAGATGTAGACAAAGCAGTCAAGGCAGCCATGGAAGCCTTTAAACTTGGCAGTCCGTGGAGGACTATGGATGCTTCTCAGCGAGGAAAATTGCTGTACAAGGTTGCTGATCTTATAGAAAGAGATCTGGACTATCTAGCTGTGAGTGAAATCATGCTTTATTATAACTTAAGGCAGGCACAACCCAATACTGTATGTTTTTGCTGTGCATTGAGGCTCCAACCTCTTAACATAGATTTCCAGTGTTGCATAAGTTTTCTGTACATAAAACAAGCATAAAGAAGACATGCTTAAGCAATTTCCACTGCCATGTGAAAATCAATGCTACTCACAATACTTTCAATAAGACCTGGCACCTGCCGGAGCTCCGGCAGATATTCTGTTGTGAATTGCCGGGTATACTTTAATTGGAAGCTTTCAGTAAAACTCACGAAGTGCAACCTAAAACACCTCAAGATCTCCGTTAGTTCTTTCAGTCAATTGACTTTTACCTTATAAACATTTAGTTTGATAAAAATGATTGATATTGTCTTATCACTTATATATTCCAGCATACATTTCATACATTTCCAGCAAAAAGAAAAGATTTTGAGTTTCCAACAACATACTGATTCAAATTTTTTTACACATTATTCTCCAGCAGGTGCTTTACCAAGGTAGCTACTGTCTTCAAATCTTATTGAAAGCACTGTATTCATTGCTTTTTTTGTGCAAAATATGCAGGCCCATACAAAAAAGTTGAAGACTGTTCGACTTTACTCTGCACTCTCAGTATTGCAGTGTGTGTAAAATGCATGTGTTTAAATACCCTGAAAAAGATATATCCATTTGATTGTACATAATTCTATGTAACACACATTCAAAACCGTAACGTGGATTACAAAGTATTATTTTGTATTTGTATTTTCCTGTTCTTCTACTGACAAAGTTGTTTCATTCATAATAAGTCCCTGGAAACAAGAGATAGTGGAAAATTATTCACTGATTCAGTAGATGACATGGATCTAACTGTGAAGTGCTTCAGATACTATGCTGGGTGGGCTGATAAGATAACAGGAAAGACCATCTCTTCTGGTAAGTATTTTGTTCTTAGGAGTTGTCTGAATGGAACAGTTTTTCTTGGCTCTTTTTCTTTTAAGTTGACTTCAAACAAACTTCTTTTAAAATATGATTTTACCAAACTGTGGGACCCTCTCTTTTCAAATGCCATTATTATGTATTTAGCATCTTGAAGACAGAAAAAAACTGATTGAAAGTCAGTTGTGCTTCCCTATAGAGTAGGTTAAAGCTAGGTCTGATAACCCTATTGGCATGGATAGACTCTGGCAGCAATGTGTGTTTGTGGTATAGTAAGACTCTCATGTGAAAACATAAATATATTTTCTGCCACTCTGAAATGACTTCTGGGTAGTAACTTGAACTTCTACGGGCAGATGGTCCTTACTTTGTGTACACCAGACATGAACCTGTGGGTGTGGTTGGAGCTATTGTACCATGGAACTTCCCTCTTAACATGGCTTGCTTGAAGCTTGCTCCTGCTCTGGCTTGTGGTAATGTTGTTGTCCTTAAACCAGCTGAGCAAACTCCATTAACAGCACTCTATGTGGGGTCATTGTTTAAAGAGGTAAGCTTCAATCCCCTGCTGTGTAGGTAGAAGCAGTGCATTTTATTTTGAGCATTTAAGTTTTAGGAACAACATTGTCTGCTTAGGTCAACAGCAGCAAAGTTATTCAACTGCTGGGACAGTAACCAACAAGCAAAGCATTCTAATTTTTTGTTACCCTAACTAGAGTGCAAGAGTGACTAGTGACTAATTTCTCCTTAAAGTATCACCACTGAATCACACATTAAGGTCATGAGAATAAAGGAAATGATCACCAACTGAAGAAGCTCTTGAACCCTTTGACCCCTTAGAGTGACTAGCATCTTATTTCTCCTTACAATATCACACCCGAATCAAACATTAAGGTCATGAGAACAGTTGAAATTATTGCCAACTAATGGAGCTCTGGAAAGTTAAACAAGTTCTCTTAGTCAGTTATTTGACACAGTACAGAGAACAGTATGGAGAATATTTGCACTTATGTTAGGGTGTAATTAAACAGTTAATGAGATGTGAAAGAAGATGACTTTATCTTCTTACTGTGTTCTTGATTTATCTTTCAGGGTGAAGTTTTAAGTCAGTGAACCTTGTGATTGTGATTTTTTGTCTTAACTTGTTTTCTCAGGCTGGGTTTCCTCCTGGTGTTGTGAATATCATCTCTGGTTATGGTCCAACAGCAGGAGCGGCCATATCTGAACACATGGAAGTCAACAAAGTTTCATTTACAGGATCAACTGAGGTGTGCAAGCTGCTGATAATTTTTCAACACAAAAATTATATCTTATTATAAATAATGAATAATTATGAAATGATTCTTCAAGTGTTTTAGTTTGTGGCTCCTGTCCTTTATAAAGTTAGTGCATGAAGAAGTGAAATATATATTCAACAGTCCTAACAGCAGGACTGAGCTGTGCATGTAACTTTTGCCTCTCTTTAGGTGGGAAGGATTATACAAGCTGCTGCAGCAAAGTCCAACTTAAAGCGTGTGACACTGGAACTTGGAGGAAAGAGCCCAAATATAGTTTTTGCTGATAGTGATGTGGATTATGCAGTGGAACAGGCACACTCAGCATTGTTCTTTAACCAAGGACAGTGCTGCAGTGCTGGCAGCCGCACTTTTGTGCAAGACACCATTTATGATGAGTTTGTGAAAAAGAGTGTGGAAAGAGCTAAAAAACGTTCAGTTGGGGATCCATTTGATGATGTGATTGAGCAAGGACCGCAGGTGTGTAGGTTCTATAACCTTTTCATCCTTAAGATACAAATGTCAGTTCATCTTACTGTCTGCCATACATTTCCCATAATTTTACACATGATATATTGTTTCCAAATCACACAATTTCTTCTAGTTGAGATTTTTCTTTCTTCGTATTGCTGTTGTAGCAAGCATATCAGTAGATATAAAGAATTTGATTTCTTAACCAATGATCTCTGAAATTCATAAGAAAGTGTACTATAAATAACAATAATTTACTATGATGACATAAAGGTAAATGAAATTTAATGAAGAAAGGACAGAAGAATATACCTGCCACTGTTAGGATTTAAACTTGTACTCATATGTAATACACAAAAAGAACTAATTGGTGCAAAAAAATTTAAATGTGCTTGTGCTATGGGGAGACCTATTAGGAATTAAGCCTCTGAAAGGCACTTTATCAACTGTTGTACCTGACGATGTATCGATACTCTAGGGAGAAATTCCTTTTTTGTCAGTCCAGGGAATGAAAGTGTTTAGCACAATGCTTGTAAATTTGGTCAGTCATGTGGACTTTAAGTTAATTCTCTTCTTATGTAGATGTACCTTTATACATGCTAATATCAATATGCATATTCTCCATACTGTTATATACATTTCCAATGATACTGACAAGGAGAATTTGTTTAACAATCAAAAGCTTTTTGATCAGGAAGTCATACCCTGTATTCTCATATCCTTTCTGTTTTATTTAGTATTGATAATCATGAGAGAACTAAGATGCTACTAACTTGAAGAGGTTAAAGGTTGAACGTTATCTTTTGTTTTAATCATCTGGAATTTGGCTTTGAAAACATCACAGCTGTACTTGGAATTAATTATCAACACTTAGGTGTACAGTGTTATTCACATTCTGCTATCATTCACTAAAGGTAGGCTTTGTTTAGGTTGATGGAGAACAGTTCAATAAAATCCTTGATCTGATTGAGAGTGGAAAAAAAGAAGGAGCAAAGCTTGAGTGTGGAGGTGCTCGACATGGAGACAAAGGATATTTTATACAACCCACAGTCTTCTCAGATGTTAAAGATCACATGAGGATTGCCAAAGAAGAGGTTGTTAACTTTACAGCACCAACTTGTGGAATGATGAAACTAATTTGGACCTTTAATTAGTGCACTCATGTCTAATTTAAACTTAGCAAAGCTGCATAGTGTAAGGGTTTTCAAAATGAGCATGGATAAAAATAACAAGTATAGTTGATGTTGTTAATTCCACTTTTTAATAGGCTGGGGTTTGAATTTTATAATTTATAACAGATTATGATGATCAATCTAAGAAAAAGGAAGACTTTAAGTGGTTTAGATATGAATCTGCTTAACTAAAAAAAAAAAAAAAAAAAAAAAAAAAGATAAATTTTAACCTACAGCAAATCTGGCAAAGGAGAGAAGAGAAATTGTTGACTTATTTGATCAACTGACATTTCCTTTCTAGATATTTGGTCCTGTACAACAGATCATCAAATTCAGTGATATAAATGAAGTTATTGAGAGGGCAAATAAAACCACATATGGTCTGGCTGCAGCAGTGTTTACCAAAGATATAGACAAAGCAACAACAATTTCTCACAGCTTGCAAGCTGGAACAGTTTGGTTAGTAAAGATGAATGATTTGTTACCTAAGAATTGACACAAATAATAATAGATCCCCCATTTTATTTCAGAAATACATACTTTAAATGATACTTAATTTATTATTTATTATTTTGTTGTTGTTGTTGTTTTTTTGGTTTCAATTCAGGGTCAACTGCTATGAATGTGGGGCCCCACAAGCTCCTTTTGGAGGCTTCAAAATGTCTGGATTTGGCAGAGAAGGGTAATTATAGTTGAAGTAATTTAACAAAGATATGAGACACAATCTTTGTTTGACCTTTGTGTGATAACAGATGATGAAATTATCCTCACAAATAGAATGCAATCAAATAAAAAGAGCCTTTAAAAATTAAAGCTTTAATGGGGTTCAATCTATTGTCTCCCAGACTCCTACCAACTAAGCCACATAACCTTGTTATGGGGGCGAGGCAAGTTATAGTAGGTCTTTTGTTCCATATCCAGTAGCATGGTAAGTAAAAGTTCTTAACTGGCATTGAGGTTGGTGGGTAGGTCACCTCGAGTGACCTGCTGCCTAGCTAGATTGGAAAGGGGGTGCCCAGGGTTTCTGAGGACTTTCCCTATGTCCAGCCAGCCTCCAATGGGTGGCAGCTCTCACCAACTCAACCATGGGCCCTCATTTCAGGCACCTTAGATCAGTAAAAGGAAAAATCTAAAGTTGGACGTGGCAGGAAAATGCTTAAAACAACTGCTCCAAACCTCTCAGAACTGAAGACGGAGTTTGGGGGAGAGGGTTCTTCCTAATAATGAGCTAATGGAGGAAGTGCCACTGGATTGAATTTTCACAACTCCTTAATTTGACCATAATGGGTTTGCATTCTCAATAGAGTTAAGATGGGGTCTCTAATTGGCACGGAATAGACTATAAAGTAATAGGGTTCTGAGGTTCTGAGCACCTCCTTCCCCTTGGACTGAATATTAATTTGCCGTATAGTCTTGACCTCACACTGGAGCTTGTGCTTGTGAATGCCTGCTCAGCTGAGTGGTGGTTATTAAATTTGTTAAATTTTTATTTCACTATCTTAAACTTTTGCAGGGGTGAATATGGTCTCCTGCCCTACCTAGAAGTGAAAACGGTGAGCTGCACTATAAAAAAGCAATATCTTAGTAATTTTATAGCAAAAGGGGAAGAATCCTAGGTGGAAAATTCTCTCACTCCCTAGATCTTATCAGTAATTTTCTGTACTATCTGCCATACAATTCTTATGATGGTAGTTCAGAGAATTTGAGAATTAATTATACCCTAATTTTTTATTCTCATAACTTGACAACTTGATATTGTATTGATATGTAAGGAGAAGTTCTGTCTTTGTCACTGATGGGAGTTAATTGGTCACTGATGGGAGTTAAAGGGTTAATTTTGAGGGTGCTTGTTAAATAAAGGAAGATGGTACTTAATTGTTTTGTCTTGAGCAAAGAACACAAAAATGTGAATCTAAACTAAAGAATCAAACCGGTCCTTAGAACTGTCTAAATTCCACTCCAATTTACCAAAACCTTTCCCAGGAATTTTTTTAAACGTTTTTTTAAACTATGGTCGAGAGGTTGGTTTAGACGTGACATGAAAAAAGCATGATAGGGTTCTATGTAGCCAAGTGGTGGAGCATTGGACCGTGATGGGTTCAGAGGATTTTGGTTGTGTCACAATAACATTTACCTGATCCCCACATAAGGCTCTGTCTTATTCTTACGATCCCTTCTTATTGGCGGTCGATTTTCTATGGTCCCCCTCTTACCTCTGTCAGTGACAACTGACCCCCCCCCCATCTCCATTTCGCCTCAAAACCATGTGATCCCCCAAAATCCTTCAGACCCTTCCCCCCCTCCCTAACAGATAAATGCCTGGTTCCTGAAGAATACTTAGGGTAGTTTAGAACCGTGATTATGTTCACCTTGATGTCTTTTTTTTTTTTTCTTATAGGTTACAATGAAAGTACCATCCAAGAATTCATAGCTGCCGTCAGACGGACTCAACAGATGAAAATTAGAAAAATTCTAAATTACTGTGTAAACAAGGAAAAAGAGAATTAGAGTCATAACAGATTTGATCATCATCTGACAGAGGGATCAATTATGTTTAAGAATAGTTTTAAATTATTTTCGTACTTTCCAGAGTCACACCTGATATAATAAAAGATTTATAGTAAGGATAATGTTCTTTTTTTCATTCTGTTTTTTTGCTCTCTCAACTCCGTCTTTCTTTTCATACTTGTTTTTAAACGTGTAATTTGACGCTGTTTCCTTTTCCCAACAAATCTTTTGTCGGTGAGTAGACTACTGATGTTGGCAAAATGACCAGTTGCCCCTTCAGCATATTGCCCTTTTCAGATTTCTGCTGTTTGTCACTTTTAAGGGCACGCAAAACCACCATCTGAGCAGGCTCAGTCATTTGTACAGAAAGGATGATCTACCTGCGAAAATCTATCCCTTGCATTGTTTGTACTTTCCTTAGTGTATAAATCAAGTAATTGATTAATACATATTTTCTCTAATGTGTTCTCATTGTTCACGGGTATGTTGGGAGAACTCGCATAATGACTAGATCCCAGCTGCCTTCTTCTGTTGGTTAAAGCGCTGTGGAGGGGTTCAGGGGGGTGGGGGAGGGCAGGAAGCGGGAGAACGGGGGCGGGAAGCGGGACAGAATTATAGAAGGCGATAGTTTGTTGTTTATTACTGGGTATTATTCAATCAAAAATACTTATCTTACCGCATTTTCGGTTCCAGATTTTACATTTTGTGATTGCATATTAAGGTATAACTTTTTTGATGAAGCACAAAACAAAACCATACTTAAAAAGGTTTGAATTTTGGAAGTCTCGAGTTTTCCATTTCTCTACTTTTGCTTCCTTTAACAGATTCCTAAGAACGTTTTAATATTTTTCGCATTTTTTGCATGACGTACAGCCGTTTCCTTTAAAATTTTGCGCGGGAAACTTACCCATCAGCTGGCCGAAAGTGATCACCGTGCGCATGCCCGTCGTTACGTCTAACTGCAACTTAACGCTTAACCTGAGGAAGCGTCTGCGAGAGCTCGCTGGATACTTTGGCGAGAAGAAAGATGCCTAAACCCATAAGGAATCCAGAAATCAAGTTCAAAAAGGTAGATCAGAGCATAAAGGAGGTTTTTGCGCCGATATATCTTTAAAGATTTTGTCGTCTCAAAACCTGGAAAACATCAAAAAATTATCTTGCAAAGATTTAACTTATGCCAACCTTTCTCCGTATGAGAATAAATATCTAAGATTTGCGGTGGCGAGAAAGATATGCATCTTACTACTTTATCTCGTATTTTTAGGAGTGATGACTCCTCAAAGACATTTTCAAGACCATATTCAAATAGCAATTACAGGAGCATGCAATTAGCGTTTTTCCTAGGTCAATAAGCAGTGGAAGAAGTTTCCACGTGGTTAACAGTCAACAATTTGTTAACATCGAAGACAATTTTGAATTTTAGACCGCACTACCTAAGTACCTTAATGAAATAGGCGATTGTTTTGATTTATTCAATAATTCATGCACAACCCTTCACCTCCCAAGATCTCACTAGCAATTCTCCTCACTGTCTGCCATATAATTCTCGTGATATTAGTATGGAGAATTTGGTATTGGATCAACTAATTATCCTCTAATTAAGATTGTTCTTTATTCTCGTCACATGTCTGCTTGGTATTGTATCAAAATTGTAAGGAGAAATTCTGTCTTGGTCACTCATGGGAGTTAAAGGATTAAGAATGTCAAGGAGAATCTTTTGGACACTGTTTTCTAAAGTGTTCAGGAAAAATTTATTTTAAAATTCAGTTTTGAAGGGCATTGAAAGAACCTTGAGAGTTTGTTTTGAGTTTTATGATTTACAAGCGAGTACTATGTATTTTGAGTTGGGATTTTTTTTTAGTGGGGGAGAGAGGGGATGTCAAGGCGAAGAATGGTAGGGTTAGGGGGTATGGATGTGTTGAACATGTTTGAGCAAAAGATTCAAAGGCTAAATAAGAAACAACATAGAAAAGTTTATTTTGGAAATGATTATCATTTTCATGGGATGGTAGTGTAATTGACTAGATACTTTGTTTTGTTTTTCTTACAGCTTTTTATCAATAATGAGTATGTGGACTCAGTCAGTGGGAAAACCTTTCCGACTCTCAATCCAGTGACAGAGGAAAAGATATGTGAGGTAGCTGAGGGTGACAAAGTAAGCTTATAAGCATACAGATGTTGCTATAAGTTCCTTAGAAAACCATGCTGGAGGCAGAATTGAAGCAAGTCTCAAATAGATCCCTTTTTACGGAATGCATGGCTTGCTGAATTGATAAGAGAAATCAAATTATGTGTCCTAATTGGCTAAGAGAGTGGGCAAAACTGCCAACTTTGATCCTGTAAAATTGAAAATGTGCTTATTGCTAGTTTGCATTCTCCACAACTTTATTTTTTTTCTAAATATCTATATTTTTTATACACTAATTACACTTAGTCTGATACTTTAAATTACATTACTGTACATTACATTGAGTTATTATGTTATATGCTACTTGATTACACTATAATTATACTTAGTCTAATTAAATCTACTTACATTGTATCACTAATGCCACTTATGGTTACAATTTTTACCTTATCTTGCAAACAGGTGACAAGATTATAAATATTTTCAGCTAAGGGTGTTATCTCCAGTTGATATAACACCAAATCCTCTTGAATTCTGTACTAGGAAATGTTCAGCCTTAAGAGGAAATTAAGAATTCCATAACTTTGGAGCTAAGGAACAAGCTCAACTTTACTAATATATAATTGAATGTTTTATTTTACATTTAAATCTTTTTTCATTGCCCTGAATCTGGGATTCAAATGAAAAGTGACATGAGTACAGAATCTAATTTTCATAATAGATTCTTGGGTTCCATCTTGTATTTCAAGGTGTATAGTGGGTATATCCTTGCCATATGTAACTGTTTCAGGCTGATATTGATAAAGCAGTCAAAGCTGCCACTGAAGCTTTTAAATTGGGCAGTCCTTGGAGGACCATGGATGCTTCCAAGAGAGGCCAACTCTTATACAAAATGGCAGACCTCATTGAGAGAGACTTGGACTATCTTGCAGTAAGTAAAATAATATCGCTGAGCAGCATCTGTCATTGTGATACATAAATAGTCTTTTTTTTTTAAATTAAGCCTTCTTTACCCCTAAGAGTACTTAACGTCTAATTTATCCTTAAACAGTCAGCCCTGAATTAAACATTTAGATCACAAAAATGAAGGAAATGATCACCTTAGAACTAAGGAAGTACTTTATTGTTAAACAAATCCTCCTTGCCAAGACTGTAGGAAATGTATGGTGAACAGTATGGAGAATATATGTATTGATGTTAGAATGTAAAGGCCCAAAGGACTGTATCCATGAGAATTGGAGCCTAGCTCAGTTTCAATAGAGTAAGCCAACTGAGAGTATAGTTACACTTATCTTTGATTGAATACTTATTTGTTACCAAGAAACTATCACCCAGTATTTTTCAACTTTCCTTTGGAGTTTGTTGGTAGTCATTTACACCTTTTGGTAGAGAGAGGCACTCAGATAATTTAGTTATTACTCGTTTGTGAGGGATTTACTAGTAAGTAGTCTTATTGTGGACCTCTTACCCTCTGAAGCATTAATTCCTGTCCCTTTAAGATTTGACAGAGATAATAAGACTACATTGTACAGTATGATTGGATGATTGGATGTCACTTTTCAGTAATTTGTTTAAAATTGAAATGACTGATGCATTTTGAATTTTTTATTCATTCATTTATAGTCCCTGGAGACAATTGACAGTGGAAAATTATTTGCCGATTCAGTAGATGACATGGAATTTACTGTAAAATGCTTCAGATACTATGCTGGATGGGCCGACAAGATAACAGGAAAGACTATATCTTCTGGTTAGTAAGCAGGTGGAAAAAACTATTAAAACTATATATGATAAATTTTGCTTCCTAACTTGTATGCCCTTGTTTCAGTATAACGTGCTACTACAAAGCCATAAATACTACCCTTTATAGCTACCATTTAGACAAGAATATTACTATATATGTGGTGCAATCTTTTTACCCTCTAAAACTTAGTAGGTCTCTGTCATCAAAGCTATAAACATTTCCATATTGATAAGTTATGGTACATGTAATTTGATGTTACATCTAGGTAATACTTTAGGGCCAGCTGATAAATTTGTGCAATTACCTGAGTTTTTTGGTGAAGGTGTTTGAATAGTCCAGTTTACAGTTGCATGCTTGGTTGCCAAGCCTTTGAACAGAAGTGAGGCTAAGGGTGACCTTGCCATGATACAAACCCTACTGCCTTTCAAATGTAAATTAGTTTGTTATAATACTAAATAGGTACTGGTCTATATCACAAGAAGGTCACCTTCAACCTCACTCCAAATCAAAGGCTTGGAAAGTAAGTACACAACTGTAAAATGGCCTGTTGTGAGAAGAACATTCTGTAAGTGAAGAGTATAGTGTAACATGTTGGTACCTTTTGGATTTAAGTTGTCAGTGATAAAAAGCAGTTAGTAGCAGTGAACACCTTACTGCATTGAGACATGTAAGCAAGTAGTTACAGTGTTGCAGACAAGTGAAACCAGCCCCACCCATTGGCTTCATTTATTTTTCCTATATATGCAGATGGTCCTTACTTTGTGTACACCAGACATGAACCTGTGGGTGTGGTTGGAGCTATTGTACCATGGAATTTCCCTCTTAATATAGCATGTTTAAAGCTTTCTGCAGCTCTGGCTTGTGGCAATGTTGTAGTAGTTAAACCAGCTGAACAGACTCCCTTAACAGCGCTGTATGTGGGTTCCTTGTTTAAAGAGGTAAGTTTAAGAGGGTATGTAGTAGATTGTTTACAGCAGACAGCAATGATTGGTAAGGCTTGATTCCTACAAACCACACCACTATCACAAAAATGATTATGGATATAATCATAGTCAGAAGATTGTGTTGATCAACCCTTTGCCCCCTAAATATGGTATTCACATTCTCAATACTGTTCTCCTTACATTTCATGTGGTACTGACTGGGAGAATTTGTTTGACAATCAGTAGTTTCATAACTTGGTGATCATTTTCTTTATTGGATTTAAGGGTGATACTGTAAAGAGAAAGGAGAAGCCAGACACTTAAGGGATAATTTGGGTCAACAGTGTTCATGTAGAGGGAACACATGCAAGGCTTGTAAAAACTCTTTGACCCATGTAGGAGCCATCATAGAATATCGTGAGGTGCAATTTACTGGAACTAGAGAGTTCATCAGACAGATGATAATGCACAAACTTATGTCTTTGTCATTGTGCATATGTTTGCTAGATTTTGTGTTCCCACAATAAACTAAGTTGGGTTTACTTAATAATAGTGAACATGCAATCGCTAACAAAAGAAATGCTTTGATCATACCTAGCCATATTCCCAAATTTTACAACAGCATGTCTGACTTAAACCTTCTTCTGAAAATTGCTTTGTTTTATAAGAGTAGAATAACTTGTTGATACCTAAAGTTGTGCCAGTTGGCAGCTGGTGAACATTTTGATGTGTGTCATGCAAAAAATATTTGAAGGCTTATAAACTCAAGATAGCCTCTATTTGGCAAAAAAAAATAGATGCTTGTAAATTTGTCCTTGCTTGGACATAACTAGACAAGTGTTTTCTTTGCCTCTTAAGACAGATGATGTTGGCAGAAAATATCTACAATATTTATATTTTCATATTCTCAATTGACGCTGTTTGATTTTCAACACTATTTTAGGCAGGATTTCCTCCTGGTGTTGTGAATATCATCTCTGGTTATGGTCCAACAGCAGGAGCAGCAATTTCTGAACACATGGACATCAACAAAGTTTCATTCACAGGATCAACAGAGGTGATCAAGAGTTGCATGTTCTGATGGTTTTCCAGACATCCCTCAAAATGGGGTAAAATCTGTACAATCCATAAACCTGTTTGAATGCCGAAGGAACAATACAAGTGCAATTTGACTCAAAAATTCCCAAAGCCATGTTATTTCTGTATGCGCAACCAAACATACTATGTTTTTTAAAATTTAAATCGTTCAAATTAACTAAAGAGTGTGCACCTGCAATTGAACAATAAAAATGAAACAAAGTCTGTAATTGTGTGTGCACCAGGGTATAAGTGCCAACTGATTTCTTTTAAAGTTTATCATCAATTCCATAAATGCAGGAAAGGTCACAACAATACATTTAAAAAAATTTGAAAAACAATCAGGATGATCAGAACCATTTTAAACATTAAGTTATTTCCGTAGTGAACCCTGGAGTTATTGTCTTTATTACGAGTAACCTCTGGCCTTGTGAGTGTGATATTGTCAGCTTGACCTCACCATGATTGTTAAGTAACATCTGATTATTTACTTTGCACACCACTAAATCTTTTCCTTCCTTTTTTTAATCAAGGTTGGAAGGTTAATACAAGCAGCTGCTGCAAACTCCAATTTAAAGCGTGTAACACTGGAACTAGGGGGAAAGAGTCCAAATATAGTTTTTGCTGATACTGAGAGTATTGATGTTGCAGTGGAGCAGGCACACTCTGCACTGTTCTTTAACCAAGGACAATGCTGCAGTGCTGGCAGTCGCACTTTTGTGCAAGACACCATTTATGATGAGTTTGTAAAAAAGAGTGTGGAAAGAGCTCAAAACCGCACAGTTGGTGATCCTTTTGGTGGTGAAATCCAACAAGGACCACAGGTGTGGGATTACTTCTTCTTTTGACGTACTTGTTAGATGGTGTCACTTCTGTGATACTCATACAGCTCTTTTAAAAAGGAAATCATTGCTTCTTGGGTATTACCCCTCCCCAGTTCATACAAGGAGGTGGAAGGAATATCCAAGGAACAAAGCTATTATGTGTCTGCAATGCTGCAAGTTCAATTTCATCTGTGATAGACTTGTAGTTCTTTTAAAACAGACATCATTGCTACTTGGGAATTACCCCTCCCCAGCCCATACAAAGAGATCATTGTTCTGGGGGCTGGGTTGAAGGAATATCCAAGGAACAAAGCTGCTATGTGTCTGCAATGCTCCATGTATGTTCAATTTCTTAATTGTCAGTGTTTGGAGACCTAAAATACTCTAATTAGAAAATGGCTGCCTCAGGAAGAATTTGAATTTGGTAGCCAGTGAAAAAAGTAGGATTACAAGTTTCAAAGCTGACTATCCTGCGTGTTTTTAAAAAGAATTGTCCAGAAGAAATGGCTGCCCAAACTATTGAAATATCTTGATAGCACTGGAGGTGCATGTGACTTGTGGAGGTTTGTTTCTTGGAATGTCTCAAGGACTGAAGAATTCCAACTCCAGATATTGATAACACAACCAAGTGTCTAATTCAGGAGATATCTTTTCAAGAGAGGGGTGTCTTTGTTTGTTTGCATAAACTTATCTATTGGAAATAGAAATTGTTCCAAAATGTTATCCATTCTTGTATGAAAATCTCAGCCTTGCACCTGACCCCTTCCTCACGATTAACTATTCACAAAATGGCAAAAAGAAGCAAATATCTTAGACCACCATGTGGTTATGATAATTATTAATATCCCATTTATTTATTTTCTTGAATATAGTACAAATTTATTACCAACAGGCAAAATGGCATTTTGTTAGGTAGGAATTTTAGTATACACAAAGTTATGTTATTCCACTTTAGATTGATAAAGAACAGTTTGATAAAATCCTTGATCTGATTGCAAGTGGAAAAAAGGAAGGAGCAAAGCTTGAGTGTGGAGGTGCTCGACATGGAGACAAAGGATATTTTATACAACCTACAGTCTTCTCAAATGTTAAAGATCACATGAGGATTGCCAAAGAAGAGGTATTTATTCAATACTACTTTCATATTATATTCCATCTTTGACTAAATTAGAAATTATGTTGTGATAATCTTGGTTTCCAACAATGCAAGTTTTGTCAATTTAAGTTGAAGTGAATTTGACATTTAATGTAGCTTTAATTGTGTACTATTGGTATCTTAGATATTTGGTCCAGTACAACAGATCATCAAATTCAGTGATGTAAATGAGGTAATTGAAAGGGCAAACAACACAACCTATGGCCTGGCTGCTGCTGTATTTACCAAAGATATAGACAAAGCAACAACACTTTCTCACAGCTTACAAGCTGGAACAGTTTGGTGAGGAAATGAAACGTTATGGTTGTACATGTATTTTACGACAATTAATGTATCTTGTAGATGTGTTAAATTTGTTTTTGTTGGGTGTTAATAACGGTAGTAATGGTTAATAATGTATTATACCACATGTTTCTTGTCTGATTATGGTGCTCTGTAATTTATTACACTTGATTTTGGCCATAGATCGTGGTTCAGATTCCTAGGGGAATTATTAGCCCCAGGCCTTCATGCTGTGTTGGATAGCAGTTGACTGACATTTGGTTGACATGTAATCATTTTATTTTGTATGTTCAATGTTTCCAGTTTCTTCTTATAACCCTTGTGCATTTGGTTGGTGTTTTTATTTTTTCAGCACCCAGTCCTCCCTCTCACTCCTTCCTTTCTTTTACAATGAACCTTGTTCTGACCTCTCTCTAAACCTTTCCTTGAACTTTCAAGAGCTCCTTGTTTCCTCATTTAAATACCAGTTCCAATAGATTCACTGTCTTGTTTGTTTTTTATGTTGTGCAAGATTGGTATAGTGGGGGATCATGTGTAAAACTTTATGTACAACACATACTTGTCTATGTTTTGGAAAGATTTGTTTGGTTCAGGAGTTTGGTTGAAGAAGAACCTTGTTTCATTAGCAGTAACTTTACCAGACGAGTACACAGTTGTGGTTTGCCTGATATCAACTCATGTACAGTGTACAATGGTTGACCCCTTAAACCCCAACATCAATATATAATATTATATTCTGCACACAGTTATTCGTACATTTCCTAAGGTGCTGACAAGGAGAACTTGTTTAACAATCAGCAGCTTCTTTAGTTAGTGATCTAACTTTTCCTTTATTCTCATGTGACCTTAATGTTTGATTCAGGGATGATATTGTAAGGAGAAATTAGATGCTAGTCACTCTCAGGGGTCAAAGGGTTCAAGAGCTTCTTCAGTTGGTGATCATTTCCTTTATTCTCATGACCTCAAAGTTTGACTCAGGGTGATATTGTAAGGAGAAATAAGATGCTAGTCACTCTAAGGGGTCAAAGCGGTAAAAAGGTTTGTTTCCATGAACTTCATATATATATATTTTTTCAGGGTCAACTGTTATGATTGTGGGGCGCCTCAAGCCCCCTTTGGAGGATTCAAGATGTCTGGCTTTGGCCGAGAATGGTAATTACAATCTTTGCTCATGTAGATGCAACTCTGACTAGAAGTAATATATCTCCTTAATGTCAAGCTGAAGCTTTTCCTTAAAATCTGTTCAGAGCTTATAATTAGGAATTGTGGATCAAAAGTATTTCGAAGTGCAATTGCACCACCAGAATCAACCAAGATGTACACTGAGCAGGGAAGTTAATGATGATATATTTTAATCACTTCTTGTCCTCTCAGAGATTAATTAAGTTTGGGTATTTGTGGAGTTCTTCAAAAGATGGTTCATATGTTTGTTTGTAAAGCCATTTCTTGCTGACTTAATTGTGCTTTAAAGTTCATTTACTTGTTATGAATATAATAATTATACAAGGAGTGGGGTGACTTTTGATGCAAGCTTGACTTCTCCCTTTGTTCCACCCCCCAAAAAAAAAAAAAAAAAAAAAAGCACAAGTAAGGAGAATCTAGCAGTCAAGCTGAAATTGTTGTAAAAGGCTCTTCTCCATGTAACCATTCATTTAATAAATTGTTCCACCATGACCTGTGTGTGTGTGTGTTTCTTTTTCAGGGGTGAATATGGTCTCTTACCCTTCTTGGAAGTGAAAACAGTAAGTATTGGTTGCTATTTTTTCCAATGAACCTTTTGATTATATACTCTGATTTTCCTGATTGTGAGTCACTCAACAGAGGCTGATGACTCAGAGATATTTTCTTTGTATTTGTAAGTTGACACTTCTTAACCTTTCCATATACTGTATGAAAGATTGGAAAACATAAAAAACTTCACTTTACTGTGTTTACTTATTGCTCTTTTCCTGTGTAGGTTACCATGAAGGTCCCTTCAAAGAACTCGTAAATGATACAAGGAAATGTGAATCCACAGACAACAGATGTGTATTGTAGCTTTACAGCTGGTATGTACCGGCAGTTTGGTTCTTAAGGGTGTTGAAAAATCTTAGGAAATTAGGACCTTTGCAATGTTAGAATGAAAATAATAAATTATCTGTAGAGTTTCTTAACAATGGTGTGATGTGAGTCCCAGGTGCATGTTTGGGGCACTGGTATTACCAAAATGGTCGGAAATTGAGCCTATGTATCCCCTGATGAGGAAAAAATCATTTGTGTGGAGCAATGCTTGTTTTCCAGTGCCAGCTAGATCTTTGCAAATAATTGAAATGCAAGTGTACTTTTAAAACATTATTAAGCTATTTTTCCCTCATATAATACAAGTGTTCTTGATGTACACGGTACATAGCACTTGCTGCTGCACTATCCATTGTGTGTCCATTAAGTCTTATGATTGTTATGAAAAATCTTTGAATTTTGAAAACAATGAGAGAAGCCTACACTGCAATGCATTTGGAGTTTTAAAAATAATAACATCAGATATGGCAATATATTTTGCAAAATCCTTTCAGTTATTCAAGCCAGGTCAGCCATGTTTTATCATCTTCTCACTTTTTTTACAAGTCAAAATATATCTATGATGGCAAATATTTTATTTGTTATTAGAGTTCCATAAAAAAAGTCACTATAGCCTTCATTTTCTTAGGGCTTGGGTTGTGGTGAAGGACAGGGAATTGGACCTTAATCGAAAACAAATGCTCTTAACCCTTTACATCTTAACATCCAAGTCACAAGATTTTCCCTTGTATTTTAGTTGAAGAAAAACGTTTCTCACAATAATCAAGAGGGTTTTTCTTTCCTTTTGTGCCTGATCTCTATGCATTCGCAAGCAAATAAAGAAGACACTTTGACATGTTCATGATACTTTCAATTCAACATATTTTTCTCACACTCAATTGACCCCATAAGATGAATTAAAATTTTTGAGGGAAGTATACATGTACTAGCTGTTTGCATCAAATTCTGGTTCTGTGTTGGCTATCAGATTAAGTCCTGGCCTAGTCTAAATTTCTTTGTCTGGGTTTAGGACTCAGCCAAACTCAAACAGCTTTGAATTTTTTTTACCTCATAAACCTCAAAGCCTATTAAAATTGGTTGGATACATGTGCCATATTTGTTTCAAGAATTGGAGAATCTTTTCTCATTCGCAACGATTTTAATTGGACATGTCCTGCACCAGATTTCTGGTCACTCAGAACTGTTTTAATGAGTGATAAGTTCCATGTCTCCTGTCACCTAACATGAAAACACCTTTGAGTAGGAAAATGGTCGATGCACGCACGTTTTTATGAGAAATTGCTGGAAAATTTTAATATGGGTACAGGCGATTGATTGCTTTTCGTTTAATTAGTTAATTTTCGTCTCTAAATGTCTATCTCGGTAGCGTGGCCGAGTGGTCTAAGGCGCTGGTTTAAGGCACCAGTCTCTTCGGAGGCGTGGGTTCGAATCCCACCGCTGCCAAGAATTTTTCTCTTTTAGTCTTTCTTTTTTTTAACATAGTAAAAAAATAAAAAAAATTAATAAAATTCTTTTAGCACAACCCTTTTTGAAGGTCTCTTTTGGATGGCATTGGTTTAAACGGTAAGTAGGGGAAGTACCCAGCCCGGTAGCATCATAGCCTAATAGAGAAGTTTGTAAAATACGACAGCAAATGATTTCACATATTGAATTGCGAATGATTTGTGGTACAAGAACTCTTCGCTTAGTTTAGCCCTCATGTTGTTGCAAATAATGGACCATCACTCTTTTTCGTACTAAACTGATATCTCTGAAAGCTACTACTCTATGAGTGTCTCCCGAGATAGAGATAGGTGGAGTATCCAGCACGGTTAGCATCATAGCTTAGTAGAGAAGTTTGTAAAATACGATAGCAAATAATTTCACACACTGAATTGCGAATGATTTGTGGTACAAGAACTCTTCGCTTAGCCTAGCCCTCACGTTGTTGCAAATAATGGATCATCACACTTTTTCGTATACTAAACTGATAGCTCTGAAAGCTACTACTCCACGAGTGTCTTCCGAGACCGGATCGGATCCGTTTTTGCTAAGGAATCAAAGTCATGTCACACCGCTTTCTCAAAAAAACGAGAAGAGTATAAGTATTTAAATTACCTAAAAAACCTTTCGTATTCGTGGTATTTGAAGCAGTCACGCGCATCGGATTCATAACATACCGCATCGGAGAAATTAAAGAGAACTCAGGAGGTTGTGATGGCGGGGAGAGGTGGTATACTCTTATGTGAAATCAGTAGTGATCTCGTTGGCTCCGTTTTACGTCTTCACGCCGCGTCCCTGCTTCACGTTAAAAATAAGTTATTTTGTCAACCTTTCTCCCAGACTCCTCTCTTTGGCAGTCCCCCGTACAATGGCATCCTTGTTGTTCAGGGGGTATGGAAGTGGGAGGTGTTAAGGGCATTTTATTCCCAGATTAAAGAGTTAACACGATGGAGTTTGTCAAAAAAATTCAAAGAGTTTAAAGAGGCTTGAAATAACTTCAAAAAGACGATTCATTAATGGTTTGCTTTTTATTGTGCAAGGTTAGGCCCACTGAAAGGACACAGCCATTAATTTTAAACAATGGGAATAGCAGCAGCAGTACTCTAATCATTATATTATGCTTATGACAATCATGCTTCAGCTGATCATTGCTTCTTGCAACAATGATAATCATTCAATTTCAGTTGCATCAGCTCTTTGTCTCCACTCATTGAAACCTCCCTGAGAGGAAGAAAAACAAACAAACAAAAATAAATGGTTGAAGAATTCGTCAACCTCCTATAAAGAGGAGAATATTATATGACACAGCATTTAAAAGCCACTAGCATCACTACCACTATTTGGAAGATCTACTGAATCTAATAATGTCATAATATCAAATAAAAATTAAAAATATCAATTTTACATGATAAAGTGCAACATCAGGACATCCGCAGAGATGTGCAGTGAGAACCAAAGAACAAGAAGACATGCCACCAATACACATGCCTATGATTGGTTTGCTGAGATCAATTCCTGCATCAGAGTAAACTGAAAGGCAATAAAATTTATTCACACATGTCAATAAAGTTGTTTTGTATTACCTAATTGTAAACTAAGATATCACACAAGGTTATTTTCTTGATAGAAGTAAATAATTTATGATGGCTAGATATATCTTTATAATGTGTACAGAATCGATAATCTATTAAATATTACTTTAAAATAAGACAGATCAAGCATTTCAACACTGAATTTCATCTGTTTTACTCATTTCAAGGGTAACTTATTACCTTTCTTTAACTCATCAACACTTTTTAGAGTCTTGGTTTCAGCATTAAACAAGTTTGGAAATGGAATATTTACTGCACCAGGATAGTGGCCTGTGCTTGGATCTACATGTAGGAGAGAAAGTGATTTGAAAATGAAACTAATTTTAATTAATGTAATGCACAATATACAGTTTTTTCAACAACAATTAAACCAAAGTTCAGAGCCTATCTCTCATACAAACATACATTGGTGATAATATTGATAGTAAAGATATTACTTATAGAAAAAAAAGCTGATTTAGTTTATAGATACAAAGGCTAATTTGAAAAGTTCTGAAAGTAGTAAACCCCAAGATTCAAAAAGCCAGTATAGACTATTTCATCACTTCAACATATCTACTGTAGATTGTTCCTTACCACTGGCTGAACGATTGAACAAATTTGGTCCACGACTATCGCAAACTTGTGCTTTTCTTGACTTCAGGTTTTCCTTCATGTCTTCAAACTTCCTTATCCATTTTGGGTTCCACTTTGCTGTAAAGTCACCATCCTACATAAACAGATCAAATGTTACCTATGAGCTTTGGCTACTCTTTGCTAGCACATTTAATGTAGTTTTATATTTCATTTCAATTAATAATGTCTGGTTACACCTCCAAGGGGTCATTAGGCATCATACACATTCGTTCTCATCATCATCATCATTTATCAGCCACTTCAGAAGTAATATTCATACAAATTCAACATCATAGTAGGGCAAGGAGGTCTCCAAGAAATCACCAGGCTTGTTGGAAATTAAGGCCATTTCCTTGGCTGTTATTATGGAAAAGCTGCTTGAGGATTATGCACTGCAGCTTGGTCAATTCAGACTAATTTCATTAAAACTTCAACAGTCTTTTTTCAAATGTAGTGAAGCTTTGCCAGTGTGATCTACAACAAATGAAGAGGGTGTGGCACAACATTTCATAACCTTCACACTACGCCACGCACACTTGTATTTACATTCCAGAGTTCAAGGTAAAAGTTTTTGAGCTTCAGTATGCGCCTTGGGTTCTGTAGTTGATCTGAATCACCAGTAAGTTTATTTAAGTATATCATCATTTGCTTCAATTTGGTGAGGCCTAGCTTCCCAGCAAAGCAAGCATCAATGAGTACAGCATACTCTTGGAGGAAATTGATTAACTGTTGCTATTAACTGTTGTAACCAACTGTTGTGATTACTTTGGTTTTGGTTTTACAACATAAAAAAGCACTCTGCACTTGACTAATTGTATTGTGATTAGCTTATGAAATCTCACTATTTGTTTATATTACATTTAAAAGGTTCTACCATGGATCACTGGGGTTCTTCTCTAACCAAAACTGTTAAGACCAGATTAAAAGCATTCAAAACCTTTTATTTACAAAATTTAGATGTTCATAATCATGTCAAGAAAAGACAATCAGTCTCTAGGATCAAGAAAAATTTAATTACCCCTTTCTGCACCACTGCATCTGTTGTTTCAAAACCATCACCAATCCATCTTTTCAAACCTCCATCTAATACTGAGACATTTTCATGTCCAAAGAGCTGTGAAGGTAAAATAAAAATGACTTGATTGTAAAAAGGCACAAATTTAGCAGGGTCCTGTTTTAGTTTTGTGGAGTATAGTTAGCTCCAACGCAAGGGTTGTCACTAAAAGCTTATGGGAAGCAGAAACCCATTAGCTGTCAGACAATTTTTCACCAGCTTCTTTGAGAAGTGTAATCAAAGACAAAATATTTACTTTTGAAATGATTCTAATGTCAATGTCTGAGTACAAAATGTTACTGAAATATGCTCCAGAAAGCTGGAAATCATGTCTCAGAGAGTCTTAAATTTCAAAATTTTCTGGAAAAGCATGTCCACAGACCCCATAGAAGGGCGTGTTGCTATTAACAACCCTGAGCTCCAAGAGATACAGAGGGAATATTATTACCTTGAACATCCACCAAGCTCTTCCACCCATGAAGAACCCAAAGTTTCCAGTGTTGTCATAGACTACAACATGATCATCTTTATTCACTGCGCTGCCTCTTGCATTCATTTGAAATGTATCAACATCAGGAATATTTCGTGGATACAGTGGTGTATTTTCCACTCCACGGAACATGTTCATATATGAAGCATTTGCAATATGTTGCCTGGAAAATGCCAAGATCAGATAATGTGTATTAACTATTCTACATAATTTCAACTTTAACCACTTTTGACTACTATCCACCACTACTGAGCACCATTTCGTTGAATGAATTTTACCAGAATAATGCTAATTATTCACAACTAAATAATCTTTAAAAAAAGTCACAAATCCACCCGTTCGACAAAAGAAACTATGTAAATCGAGTATATTGCAACTTCAGTGGCAGTTCTTCATATTATCGTGCCAACCATTTTTCGATTGCCAACGCTGGCTAGATCGGGGCAAAGTTTCGCAGACCCGTCACCGGTCACCAGTTGGTTCGCTCCAGTCTTTCCTCGATCTTACAATTATAGACTTCGTGTAGTCCCTCCTTTCCGGCGAAGTTTCCAAAAAAAAAAAATAAGTGAAAGAAAAGTCGATGTTGGCGCGCCGCGGGAAGGTCTTGAAAAGAAGGACCCCTTCTTTTCGGGCTCCTTTCTCCATAAGTTCCACGCGTTATTTTGTTTTCAATGATTTTTTTTTCGGCTCGCATGACGGAATTGTCAGAAAAGGAGGGATTACTCGTCACGGTCTATTACAAGTACGCCCTCTGCCTTCGGTTACACCCAATTGAGAAAAAAAATCTGACGCCTGAAAATCAGTGGATGTGTCGGTAGTCCCTATTTATCAATCACTTTACTCTAAAGAACACCCCGCGAACGCTAACATCATTCTTTTTCTTCACTTAAATAAATCATATCTTTACAGGAGGGACTGGTCATAGTCGGGTAGTTTGATTAAAGGGATTGTCATACCCAATAGACTTCATGCGCAACGGTCAACAATTTTCAGAGAGGTCGTCTAATGTAACCAAACTAATTTTATAATCTTGTGGAATTTCTAAACAACCATCGATTATTCTCAATAGGTATGAATGAGGTTTTTTACCACAATTGAGAGTAATTTCGCAACGTGAGTAGCAAATTCGCCGTTGTCGATAAGAGTACAGACAACAATGCTCACGTCAACATGTCACGCTATAGTTACGCACTGGTTGATGTCGACACTGTGGCAAAAACAAATCGAATGTGGTTTTGCGTAGTTTGCACTCTTATGGAAAACGATATTCGTCGTCACATTGGTCCACTTCCACAACAAATTTTGACCACTGTGATAACGAATATTGTTGTCGATGCGAGTATACACTACGCTACTCGGCCATTGTCGATGTGGTAAGAATCAACTTTAATCCATTTAAGAGCGTCCTAGCCGTCGCCCATTTAGCTAAGCCATTTCAAAACGGCAAAATTTCTAGTTAGGTCGTCGAATTTGAAGTTTTCAATAAGACTTATGCAACAATATACTACTCTCTGCAAAGATCATTGAATATTTTGATTTCTTAGACACCTTACTTTGAATAATCACTGGAAGCATCTTTGTCAGGAAACCACGTAGCGTCTAAAACTGACAAATGTTCCTTGGTGCTTTCTTGGCTTTTTTTAAGCCATTCTGTGGATACCGCAGGCTGGCTCATTTCCGAAGACAGAGATGAGATAAGATAAACAAGTTTTCAGCAAGATTTCTGTCTCTTGTTCCCCTCTGTCGAGTAGCTGCCGAGGAGTATGGAATACATAGGAATGGTTAATGAATAACTTGTAACTAAGTAAGGGGCCCTAACTGGAGTTGGTTGGGTTTCGGTTTTCATTTCTAGAATTAAAGCCCCAAAAGCTCCATAAAGTCAAGACGGCAAGAATCGAAGCAAAAGAACCGAAAGAAAAGCAAAACAAATAAAGTAAAAACAACGAGCTGTACCTTGAGGTCTGAGTGCTTTCTCGTGTTTTCGTGGTCACACGTTGCAACTGATAGTCTTAACAAGATATTTCTAGTTAATATATATATTCCATTTGTTGGGTACGTGTCAAAGAAAAAAAATGAAAACAAAACAAAAGGAACAAAGAAGTTGCAAATAAGGGGCGATGAGTGAATTACATATATTGTGTAGTCTGGCGCCTTTTATTTAGTGCCTCAGGGGCGAAGTCTAATGGGTTATCTAGATATCGGCATCTAAAGTTCAGTGACTTGACACAAACGGTTTAGAGTAGTGTGAAATGGCGTAAATTATCGGCAAATGGTTAATCGTAAGCCGCAATGGCTACTCTCCGTAGAGTGAAATGGTTTAGCGTGACCCCAAATGGTTTAGAGTGACCACAGGCGGCCCACAGCTGGAGCTTGGGCCGCCTATGGAGTGACGACAAAAGGTTTAGTACAAACCGAAATGGTTTAGTGTTACATCAGGTGGTTTACGCCCTAACCGCCAAAAATACAAAAGTGAAATGGACAAGTCAAGCTTGAAATGGAACAGTCTATGTGGGTTCTTACGTCACAACCCTATAGTTTTTAGGCGCCCTTTAGTTGTAGTTTCGTCGTCTTAAACAATGAATCGCTTTATCACGTTTCCTAGCAGTGGTTCAGATTGTATAGACTGTAAGTGTGCTGTCGTAATGATGTATTTTTGTCATTCCTTTTGTTTCAGATTCTAAATTTAATCTTAGGGTGGTAAAATGAAGAATTCTTGCCATGGTTAGGCGTAACCACGGTGTAGATCGCAACGCCTTACATTCTTTTTCGTTTGTTTATTGTTCTTGTGCAAGAGTGCTAATTACTGGGATACCT